AATTTGTGTCAACATAAAAAAGTGTACCTAACAATATTAGTTTGGTCTGTATTTACATGTACCGTAACTAGTAAGCTCATGTTTCCATTAACAGGCTATGACCTTATTTGCATTTTAGGAAAAAAAAAAGTTTAATCTTGCATTCTCTAAAAAAGAAAATTCAGTAAAGAAATTTTTATGGTAAATTTATAAAAACAAGGATGGTAATTTCTTATAGCATGCCTACCAGCACTTCAGGCAGACAGACCTTAGTACATTTACCGCTAACTCTCGACCAAACTTTCACCTTCATCTAGTCTTATGTCATTTTGATGGATGGCCCATCTCTCCATCGACCAAAACGACGTTTCTTCAGAAATGTGAATAACATTACAAGAGCATTTCCTCGCAAATTCCTAAATGAACAAAATAATACGAAGATTGTTCTTTACAATTGTTATTATGATTAAAGATTATATACTCACCATTCACCGTTCACACCATCTCCTCAATCTCCGTACTCATGGTAATCGCCTCAAGCTTTAGTGTCCGCCATATTTGTTTTTACGAATGGGAACCCCATCACTGTGCCGAAGATTCTCGCCGGAGATCATATGAAGTCACGTCAGTTTCACAGATGGAAACTAGTGACGACCAAACGGAAGCGAGGGAACGTCTGAAGGAGCTTAGAAACCAGGCTCAACTCAGTAGCCAAGGCTACTGAATTTGTGCCCAAGCCTTTTCTTGCTTGCGTGACCTTTTTTGTCACATTAGAGAATACAAGGAACTTTGGCGAGTAGTAAACGCAAGCTCAAATTTTTAAAGCAGCAAAGAAGAAAACTTTTTGAGACTGGAAGGTAAGTAAGTAAGTATTTTAGTGTTTTTCAACCTAAATTTAGTGTTTCCTTTTGTAATTTTACAACGTACAGTAAATTGTCAAATCAACAACTCGAAAAGCTTACAGCTAAAATTTAACTCTTTATTAATAACTTATACTTTCTTGATCTGATATCTCAATTAGCGATAACACCAGAAGTAATTTGCTTTTGTGGTATATACTATATTTATACCTTACTTGTTGAAGTACGTTGTCATGAAATAATGCACTTAGCAACAATTAATCTGATTACACAAAGCTGAGTCAATGTTTAAATTGTTCCCTGGATTGCCTGGACATCTGAGGCAACTGATAATGCATTTTGGGAGTGGTAGGGATGCTTACTTCATAGTGGCTATGGCTGTACCTGTCCTTGAATTTGCCCTGTTGTTTGTAATAGATTTTCCATGCATTGTCTGTTATTTTTTTTCAGGAAATTTTAGTCTCAAGAAGAAAATTCTTTTACAGAAGAATCCTTTTCCTGTAACGTTTGCAACTGTTGGTTACGTTTGCCATATTTCTGATATTTTTATCAAAACAGAATTTTTCACAAAAATTATTTGACATTGAATTCTTATACAAATACTGCAAAGTTAAGTCTGCCCACCAACCCATCAAGGTGGTGTTGAAAACTGCAGTAAGGTCTATTGAATATAGTTAAAGTACTGAATTTCACTCCATGACTTACTAGTACAGAATATGGGGCTTTTTATGATTAGGTACCAAACAAAAAAAAATGCTGTCTTGGCTCATTTGCATCAAGCCACCTGATATAATTCACAAAGATTATTTGACACTAGATTCTCATACAAATACTGCAAGGTCATGCCTGCCTACCAACCCATCAAGGTGGTGTTGAAAACTGCAGTAAGGTCTATTGAATATAGTTAGAGTACTGAATTTCACTTTATGACTTACAATTACAGAATATGGGGCTTTTTTATGATTAGGTACAAAACAAAACAAGAAAAAGCTTTCTTGGCTCATTTGGATCAAGCCACCTAATATAATGCAATCAATGTCTTGTTTTCTGTATCGTGAGTCATTGCTCAGTTGGAATTGATATTTAAATCTTAATTATAATCATTTAAATCCAACTGAATGTATTTCTTTCATTACTTTTCCACTGACTGCCAAACCAGCAGGCCTTGAGGCATTAAACTGTGAGGACTTTAAAAGAGGCCCTATATTGTTTACACGTAGCTGCTTTGGGGGAGGAGAGTGGAAAAGTTTCAAATTTGGTTAAGAGTATGTAACACAATAATAATAATGATAATAATGTTAATAATAATAATAATTCATTTTTTCCATCCTTTGTTGCAAATGCATCTGATCCAAAGTCATTATTGGAACATACCGGAATAGCCTTTTTATTAATGCAAGGCCTCATTGGTGCACAGATATGATATGAAAATAATTTTCTCTTGTGTGAGGCATCAGTCAATTTAGGAATTACGAAGTGTAAAATTTCAAGTCAATATGGTCCAGAAACTACTCATCTTTGTAGAGGGTGGAGCTGGGAGGGGTGGAGGGGTCCAAATTATTAGTTTTGCGTACTGTTTTCACTCTTTGCACCCTGAGCACTCATACACGCACACTTCAGATGGATGCTCAACACAACAGCGTCAAAAAATTATCAAGCAAATGACTAAGACGTGCAAAGCTTCCACGGTTAATATAAATTTACCGCTATAAAGAGTGAAAAGGCCTTACAGATTTTACACGTAGCTTCTTTAAAGGTACAACTTCCTATGACGTTTTAACAAGATTATCAAGTTGTCAAATATGTATTTTCATATGATTGATACCAATTGCTTTATTAAGTCGAAATAAGCTTAATGTCAAGAATAAATAAGCGGATTACTACACTAACGACGAATTTTGTGGTCCGTTAAAAAAAGTACTTGGTTCAGTTACGTAGTTCACCGAAAGGTTAATTTTGCCTGCTAGGATTTCTTTTAACATTGAATACATTTTCAAGACCTGTACTCGACGAGGTGCACTTCTTGCGATTGTTCTGCAATCTAGCGAGTCCTTCGGAAAAACGTCACCGAGAGCAAAACTAAGACACTATTCAGAATCAAGTATTTTCTAGGTTTGAAATTCCCTTCGGTTCCATTTGACCGTGAGTAGAGTTTAGAATTCTCGAAGAAAGCGTATTTTAGCCAAAGGCAGAAGATTCGTATTTGAACAGAGCACAGCGAGATAAGGTAATATTCTTTCACGCGGAAATGACAAAAAAAATAGGGTTAACAGATAACTTCCCATTTGTTTTTTCTCGCGCAAGTAACAGAAATGTTCCCTTCCCTGTCCCCATCCAATCGCACTTCAACCAGTCGGGGGAGGTGAGTATAGAATTGTAAACAAATCATCAGAAGGCTTGGATACCTAATTGAGCCTGGTATCCAATCTCCTTCAGAAAGTGATCCCAAAAAAAATTTCTGCCGTCTGCACAAACCCGACACTTATCCTGTTCCGTGACGTCACTCTGGTTTATGCAAATTGTTAAGTTTTATGTTTTGTTGCGAAGTGACAAGTGTTAGCGTGAAGGTTATCGAGATAGAACAACAGAAAGAAAAGAACAACATTGAAGTGTATTTCATTTTCCATTTTTCGGGTAAATTTGCAATTCAGCATCCGAGTTCAAATGAATATTTTGCGTTAAAGGAAAAGATTATAAGCGATTTTTGGTATAGAGTTAGGGAAGGACAATGTTCGATTAGCATCGCGCTTACGAAACTAGATTTCAACGTTCACGCAGTTTCTGCTTGCATTTGTAAACAGTTCCATGGTCGTCGAAAAGAGCTGGATTATTTGCCGCAAAATCTCAAGGAATTTAAATATTTCTTTAAGAGATAGTTACGCTGCAAGCGTGAAGGAAGAGCGACTCTTTTCTCAGTCGGAAGAATCGCTGCAAGAAACAACTAGCTTTAATTAATTTAGTTTCGCAGCACCGTTCGCAAAGAGACCGAAAGTTGAAGACGGACAATCCTCTCGGCCTAAGTACATTAAGATGATGTACCTCGTCTTCTGTGAGGCGATCGATCACTGGCGCTGCTTGATATAATAAAGATTTTCCATCGCCAGTTGGTATGCCTCGCCTCCGTTTCACTTTGGCGGGGAGGAGGGGGGGGAGGGTACGGCTACACATAGGCTATTCCTCGTGAGATGTACTACTTGATCACTGTGGTGGAAGTCGATGGATACGTCACAACATTCCGGAACATACTAAATTCTTGATGGAGGGGGAGGGGTCATGTGATTTGGCCACTGTAGACAGATTGTAAAGCTGAAGTTTAGCCCTTAGGTGATGAAACCAAATTATACTATTTCAAGGCCTAACTCTAGTTAAAGGTGCAAAACATCACTCAAAATATGGTTTGGCAGCCATTTATATCTTTTTAATGTCATAAAAGTATTAACAGCTCTACAGTTTTGAATATTACCCAAAATAGATATAAAGCTAACTTCTATCAAAAGTCGTTCACTTTTTGTTACTCCACAGACGCTGAAGTAAAATTTAATGACCCTCATCAGATATATTGTGGCAAGCTGTTCCATAATACTACCATGTCGAAACCAAGTCATTTGAACACTAGTTCTTAAACTGATTATTTCACCGAATGTCGTTGTTGTGTATTGAAATACCTGCCTAATTTTGGTTGTTCAAAGAACAATAAATGCGATACAAAATGTCAAAATCAGTTCGACCGGTCATTTTTCTACGAAATTTTTTCAATAGGTAATCTAAACCTCAAACGTCACAATCTCGAATCTTACTTAATTGCTGATTAATGAAAGAAATATAGATGATAAATTGTCCTTAACACAATATCATCCAGTCCTGACTGTAATCCGGGTAACTCAAACTCAAAGCAATTTTCCAAGAAATAGATTTTCATTTCATTTACCGTTACAATGATCAACAGCTCATCGTTGTTTATTGTTCACTTGAGTTTAAGGTGGCGAGGTTTTTTTTTAAAGAAGGTTTTACTTTACTGTACTTTAAACTTTCATGAGCCAAAAGAAAATTAATTGTGTTTCACACTCCTTTTAAAGGCGCTGCAGGAAACTATTGCACTTTCCAATAACGTCTGTCCATAGGCTAATGTCAAAATTGTATTGAAAATAGGTGTAGGGTAACTTTCCGTTTCCTTTACGAGCGCAGTGGGACTCTCCTTTTTTCTTAATGTATCACGGTATTTCTTCTATCCCTAGGTTTGAGCCTATCCTGTTTTTAACACTGATTTGTATATCACTTAACCCTTTACACCCTTACATCAGAATTCATATTCTCCATATTATTCTCTGTACCTTTACTTAGGTGCTGACAAGGAGAATTTGTCTAACAATCAAGAGTTCCTTCAGTTGGTGATCATTTCCTTAATTCTCATGACATTAATGAATGATTCAGTGGTGATTTTTTAAGGAGAAATTAGATGCTAGTCACTTAAGGGGTTAAAGGGTCAAAACTAGAATTAACTGTCAAGTTCAATATTCAAAGAGGTCGTTTCACTACGAAGAAACACAATGATTCAGACAACAACTATTACCCTTTCTTCTTTACAGCAAATCAGCCCACATAGGGAAGTCGCATTCTACAAGCTTGTCGTACAATTCTCCCACACTGCGAATAAAGCCTTGTTTACGAGCATGGGCCAACGCGGCATCGCAAGGGTTTAGTACTCGATTGTCAAGGAAACGGATTTCTGCCGGACTCAAACCCAGTCGCTCTGCCAGTAACTGCCATTCATTTCCACCTGAAATGCCAAGCAACAATTTGCAGAATAAGAGTAATTCCAAACTATTTCAAACTTCACAGGTGACATTTCAAGAAAACTCGCACTACCAAATTAAATGCAAAATCAAATCCATTTGCGACTTAATCATTCGTGAACTTTCCTGGCCACGCCACGCTTCAGGAAGTTTGCGTGTTTTGTTTTGTTACCGAGGTCTCTTACACAATTGCTTCTTTGCTCAAATTGTCCAAAGTGATTTCTGTGATTTACGAAATTCGATTGTAATTTCGATCGTAATTAATATCTCCTTGAAATTATAAATGCTTCAAGTCACCACATTACTGTACTGTACCGAACTTGTGGGGTACACTGAACTCTCAATCGTCAAATCTTTCTTTCATTGTTTATCTCCAAATATCAGAGGTCACAAACTTAGTACACTCTCTTTTTAAACCTCTCTCTCTAATCCTAACGTCTCCTTTTTTAATTTTAACCTAACCGTGAAAGCGCAAGTGTCATGTCACGCAACTTCTGTTTGGTATAAGCGATCCTCGCAACTATGAACATTACTGAACTAGTAGTGTTCATATAACTAGTTCAATAGTGTTCACAGCTGCGAGGATCGCCCATATTCGTTTCTTCACCGCAGTGCACATATAAATGATTTTCATATATTTACAGTCATCATTCTGTTTAGTGCTTACCACACAAATGAATCGTCAATTTCTCTCTCTGACTAATGGGAATATTGGCCACGTCACAAGCTTCAGGTAACAAAGGACCTAAGTAGTAAAGAGAAAATACTTCCTTGGAATGAAATGAGAAGCCAATTAAATCAATCTCGCTTTAATTTGAGTGTCACGGATAATTCACCAAAGCGATACACAAATAGAGCACAGGAAAGATAAAGTTAAAGTGGAAAAAAAAATTGATCACAAAAAGGAATGCCAACAACTCGGCTGTTTACAAATCACCGGCGAATGACTTGTAATGTGTCGTCAGGTTTTTCGACAATGTGATTCGATATAATTATTCTCTCCAGCTGTCTGCATTCAGCAGAATTTAAACCATCATACCTGTTGTGCCAGCAGGTGCAATCTCTCGTAACCGTTTTACAACATCAAGTCTATCGGTAGATTTGGCTTTTAAACAAATGCAGCGAATTTGGCGCTTTGTCTCTGGATCTGGCCGTTCTAAAGATGCTAGGTCCAATGATAAACTTTCGTGAAATAGAGCGACGACATGGTCTGCATCGCATGTCCTCAACTGAAGGGCCTGAACCAACCCATCGGAGAGGGCAAGGGCTTGTTCACCTTCCCCTAAAATATCGATGAAGTAAAGGCCTCAACTCAATGACTTAAAATATTTTCGCTGTTCAGTTCATCTTACGCCCTTGTTCAGTTCATCTTACGCGCTTGGTTTGAAATATAAATAATACGGGTTTAATAAAGATATTCATTAGTAGAAGAATAATGATGCGCAACATTAGTGGGTGCGAAAATGAAGTCCAACAAAAACAGGCTTTAACGGGATTAACACCCAAAACTGTGTGATTGCTATTACGCTTCATAAACTTGAATTTTCAATTTTTCTTCTTCCAATTCACCGCACAAAATTGAGACCATGCTCCTGTATTTCGTTTTAGCAGGGAAACGCACTTTGGGTTTAAATAGAACTCAAACCCGGTTTAACACGACTTTGACGTTCATGATATAATTTCCCTGATGAAATGATTGATATACCCGAAAACACAGACGAAATATGCATAACAATGACAAAGCTTTTCAAAGATGAACCAAAGGACCAAAAGAAAAACACTCTCTCTTTCATGTGGCACAAATTTATGGCTACTGCATCGTTTGGAGAACCCCTCAGTAACTACATAGTCTACATGCAGATACTAACCTTCCGTACAAGGTAAAGCTGATTCCTGGTTGCCCTCGCCAGTGACTCCCTGTTAATTTCATAATTATTATGTCAATAACTCGTCTCTGGGTAAGTTGTTGTTGTACTGTTTTCTCACATTCTATCGTTAATAGTACACACAGTCTCGTTTTTTAAGTTTAGCGGTACCCTTTACTACCTTCCTACCCACGAAGGGATCATTGTGATAGTGAAATGAAAGTCACAAAATTGAGTTTTATAAAGAAGATATTTTCTATATAGACATCTGCCTTAAAGTATGGCATTGAAATCACTTTCCTGGTACATTCAATACAGTGAATAAACAATAGCCTCCATTTGGCGCGAAAATTGGACAAATGGAGGCTATTGTGTTTATAATCCTATATGTTTTTGCAACACGTGGGAAAAACCTGTTAATGAACAGCTCACCGTTTACATAAATACATTCACTTTTCAGTGTTCTCTGGTACCTGGATGTGTTACAAAAAAACATCCATTTCTTCTGTTACAACCAAAAACCCTCTCTCATCCTTAATTAAATTTTAACGAAGACTTTTCGCAATGGACGTAAGGTTTGAAAATTGGGGTATTGCCTCAGGTATCCCCAGTTTAGCAAGGGGATATTCGGTCACGTAATGCGTTTAGACCAATCACACTCAAGCAACAATAGTTGATGGATTTTAAGAATTGGTATGAAAATAAGTAACTCTTATTGAACACTGACAAAAACCGTAACTTACCGTTTTTAGTAAAAATGGAAACCATGTCGCGAAGCGCTCAAGAGGAACCCTGTATTCTCCAACACATAAACCCCGAGTGCATACAACGGGCCTTTGACAATCGTACAACGTTGACTCTGACCAGAAGTGCAGACATTCTTCTTCCTTGCACTTACCTACCTGATGGGTTTCACAATATTTCACCGTCTTTCTTGTGCAACAAATTGGACAGCAAACTGACATTTCGTAAGCCATTTTCTTTAACCAATGAAACTCCCTCCGCATGCATTCGAGAATCAGTCCCAGTTGTCGGCACACAGTACGAGCAAACTCTACTTGACAAGTGTCTCGGCTAAGTACAGATGGTAGATTCATCCTTTCATTCTTGGAAGACTCTGCCTTGCACTTCCCTTGGTGGACAACAACTTCAATGAAAGAGGAATGGCAGAGAAGGATCAGAGAGATGCCTTTAGCCGGGTGTGTGTAAAACCTGACGAAATTGTGATGCAGTTGAGGGTGTTCTTGGTTGAGACCTTCCTTTGTGCACCATTGCATGACCATCAGGACTAGACGAGGAAACAGTCCAATTGGTAATTGGCCAGATTTAAACTTCACAAAAAGGGATGGAATGCCCGCAGATGAAAACAAATCGGTGACATTCTTCGGCGGGGAGATCAACATGGAAGGTACAAGATACTCACTGGGTGACCCATTCTCGTCAGACGACGGCCAAGGGCATAACAAGCCAAATTTCTCCATCATGTTGATAAGAATGTTAACGTCAAAATTTTCTCGGGTGTCAAAAAGGGGATCCCATAAGTCGTTTAGGAGTTTTTTTTCCAAGATTCCCTTTTCCTCAAGCTTTTTCCACTGTTCTCTATGTTCTCTTTTACTCTTCTTGAAGGGCGGAATGGTAATCACCTTCTTGAAGACGTCTACCAACCACTGTGGATCCAAAATAACGATTTTGTTTAACTCCGGGGTGTCGTCAAAATGAATCAAAACTCTCTGGTCGTGTAAGAGGTTCAACATAGTTAGAAACTGCTCTTCGATGGAAATTCCGCATACCTCAAGTGCAATTCTTTTCGCGTCTTCGACGTAAATCCATTTACTTCCGTGCTCAACCATCTCTTTTACAACCTTTTCAAACTTCAGCCATTTGATTGGAATGACCTCTTTAAGCTGAAGCAGCTTCTTGGCAGTGTCAAGCACCTCTTTCCTCAAACGAATAACTCCTTCACATTCTTCCTTACTCCCAGACTTAGTATTGTCTACGACAAAGAAGTCGAGAATTTGTTTACCATAGCTTTTTCTCTGCAAATTGCCAAAAATCTCAATTGCAAGCTCTTCAGGATCTGCACCTTTGTACGGCTTGTCAGCATGGGTGAAGACCAGAATAACTGGGGGCTGCAGCAGCTCTGGTTGCATGGAGGTTGAAGGGGTTTGGTGAGGCTTCTCACTGTTTGGAACCAAACTAGAAACCGAGGACATCCAAAAGTCGAGATAATCCATATTACTCTTCTCACAAAGAACGTCTTTAATAGACTTGAATAATCCTCGCTTTACTTGGGATATAGACCTCTCTTCTGGATTTCGGCTAAGGTTATAAACCAAGAGGTAAATTGCCCCTCTTGTTAGAAAAAGTGGATGGGTAGAATAATAAACTGATTGCCCGCCAAAATCCCACAAAGTTGAAAATATTTCATCTTTGTCTTCGTCAACGCGCACAACTTGAAGTAGCTTGGTAACTAACGATACTATTTCTTCTGGCATGGCTGTAACCTTTGGAGCGCTGTTATTAGAGTCACCGGATGATAAATCATTATCATTTTGGGAAGATGGGTCTCTAGTCCTCTCAGTTACATTGTCGTTACGAGACGGGCTAGGCTTGGGTTTGTTCTGTCGTTTGTTTTTCTCAAGGCTGTTGACAATATATTGAGCTGTTTGTTTCTCATAAGAGAATGGCTCCATGTTTGAATCTCGTTCGTGGGTTGCCTCTCCCATTTTCCAAACTTCCGTTGATACTTTAAAATAGGAAGGATCTGTCTCGATACCTATAGTGCTGCTTTCTTTTGGATTGAATTCCTCTCCTTTCAGTGATCTCTTCAAACTTGTTTTTCCTGACTGACCTTGCCCAATGAACATGATTGGCACCCTTTTCACACTAACTTTTCCTTCTTCAATGGCTCGATGGTAAGCTTCGAGGGCCTGAAGGCCTCGAGCAACAATTTCCACAGGAACTGCAACAAAACGGTATAACAGTTAGACAAAAAAAAGCAACAAATAGACAACAAATAATCGACATATAGAGCCACAAAATAGGACAATTTTTATCTACAGACCTATTCTAGGTGTAATATTACTTGGATCGATGCTAGAAATTGTCATTCCTAATCAGAATGGAGTGTAGTTCGGTCCTTGCAATACTAATTTCTGTACAACGGCAAAATTTTTTTGCTTTGTTGCTTTTTAAGACTGAAGTTTTAGGCGTGCTACCATAGTTGTACAGCTGTAGGTTCCTCGTTTCATTTTCCTATTCAAAGTCTTCTTATTTTTTAAGAACATAATCAGCGACAGAAAAACTCTCCTCGGGTGAAAACGTTACATAAACTAGAACAGCAAACACTATTGAAATATTCTGAAATCTGTGCGTAAATATTTCACAACAAAAAGATAAACATAGAATTAATTTTCGAGGAAAGATACAAAACTCACCTGATGCATAATCTTTATGGTCTTCTCCTCCAATCTGACGAGCCTGTCGATCATCATAATGCAAGCGTCAATACTTTTAGTCGTTTCTGGTTCCATCCTCATGTTTAGGTTTAAATATTGAAAGGTGTCGTCAATTTAAGTTAGGCTCGTCCTGGTCATGAAGTCTTTAAATGAGACGCAATAATAATTCAGACCGAAGAAAGGAAGAAAGTGAGCCTCCCTTCTTTTTTCAGTAGGCGCTAGTATCGCAGCCTAACTGAAGGCCATTAAAGGCCTCTCTCCCTTTGACTGCGCTCTAAAGACACTCCGACCAAAAGCATTATCATACTTTCACTCACTACCTCTTTCTGATTGGCCGAAAGCGTGGAGTGAATTATCGAAATCAGCAACTGAGACGTTATCTAGCTGTACAGTATACAATTGTCATGTCGAGGTCACTCAAGGTCACGGGTAATCACGTCATGTATGACCGCAGTGTATTGTGCTTGTCGTCAGTGAAGAAGCAAAAACATGCCTGCCAGGTGTGCTTCGTCGACCGAGCAAGAAATTGAAAAAACCGGTTGAATTTCGTTTTAACAACTGTAATGGTTTCTTCAGTTGAACTTATTTATCGCTATTTACTTTCTCAACTAACTTTTATTTAATTTTTCACATGTTGTCTAATGCTTAGACTTCTTAGTCGATCGAACTGTGTGTGGCTGATTTGTATATTTTTATAAGTTCAGAAATATATTATCAGTTCCACTTACTGGCTTGACCGTTTTTTTCGTTCAATGTACAATTATACAATTATTAGATTCAGTTTTTGTGATGTACAGAATTGTCAGTCTTCCAATATTAGGCACAATGACATCTTGTCTCAAAACCAGGCGTTGTTTTAATGTTTGTTGGGTCTTGAACGAGTGTCTTTCAAATCGGACCTTGTCAAAAACTGAGGGCAAATTTAATGAATCATCCCTTAGTTTAACAAATAAAATACCTGATTTTCATTATGGCTTGTCCTCTTCTGGTGTATGGCGGTAAAGTCGTCTACGTAAGCGTTGAGGTAATCACTTTTTAAGAAGGTATTGGCAAGATCCCCAAGGTTTTTAAATGCCAAATTGCCTATGAAAAAAATTAATTTTATACACATCTGTCTCGCCGTAAAAAAAAAAATCACTCAACGCACTATACACAAATTGCGATAGAGGTCGGTGGGAAAAGTTAGGTGCTACTGGTAAATCAAAGTCCTTTAAAAACGTGCGTGAAATGTCCAATCAAACAATTGGTGAGGATGGGCAGGGGCCACAGCGGATAAAGTCTTAAAAGCAGTTAACAGTTGGGAGGGGTAATTGCAAGACCTTCTCTTTGTTTTGGTATTGAGCGGGAAAAAATGGAGTTGTTGTCTTCTTAGTTTGTTTAATTTGTCTATTTTTTGAAAAAAATCGAAGTTTCCTGTTCTCTTTTCGGTCCAATTTATTTCGAGTTCATTTATCTAATCATAACGGCTTACAACGATCGACGCACGGGGGAAAGGTCTCGATGCAGCTTTTTTGTCAGCCCTACGAATGTATAATGTTAGCTTGAGACAAGTTTTTTGTGTCGTTAATTGCAGGCATAACGTCAACGCTACAGTGGATTTAGACACTTTAACAGTTTGTGTGCAATTACAAAGGCTTCTATTTGAACGTATCAAATTGCATTTGACCAAGGAAGTCACCAAAACCATTAAACCTTCCTTATTTAAGGTATTATTACTACAGATGATCTTACATCATCTTACTCCTAGTTCAATTTTCCATGTCAAGAGGTCAACTGATAGTTTACCCTGCAACATTCTATAAAGGGGATGTAAAGAAAACTGCGTGATGAGGCACATAGCAATATATTTTTTTCTGAACCATCTAAGCGGGCCTGAATCTTAAATCTTTGAATCTGATTGGCTAATCGTGCAGGTTTTGGTCTAGCTTTGAACAATACAGACCACGGTCTGGATTTTTCCACGCCATTTGCGACAAAGCGGAAAAGAGTAAACCAGAAAAAAATATATTTTACCTTCTACTTTTAATTGGCTCACCTACCTGAGCAATGCCCTTCATTCGTGTAAGATAACGGGACGTGCTTGAAACGAGAATTAAAGAGTCTATAAAAACAAGCAAAGTCAAAATAAAAGTTTTTAATAAAATTAAATGCGAAAGATCGATACATCATAAGCAATAATAGATCAAACTGAAGGCCGAGAAATTCATTTGATTATCTTCCTGACACAACGGATCAACATAATAACCGAAAGAAATGTCGAGGACATCCTTAATTTCTTCGAGAATTGGTTGAACCCGTTGAATTGGTTGAATACGTCCGAAGATGTAACTTGCCTCTTATGTAATCTTTTCAGAACACCAGAATACGTTAACCCTTTACACCCTATCATCGGTATCAGTATTCTCCATACTGTTCTCTATACATTTCCTAAGATGCTGACAAGGAGAATTTGTTTAACAATCAAGAATTTCTTCATTTAGTGATTATTTCCTTTATTCTCATGACCTTAATGTGTGATTATGGGGTGATATTGTTAGGAGAAATTAGATCAAGTCACCCTTAGGGCCGGGGGTAAAGGGTTAAACCACGAGCCTGTCATTTAGGCATGTGAATGACACGCCTTTAGAATGTTCTTCCAACCTCCCTTGTGTACTACGGTGACTGTAAGTTCATTCTTGCCAAAACCCAGTAACCGTCATAGCCATAACCATTACAATTTCCTCGAATGAGATTGGTGCACGAGCTTCTTTATTTTTCACTTATCTTTCTGTATAGTTGTAATCGAACGCTGTAATCGGACAGTTGGCTGTAATCGGGCAGTTGAAGCAGCCAATCAAACTTAGTCCTTTCAGACAAATCCGCCAATCATAGAATTGATCGCAATAACCAATAGCAACAACTTATTGTCCTTTTTTACTTTAGACTTTGTCTCTACCGGAGATATTTGACCGAAATGTATTTGTCATTTTCAGAAATTGCAACGGTTATGACTAATTGATAAAAAGACTTTGTGTCGTCCAATTCTTTCTGCAACCATACTCGTGATTACAGACCGAATTGGACTCCACTCGGTCCTATTACCATTAATAGTGTTACCATATCTTTCGTGGTTTACAGGTACAATCAATCATGACGTTCGGTAAATTTAATTTCCTTTAGAGGCTAAAACTACTGAAGAAATACGGGGTATAGATAAAGGGGGTATGTTTTTAAAGAAACTGTGGTGCTGCGTCAGTGGGAGAGTATAACAGGGTAATTTATTGTAATTAAGTTGTTAATAAAGTCAATTGACCACCGTAAAGACTTTATAGGCTGACGTTTCGAGCGCTCGCCCTTCATCAGAGCGTCAGCCCTTCGTCAGAGCGACGAAAGGCTAACGCTGACGATGGGCTAACGAAGGGCTAACGAAGGGCTAACAAAGGGCTCACGAACGGCCAACGCTCGAAACGTCAGCCTTTAAACTCTTTACGGAGGTCAATGTACGTTATCAACCAAGTTGACAATGCTGAATCACAGGGTATAGGTACCTTATCGACAGTACGTGCTTTCCGGGTAAATTTTTGCTTCTCCGAACAAAATAACCGCCATCAACAGCCTTAGACAAAAGAACTTCAGCTTCAGGCCGTGTCATGTCACCATGAAACCTGGAAAAATGTGTTAAAGTTAGTTATATCGAATCATTCTATAGCCCAGCACAAAGGATGGATGATTAAGGGAATTGGCTAGTCTGTTAGACAGCACTGAAAATGTCCTCTGCGATTAACCTGAAGATCCTGGGCACTAATTCTTCTTATTAGAAGCATCATAGCCGCAAAAATATTGCTTACGTTTGTTGGAAATTAAAACAACAAGCCAAAAATATGAAAACGGGTTCCCTACAAATTATCTTTCACATGATATCAATATTCTGTCTGCGGTGACCAATATTTTGAAATGTAGATATCTTCAACCAGGGAAGATAATTTGTGATTATGATGAACGGTCGAAAGAGACCACAGTAATCATGGTTCAGGAATATTCGCTTTTATTAATGCCTGTTCAATTGAAGGACGAAAGATAATTAAATTTTGAAAACAACTCACTCTTTTTCTGTATATTGAGAAGGGCTATCAGGAAGCTGTGGAGTTAAAATAAGATTTTAGCTTCTTTAGAAGGTCAGAAAAAAACTAAATCAATTACATTATTTGTACCGCCCAGGTAACTTGAAGTATTATATTTACTGTTTCGGTCAGATGGCTTAACCAAGAACTCAACCCAGAAATTTCAGCCAAGTCTTGTACTCGGCCCTTTCGATTACGCGTACAGGGCAAAAATCCTCAGACTACCCCATTTTTTACTTTATAAATGAAAAATATGTGAATTCCTTTCTCTCTCTCTCTCTCTCTCTCTATATATATATATATATATATATATATATATATATATATATATATATATATATATTTTTTTTTTTTTTGCATTTTAAATTGATAGAGAAAATTGAACATATCCCTATGCAGGTTAACTTGAAAGTTTAACAAGTTTCCTGACGTGTCAAAATGACTTATGTGAGATGAGAGTACATGTGACTTTGTTTCAGAGGATCTACTGACTACGTGAAAGAAAAGGTATTAACACGAGGTTTGATAATTCATGATATCTTGCGAAAACTGAATTCGATAATTGTTTTATTCAACACTTTTTAAACAAAAAAACTGCAAAAGAAGAAAATTCTCCCTGATGTTGGAAAAGTTTGAAGGAGGAGGGGCTTGAAAACTAGACAGACTTTGAATGCGACATGATAACTGCAATATTAGCGGCAGATATTGGGTTGTCATTTCAACTTCACACGCTATTGTGTATTGATTGAATGCTCTCGATTTATCATAGTAAATGTAATAGACTTAGGATCCTCTGATGTTCAACAGCATTGGGACTGATGTCGTTATGAAATACCTCTTTTTCACAAGAAATAACCGTCGCTTTTGGTGCTTCTTTCTTTATTTTTTTTTCTAAAAGGAAGAAAAAAGTCGGCTTGTCATCAGAAGAAAAGTTGATCCTGAATTCTTTGCAACCTTATTTCAAAGGTGAGATTTGCGTTCAAAGCACATTCTATTGTACCGCAAAATGCAAATTTCTGGCACAATCCATCCAAATACCCCCTCCACCCAAAAAACGAAAACAAACGCACAAAAAAACATAGATGTGGAATTCTACCCTTAATCAGCCACCCCCCTCAAATTAAACAAAAACAAAACAAAAAAATAATAATTAAATTACTCTACCAAACCTGAATGACTCACCTAACGGTGCCCAACGATCGAATAGTCCTTTGTACAGATCAACATGTTCCGCGTTCTGTGATGCTAAAAGGAGTAAAATACCAAGACTTTACACTTCACATCAATCGTCAAAGTAAATGATCAATTTTTCCGACTGGGCCGGAAAATTTAAGACTTAAAAAACATCATAGAGGAGCTCGCCGCGCGCAGCGTAACCCCAAAGTGACAGGAAAAGGTAGTAACCTATCAAGCTGTAAAACTTTAGACTTGAGACCATACGACCGACTGTACAAGGCCGTACAAAATGAATAAGTAAATTACCCTACCAAATCTGAATGATTCACCTAACAGTGCCCGACGATTAAATGCTGCTCTGCGCAGATCAACATGTGCCCCGCTGCGTGTCACTAGAGGAGTAAAATACCAAGACTTTACACAACACATAAATCGTTAAAGTAAATGATCAATTTTTCCGAATTCATCAAACCGTAAAAATTTCGACTTGAGACCATACGACCGACCGTACGAGGTGTTACTTTTAGCATGCGCGGCCAACTGCGATGTGGGCACTATCTTAGCCATTACGTAATGGAAGGGCGAGGGAGAAGGTAATGCGCAGGCGTGATGGCGTGCGTAACCTGGATACCTCAGAAGTGTGCGCCAGGAGACACTGCCCGGGCAAGCGATCAGGCATTACACGAGAACTCCACACGGGCTAGTAGATGTGAAGCCGTGCGAGCAAATAATTTTCAATCCGCGTTTGGAGCGGGAATTCAAATTGGTGAACAGTAATTCTCAGTATTTTGGAGTTTCTAATCAACTCGCAAAGCAATAATACCGGTCAACCGGAGGAAATTGTTATCATTCAAGTACGTGGAGATAGGGTTTTGAGTGAAAATGGGCTGGAAAGAAGAGCAACCAAAGAAAGCAAGAAGTAAATGGCGTAAAGTGAGTAGAGAAAAACGCGCAGGAAAGTTAGAAAAGAAGCTAAAATAGGCAGAATGCGGCGAGAGGAACGCGAAAGTGAGCTAGAAAGGCATAAGTGAAAAAGGTGAATATCTAACGTGAGAAGGAAATACAAAGAGCTCCGGAAAACAGACTGTAAAGAGGTCATCAACAAAGAGAAGCAAAGTAATGGCCTTTCCCAAAACCGAAATAAAGTGAGATCGAGTCAGCGATGTTCATGTTTACATTAAGTCTGACATGGTAATTTGATTTTGACAGAATCCTCATGTGAGAACCCGTCAAGAGTCTGCGAATAAATTATCGACCGCAAATGTGTGGTGCAAGCAAACCCACGGGTAAAATGGAGATAGTCCTACTGCGGATGTGGTGAATTTCATTGTTTGGTCATGGTACTTTTCAGCGCTATGTTTTCATGCTTTTCATCCTTGTAAAGAGGTGTTCCACATTTCTCTAACTAAAATCTGAATCATGAAGTCAACTTAATTTCAATGAGTTTGAAACTTCGTTCTACAAAAGAACACTTTACTGAAGTATGATGATATTTATTTGCTGTCTTTCTCCTTACTACATCTATACAATATCATGCAAACAAGTGATGATAATAAAGAAACATATCAATTATGGGATTACTAATTGATAAAATACCAAATTCTCCAAACTAACATAATGAGAATCATTTAGCAGACAGTAAGGAGAATTACTTATGAGATCGTGGGAGTTAAAGAGTTAAAATGAAGGATTTCATTATATTGTAATGATTAAAATACACTAATCTTTCAAATGTAAAAGAACGTGATGAAAATCTGATCTTATGAAACACTTACAATGGAAAAACCTGTTGCTGGTAGCTTATGTCTTTAATGTTTAAATTTCATGTGAAATGCTTTTATTTGAAAACGGGGATACCGAAGTTTTCAAAGCTGCTAGAAATAAGCTGTTTGCAAGTAATGGAAAGCAAATTGACAGTCATACCTTAATGCTTGACATGCTTCACTCATACATGTCAGTTGTGTATACCTATACCATCGTAGAGGTGTCTTTAAAAAGATTCTTTAGAATAGCTGTTGTTCTTTGTTGATCTTTGTAACAAAAATTCAATTTTTTTCAATTTTTATGTACACTCGGCACCCTCTACGGTGAAGAGTAGATGACCATAGAGTGGTGTTTACTAGGCTCTTGCACTTACGCAATCATATGTTCAAGTAATACTCTAACTTAACAACCATAGATCTGGTTGCACCTTTACCGCACCCGTGTGCAAGACTAACAGATTTCTATTGTCTTGGGCCCTTAGCCGGTTGGTGTTCAAATTAAAAAGATTTGATTTCTTTTTAATAATAGCAATTTTTATTCAAAAAAATTAATAAATAACACAGGCTCAGAATAACTTCATTTATTTAATTGCATAAATTCTTTTTATATAGTAGATGAACATTCTATATTTTCAAGAATAACTTGCCTTAAGGTTTTCATACAGTCATACATGCTGTTAAATATCACTGAAAATGCAAAAGGAAAATGTCGATGTAGTGAATTAAAATCATGTTATCCTAGGACTACCTAAAGATGACTTAATTTTAGTATTTCAGACAATGGTTAGCCTTGTCACCAACACTTCTTATCAAACACAAATATCATGAAAATAGAGACTGTTCCTTTCTGAGAAATTCCACTCGTACTTATGCATAGTATTACATGATAAACGTCAGTAAATCAAGATGACATGTTCAAGTCTAAAATGAATTTCAAGTCAAATTCATCTAAAACTGGTTTGATTTATATTGAAATATATCCACAACCAAAGAAAAATACAAAGTAGACTAGTTTAAAATTTATTTATTCGAAATTCATTTAAAATATACCAAGGTTGATGATTCCAAGCTTACTTCACACACATAAGCTGGCTGGCAGTGTTTTCTGGGTAATCCAAGCTCCTACTAGCCAGATGAACAAGACTGCAAAGCATGAAAATATACTTTTGCAAAGACTCCACAACGGTATAAGACGAACATGGAAAGTAGAAAGGTTTTTCCATAAATCAAAAAGTAAATGAAATTAGCTAAATTCACCTTAAATACACGAAGTACCTCTGGCCTGTAATTTTTTCTAAGCCACCTAAGATCCTACCAGTTAGAGACTGACACGACCGAGGAACAAGAAGATATTCATGAAAAATTATTCTAATGTCGTCTAAGACTAAATAGAATACCAAAAAGTAAAATTTAAAGCAAACTGTGATAGAAATGCGGAAAGTCGATTAAATATGCAAGCTGTATCTCTAGCCGGTAGTCTTTCCTAAGCCTCCTAGGATCCTACTAGCTAAAGCTTTAAGACTAAATAGGAACGAACAAAATGTAAATGTACTCATGAAAAAAATAATTCCAAGGAGTGTAAGACCAATTTGGAGTGCAGAAAAGTATAATGTGCAGCAAACCGCAGCAAAAACTGGGCAAAGTTGAGTAAATGTGCAAGCTGTACCTCTAGCCGGTAGCATTTTCTACTGAAGCCTCTTGAGATCTTACCGGCTAGAGGTACAAGACAGTGGAAATTTCATCTTGGGAATCTTTCTTACCGGTAGCACAATGACAAGGGCTTTATAGTGGCGATACTATACATAGGTTTTGTTTACCTTTACAAGCGTAGGTCTTAGCGGCTACAGTGTTAAAGAAACTTAATATCGACGAAGGTGAAGGATACAGCCATACAAAATTTATCCTTGATTTAATTTCTACAATGTATTCTCTACATGTAAAGCATGTAATAATGTTCATGTTTGGTTCAATCACGTCGCTTGACTGTTGGTAAATCGCAAATGGTGTTACTAGAATAGTCCGCCATATCTCATGCGTACCTCTAGGCGGTAGAATTTGGGCACCACCGGATTCCAGACAATTCTTCCCCCCACCCCCCGGACTAGTCCCTTAATTCCCTTGAAGAACCTCTTCTACAGCCAGTGCTGAGAAGTTTTATTACACTTGTAGTTATACTAAAGGCTGGAAAGTAAACTAACAAGAACTCCGCTTTTAGGCTTGGAAAAATCCATAGATTATCTTCAATTAGGTTGAACCTTGTAGCTTTTACACTTTTCTTCTCCAGCTGAAAACACTGGTTATTATGTATATATTGAAAATATGGATTTTTTTTAGCCACTATTATTTTCAGTTAATGTTATGTCAAAGCACTCTGTGATAGGACATTTTTTGAGAAACTTTAGGCTTTTGAAAGTCACTACGCCGTATTCGATGAGTAAGAAAGTGTAAATAACGAGCATACACAAAATTTCAATATGGAGAATTTTAAGTTTAAATCGAATTGATCGTCGTTCGTTTTAGTGCACATATTGGCAGCTGATTTCTCAATTTTTACAGGGTTTTAAGATTTCGTTTTATTTGACCTTTCTCCGCGTCGCGCAGTTTACTCGTGAATGTTTCCAGATTTTGAGACACATTTCCAGACTACTAAGCTAAGATACATGTGAGTAAGCTTAAGACTTATTTGCATATTTCCACATCTAGACTACCAAGTTAACATACGTGTGAGTTAGCTTATATTTACACATTTCAGTTTTCGAACCTAAAAAATATATTTAATTAGCTCAGTATTTCTTGTTGGTACGATACCAAATCAAGCATTTTCATTCTTCAAGGTTACCCTAAGGTGATTAATTTAATATGCTGCACGTCCCATTCTGATGATGTGTTCTGTGCTCTTCTACCCCAAGTAAAAGCCATATATTTGTAATTGTTTGGCCATCAATTTGTTTGACCTTCAAATAATCATTGTCTTGAAACATCATCTCGTGTCTGTTGTCATTACGTATATGGTTTATAGTTTTAGCTCAGTTAAAGTGCGCTGGCTAACGCTTTTAAAGTTATCAATCAACTGGTAATTTAGGAGTACGTCACACGCTATTAGGAGGAGATGGAAGAGAGTTAAAGTTCTCACCACTTTATTGAATAATTAAGACATACCATGAAGTAACTCAAAAGAGCCTTTGATTTAAACTGTTTTTGTTGTTCATCATAAGCACTTGGAAAATAAAAATATCAGAGCTCCAAACTTCCGCCGATCAACGGCGTCATCATCATCATTGAAAAGTTTCATAATCTTTGTATTCTCACCGGTAATTATTTAATATGCAAACTTTTAGCTTTTCCAATTTTCAAGAAGTTTCGGTGACATAAAGCAAACAATCGAAGTAATTTTAATTTGGTTGCGACTCAACAGACCATGAAGTCAAAAACATTTGTGGCCTGCTCTCGAAAGAACTATACATATTCCTGTAAGTTAGTGCAATAAGGGCCCGAAGACTGTGTGTTACCAATTTGATGGTAGAAAATTTTTTCGCTGTCCACCAGAAGCACTTGGAAAATGAAAATATCGGAGCTCCAAAATTCCGCCGATCAACGGCGTCATCATCATCATTGAAAAGTTTCATAATCTTTGTATTCCCGCCAATAATTAGTTGATATGCAAACTATTAGCTTTTCCGTTTTTCAAGAAGTCTCGGTGACATGATGCAAACAATCGAAGTACTTTGAATTTGGTCGCAATTCAACAGACCATGAAGTCAAAAATATTTGTTGCCTGTTCTCGAAAGAACTATACATATTCCAGTAAGTCAATCGATAAGGGCTGAAAACTGTGTGTTAGCAATTTGATGATCGAAAATTCTCCTAGTCATAGTCATAGTAGTATCTTATTTATTTATTTAAGCATTATTTATACATGGTAAAAAAAATTCATCAGGTTTCAAATTCCAATACAATGACTAATATCGTAAGAACCTAAAAATCCCAGGATAAGCTATTCCAAAGGGTTGCGCCTCTATAACTAAAAGTATTTTTCATCCAATTAGTTCTTAGAAAGGGAACAACGAGTTTGTTTACGAGTCCCTCATAGGATAGTTTGATTCATTTCGCTCTATAAATTTAGACGTGAAATATTCAGGAACCAGACGGTAAAAAGACTTGAAAACCATCAAGGCGTTCTGAATTTCACGTTGAGATTTCAAGTCCTTCCAGCTGTGTTTGTAAAATAAGGAATCGACATCTACGTCGTAGTTTGATGAAGTTATTACACGTGCAGCACGGTTTTGTAGTTTTTGTAGCTTGTTAGATAATATTTTGCTACAATTACCCCAGACTGCGCTACGGTTATCACAGCGAGATTGAACTGGTGAGTTGTATATATTGAGTAGGGTGGATTGAGGCACAAATGGCTAAACTCGCACTGTGGCTCATTCCAATGGCGGAAGCGATCCTTTACACAGTTTATCAATGTCAGAATGCCACGTTAAATTTTCATTAATACATATTCCATGGGATTTCACAAAGGAAACTGGTTCCATCGGAACATTATCTTTGGAAAGTTCGAGTGTATCAGATAGAGTACTAAATCTTTTTCTGGAGCCCATCAACATAAATTTAAGTTTTGTAGGGTTCGAGGTAAGTCTGTTAGACACAAGCCATTTGCCTAGCTTGTCAAGGTCGTGAGATAGGCTAGACCGAATCAAATGTAAATCAGAACCAGCACAAATAATGTGGGTGTCATTCTAGGTACGCTAAACGATAGACAGACAGGCAAATCGTTGATATAAATTAGAAATAAAAGAGGGCCAAGGATCGTTCCCTGTAGTACACCACATTTAAGGGTGGTGAAGTCAGAGAGACAACCGTTAACTGAGCACTGTTGTGTATGATTTGTCAAATACGATTTAAATCAATCAAGAGTTTTCCCTTGATTACCACATCGATTCATTTGAGTTAGTGATTTCTCATGATCAACAGTGTCGAATGCCTTTTTTAAGTCGAGAAACACTACGGCTTGACGGAGCCACGACCGATATTAAACGCCCAACTGTCAGTGGCTTTAAGAAGAGCAGTGGCAGTTGAGTGTAGAGACCTGAAATCAGATTGTTGTTTAGAGATGATTTCTTCACTATTTAAGAAGTTGTGTAACTGATCGCACACAATCTTCTCGAACACTTTGGCGACAACGGAAATGACTGAGATAGGTCGGTAGTTGTCTAAATCAAATGACTCGCCCTGTTTAAACGGAGTCACTCTGGCACATTTCCAGTCGTCAGGAAATACGCCAGACATCAGGGATTTATTAAATAGATCGCATAACGGGCCTGAAATAATAACAGCACACTAACGAATCAACCCAGCGGGAAATTCCTGAAATTCCTAAAGCCACGCAGTGTACACAGACAGGGTTGATATAGGCTAACAGCACACAAATGGCGTTCTTAGTTACCAATATTGCTGCCATTTGCAGGCTTTGGTCACTCATTTTGATTACATATAAAATCATTGATATAGAGTTTGTATTAGGGACGAGATATCTCGAAGTTGCTGAGGCATGTGGAAACTACGACTTTTTCCTGTTTATACAATTCTCTTAAATTTCCCTCGCAACCCGGAATTTTCAAAAGGAACCTGAGGTAAATACCTTCCATTTCAATGATAAAGGCTCCTTCTCGCTAGATTCTTCGATTAACGGATTTCCTTCAGTCTTCTCTTCCACACGCACTCTCAAAGAACATTCTGGGGCTGTCACGAATAGAAACTGACCCTTTCGCATTCTCATGGTAATCTCCGTTTTGATTAATGCACGACGTGCCCAAACGAGTCACACCATTTTACGAGTCAACTTCGAACCCGAGTCAAGTTCGAGTCCCGAGCCAAGTTCGGGTCAGTTTAAATTTGTCCCCTTTTGTAAAATAACATCGTCAGGGCAATACACAAATAAGGAGAAACAAAAGCATTGTCATCCTAAAGCCAGAGAAAGGGAATGGGGTTGTCGTTCTAGATCGAACTGATTATGACTAAGGCAGATTAAAAATCATTAGCGACACGTCTAAATTTCGACCTCATAAGGGGGATCCTACTTTGCTGAGAGAACGAAGACTACAACGACTCTTCAGAAAGTTAAAGAAAAGCGATCTCCTTGACAGTGATGTTTATAGCAGTATCTATCCCAAAGGCTCACAACCAGCAAGGATTTACGGCTTACCAAAAATGCACAAGGAACGTGGACACAACTCAATCCCGCCATTTCGCCCCTTGTGTCCTCTATTGGAACAGATAACTATAACCTGACTAAATATCTGTGCAATCTGCTTACACCCCACATTCAAACGAAACATTGTACCTCGGACTCTTTCACCTTCGCACAGGAAATCTAAGGTTCATCTTTTTCTGGCAAATTCATGATCTCGTTTGATGTAGAGAGTCTCAGTTACAAAGAATGAAGAATGCATTGACCTAGCGGTCAGGTACATTTCTGATGGCAACTCCGACCTAAAGTTAAGTAGCACTGAACTTAAAAGCCTTTTCTCCATAGCCACCGCTCAGACCCATTTCCTATTTAAAGGGTCTTTCTACGACCAGATAGATGGTGTAGCTATGGGCTCTCCCCTCGCCCCTGTTCTTGCTTATCTCTTTATGGGACATCATGAAAAGTTATGGTTGGAAAATTGGCAGGGCTCAGAGGTATTATTTTACCGCCGTTATGTTGAAGATACATTCTCTTTATTTCATTCGGAAAACGATGCACTACTATTTTTCAATGAGATAAACTCCAGAGATCCTAACATTAGGTTCACGAAGGAAAAAGAAATAGATCACAAAATACCATTCCTCGATGTTTTAATCAACAATGACACTCAATTTCTTTTCACAAGTGTTTACCGTTGTTAACCTTGTCTTTATCATGTTAATATAAAACTTTCCTTGTAAATGCTGTTGGAAACTGAACGATATGCTAATTGTTCTTCATATGATTGACAATACACCTTTATCACGCAAGGCCATTATAGATTACGTGCGCACCAAATCGAGGCTGGACGGGCATAAGGTATAACTTTGTGTCACATTACAGTGTTTTGGGTGAAGATTACAAGCAAGATCATAGCTCCGTTAATTTCTGAAGTAACGACAAACGAAATAAAAGTGGTGAGAATTTATCTTTCTTCAACTTTCCATCGAATGATTTATTGAGATCGAAATGGATTACCGCTATAAGGCAACATGAAGGGCCGGATTTCGAGGTGAGTTAGAGTCGCGTCGTGACCAGTGAGCTGTTAGATGCACGTGTTATTAGCGATCGACTTTTCCTTTCGATTGAGGACTCAGCCAGCAGTTTTTTATGACTACTGAAATGGATTGAATTGAAAAAGAACTGACGACGCCTCTCTTCTGCTTGTAGGTCCTCAATTTTTTTTACTCTCGTAATTTGTTTTGTCGGCGCTCTTTACCCTCCTTGGTCCATGCAAACTGCGATGTTTTAGACGTGTAAGCCCAGCTGTAGTCTCATACATATCATCTGGCTTGAAGTGAGCCGAGTACACCAGAGTAGAGCTTTTCTTTATCTGGCAAATTCGTTTTAAAACCGCAAATTATAACGCGAATAAACGAGGGAGAATCTTATTATTACATATTACCACAGTTAGTAAAAATAAACAAAACATAGCCATGTGCGTTTGACAACCTGAGCCAAAAGTAAAACGATTCGAGGGCACTAATTTCCTATTAAACATGGCTTAACTTGACAATCATGCTGCTAAGTTCCTACGCGCTTAAGCGCCCTGCAAATACCTAATTTCATACTACACTGCTCGCAGAACTTATTTGATTACCCTGTGCCTCTCCCAATTACATGCTACTTTTAATTGTAACTTTAACTCTGTACTTTAACGGTAACGAAATTACAACTCACTTAATACACAATGAAATTTATAATAAATCTAGGAAATCAATTTTTTTGCGCGGAAACATTTTATGATAGAAATTAGAAGATCCTCGCAGCTAAGAACACTACTGAAACTAGTTTCAGTAGTGTTCTTAGCTGCGAGGATCTTCTAATTTCATCTCTCCACCGCAGTGCAAATATGTGAATTTTCATATATCCAAATTCTTCATTTTATGATAGTTTACTCATCGTCAGGGTTCAGTTTTGAGCCGATCATCAACGCTGTTTCGTTCTCATTGATCACAACAGAGAAACAGTTTAGGTACTTAATCACTTTATTGTACCACGATAATATTTAATGCTCGAGCACACCATTTCAATCTCCTGCTATCTCGAGGTAGTTGTTGTGGCGCCTTTTTGTATTACCAAGCCAAGCAAAGAGTTAGAAGTAGACTTAACACCCGTCCAAAAAACTGAAAAGGCTTTGCTGAATTATTCCTTAGCGATTTTAAGCTAATTTTTCTAAATTTCGAGGCCATCACGCGATACGATGTCAAATTAACAATAAACTTTGTGCATGGAGACAAGTTGATCGGTAGATTTTACTAAATGTTTCATGGTTGTTCAAACAAAAGCATACGCAATCCTTGTATCAGCATTACCCAAATCCATTTCTAATAAAACAGCGCCGAAAAAGCGATAATCTCTCTCCAAAATCGTAAATTTGGACGTCGGAATAACCTTTTGCCATACTTTTCCCTCTAGCGAGTTGCAATGTTTGCCCCGTGGCGATCCCAGAAATCTGTGCGCAATACAAGGATACGATTACTGGCAACTCATTCTTTGGGTGGAATAAGTCAAAATTATCACCACTAATCGAAGTTATGATTACGATATGGAAGCCTGGCATATAACGGTATATAACGGCTGCCCATACACTCCGCTCACGCTCATTTAAATCGTGATGATGGCGGCTTACTACCTAACGCCCATTCACACCTCGTCAGAATAAATGGCAGCTAATTAGCGGGCATGTAAAATGACCTCTTTTTGCGGCGATTAGGTCACCCCTGATGAAGGCACCAGACAGGAGTGTCGAAACGTTGGGTCTATGAATTGTAACTTCTCGGTTGCATTCATCAAATCTTTAAACCAGAGTAGCATCAAACCATGGGTGATTGAGATTCCAGGTAATTTAGTGTTAACAACTGAGTTGAAAACGTAAACTGACCACCGTGAAGAGTTTAAAGGCTGACGATTCGAGCGTTAGCCATTCGTTAGAGCGATCGACGAATGGCTAACGCTCGAAACGTCAGCCTTTAAACTCTTCACGGTGGTCAGTTTACGTTATCAACTCAGTTGTTAGCACTATATTAACTGTTATTAGAGTTTTTCTTCACTCGTTAGGTATCATTTTATTTCATTTTTATTAAACAAAATTGTTGAAATATAAAGTTGATGTACGTTCACTACAAACGACAATTTTACTAATGTTAAAACAAAAATCTATAATCTATCCTAACGGCAGTCATCTATAATTAGAAAACCTCTAGAGCAGTCATGGTCAAACAAGAGTCACTGTGAGGGAATTTTCAAGACTCTTTTGACCATTTTGGCTACCGCAATGGGAACTTGGTCAACAACCTCAGCTACAGTTTTCTTAATCCAGAATAAGTAATCGTCTACTGAGATTTCACTCAGTTTTGTCTCAAAGTCAACAATAACAGCTTCTTTTAAGGTGATCACACTAAACGATTACACCTATTTAGAAAACCAAACTATATGTTATGCTCCAGTTTCTTTCGAGGTATTTTCCATCAGCTATCATCTTCTGTCACCTCCTTTATTTTATCTTGGGCTAGCTATCGAAGTCAGTTTTCGCGATGTGTATTTATGGGAACATGTTTTAATTCAAGACGAACCTTCATATTGTTTCTCTTTTTTTTTTCACGCGAAGCTTACTTCAGACAACCTTTTCAGTTCAGCGCAGATGTTTTCATATATAAAAGCGCAAACTTGCGTCAATTCTTACTAAGCTTGGACACAACTTTGTCAAAGAGAGTATCAAGTTATTGGAGAGAGTCTGGTACTGATATCTGACTCCCATGAAGCGCAATCTCTGACACTGTTCAGCGATCTGACAAAGAACATCATCCACAGGGGTAGGAAGACACTCTTGATAATCAAAAAACGTAAGGTTCTTGCAGTGTGTCGCTACAAGGTTCAACATGGCAGCGGTTCCACGACCTTTACGGACTAAACCAATTTCTAGACCCTCTAGGTTAGGCAGCTTGGTTAAAAATTGTTCCATTCCTGCGTTGGAGATTCGTTTAGTGTTTCGTAAATTGATGTGTTTTAAGGTGGTGCACGAGTTCGCAAGGGAGACTATACCGTAATCCGTGACCTTTTTGCAGCCCTCGATACTGAGGTAAACTAAACAAACACAAAGCTGTCCGATCTCAACGAGAACCGCATTAGTGACCCACAGACATCCACTAATGTCCAGTTCTCGTAGCAGCTTCGAGCGACGCAAAACAAAGCCGAGTCCTCGGGATAGTATCAGAGGGCACTTCGACATTCCGAGGACTTCCAGATAAGGGCAATGTCGTGCTATCATCTCGATTCCAGTGCTCGTGATTCGATTACGATTGCAGATGTAAAGTTTGCGAAGTTTGTGACACTGACGGGCGATGTGAAACAAGCTGACGTTTGTAAGACGCAAACACCCAGGTCCTGATAGGTCAATGTACGTGATAGCAGAGGACGTAACGCGCGAAACTAAACAAATAACGGTCCTGTCACGGATTCGCGGGTGGGCACAAGAGGACAAATCAATGCTTTGCCACAAACTTGGGTCCAGGCTCACGCGGCGCCACTGCTGGCAGACGCAAGACATGCGCATCAAGTCCTCAATTGTAAAATGTGAGAAAATCTTTAGCAAAAGAGCGTCTGACAAATGAGGGTATTTTCCAGTGTTGTTCTCCGTATCACTCAAAGCCACAACAACGGGTAGGCTGAAAGAAAACAAAGTGTATGCGTTGGATTTTATCAAAGCAACCAAAAGTTCTTGCAACCCGTTTAACTGAATAATTCGCTGTTCTGAGCATAACAAAGAAGCTTGCTACTTTCCTTGCGTTTTGTTCACTTCAGAAGTGTCAGTGTGTGGACCAGATCTCAAACCCGAATTTCTTCTGTTATTGTAATTCCCACGTTTTTCCTCTACGCTTCAGAAAAAGCTAAACGCATGCTCTCTCACCCTTTCTGTTTGCACAAGATGTCATATACCTCAAAAAGTGTGATAAATTGGACTGTTTTTGCAATGGCAATTCCTTTAAATATTCTTTAAAAAGAGAAAATATGTTGTTAAATTTATTGACGTGTTAATGATGAGGTTTTATTTAAAGCCACAATTTATCGTTCGATCCGATAAATATTAGGAAATTTCATCTAACCCTTTCGCTCCCAAGATCTCATCAGTGATTCTCTAATTCTCTCTACTGTCTGCCATACAATTCTTATGATGTTAGTTCGGAGAATTTGGTATTGCATCTACTAATAATCATCTAAATCATCTTTTTCTTTATTCTCATCACTCGTGTATTAATATTGTAAGGATTTTGTGAGGAGAAATTCTGTCTTGGTCATTCATGAGAGTTAAAGGGTTAATCGGATCGGAACCTATCGTATAGTCGCTATTCCAGATGTTAAGGCTGGTTTTCATAAAACGAAAAAAAAAAGATAATCAGGAACTTTACTTGTCTTAATTCCTGCACCGTCACGATGATTTTCAAGATAGAATATTATTGAGGAAGTTATTTAAATTTCTCGGCAGGACTGGAGCCGAGCAGTTGAAGACGCTTTCCCCTACGCCATTACATTAAAAACTGTAGTTTTTCCCATATTGTCCTACATGTATGTGAGTGACGGCCCACAAAGAAGATCAAGCTTTGGGAAAATAGAAACGCTTCCAATTTTCACGATTTGTCCCTCACTATCCGGGATAAATATTTGGTTTATCACTAATTGGTTCAACCTGCAGGAGACCATGAGAAAACAGCGACATGCTTGATCGACGAAGATATTTTAGACATTTCGAAAACCAGCATTTAGTTTCCAATCTGTCGCGGAAGCTTTTAATAAGGCGTCACATGCGGTTGTATAGAATTTAACCTGCTGCGCAAAAAAAGAAAAAAAAAAACCTCACATAACTGACCAGACCAGTTAATGCGCACATTTTAGTTTCTTTCCTTTCAAATATTTTTCGGCCGATTTTGATGTTCTACCTCTAACTCTTAGCTATCAGGAAATGCGACGCTTGAAAACTCATTAGTGACAGGTGTGAAGTACTGGATTAACAATCATTCAAATGTGTATACTTGAAGTTCCTCCCCCTAATACATGTGCTATAATAAGTTTTGCTATTGTTATCGCAACGATGGTACCTAAATGCATTTCACTGAATGAAATTGGACGTGATCGAAAACGTGTTGTGATGTGTTTCATTATAAATAAATATTATAAAAAGCTGTTAAACCACCGAAATGCAGTTAGAAATCTTTTATAAAACGTTCAACCATGAAAAACTACTTCAATGCTCCAAGCAATGGGATGTAATAGGAAATGAAATATTTTATTTGATGTTTAATTTTCCGAAGCGAAATCGAAAATATGTCAACAGAACAGGTTGTTTTTAACGAGGGAATTATCCGCGCTGTGAATACGAAAAATTTTTTTATTTATTTCCCTATGGAGGGTAAACATGAGGTAACATCTGGTAGACTTACGAAAGTAACTATTCCACGTTTGCCAAAACAAGTCTTTACTAACTTATAAAATGTACGCTTTCCTGTCACCAATTATATATTATTCACTTTAAAGATACTATTTTATCAAACCTTTTTTCCGAGCCAACATCAAAAATTTCGTAAACTAGAACTGTTTTTAACTAATTTTCTTGTGATGCCAGTTTCTTTTGAATTTGCACAACATATACAAGCTTACTGATAATCTTCTCTACAATTTCTAGTTTTCAATATTCTCGGTACTGTTCATCATATCATAGTAAACTGTGCAACAAAAACCATTTACTAATTGTTGTAAAATTTTGCTATCAGTTTGGTATACTTACCTTCTCTGCTCTTGAGAAGTCTTGTTTTGAATGATCGTAATATTTCGCGAACGGCTGTGGTACGACAAAGCAGATCCCATATCGATCGCCGTTTTCACCGCCTCGTAAGCTCGAGCGGAAGCGACTTTCAATGTAAGCGCACAGACGCATCAATGTAAAACGCCGCAACTGGTCATTCCCACCCGCTCACCGCTCATAGTTTCAAAATATGCACTCCATTGGCTATTACTATGTTGTTTTGTTGCTTTCAACGCGTGGAAATACGGCGTATGAAATATTTTTCTTTGGTCACGTGCTATTTGTTTCCACAGAAACAAGTCGAGTGCACGCGCATTGACTGAAGCAGATCGGAATTAACAATAAATGAACTTTCCATGCGCAGAACGCTGAAACATCCCTATTCACGGCATATCTTTCAGCGTCGCTTTTCATTACTGCAATTAGATTCGAGTTTTTGTAGCGCGCAAATTTTTAATCAACTTATTTCCTCGGAACAATGTTTACATTAAGGGCGACAAATATAGTTGAACTGTAGGGGAGGCAAGTGCAAACTGTGCCAGAAACCATCGTAACCGCAGACTAGATAAGAGAAAATTTTGGAATAATTTGTTGGTTGAAACACGATTGTACAAACGGCCAACAACCTGTAACAGCTAAGCGGAGGGCTTAGACACCTGTCGAAGTTATTAGCATTTTCATAAGCAAATGACCGCTTCGAGGGCAAGTTATGTTTATTCATTATCCTCATATCTGAGTGCCTGCCTGCACAACTTATGGCTCACATAGATTTCTTTGTCAGCTCGACTAAACAGACGTTTAGAAATTCAGGGCGCCGTCAAACTTCTTAAAAGCAAGGACACCTTATGCCGTCTCAGTGGTGTGAAGGTGATGGGCTGTGGATTTTCAATCCGACACAAAAACCGACTGGATCTGCCAACTTATAGGGCATCGATCACATCGGGGTATGTGCCTGTATCCATGTATACCTGTTGTAATTTTTTGACGACTTTTTACACGCGCGCAATATAAATTCCGTTCGGCGGATGACAATCTCTATGAACGTTATATATTAGTGCGATGCCAATATTGTTAACTCTTAACTTTAATCGTATCGGCCTGGTTAGGCAAAGTTGTTGACTTCCTAACTCGAAAAAATCTTGTTGAAAGCATCTCGCATGTTTTTGTTGTTTTTAATAGGCAAAAGGGCATTGTTGATTTTAACAATGCCAGTTTGAACCGCACTGGTGACTATTGTTACGCGATTTTCCGAACGAACGGAAAATAAATACATGTCAGGAGAGGGGATTGAAACTATCGAGTTCCTCTTTCTCGTTTCGAGCCAAATAAAATTTTTTCTCGAAGTTCGTAACTTGTTATTAATGCACCGTGTCATAATATGCCGCAGCAATAAGTTTTCAATTTGATCACAAGAAGGGGGTATTACTTCACATTTACAGAAAAGACGGAAATACATATAAAGAAAAAGAAAAGCGGTATTTGCCAGTCTGAAGCATAAGTTCGAAATATAATTTAATTTCTTGCGCCATAGTCTGAAAATTTACTAGAGCATTGCCGCCCTCCGAATTTTAGGCCGTATGAATTCAACGTGCCGACGTTTTTGTCTCGTTTAGGAATTACGGTTCGATTTTAATTAAATAAAACTAATAATGAAAACACTTCATGAAATATCAGTAGATACTTAAAAAAATGCGCCCATACGTTCTTTCTGTAATGCCCGCAGGTGAATTTCCTCATTTCCATGCGAATCAATAATCAAAGAAGCTTTAATTAGCATTTCCTTTTGAGCAGATTTTTGAGGATTTTGTCGGTATGTTTCGCTTCGAATCACAGAATTTAACTCCTTGGGAATGTTCTAAATTTTTTATCATCTCCAATTCAAGGTTTACCGAAACACCACTAAACGAGCATTCTATTTCTGTCTTACCTCGTCAGTTAGCCCACTAAAACCACCATCTTAACTCTTGCTTGGTTAGATCCTGTGACAAGCGTCATGGAAACCGAACCACTTCGAATTTTCCAAAAAATTCACTTAGACACAATTTTCCTCAGTGCGTTGTCTGATGAAACGAAGTTTTTAAGAGGATGTTGTCAAACCTCTTTATTACATTATGTATAATTAAGGAATTTGTCTTAAAAGCTTTAACTTACGATAAGGAAATCATTTTTCTCCAAACGCTCTTATATCGGTAAAATAGCAAAAATTATCCATCATGTTTTGTATTGCTTGCGACACTGCCTTTTTTCCTTCTGAGCCTGTGTTTTGAAAAAAAAATAGTAATGTATACACGAAAACGCGTTTGGACACGTTTGGAATAATTTCTGCCTCAATAGCTTCAGTTTGATTCTTGGTAAATATTTGCATAGGGACTGACTGAATGCTGATGACTATTAGTAAGATAAATATGTGGTTTCTGTAAAAACCAGACGCTGTTTTGCATAAAACAATTCTTCAGCCGCGCTCACCTCTCAAGGCAGAGAGGGGGCGGGAATTCTTTAACCAAGGCTAGCCTTTGCGGCGAAACATATGCATGCATTTTCGCCTCGTCCAACCACTTTTTGAAAATCACTTGTGACTATATTATGAAGGCTAGCTTTATCTCACTAGATTCTTTTTATCGCTTGAAATACTTCTGGATTAAGAATATGACCATGTTCATATACCTCGTGAATTTGAAGTTTGTATGAAATTGTGGAAAAACTGACTTCTCCTCCCGCCAAGGAGAAACATTTTACGGGAAGGGGGGTTTAAGACCGGTCGATAAAGATGCATGTTAACCTGACGAACATTGCAAACATCACTCTTTTATATTTTAAACATTTTGTACATAAATCCTTGGTAAAATTGACCAGTGATTTCAACGGCGTGGGGTTGATTTAACATCAAATGGAGTTTTACCTAAGTAACGACTTGGCAAAATACAAGTATGCCTTACTATTATGAATTATTACTTTTTCACACCGGCGGGGAACTAACGTGCACCATAGCCCGCCCCCCCCCCCCTTTTCCCCTTCGCTAGTAACTATTTTCTTCCCCACCCCACCCACCTCCCTCAACCAATACAACCATCCCCTTCTGTTTATAACTTACCTTCATATCGTTTCAACTTTCATGCGGCTCTTAAAGTTCACTAGATCTTCAGCCTTAAAGATGGTTTAACCAATTGCAGTTGATCATGTATGAGCGCACGATTCAAATTCACCTTGCTGACAGAGTTAATTATTATTAACCCTTTAACTCCCAAGATCTTTTTAGTGATTCTCCTTACTCTATGCTATACAATCTTCTGATGTTACTTATGAGAATTTGGTATTGGATCATCTAATAATCCCATAAGTGATAATTTTCTTGGTTCTCATCACTTGTCTTCTTGATTTTGTATCGATATTGTAAGGAGAAATTCTGTGTTGGTCACTCATGGGAGTTAAAGGGTTCATTAGAGAACGTATCTCTCTCTATGCGTTAAGTCCATCAAAACCTCTTTTACTAAACATACGTTTTACGTTGAAAACCTGATTTTATGTCTAGGTTGGACCCCAGGACGAGACCAAGACACTTTTCACGCGGCAAAAAGTCCCCTTTCTTTAATCTCGAGGCAAACAAGTGTTTACTTCTCAATTATTATTATTTTTTATATGGATTCTGCTAGACATTTTTAACAATAAACTTTCACATTACAATAGTGGATGCATTTTCGAAATATCCTCCTCTTAAAAACACTTCAGCGATTCGGTTACTAGTGTTTGCACACCCTGATTGGCCAGTTCAATGTGATTAGTGAGTTACATTCACCTCTGTATGAGCAAGCGAAGAGACAAAACCGCTCGACAAGAGTTTAATTTCCGACCTCGGTATATCGACAGAAAAAAAACAATTTTTTGGTTTCTGTGTAAAATATACATAAACATTTATTGACCACAGTTTCGGTTAAAGGTGAATTTATATCGAGCTGCTTTAAAGCATTGGTAACAAGGACGTGACCGCAGTGGTTGGAATGAAAACAAAAAAATAAAAAAAAGATGTTCGCAAAGATTCCATTGGATTTAAAAAATCTCTTCGCATCAAATATTGGCCATAAGGAATGTTTGCCCATATGTTTCCAATATGAATGTTTTTCAAAACAATTCGTACGTGATTGAACTCAAATCGCCATATGTACAGGTCGAGGCACATGCTTTCAAAGCTATATGAGGCACAGCTAAATGTACTGCTACATTAGCAGTACATTTTAAGAAGCACCAAATATATCGAAAAATTCGTTTTAGGCACGCTGATCACGCTAAGAAAACATCTAATTCAATCGTTCAGCTTTTAAAGGAGCTCTGCCTAGATTTTAATGAGTTCTTTTCTCAAAACCAAATATTTTCAGAAATGGATGTCTGATTTAAATTTCTTACGCTTTGCAATTTGCCATGTCTACAACCTGAATTTATTTTTGATTATTCGTAATAATTTGTACGAGATTTTACATACGGTAAGAGTCACGTTTGGAAAAAGTGGCGTGTTACGCAAGTTGAGTGTTGTCGATATTTTGGCATTAAAAAGTTTCTTATCTTTATTTCTTTTGTTGTTCCTACAGAGCAGCCGACGAATATCGTTTTTTCACTTTAATGCTCTACTATTAAACATTCACCGCCACATAGGCAGCGTTTCAATATTATACCCGTAAAAATTCCGAATCACACCGAGACTGCTTCGTGAAATGCAAAGCTTATTTTATCGCTTTTTTGAGTTAAATGTACATTTTTGGGGGCTCGAGTATTAGAGGGGACATTTTATTTTCATTTTCTTATCTAAAATGTTTATCTCAATAGAGAAAACGAAAAAGGTTCCCGTTGACATTTTGAAGTTTTAGGACTTTATCCCGAGATCAATATTTTGGAGCGAGAGAACGTAATCGGAGTACCACGTTCTTAGTTAACAAAACTGCAGTAAGGAATTTACCGAACGGGCTCTTAAATAACGAACAAGATTGAACTGATTTGATTTAAGACGTTCCTGGCATCTGTTCACCATACTTTTGGATTTCACTGAATTTTATTCCTATTAAGTAGGTAATTGAATTTAAATCGCTGAAGCGGTATTTCAGATCGCAGAATTGACCTCAAATGCTAGCGAGGAGAGCGTTAGCACGATTTGCCTTTCGACGGTTTTTAGATCGTAGTTTTGAATTATTTGTACGTGTTTGAGCAGTCGTAAAACTTCTAAAGTAGAGTCTTTGAGGAAAAAGCAGAATGTTCAAAACCGATTTCCTTTATTAAAAGTACGTGCTGTACGCAATATAGTCTTATCTGCGGAGATCTTTTAAATTACGAAATAGCTTTTCGCAGGAACATATTTAAGATTGTGATGACAAATTAGGCCAAATTATCCGTAGATAACTAGTTGAAGCTCCAAAGTTACAGCACAACATCTTCAATTATTCTGCTCTATTCTTGATTTTTGATATTAGCATTTAAAAACTAAGTTCATGAATAAGAACCACGAGAATATCTATATTCAGCCGGGAATATCAGTTGATATTCTCTTGATGAGGACTGAATCTTGCTCCTGCTCAATTAGTTCTAAATCTGTTCTCTCCAATATTGTCATGAATACTTAACTTTCGTTTCAATTATTTTTTTCCTTTTTGTTTTTTATTTTACAAAATTGTACGTCTTTTTGTAAACACGACTTCTACAGTCTATTTATTGGAGGGGAGAGTCGTTATGTGGGTTTCATTCCAAATAGATCTGTGGCTCTTTTCTACAAGCCACAAAAACAAGCCACAACAAGTCCCTTTTAATTTTTGATGAGATAGACACTCTCGAGGACTGCTTCCAATTTTCGTTCGCATCTACTCCGTAACAAGTTACCGGGATCCGCCTCATTTCATCATCAAGTCACGAACAATAGCATTAATAGGAATGCCGAGGGCTCACCGCAAAATATCAGTTATATTCCATCCTGACATGTAGTTTTCCTCAAATTGTCGACGAATGGAATTAATTCAGAGACTATGCGGGTAAACATCCTCTAGTTAGGGCTTTCTCCAAAAGCTTTCAAAGGAGAAGGGTAAAAACCGGAAACAGCAAAGAGAAGTAAAAATTTGCGTGCTGTGACTATTCTCCAAATTAGACTTCCTGTTGTGAGTGTTTGATTTCAGTTCATTTTTTTTGTGAAATAAAACGTTATCTGCGGTTGGAATGCCGTTTGTCTGTCAGCAAGGGCTGGTACATCCATCGCAAACTTTGGCAACAGCAAACACGAGTACTATCGATTGTCATAGGTTTTATTCAAGGAGCAAAAGTCAATGTTTATGTTTAACATATGTGAAAATCAACAAGGTTAATCGGAGCGTGTGGAACCTTTCTGTGTTTCAAATAGCGAGCTATTTACGGTAAGGGGCATTCTAGAAATAGAACACGATCTTTGATTGAAAGGTATGCCAAGGTGAAAATTTGGCAAATGTTAGGACCACAGGTACCCAAGCTCACGTCATGAATTAATCGCTGGCTTTTTCTCGAGACGTGAGTTTGGGCAGCCTGTGGTTAGGACGCGAGCTTTCATCGGCTGTCTATTAGTTGTGCCATATATGTTGACTTATTTCAAAACGTGATTATAATGAAAAAGTATAGCCTTTTCAGGACACGATGTCATCCCGCCAAAATTGGACATTTCCGATGATACATTCAAGAGACACGACCGCCATAGCTCAAAATTAGAAATTCAACACCACAAGAGTGCATCTGAAATACAGCTGCAACATATGTAAAAGTGTGGTTTTTTTGAAGATCGGCTTCATTCATCAGATCTTCATCGCCGACGAAGCAAGGCCTGTCTTCCCTGCAGTGAATATGGCGACGTTTCTTGCCTGCACGGGATTTCAAAAGTAGGTGTAGATTTTGCCAAGGTGCTTATTTTCTGCCTCCTAGTGTTGTTTATTATTTGTTTATGTCTAGTATGTTGCACTTGCGGTTGAAGATTAGTTCCGAAACTTGAGCGAATTTTGAAGGCAGCAACTTAGTGTGTCTAGGGAGAAAATTGTAGCGTTAGAGAGAAGGCATCCAAAACAAATGGTGTTTGGCATTAAAAAGGATTTTTAAAAGAAAGCCAATCGTTTTGATCGAGGAGAGGTCAAACCTCTTCATTAATAGCTGTTTATTTTCCCAACTATTTGCGAAGGTTATTATAAGTTGGCTTCGTTAATAATTAATTCCCCGTCAGCATGATGAGGCAACCACTCAACTAAGTTCCAATTACTGGATTTCTAAATCAATTTCATCTTGGTTTTCTTGTTTAGGAAGGATTCTTTGAGTACGACAATTCAAATCTTATGTAAGTCCTCGGGTCATAGGGCAACAAATAAATCTCTTGATAACTATTAACAGGATCAAACACTCACATGATCCTTTCAGCAATTCTTCTGTTTCCCTCTGCTTTCATTCTCCAAATATTTTCCACATAATCATATGATAGCACATACTTTTTAGTATTTTTGAGCTATTTATGATTATTTCAGACAGGCATATTTCGTATTTTTAGTATTTTTGAGCTATTTATGATTATTTCAGACAGGCATATTTCGCTAAATAAACCTCACAAATTACAATTTTTCTTCAGTTCCGACGTTAAGCTGATTAATAGATATAGAACTCTGTCTTTGCTATCTTGTCACGTCAAATCCGTCGCTGTTTCTTGTCCAGCTTTCATCGCTGCAAGGACTCTGAACCGAGAGTTATGAATCAGTCAAGTCCTTTGTGTTCCAGAGCAAGACACATTGTTCTTACCGTGCCTCTCCTCTCCTACGACTAAACTAAGATAGGTATTGGCAAACTGTTATGGCAACCTGACAAAATGCTGCGTAGCGGGGGTAGGGGGGAGGGGAAAGGTTTGTTATTCTAGACTGAAATTTTTCTCCAGGAATCTGCGAGTTCATCAAACTGGCAAATTTTTATTGGCTGTTGACAATAAACAACAATTCGTATTTCAAGGTCCAAGCAATTTGGGTTCATCCGTAGACTTTTGTTTGTTATCTTTTGTTTAGTAAGTGCATAGCATGATAAATGAGACCAAGTGAAACACGATAACAATTTGAAAACTGAGAGAAACTTTTTCCTTCACATTAGTTCACATCAGTTAACCCTTTTACCCATATAAGTGACTAACATCTAATTTCTCCTTACAGTATCGACCCTGAATCAAACATTGAGGTTATAAGAATACAGGAAATGATCATCCACTGAAGAATTTCATGATTGTTGGACAAATTCTCCTTTTCAGCACCATAGGGAATGTATAGTTAATAGTATGGAGAATATGCATACTGATGTTAAGGTGTAAAGGTTTAACAAATTTCGCTTCTTGGTTGACAGTAGATCTCACGTTAACCGCAATGTAATTGAACAAAAACTTATACAAACTTCAGTTTACTAAAAAAATCAGAAACATTTTTAACGCAGCAAATTGATTCTAACATTTCACTACGTCAGCTTTTTAAAAAGAAACAGATTCTAGCTACAGGACAACCCCAAAGCATTTAGCCTACGTGTAGCCGTACCCTTCCCCCAGGTGAAATTGAAGCTTCCGTTTCATCTGGGGGGAAGGGGGAGGGGGAGGGACGGCGACACGTAGCCTGCAAAGCATTTAACATTTAATCCCTGCTTGAGTTACGCGCTCAAGATTGTTCAATCTTTATAGGCTCAAGGTATTGCGTTTGACTGAATTGCGTCAAAACCTCGTATAATGGCATTTAGCCGTCTACGCCTCCTTGTAGGCGGCAATTACACCAAAGTAACTAAACTAACAAGTCTCTCAGACGAGTGACAGTCACACACTAGCCCCATTAAAACAGCAATCTGCTGATATGGATGTTTTCATGTCATGATGACCTCTCGTGATCGACATACATCGGGCAGCTGAGTTGAAGTTTTAACCTCACGCTTTAATACAGAGACTTTTTCTTGCCTGAAGCTTTGAAATTTACGTTCAAAGTTCAAAAGCATTTTCTCCGGCTCCCAGAAGACGAGTTGTACCGGCGTGAGACGGATATCAGTTTTTTTCCAAAGGCCCCAACTGCCTGCTGATGGCTGTAATTCTATCTTGTGTAGGAGTTCGGAAGTAAGTGTTGTGTTTTGTTTTAGCTTTTATTCCGGTCGTATAACGAAGATATACAAAAATTTATATTTTGAATGATTTTTTGTATTGATATCAGTAAGTTCTACACAGATTCCACTCACTGAGAGTCATTTTCAGATGAATATGGTGTTAACACTCAAATAGTGCTTTACGGGGCTATTTGATTCAACCTGAAATATTTCGTACAGACAGCGTTGAGTAGCCTGATTCCGGTGGTAAAAATTCATCTCAGAAGCCTTTAGCCGGTTTTCTTTTTTTAAATCTATTCTCTCTTCTCTATTTGGATTAATTGTTTGTCGTCAGTTAATGCTGCTTTATTTAACTTTGAACTTACCGACGGATTTTTCAAATCTGGCAATCACTCATGACAGAGCAGAGTCGTATCAGAGATCACCGTGTAGAAAAATAAGAAAAAAAAGACAGAAATTTGTTTTTGATTTGGGAAAAAGTAAGATGGAACTACGACTGAAAACGGTGAATATAGTTTTTTCTTGAGCCAAGGAGAAAAAGTTTAACACAATTTCAAATGGAATAATGAAGAGCTGAAAGATTGGATTGTCGTAAGTTGTTCTCTGAAGTACTTTGTTATTAGTAGTTTTTTTTACGCAGTTCGTACCAATTAAGTGCTAAAGGTCAAAAGACGCCAACATAAGGAAAACAGAAAAATTTGGGCGAAACTGACTTTTTATGCGGAACCGTACTTGAGAATTCACAAATTCCGAAATGATCTGATTGTATCTTCCCCGAGTCTTAATGGAATTTACAGACAGCGTAACGAGAGCTTTCAGTTTCGTTTCCGAGCTGTATGACTGGCGAGATTCCTCCCGTGACGGGATAGTGGTTTCGATGGTAGTTTCAAATCAATTTATCCTCTCGGTTCCTTGTGTTTTTCTTTTGATATTTTCTTTTCAATGGAATCTGTCGTAGGCGTCAAAATCCTGATTTCAAAATGCCAGCACAATTTATGAAGGGATAATCTCCTACCCTCAACGAAATACAGAGAGCGGAAAAAAGAAACACCGCCCTTTTGACGTAAAGGCCGTTTATCCTTTCCTGATATTCATTAGTCTAGACAGTGGTTTAGGGGGAAATTTGCCTCTTTCTGCTTGGTAACGGTACATGCCCTTTCACAGCAATGTCAGTTTTCCAACCCTAACTTACCGGTTACACAAAATAACATTACCAAAATTACGCAGTCGCGTTAATCAAAAGTTCATTAGCGAAGCACGCGAGGGACTGTTCTTTATATTCCGTGACAAATTGAAGATAACGAGGTTGAGAGAACGTGAGACTGAATGCACTGTCGAAAATTGAGGAAATAACATCATGTTAAAGACGTTTTGATGACATCATTCTTACGATCGTGATCTTTTTACCTGTCAACACTTTCAAGTTCGAAGTTCAGCGAAGTTTAAAGCTCCATATCAAGTGGATAATTCTAAAGTTCAAAATTCACAAAGAGACCATCAGCGCAAAACTTTCAATATTTACGTATGATGCACCTATAATATTTTTTCATGCTACAGCTCTCATATCAGCTCATTTCACTGAGCAGAGTAAGAATGGAACTCCACTGGTGATGAATTGGTCGAACAGGCACGGATTTATCCAAGCTTTGTTCCATGTCATGGATATTTCAGAAATCATTTCTATTCTTGAATTCTGCTCAAAAACCCCATGCCTGGTGGACTGGACGATCAAGACTTTAATCAGAAAAAAAAATATCGTTAGTCACCTCAACGCCATCTAAAACGGTCTGCAAAATTTTCCTTCTATTCCACGAGGCGTCAGTTCTATATGTCGGAGATTCACTCTATTTTCAATAACATCGCTGTATTTTCAATTGATTGTTTAGTTTTAATGGTCTACTAGTTCTTCAACGTAGCTTTTAATTTTTGACCTTTGGGTAGTTCATATTTCGGTCACCTATTTCTCACTAACGCGCGTTCGCTACATCAAGAGAAAATAAAGGTCTTTTTAATTTCTCGTCATAGACATTCTGATACAAAAAACTGGAAAATTTAAATATTGGAACAGTTTGCTGAGGATGAGAGGTGACAGAACTTAAATAAGGAACAAGCTTGAGGGCGGTTTAGAAAAAAGTTGATCGACTCGATTTAAACAAAAATTAAATTTCTAAGTTAAAGTATTACAGATGCTCAAGCCGTTTTGATGCTCTTTAAAGCTAAAACGACTGAGCATCACTCCGTGAAAAATCTTAAGTTTATTATTTTTTTGTCTATATCTCCTTTTATCAAGGTTAAAACCACAAGAAACAGTATTTCTATCACGTCGGAGTCGGAGAGTGTCCGACCATCTGGAAGATGAAAGAGATTCATCAGAGCCGCAATGGCTGTTCCCAGATAACATCTGGCTTCGCATATTTTCCTATCTGTCACTGCAAGAAAGAACTCAAGCTTCTTACGTTTGTCAACGATGGAACAATCTTTGTAAGGACTCTTTATTCTGGCGCGAAGTGGACTTTAAATTTTGCGGGGCTGCTCAGCCAATAACGAACGAGACAGTGAAAGCTGTAACTTCATATTCAACGGGGATCCAAAGTATTGACCTGTCAGGTGACCACTGTAAGCCAATCACTGACGAGGCCATTGGTCACGTGGCACGTTCCTGTCCGCGCTTGCAGAGACTGAACATAGCTGGGCGAACAAAGGTTTCTAACCGAGGGCTCACTGTAATCGCGAGGAATTGTCCCCTCTTGAAAGAGCTGGACGTAGAAAAATGCCACGAGATCAGCAACAACGGAATCAAATCAATTGCCAGTCGGTGCCGTGAACTAAAAAGTCTCTCGGTGGCGAGATGTCACAAAATTACCGATAAAGGGATGTGTTTTGTGGCACAGGAATGTAAGAATTTACAACGTCTTAGCATCGCAGGTTGCAGCAGAATCACGGATAAAAGTTTGACAACTCTCGGAAAACACTGTGACTTGTTACGAGACATTAACCTTAAAGACATTCAAAGCATTACTTCTTATGGCATTGAGAGACTGGTCAGCGGCAACCCGAATTTGACGCATGTGCATTTGGGGATTGTTCAGGACACTAAAATCACTATGGCGACTTTGCAGATTATTGTCAAGCATTGTGAAAAATTGGAGTTTCTGAGTTTTCAGCATTTTCATCGGGCTGGCGTTGTGACCGGAGGGGTACGAAAAGTAAACAAGAAAAAACTTGGCGCTTTCATCAACAACCTCAACGCCTGTGTAGTTTCAAACAATAACCGATAATTCAACAAAATGAACAACACAATTCTTGATGCGCCAAAGTCCGGTTTTAACGGACGGAAAGGCTATATTTTCAGTCCAACGAAGACGAATCAATATCGCTGATCAGAATGATCGAATGGATTCGAGTAGTCACTGTCGATTGCGATGGAAAAGTTGGCTTACACACACTTTTAAGTACAAATTTATATTTCTTTCTGTTCCAAGAATGCATAAGAAACGGTCCGTTTGTCATTAGCTAATGGCTTTCTTCGGTTTTGCTTTCAAGCATGAAGTCCAGAGTGACGAGACTTTCAGTTCGTGTGTCCTTTCTAAAAAGTGTGAGGAAACAATCGAATTGTTCATAGAGAGATAACTTTTAATACTTCTTTTTCTGATTTGGGAAGATCCATTTTTAGATTTTCTTTTGGTAGTATTTTACGCACTGTCAAAAAGTAAAAGTCAATGTATAACTAAACTTTTTTTACTCTAATTATCAAATTGATCATGTCAACCTCCACATTATTCATATTAATGTGAAAAGAATTCATTTATGAATTATTAAAATGTTGAGTAGATCTACATAAAGCAAAACTCTTTCCAGGTGAATTTGCTTTCGTTTTTTTTGAGTAACAAGGGCAAGCTATAATGTTCAAAGGGGAAGGGCATAGTTATTAATTTCCGCGCGCCTTATTTTAAGTGACTTACCCCACTGTTTCACCTCGTGTATCAGCGGGTCCGTATTCGATGATGAGAAAGAACTAAAAATCTGACACTTGAAAAGATTAACGCGTTAAATTTGTGTTACTGACTTTAAAAAAATTCATCTCACAAAGATGGGGGGTCAGTGACAACCTAACAGCCCTCTTACCCTTGTTACGCCCCTGTGAAAGATTAATGAGTTTTCTCTTCTTTCACAACAAGTTTGTCTAAGAAAGGTTGCCTGTCTTGCGCTCTACCTTCTCGCCTTTCAGAAACCAAATTAATGTCTTAGACCAAGGAAATAAAAAAACCCCCAAAAAGCCTCAGAAGGGGGTTGGAGGATTAGTATAGGGGATCACATGGGGAACGAAGGGGGGGACCAGTGGCGGATCATTCGTCGTCAACAGAGTTTAAAGGGGGGGAACTATAGAAAATTTACTGCCAGGGAGGGGTGGGTTATAAGAATATTATAGAGACTTATGAGGGAATAAGGTTAGTTTTATCGTGAACAACCAAATTGCTCTAACACCCCCCTCCCCTCCCCCAGGCAATAAATAATGACCGGTCCCAAAAAAGTAACATAATTTTATTATGAAAACCTGCCGTTAATTATCGTATTAAAGCTAAAAATATACGCCCTAATTAAAAAATATTGTTTACTTGTTTATAAAATTCGGTTCAAAGTCGATTAAAAATGAAGGAGGGCTTTTAAAGCGTGAAAAAAAGATTCTTACGCATTTTCCACTCTGAGAAAGATGCCATTTCTTGGCGATAGCATAACCCCTGTATGTAAGGCCAGTGGAACTTGTGTTTCTGGTGACTGAACGAACTTGTATTTCATCAATACTTTCGCCAATGCGATCTTTATTTCCATCAAGGCGAACCTCATCGCGATGCAGTTTCGAGGACCTGCTCCAAAAGGCAAAAACTGGTACGAGTGACGAGTGCCTTCGTTTTTCTCTCGGAATCTGTCCGGATCAAACTTTTCGGGATTCGGCCAAGCTTCGGGATCATGATGAATTGCGAACGTTGGAATTATCACTTCCATTCCTGCTGGGATGTGAATACCTTCAATGTCATGATCTTCATGGCAGGAGCGATTCATTTGAAATATAGGCGGGCATAGTCGGAGAGATTCGTTCACGACGCAATCAAGGTAATCGATGTCTTGGGCGATATCGAAGATTGACGCCTTTGGATTTGACTTTTGTGCCTCTCGAATTTCTTTTCTTAACTCATTTTGGACTTGAGGATTCGTTGCCAGGAAGTAAGTGATAAAGGCCATGGAATTGCTTGTGTTTTTGTAGCCGACTAACAAAAAGAAAACCGACTGAGCAACAAGTTCATCCTCAGAAAGTTTACTGGCCTCGTCAGCTGCCTCATTGGCGGTCAACATCAACTGTAAAAGGTCAACTCTTCCGTTTGTTCCCACTTCAAGGCGCCTCTTTATAATGTCCTTTGCCAGGTCCTCAAAGTATTCGCCTTTTACTCCTTTTAAGTGATTTATGAAACGAAGTAGGTAACTTCCAAATGGAAGGCGATGAAGAACACGTAAGGATGAGGGGGCGCCAAAAATCTCTCGCGCTTTGCGCAAAATCTCGCTGTTTGGGTCTGTTTGGATCGCCGCATCCACGCCAAACGCAGTGGACAGGATGAGCTCGAGAGTAAGCTTGCTAAACCAGTTGGACACATCCACACTGTCACCTGAAGTGAACACAATATCATTATAAAGAATAAGAGTGATTTAAACTATGAGTTCGTTGTCGTCGAATAAAAAGATATGTTCTATTGGTCGGGAGCGTAGGTCAGAGTCCTCCGTTAGGTTTCGAATCTCAGAACGTCAAATTTCGCGGGATACGCGATTCCGACTTAGCCTCAGAGAGCACGCCAAGGTACTAGGTTGTGAATTAAAGCAATTTCTTATCGAGTGTGGAAGATAATCCAGGATTACTTTGCTGTTAACTTTATTCGCTATGTGATTGGCCCAGAAAACTCATGCCATCCTTTCAACTAATAAGATTCTAAACAAAATATCAAACGCGACTGGGTCACTTGCGTTTTCCCGCGCTTCAGGCAGCTTGCTTATTTTTATTTTGGGTTCTCATTGGTTCTTTGTGATATTTCTTTGTTCTGATTGGTTGTTGTAATTACTATGGTTTTGATATCACAACATTTCATCGAACTGCACTCTGTTTTCAAAAGAGTAAAAAGTAAAAAGAGTAATTCTGATTCTCGTAAGGGGGTTCGCTCGTTTTCTTTACTTTGCCCTATTGAACAAATTTAAAACCTCAGTTTCGGAGCCTCATCCCCGTTTTACGGTCAATCTGCTGCTCCGAGATGTTGCCGGTCATATTTGTTAGAAATCAACTGATCGAAGCGAAAACCCTTTCAGGTATCTGTCTTGACAATTTGCAAGTGTAAATTTGTAGTTTGCTTTCATTTATACTCCTAGGTAAATAAACTTCATTATGAAGATATATAATAGTTCACAAGGCAATCAGGGGACAATCAGACATGGTTTGATGCTATACTGATGTAAAGATTTAATGAATGTAACTGAGAAGTTACAATTCATGGACCCAACGTTTCAACACTCCTGTCTAGTGCCCTCATCACACCCCTGATGAACGCAGTGTTGCAACATTAGGTTTATAAATTGTAACTTCTCGGTTACATTCATGAAATCTTTAAACCAGAGTAACATCAAAGCACGTTTCATTGCACAGAATTTCCGGCTTTGGATGCACTGGGACCGATCCGGAATCTGACATACTAAGTGTTGGGCCATCGTGTGTCCGGCCCAAACAGAGGTTACAGATTACAGAGTCCACTAAGCATCTTGGTCCAATCTAAGGAGTAGCATAAAAGGAGATGGGGTAGGAGGGGTCTTTGGGTGCATATTCTCCACTCTTTGTCAATAAATTAATGGTTTCGAGAAAATTTGGCCGAAGCAAATAATTATCCACCAGATATCCTTCTAACCTACTACTGTAAATAAATGTCTAAGAACTCTCCTAGAAGCTTGGATGTTTCTTAAAAGCTAAAGTACAATCAGTGATCTCTCACCAGTAGCAGCAATTCTTTCAAGTTTCTCCATTAGCACGTCGCATGACTTCTCGATCAGTGGCACCATCAGCTTCATTTTTCCCGCACTGAACGTAGGCGTCAACATGTTGCGGATTTTTTTCCAATATTCGTCACGTGCAGCAAATATGCTTCTACTGAATCGAGCCGGTTGTTTCCCAGGAATGTGATGATTTCGAAAATTGGAAAAATCCTTCACAAGGATCTGTTTAAGTACTTCAGGGTCTGCAACGACGAGGGAAGGTTTCCTACCCAAAGAAACAGCGAACACCTTTCCATAGGTTTTAAGATAATCCAGCATCATTAAATGTATTCCACGGTACTTTTTCAGATCTGGAATGTTTCCTACAAATGGTTTTGGTGCAGGACCAGGAACATTCATATACTTGAGGACAGAAAATCCACAGGTGCCATACCAGTACAGAAAAAGCACGAAAAAAAGTGTGGACAGAACCGTGACAGCACCAAACGTGACAAAGCCAGACAGAAGTAAGTCAGCCATCGCTAAATCTGTGCTTTACTCTTATCACTAGAAGAAGTGGTGATAAAATACGCATATAAGTCGGGCCACAGGGCGCTGGCTTTACCGCTCACTCCCCTCAGAAAAAATTTTCTAGCTACGGCCTTGATAAGGCGCCTAAGAACAAAACACAATGCCCCAGGCCGGCTTCGAACCAGAGGTCAGTTCATCCCAAAGCGCAACCTCAAGGGCATGACGCAGTTGTAGCATCAGATGATCTTTTCCCCGATTTTACCCCAAGCTCTTCGTAAGAGAGCAATCAGCTAAACACAAAAGTTAGTGGGTAAGAAAGAAGCTACGTTAGGTCATTACAGTCTCGGACGATGCGATCGAAATGATTTAACACAAACGAGAAACATGTCACGTCATCTTGATGCAGCAAAATTCTTAAAAATCATCTATGATTATCCGACCAAAGGCAGAAGATAAAACCCTAAAAATAACCGCTTTGAACTACCAAAAATAAATGATAACTAAACGAAATGTCAGATTTAAAAAAAAATTATTATTGCGTGCTAATACTACCTGAAAGTGATTCCTTGCGAAAATAATTGTATTTCTCGCCTGGTGGTTGTCACTCTAGCCTCGTTCTCACGTGTAACTTGAAAACCCGCTGACCAGTTTTGGAACGACACGGGAAGTCGAAAAGATGGGCAAGGCGACAGAGGATCAGCTGCGTTTGATGGTCATGAATAGAGAACGCCTTTAAAAGGACTTTTCCTTTCATCCGGTAAGAGGTGCATCTCATAGAATAATACCTCTCCTTCCTTCCTAGTGCTGTATGACCTCGCGTATATTTTTTGTGTCTCTGATCCATAGGCGGGGGTTGAAAGTTGTAGCACACTGCGGTGCTGGATCGGAATGTCGACTGGAGTCGTGGAAATTATAATTTTATAACGTACACTCTCGATCGTAAGCTTAGAATCTGCCGAAAGCTCTTCAACCTTCACACTGAAGGGTCCCTGAACAAATGTTTCATAGGTTGAGCAAACAAAAATGACGGAAGGTAGGCAATGTTATGTGTAAATAAGTGTAGTGTTTCGAACTTATCAATTTGTCCATAATGACAACAGTATGCAAGTTTTGACGCCATACCAATTTGATTACTAGCAAATGGTACGCTTTTAAGCTTCTTTATCCATCATGTTGGATCTTTATCGTGTTGAAGATTAAATCTGTCTTCGGTTAAACTGTCTTCGTTGCTCTTAGATCTTATGTCGTTCCATCCATCGTTTTCGTTCATTCATTTCCTCACACGAGGGCCTTTCATTTTCGATTCAAACACTGCTCTGTGACCATTGATCAATATTTTATAAGCTATACTGCGTTCTTTTCTCTTCAATAATTTTAGAATTAGCAGAAGACGGTCGCTGTTACGAAACAATCGAACAACCGGTGTGGAAGTCTTATTGTAAGTAGGTTAATTCTGAATAATCCCAAACATTTAGTGATCATGTATGTTAACACGAGCACAGCCTGTGTGGAATTAAGTTTCAGCCTTTACTTGATGACACGTGTGTTTTGAAAACAAACTTTTGTATTTGTTTGCCAGTGTACAGACTTCAACAGAAAGCCCCCAAGGCAAGAAGAATTGTGTGTACGAATGAGGTAGAGAATCGTTGTTAAATTTTCTCCTGTACGAACAATGGTTTGTAAACCACGAATTGAAGGCAGCTCTGATAAAAACACCTGTTTGAATTTAAACAAACTGATTTTGTTCGCATACCGCGGTAAAATTTTCGCACAGCGCCATACTATTGTTAAACAAATCTGTTTCCCAATGGCAATGTATTGTTTTTGTCATTGTTTTCTCTATCCAGGAACTGAATGCTTAATGTAGTATTTGGCTGTGCGGAAATTTTACTTTTGCCTGCACCCGGGCAATAAAACACATTTTCAAAAGTTGAGCTTAACAAGTGAAAACCGAATTTTTTAATTTTAATTTACCACAAATTATGCTTAGCGCACATGTTGAACATTCACAATTAGTGACAATTTAGTGACTTAATTTAAAAAATATTAGGTTTCACACCTAAATTTTACCTTAGACCAGCTTTCTTATAAAGTTTTTGATACTTTGTGATAATCAGAATATCATCACTGATTTGCATTTAGTTAACCAGTTATTAAAGAGATCAGATTATCTTCCAGAAGGAGTATATAAATCGCAGATAAATTTTAGTTCTAAATTAAACTTTTTTTATTCCCTTTGTGAGTTGTTTTTCTACCGAGTGCCAGTGGTATACCCTTGTAGCCTACCTTTCCATAATCAGAGTGGAATATTGGTACTACATTGGAAGTCCATTTTGAATTCAAAACTTTTAATTTGTCTTTGCGAGTGCAGAGATTCCAACCCTCCCGATTTGATCGGGAGTCTCCCGATTTGATGTCTTGCCTCCCGCTCTCCCGATTTTTACCAAATTCTCCCGATTTATCATAAAATTCTGAAAACTAGGGGAAAATTGCTAATCTTTAGAATTTTTGGCGATCTGTCACTGTGAAACACTCATATTATACTTACTTTCTTTGTGAAGAGCATTATGGTATGTTATAACTCAGGCCGGAATGATGTCAAAATTCAGGAAATGGCACTTGAGAGAACCTAAATTTGCAAATTTTCCCGGGGGCATGCCCCCTGACCCCCCTAGAAGTTCGCGCCTTTGGCACTAATAATTACTCCCTATTTTCCATCACATGAGGTTGGAATCTCTGCGAGTGAAAAAAAACTGCTATGTTCATTCCTTATTATGTTTAACTCATGCCTTTGTCTTTTTGTTTTTCCTCAGATACCCTTGAAGCCTGCTCATTATGGGAAAGAGTAAGTGTTGTCATTTTAAGTTTGTAAGGTTATCAGTAAGAATTATCAATTTGAAACTTTAATATAGGGCAATACCTTCTTCTTGGAAAGTTTTTGGGTTACTTTTGTCTCTACTAGGTTTCATGGATGTATATCACGCGAGGAAGCTGACAAACTTGTGTCAGAGGCAGATGGCTGCTACCTTGTGCGAGAAAGTCAGAGGTCACCAGGAAGTTACACTTTAACAATGAGGTAAAAATTAACTCTTTAATCCCTTAGAGTGATAAGCATCTAATTTCTCCCAACAGTATCACTCCTGAATCAAATATTAAGGTTATACAAAGAAAGGAACTCAAGAAGCTCTTGATTGATTGATGAATTCTCCTTGTTACCACCACTGGAATCGTATAGAGAACAGTATAGAGAATATGCATACTGATGTCAGGGTGTAAAGTGTATATATGGAAAGTAGAATATGGAGGAAGTAATTATTTGAGTTTCTCTGCTAGGTCAAGCAGTAGTTTCTTTTGGATAAGTGTTCGAGTATACTTTGCTTCAAAAAATATATATTTTGCCTCTGATGCACACATCTTTTTTGTCTATTCACTTCCCTTTCAGATTTGGTGGAATTTCAAAGAATTTTCGTTTGTATTATGATGGACTTCACTATGTAGGTAAGTGAATACTGTTTTCCTTTTTTCCTTATTTCTCCTCCTTTTTTACTCTTGTGCACATTTCTGTTGAAAAAGTGTGATAGTGACAATTTGTACTTTACATGTAGGGCTGACCCAATTATAAGGCTAACACTTTAACTCCTGGACCAAATTTGTAATTCTTCTTACTGTCAACCATACAATTCTTGTGATGTTAGTTCAGAGAATTCAGTATTGGATCAACTAACTATTCCCAAATTGATATTTTCTTTATTCTCATCACTTTCTGGTTGATATTATATTGATCTTGTAAGGAGAAATTCTGTCTTGGTCACTTATGGGAGTTAAAGGGTTAAAATCCAACAGCCATTTTTTTCCAACACATCCTTTTCATTGGAAATGATAAAGGTTTCAACTAAAAATGAGGAAATAGTAAATAAAGAGTGAACTCTTTGACTCCTAAGAGTGATTAGCATCTAATTTCTCCTTGCAAAATAACTTCTGAATCAAACGTGAAAGTCATAACAATAAAGGAAATGATTATCAACTGAAGAAGCTCTAGATTGTGTCACAAATTCTCCCTGTCAGCACCTTAGGAAATGTATGGGCAACAGTATCAAGAATATGCATACTGATGTGTGAGTGTAAAGAGTTTACATGTCAGAAAAAACAAACAAAAAATCTATCTCTTCAAAATTACTCTATATATTACACTGCAACAGCTGGTGCTGGATGTGAAACCTCTATCAGCATTATTTTAAATTACCATTTTGCGAATAAATTGTTGCTGATAGTTTGTGGAGTGGTTTTATTTTTATCTGGGATATGTGAATGATATGATCATCATAAGATATTGCCCATGTCTTTAATTGTAGATCAATTTGACTCTTATTTTCCAGATGGCAAATTTGATAATTTTTTCAATTTGTTAGGTTTGAATTATTGTTACTAACATGATAAAAAATCGAGACTTTCATAGGCTACCTTGGCTACCTTGTATTTGAAAATTAGACAATGAATTTACATTTTAAGAATCTTAAAAATGGTTTAGATTAACTTTAGGGTAATGACAAGACTTGTGTCTAGTTGTAATTTAAGTCCCAGTCTTGAAAGTCTTTGCTCAGAAGCAGTTCTTAAAGCGATTGAACTGCTCATGCCATATATCAGACAAATACTGCTTTCCAAGGGTTGTTTGGGAAAATCAAACATTTGCATTTTAAAATCAGCATTTTCAACTTCCTCTGCTAATTCTTAAACAAATTTATGCTATGTACATGTACATAAAAAAAAACAACAATTGTTAACAACACAACCAGTTGCCCAATGAGAGTTCACCAAGGTTCTGGTTGTGTTTAAAGTAATAAAAAATTAATGAAACAAGATATCTGGTTACCCATACTATTACAAGTAAATATTCCCACCCTTACATTATTAGTTTCAAGACTGAAGGCATTGAAATGTTTTGGCATGTGGCATTTGAGTTCTGAATGTTTGATGGAGGAAGAATTGAGAAATTTATCAAACAATAGTATTACATGTATGATGTAAAACCTCTTTTGGCTTTCTGTTGACAAAACTTAAAATGACAGAAACGTTACTGTTTGCTCTGTTTATGTATGTATGAATTGAAATTTTATATTTGTATGTACCGGTATATATAATCATTTATTTGCGGAAATTATCCTCAATCATTTTCGAGGAGGATTCTTTTAGTTGAAGCTATTGTTTTAAAACCATGCTTCAGTTTGAGATTTCTCTTTAAGTGGGCTTGACAAAAATAACCTTCAATGAAAATTCAAGCCCAAAAAAGTAGATATTCTTTTGTGTTTACTTCCTTGGGGGTTTGTTTTATTCAGAATATTCCTTTTTTGTTAAGAAGGCTGCCACAGCAGGAGTCTGCTTTCTATATAAAAACTTCTGTTTCTCTTGTTTTGTTTCAGCTTCTGCACAGCATTTGGAGCACAGGTGTTCAGCTTCATTGAATTACAAAACTCACACCCAGTTTTATTTTGCAACAGGGGAGAAGCGTTTTCAAACCATTCAGGATCTTGTGGCGGATGGTCTGATCACAATGTACATAGATACATACGCCAAGGACTATGTTGATACAATGATGATAAGTCCCGGGAAAACTGAGGCCAAGAAAGATGAGGGAAAACGAAGTGGTGGTGATATGAAAGAAAATAATGAACTGGCTAAAGAAACCTCAGATGCCTCAGGGAAAGACCAGGTTTGAATACATTATCTTGGTTTTGTTCAGCTTAATTTGGAACTGAATAATATTTCTCAGCTTGTAAAAGTGTTCTGATTTGTGAAAATCCCAATTAATGTGGACATTTCTGTTGTCAATGTGTCAGTCTGTAGTTTGAGTTGATTTTGGATTTTGTTACTTGTAGTTCTATGTTTTAGATAGCACAATATTTCAGCCTTCTTTGTTTGGGCCAAATTTAGCTTCTGTCATTACCTATGCAAACAAGTCTGACTACTGAAGCTGAAATAAAGCTAGACAGTATCTCATTGGTTTGTATTTTTTGTGAACAAATTTCACATTTTGAAGTCCAGTCCATGTGTTAATTGGGATTGTAGAAAATTAACGGTGAGATTTTGTTTTCTTGTGAGTAACCTAATGTTGAAAAGTCGCTAACTATAAACACTGTTGATGAAGACAAGTTGTATTAATTGTCTAAAATTACATGTGAATTCTTAAAATAATTTACCATTCTTAAGATATGTAAATCCAGGCTAAATCCTTTGTGATGCTCTATGCGGGTTGTAGAACTGTGAAGTTTGTAGTTTACAAAAAACTGATTAGTAGTCAACTTTGCTAAAGAAAAAAAAATGGGAAAATGGTTCTACTGGAACATGTATTTATGAGTGAGTTATATTTATGTATACAGTGTATTGAAATAGTGATTTATGAAGTAGGGCTGTTGCATTGGAAATAATATTAATATACAGCCAGTCTCTATTGTATCAATTTGTAATCATTAGAAGACCACACTTCTTGAATATTAAATGATCGACACTGTAATCTCTTTTCAAACACCAAAAATCTTAAAATAACATGTGGGTAGCTGACCTAAATATTATTTCTCTTAGTAGTTACATAATTTATCCTGCTTTCACAAGGTTTTCTTTGAGATAATTTTAAAACTGAAAACAGTGTTTCTCCATTATCCTTATATGAAGACTAACTAAACAGAAGATTTGTAACTTAACCAAAGAATTTGATTGACATTTTAAAATTCCTAATACTCAAGTTTCTTAATTAACAAAAATCATTATCCTATAAATTCGGGAGGAGGGAACAAACTGTAATTCTTGATAAAATATATTCATTGGATGTAGATCTTGAGATGAGAGAACTGTGATATTTGGCAAATTGAGTTCCTATGTATGTTAGTTGTAAGCAAACCTTCAAAGTTTAGTTAAAAAAAAAAGGTACAAGATACTTTGAATCTAAGACTTGTTTTATTCTTTCTCCAAAGCTCTTCCACTAAACAAGACTGAGTGATTGTATTTAGAAAAATTAATTCAAGAAGCTTTCTTCATGTTTTGATTAGAAAACTTAATTTAACCCCCAAGCCTTGCTTTCAAGGTGTAGATATGTGAAATTTAATGAAGATACACTCTCAAAGGGAGGCCATGGGAATGTCCATGGGTTAAAAAAAGGAAAAAAATAGGAGAAAAATGAAGTGTTTTGTTGGTTTATCATGATAAAATTCAAGGTTTCAGTGCTCACCAACAGCCTATAACAATCCTGTTCAGAACAAATTTTTTTCTAATAAGTTTTTTTAACTTTCATGTACACTCACTTTGAGTTGTTAGAAACCAGTATAGCAAGCAGCACAGCAAAGCCCAAGCAGCTGTGAGTTTGATTAAAAGAAAAAAAAACATGGGAACTGTGATGTCTCATTCCAATTCATTTTAACTGTGTTTGCATTAGATTATGACTCTTGTTTTTTCCTTTCTATAAATTATTTCCCCTCACTTCTTGGACACTTAAATTTTTTTTAACTTAAAGTTTGTTTTTCTAGCAGTAGACTTGGACTTTCACCTCACTATGTGAAATCAATAATAAAGAATGCATTTTTTCCAGAATTTAATCAAAGTTAGTGTTTTTCTAATTTAATAAATTTTTTTTTTATATTGGGGATGAAAGCTGATTTTTTTTTGGCAGGCTCTTTTTTTAAGGTATCTAGAATAACAATGAGATTCATTCAAGTATGTTCATTTTTAAGTATGTTGTAGTTCAGAGTAAATCCTCTGTCTAAAATGTTGTCGTCACCATAATCTTAAACAATTATCTGAAAAAAAGAAGCAATAAACAAAGTGGTTGAAAAGATTTTAAGCTAATGAGAAATGTAAACCACAAAAGTGTATGTACTGCTCAGGAAGAATGAAAGTAAACAGCAACGTATTGATTAATTTCTCTAATTTTGTCCTAAAAGACAAACATTTTGCTTTTTTTTTTTCCTCAATGGAAACAGAAACTACCAGTCACTACTCAGTAGCATGGTTTGATGCAATCTTCTTTCCCACGCTACGTCTATAAAAAGAAAACTTTTATCAGATAATAAACATTTTGTGGTTCTGCATTTTGATGAACAGTCTTGTGAAAGGCATGCAAAGTTCTTCAAAGAGTTTTTTGATTGGCTGAGTGCAAACCAGTAGTGCAAATTGTTGATTACAACAATATTAAAAATAAGTTATTCAAGACAAGTTGTTAGCTCTTGTCTGCCACATTTTAGGTTATGTGTGCAGATATATCCTCTTGGCATGGGATTATTCAGTCAAGTTTGAATCACTCTTTATGGCATTCTTGTAGTTCTCCCTCTCAAGGCTGATTTTGTGATGGCCTGTTCTATGATCTATTTTACATCAGTTTGCAAAAATGGGGTACTATTAACATAAATGTCACACAGTATTTGAATTTGAATTTGAATTGTAATTCTCTTTTGTTATTGAAATTTTAACTCCAAATATTACATTTCTTGTGTTCTGATTGATTGAAACAAACTCCATTTATCAGTTGTTCACCTTACATTCTGAGTAAACTAATATAGTTCAAATTCTGATGTGACTAATATAGTGTTGCAAGCTGAAAAATGTTGCAGGAAGCGAAATTTTACACTGACAAAATGGCAGAACAAAGTAGATTTTGCAAAATTTATGAAAATAATTAATCCATTGGTGCCTGTTGGATATGAGATTTGTAATAGCCAACTTGACACTTCTCATTGGTTTCTACTGGACATGTACAGCAGTAAAAACAGGTTTTTTTTAGAGGGGGGGCAAACAGGGTTGAACAGCTGTAAAGGGTTTCATGGCAACTTGGAACATGCACCTTTAGTGACTGAGTATGTAACTTTTATTCCTCGTTAACTTTCAGGATCAAAAGCTCAGTTTTGGAAGAAGGGAGAGTGTAAAGCCATCTGCTTATGTAAAGAAGCATAACTTTAAGGTAATACTAATTTTCCATTGTGTATCAAAATTAATCTGGAGTTGCGCTAATAACCCCATTTTTATGTCAAATAACCTGGGGCTAGTTTTGCAAAAGTCCTGGGAAATTAATGGACAGAAAGGTATGTTTTAGAGTCCAAATTTAAAGAATAGAGAAGCAGGTTTTGGCATCCTGACTAGTCCATACTGTTTCACTAGTTGAAAGTTTTATTGTGTAATTTTCAAAACTTTTTAAACCTTCATCTTGAATGAAAACTGAACAGCTTTACAGGCCTGATTAGTCAATAGGAGCTTCAAGAAACAGACCTGTGGACTGATGTATTATTCTCCTGTTCCAGATTCACACATTTAAGGGACCTCATTGGTGTGACTCTTGTCGCAATTTTTTGTGGGGTTTGATTATGCAAGGTATCAGGTGTCAAGGTAAGGTGATAAAAACTGTATTACAGCAAGTTTTCTTGGTATTATTCTTCATAGCAAGCAAAATGCTCATAGACTTTTCAGGTCAGTAAGTTATAGAGGATAGTGGTTACAAGTTGAACAATCTCCCACTGAAGACCACTGTTTTCTTTGTGAAGTGACTTCCTATCAAATAACCACAAAAATGTGCATCTTCTCCACTTAAAAGGTATAGTTTTCAGCTGACCTCTACAATTGCAAGTTAAGACGTTCACTTTGTAAATGTGAATTTGTTCATCTTTTCCAAGAACTTCTTGAACTCTTAGATGGTGACCTCCAAAGAATGACTTGGGGAGGCTTACTTGTTTTCTAAACATGTGTCTGAATAATTACAGATTGTGGCTTCAATGCACACAAGCAGTGTGGAGAAGTTGTTCGTGAAGACTGCCAACCAGATAAGAGATATGTGAAAAGAGGTAGGAGAGAGAAAATTAATTTTTTGGTGACACTGGTCAGAGTGTAACTAAATTTGTCATTCAAAGTCCTTTTGTTTAAGTTTTTCTGGGTCTGACGTGAAAATATCAGATTTGTAGGTGTACATGCGAGTTTTGAGTTTTGAGTGGCCCATTCCCAAAATTAATCAGATGTTAAGAATTATTGAATTTTCATACACTGATGCACTGAGAAGTACTGCAGGAAAAGTACAGACTTAGTGATCAGAGACAACAGCATCACATGTCAATGTTTGCCATTGTATTTTTATATTGCAGTGTTTGGTGTCGACTTAACAACACTCGTCAAACTTCATAACACCAAGAGACCTTTTGTTGTAGAAGCATGCATTAGGGAAGTGGAGAGAAGAGGTATTTTTTCGCTCTTAAGGTATTTTTAACCCCTAAGAGTGACTAACATCTAATTTCTCCTTATAATATCTCCACTGAATCACACTTTAATGTCATGAGAATAAAGGAAATGATCACCAACTAAAGAAATTCTTGATTGTTAGACAAATTCTCCTTGTCAACACCTTAGTTAAATGTACAGAGAACAGTATGGAGAATATTAATACTGATGTTAGGGTGTAAAGGGTTAACTGCCAGGAAGATTGTTCAGAGTCCAAAAGAAATTATTTTTAAAAGGACCCAAGTGGAGATTAATCAGTTAATTTAACAGCTGGATTAAACAATCTGGCTGCTTGAAAAGGTATGATTAAAATATTTTTGCCCCACACAGTGAGAAACAAACTGCAAAGTGTTAATGAAATTTCTTTGTGTAAATCTTATTTTCAATCATTAACAATCACCAGTTTAGTGGATGAAAGTTTAACCAAAATTCAATTTTCAGTCACTTTGCCAAGCAGGTGATTGCAATTTGGGACCTTGTCATGGATATATTTATCATGTACTTTGTAACAAAATCATACTCTTTGCATTCAATGGGCAACAAGTTTCATACTGGGCTAGCATAACCTTCAGTCATCTCTATAATGTTGCAGGATTAGACAGTGAGGGAATCTATAGAATATCAGGTTTTGCTGATGATGTTGAAGCACTTAAAAATTCTTTTGATAAAGGTAACACCAACTATAAAATTTGCCTCTAAGATTTGCCTTGCTTGCAACCTGTAGCTTTATATCTTCTTGGTGAATCACTCTTTTTTGTGGTGTCAGAATCAGATGGATTTTTTAAATATAATCTTTTTCTCAGTTAAAAATTACCTTCAAAAAGGGGGAGTCAGCTATTTTCTGATTAATAGGTATAATTCAAGTTTATTGTATAATCCCCCCCCCTGATATTAAGAAGTTTAGGTTACATATTCAGGATTGTTAAAGTTAGCAGGCAGCCAGTGCATTTTACTTTCTACTTCAAAACATTTATTAGTAATTTCAAATACATGTGACTCAATTTTCAGCATTGAAGCACTACATTGTACTGCCTCATTTGTAACACAATCTGTTTACTAGAAATCTTTATGATGGTGCTGCTTATTAACAAAGAAAATATTTAAATTACTTGGAAACATGTGTACTTAGTAACTCTGATGGTGTAAGACCTTAAAAAAACCCCATTCACAAATTATTTCTTAGTTGTTGTTGATGTTACTGTTGGTGTGGCTGTTGCCTTTTTTTGTCACTGTTGTTTATGCTGCTGCTGTTCATAGTGTGTTGATCTTTTTATTTAGATGGAGACCAGGTGGACTTGTCAGTGTATGAAGACATAAACATTATTTCTGGGACGCTCAAACAGTATTTCCGTATGCTTCCTATTCCACTCATCACTTTTGATTTATACAGCAAATTTATAGATGCTGCAAGTAAGTAAACTGAACTTCTGATTTGATACTTTTATTTCCATAAATGCTTCAATTATTGTCTTTGGGCAACTTGTGAATGAGAGTTCTTTTAAAGCTGGGAAATTCAGAGATTCAAAATTAGAACCTTTAGGCATGTGCACTCACTGATTCAACTGCATATCAGCTTAGCAATCCTCTTTGGTTCTTGTGATAGAGTACCTTTGGTTTGTCTTATGATTGTGATACTTTAGTTTTACCAACACTCATTTGGAAATTACCAAAGACCAACCTGTTTTTTGTTAATAAAAATACTTTATCCATAATCCAGAATTGTCAAGCAGAAAAGAGAAGATGGAGCAACTATCAAAGGCTCTGTTACAACTTCCTGCTTCACATTATGAAACACTAAAGTTCCTTTTGGGACACTTGTACAGGTTAGTGTTTGTAATTACATGTCAAAGTGGGCTCAATATCAGTAGTTAGTCAGATGTTTCACTGTGTCCTGATGAAGATCAAGACAGAGTTTGTGTTACCTTGCCACATAAATAGCCAATGAAGAACACGAATGCACACAAACAAGTCCACCATGTGCTTTTTTTATTTTGTCTCCCCTTAACCCTTTAACTCCCATGAGTGTCCAAGACAGAATTTCTCCTCACAACATCAATACAATATCAACCAGATAAGTGATGAGATTAAAGAAACTATCAATTTGGGGATAATTAGTTGATCCAATACTAAATTCTCTGAACTAACATTATAAAAATTGTATGGTTGACATTTAGGAGAATTACAAATTTGATCTGGGAGTTAAAAGGTTAAAACCTCTTGGTCATTGTTACCTAATACATGACAACAGTGATATTCTCACAGTTTTTGTAGAAATGATAAGTAGTGCCTATGAGATGGTGTTTATAACTATCTTAACCGAAATTTGACAACATGAAAAACAATCAAGCGGTCATTCCCCGGTTTGTGTAAACATTGCAACACGATCTGACAGATATCAGGAAGCTTTTCATTGTTTTCTTGACTCCTTGCTCTGGTCCAGTAGTGTTTGATCCAATTCAGGATACTTTGGCGAAAAGCAGCCCATCGTCTTTCGCTTTGCTGACATTTTAAGCTCACCATTAAACAGGTTCGCCTGATCTTTTCGCCAGCGACGCACCATCGAGTCACTGATTCCGTAATCTCTAGCGATCTAGAATGATCTATGTTTATTCATAACCTACTTTTTGGTTGCATGTTTCCCGAGAGGGAAGCTCCTTTTGTTTTCGGTTTATGTTAATTCATCTCAGTTAACGACACGCGTGGAGTACTTTGCAATTATTAGGTCTCGGCTTATAGCCGAATGTTTTGTGTTTATTTTTTATTTCAATGCAACAGCTGCTGACATGAAAAAGTTTAGGGTCTCGGCTTATAGCCGAGATCGGCTTATAGGCGAATAAATACGGTAGTGCCTATGAGATGGTGCAACTATCTCCTCAAACCAAACCTTTGGTCTGTGAAAGGAAATTCAGATTGGGAGAGCCATGGTTGTAACAAAATTCAAAACCAGTTTTATTTGGTTTGAGGTTTGCTTGACTCATGTCTTTTTATAGGAACAAACTGACCCCTAATAATAACTTATACAGTAATAACCCGCTTATAAGAACCTGGGTTTTAAGAACCTGTTAGGCTATTATCTCATTTTAAGCCCCCTCTACATAAGAACCTATTTAGCCTAAAATTTTAAGTTAGGTTCTTATCAGTTGGGTTGCTGTAAAAGTGTCTTGGCAGAAACTAATAACTAACTGATTAAACTGTTATGTTTTGTTAAGAACATATAGTTTTACTGTATCTGCACTGAACTGCCTAAAGGCATTGCTCTACATGGTACATTATAAATGATTTATTATGAGATGATACTGTATTTGCAATATATATACAATATATTCTGATGAAATACATATGCAAATTTAAGAACCTATTTAAGAACCTGTTTAGGCTAAATTTCCTTTAAGTACCATTTATATAAGAACCTATTTAGGCTAAATTGAAAAATTCAGGTTCTTATATGCGGGTTATTACTGTATCACATTGTTCTCTTTTTTCTCCTTTGTCCTTTTAACAGAGTAGCCAAAAAGAAAGAAGCAAACATGATGACTGAGGAAAATCTGTCAATTGTTTTTGGACCAACACTCATGAGAGCTCCAGATTCTGATACATCAGATGTTCTTACTGACATGAAATTGCAAAGACTTGTAATAGAGAGCCTCATTACGAATCAAGATATTCTATTTGATAGCTGATTACAACAAGAAGCACAGAAGTTAGGTTAAGTTCATCCTTAGGGTCGGATGGCCATTCTGGGTGAGGAGAAGTTAACTAGTTGCTTTGGATCTATTTAAACATGGAGTTTTATTATTTGCTTTCTTACTGTAAATCAAAGTGCTTTGGTATCATATGCCAGTGGTAAAAGAAGACTTACATAGGGAATAACTCTCAGTATGTGATAAAAAAAATACCAATTTGTGTTGTTTCCAAGTGTGTTTCATGTTATTGGTTTTTTTTTTTTTTCAAGGTTGATATCTTAATGATAGAAGTAGTTTCCAATTTAATCAAAGAACCATTTTGGCATTCAAATAGAACTGATGTTATAAGGCTGACCCAGGAGTGGGTAAAATAAAATACATTCTGTGATCTGATTGGCTACCTGGCTGAAGATTTGAATTTTTTTCTATGAAACTTATGATAAACTTCCAAGAAATAAAATTTTAAATGGGGAACCTTTACTGAGGAGCCTCAGAATCACAAAAAAATATATTGCAATGCACAAATTGTTTTAGGGGTTATAGACCTTATATAATATTTTATTTATCATAACCATTACAATTTCCTCAAATGTGATTGGTGCATCAGTTGCTATATATTTCATTAATCACTCTGTACAGTAGTAATCCAACAGTGTAATTAGACAGTTGGCTGTTATTGGACACCTGTAATCCCACAGTTGAAGCAGCCAATCATATTAAGTCCACTTAGCTAAATCCACCAATCACTGAATTGATCACAATGACCATAGCTACAACCACCTGCACTGAAAAAAAAAACTGGGAAATTTCCAAATTTTTTACTTTAGACATTGTTCCATTTGGAGATATTCATCCCAAATGTTTTTTTTTTTTTTTTTTCGGAAATTTAATGGTTATGATTAATTAGTAAAAGGACTTCCTGTCATCCAATTCTGTCTGTATTCATACTCATGATTAACAAATCAGACTCACTTGTATGATTACAGACCGGATTGGACTCCACTTGGTCCTATTACCATTATTAATAATTTACTTGTTTAAAAAGATGTTGGGTCATTTTAGACATTAAATTAATTAGTTATTTTTTATTAAGCCAAATTATGCATAGATTTTGATTGGGTCTTATGATCTATTGGAGTACAGACAGATAGATGATTTCACTTTTAACAACTTTTTTCTTTGTTATGTAAAACACAAAAATTCCATGTTGGGATGGGTCAGTTCAGTAATAGATCACAGAAGACATCACAATTTTGTTTTACCAAAAATGTGATCTGTGTGATCTGTCTGATCTGTCTGATCTGTGTGATCTGTGCGATCTGTGATCTATAACGGAACAGATGCATGGAAATATGGAATATACTCTTTCAGAAGATATTAGGTTTTTTTTCCTGCCTCCTTTGAGCTCATCATGATGATTTTTTTTTTGCATGAATAAATGCGTTTGATTTAATTCAAGGCATGCAAACTTTGTCACGAGAGATGTGTCGATCAATTCAAAGCTTCAACACACACCCCTGTGTGAAATTTCATCGAAGATTTGGGCAAAAATTGGGATCAAATGACCTACCCAAGAGCAGTGACCAAGCTTTAAAATCCATACCTTGTAGACCATTTCTTCTGAGCCAATACTCAGGAAAGTGAACACTACCTCTAAACACCTCCACGTTAAAAGATAAAACACTTGTATTCCAAAGACGTGACCCTTCTGATTCAAACTACCCACCCTAGCCAGGCAAGGTTCAAATTCCCCACCCCTGGACACAGACAACAGTAAAATGCCCGTAGGTTGACCAGGGGGATGTTGAAGCTTCAAATTCATCGGCCTTTATTTGTTTAAGGACATAGTTGATTATAAGAGCCACTTTGTAAAATGATTTTATTGTTTTGCCACAAGTTAATACTTTTTTAAATTTGTCCCTAATGTGATGTGTAATCTAGGCTTTAGCTTGATATTTTCTAAGGAAATAATATTAGAATTAAAGAAAATAATCTATTATTGTCTGAAGAATGAAATGGATGAATTAAATCCATAACGATGGATTATGATAAAAGTGAATGTTGTGGTATTGATCTATAATTTGTTGTTAGGCTTAGTTCATTACTGATTTTTGGGTTTGTTTAATCAATCAATGACACTGACATAGCAAAAAAAATTACCTCTTTGAGATATAAATTTTTATGAAAATTATCCATGTCAAACAAACAATCCATTGCAGGATCATTATCAGTATCTGGGCAACTGTTCACCTACCCCTCCCCTAACCCAACATTAACCCTAACTTGTTATCAATTTACTGTTGTTGGGTTAGGGGAGGGGTAGGTGGCATGTTGCAATTGTTCATTCCATCAATGTGTGACACAGCAAATTGTTGTGTGGTGTGCCTGGGCTGTTATTTGACCAACCTATTGCTTGCAAAACCTGAAAATGGTTCAGATCATTCTTACTAATTAAGACATAAAGCCTTGCTAGCAATATTGTAGACACAGAAAATCTCTATCAGGAAGATTCTGACAGGTGTCTGAATACCCCTGTCCATCAAAAACATAATGAACTGCTGATAGGGTTAAGTTTCATGACAGGAGAGACACTCAATTTGGTGCCACAATATTGTCAGCTTTGCCGTCTATACTTCTTATTATGTCAAGAAAAACAGCCTTGGATGATGTATTACAAATTTTGTCACATACTAACTGTCTTACTTCACGCCAACAACATAGAAAAATCATCAGGGCCATCAGATGTCATCTGATGACCCCACACTTATGGGGTCAATGTAAACTCTGGTGTTCTGTGGTTTTGCAAACAGGAAGCAAGCACTTCAGGTCACTCAAGTGACATCTTCATTAAGTGCCCTATGAGAGTCTGCTTTCTGGATGGTTCCTTATTCAGTGCAGTATTTCAGAAACCCCTCTCCTTTTTTGTTAAATATTGGAGGAATCCATGCACAGGGCTCAACAAAATAATTAACAAGGCGTTGAGGAAATTTTCAATTTCTTGATTTTCTTTCACATTTCTTATGCTTCTCGCACCAATTAATTAATTTTTTTGCCCTTTTACTCAAACAGTAATTCACCATTACTTTTGCCCTTTATGTAAATTACACTGCTGTATATATTCCGTGTGTGTTTTATTCTCGTTCTATTTAAACCCCTTCTGTGCAAGTGTTTCGTATTTCATATAGTTCTCTCAGCATTTGGTAAGGTGTTTGTCTTGTTGTATCTTGTGTTTACTCTTCAGTCTTAACCCTTTAACTCCCAAGATCTGGTTGTTAAATCTCTCCTCCAGCTGCTACACATTTCCAAGTAAATTGGTTATGAGAATTTGGTGTTCAATCAAGATAATATCTTGTAGTTTATAAGTTGGGCTAATCTCACTACCTGATTGCTGGATAATGTATAAGTACTATAGGGAGAAGGTACATGTTAATCACTTCTGGGAGGTAAAGGGTTAAGTTTGTTAGTATATTTTGTAAAGGTTGTTTTTCTGCATTTTAGGAATTAACTCTTATTCACATGTTAAAATTAAATAATCTGCCAAGTTAGAGTGTTTTCATCAAAGCAGGCCCTTACCTCTTCATTGATTGATTTTTTAACTCAAAACCAAATGAAACTTGTAAACAATAACAACAGTTAACCATTTTAAAGGCTAAAATATAAATTTTATTATCTTAATCAAAAATTTTTTTCTCAACAATTTGCTGATTCAAGATAGTCACTGTAATAGAAATAACATTTTTAGATCATTAGGCCAGCTACACACAAACAAAAAATCATTTAAATCTTCAATTGCATAATGAAAAAGCTAGAAAGTTAAGTTATCACTTAGTGAACTGGTTGTAGCCATCAGGCGCTGCGGAATTGGCATTAAAGCCAATTAAGAATTAAATATTCACAATGATAAACATTTTATATACAAAGTATTGTACATTGTTATACTCTTGAAGGCTAGAACAAAAAATCTTGTCAGTTTTCTTCTAAATGTACCAAACATTTGTAACTTTTCCATTGATTCTGTGCATTGAATGCTACTTATTCACCTGTTCCTCCATTTCTTCCATAACTTGACTCCATGACTTTGAGGCATTATATACACAAAGTAACAGAACTTCTGTTTCTTAACCCTTAACCCAATAACAATTGTCCCTCTTAAGTCCATCTAATACAAAGTGGCACTGCTATCACTCCTTCTTTTCTGCAGCCTTTGCTTCAAGTTTTTCTTGTAATGCTGTTACACCAATACCAGCAATAATTGAACCCACTACGCAACTCTGTGCAATAACTCGTAATCTCATGAGATATCTGCTAGTGGTCATGGCAGGTCCTCTATTCTTGTAAGCGATTGCACCCCATACACATGCAGCCACTGTTCCAGCAATTCCTGCCATAAACAAACATCTATCAGTTCATTTCTATATAGAGACCTTCCAAAGGTGTTTGAGTGTAAATTCAACCCTATCAGACCTTCATTCAGAGCAGATATAATGGAAGACAAATTATTTTTAGGAGACTGCATGAGGTAAGACACTCTGAAGGAAAAAAAAATTGAAAATACCAAAACAAGGGGAAAATAAGGTGACTTAACTAGAAATAATCTAAGAGTAAAATGTTGCTACCTTGATTGTGGAAGACAAAACCCTTGCATCATTTAAATTTTAAATTTCTGTGTTAACTACACGCAAAAGGGGAAATCGGCAGCGCTGGATCCAATTTATCGAAGATAACGAAGAACGCCGAATAGAACGACACTGACAAATTTAACTGAAGTATTCGAGACAACAATTTTCACCCAAAGCAATAACTGCGATCCTTCCCTCACTAGTGTACAGTATTTAATTTCAACATGAGCGATGTTACATTAAAAATATATGCTAACGCCTATCAATATTAACTTTGAAAACTAAATCGAGATATATAGTGTAAAATCCAAAGTCCATAGATTGGTTTCTACGAAAACAAAATTTTTGCAGAAGTTTATAATGCTGCTTCATGTAGATATAAGATCATTAAAACCGCCCCGATATAACAATTAGTTATTCTATTGCATAAGCAAAGTAGAACTTCAGGCGGTGACATTTTCAGCCGGCCGGCGAAATCATTGACACAGAAAAGGCTTGATCGTAAAAGCCATAGAAATCGTTTCAAAAGTGGCAGTTTTAAAAGAGTTAAATGGCGGAAATCTTAATGGAAGACGTAAGGGTAAGAATTCACGATGTTTATTTTACGCTTATTTACGTTTTGAGATGCAAGCTCGATCGCTCAACTCACCGATTGGAATGAAAGGTTGCTGTTTGCTTTTTCTCACAAGTCTATCTGTCTCTGTTTCTTTTTCAGCTTCGGTCATAAACTCCGCACTCAACTTCTGTGCGTCTGAACGAGACATTTCTTCGTTTCTTTGAACAGTTTTCTTCAGCTGAACTATAGTTCGATTTGGGCTCTTCCAGTCACCCTCGCGGCTGAAATATACTCGGATTAGGCAATATCGTTATGACGTCACAAGATTGTTCTAAATCCGTGACGTCAAAAGTTCTAGTCACGTCTTTTTACTCCAATAATCTTTGAGCGATTGAAACTCGCTATAACACCAATAGTTTTAGGAAGCGCAAACTATGTTTGGGATAGACACGAAAATTCCTGTTCTTCTCATGGTTTTAATGAGATTGAAGACGACCGATTTCTATTGTGCTTTTTGCAATCACGGAAAATCATAAAGGAACTGGAATGTCACGCAAATTCGAGTGTCTAAAAATTTTTTTAGGCGTCGTAAAAAAATGAAAACCTTGAATCTTGTTATCTAAGCGGGAGAAACACCTCAGAGTGAAGAAAAAATAAAAAAAGAATAATGATAGCTACAGGCTGAAAACGAAAACCTTTTTTAAACTTTAAAATAAGGAAGACGTATCAACACAGACGCTCTAAAAATAATCCCAAATTGCAACAGCTGATATTTTGTCTTCTTTCATCTGCCCTTTTCTTCTTTTTTTTGCTTCTTTTTGTCTTATTTTGTTTTTGTTTCTGGGATAATGATGATACTGTAAGAATCACACGCACGCAACATGACAAACCAACCTGACATATGTCACGTTTACTTTCAACGTTTGTTCACGCAGAGCGATGCGTGGGCGGCAATCTATATATGTGACGATATTGCCGGGTATCAATATTGAGACGACTCCTAAACACCTGACAATTATCAAATAAAATCCCAGTTAGATTCAAAGTGATTTTTTGTCTGCTTGCGTGGGAAAATGCTAATTTTGAACAAGTGCGCTAAAAATATTTTGACGTACTGCGGAAGTGTCACGAACACCTGACGCGCGATCACGGATCGAAGATAAAATTTTAAGTCTACGTTCTGCAGCGCCGAAAAGTTTTGTCCATTTTAGTTCTTTCGAATTAAAAAAATGTGTTTTTGAATCAAAATATTTCTTTTTTTTTTTGAGTCACCATCGCCATGCAGAGTTTTCCCTTTCAAATAAATAATCCGTAAAATAGAATTTCTCCTCAACCGAATTTCCTTTACGTATATTCACCGACGATTTAGCAGGACTTTAAATCTTACCTGCTGAATGAACTGTGCGAATTGAAAAGACAATATGCATACCTTTCAAACAACACGTTTCTGTCTGAAATTGTCTTTGTCGGGGTGATTTCCGGTTCAATGTCGTTCTTTCGTTCCAGTGCTTGAAAAGCGTAGAAGAAAATATAAAGAATGCTGTGTCACGGTTGCGAACGTGACACGGAATGTCATTTGACATGCACTTGCGACGTCATTCCACAGGGAAAGGGTCGACGTTCTGTTTCGGCTTTGTCATGAAAGTCTTTTCCTGTATAGGTGGCGGTTTTGAGCGCGCTTTAAAGCGTCGAGAAACGAGGTAAGATGCTGCGAATGGCTTGGGGCAGAAAAACGGGTGAAGTTATCACGGCTCGGTTTTCGCTCGTTTTAGCGTCTTTGCGAAAAATAGGCAGTTTAAGATTGCATGTGGCTGGTATAGCACAATTTTTATGGCATTAAAAATAACAAGAGGTCAGTTGTATAATGATGCTAAGAGGTGGTGTTGCAGAAAATTGTCTCGCATGTTAAAGTTTTCATGATGTACCGATCACACTTTTTAGGATATGTCTAGGAAAGACAAGGAAAATCTTCGTTTATTTTTTTTTACGCGTCATCCTAAGTGATTGTGAGGTGTTTATTGTCTACTGTAATACTCCGAAACAAACAATAAGTACCACTGGGAAACATTGGGTCAAAATTTGGTCAAGACCGGAATTCTATTGTTACACTCTCTCACTCACTCATTTCGACGACATCTGTAGCTTCGCCTGTGGAAATCTATGTCGTTTCTAAATTTCAAGTAACAATTTTTATCTTTCTCTCCCCTCGTTGTATTCTTTTTGTATTGACACGCGGGGCGCATGATTTCACAAATTAGCCAACACGTCAAAGAATTCTAACCTTGACATCAGAAAACTGACGTGGACATTTTTGCTTACTCTTAATTTGTTTATGAACTTTAGTTAGTTGCTTTTGAGCTTTCGTTCGCGTAAATTTCTTGCTCCTTTGTTTGAAATTTTAACAAGTTTCAGAGTTTTTATTTCAGCCAAATGTTGTGGTTCATTTACCAAGTTTAAAACATATTTTCCACGGAGTTTGGACTCTAGCCTCCTTTTTCGTAAATGGATTTTTTACATCACCTTCCATAGGAGGTAGAAGCCACTAAAATTACATCTTCGGGTTCACTGTGCATAATTCGCTGATTCAAACGGTGAGATGCACTGTCTTCAAGGACAACATTTTCCTCTTTGTTTTCATGATGCGCCAATCTCATTCATTGATATATTTCTGTAAGGAATTTGTTTTTCATCACGTGTCATACAAATGATTGTGAGATACTTATTGTCGTGTGTTACTGCAAGAGCCGAAAAATTACATCTTCGGTTGTGTAGGGCATAATTCGCTGATTCAAACGGTAACCACTGAGAAAATAATATGTTGGGTGTTCTTAAGCACAAAATAAACTTGTTTCAAACGCATTCTTCTCTCTTAGGTGGATGCTGTGCTTAATAATCGCTAACTACGAAGGTACTAGGAAACGAACGATAAGTGACATGGGGTGAAGTCGGGTGAAGTTCGGCTTCTATCGTCATTTACTACCATTCATCTTGATAACGTATGTGGCTTAGCCTCCTTCAAGGAGGCAGTGGCCACAAAAATCCGCCGGAAGAGATGGAGAGAAAGGATGCAAAATGACGCTTACGGAAAGTTTCAAGCCAATAAAATTCGTATCAGTGATGACAAAACAGTTAGAAAAACTGCTCATAAGCACAGATTTTGGATGACTTAGGATCAAGAGGACAAGGGCTAGTATTTTTTTGTCAGAGGTTCAAACAATGACCCCAGTATTGGGAAGATATACAGTTTCTTAACATCTAGTGCAAAACTACATTTTTCTCAGCTGAAAGTAATAGGGGTTTGAAAAGGTCAATGCGTGAACAATATTGTCGCCAATGAAGGTCCAATCTCATCCGGGCCATACTCACTTATGACGTCATTTTGTAGGTCTTTCAATTTACAAATTTTGGCGCATTGTGGTGTCTCCGTGGTGACACAGTGACGGCAAAACATCCTCTTTAAAACCAAATCCATTTTCTAAAACTCAGGCTTTGTTTGCCATATACGTTTCACGAGCGACTGAAACAATTTATGAGAATGCGCCAAAATTTTCTTTCAGTTACAGGCGTGGAAAAGAAATTACATAATATGGTTATCCAATATTTGCCTTGTGTCAATTTGGAACTTTTCTGAGTTCCTGTGGCCATGGAGTCGGTTTATAGCGACTTCAATTTTCCACATTTTATCTTGGTGATTGGCACCAAAGAAGATATCGAAGATAAGGACCAGCTGATCAGGACTGGCTAACTCTGAGATTTCCGTGCCTCAGTTTATGCCATTCGATGCAATCAAATCTGAAGATGCATATTTTGCCATCTGCGATAAGGTCCTTTCTCTAGTAGTAGCAATTTATTTACTCTATAATCGCACTAAGCCTTTATTCTATTTTCATGATCATCGGATTGTTTAAGGTCAAGAGGATCGATAGATCGATAGTCCATTTCATGAGTCTAGTTTCAGGGGCGGATCCAGAAATATCAAGTTAAGGAGGCAAACTTTGATCACGAAAACTGCGATCTTTTTTATCATTTTTCTTCCTCTACACAACAGCCTAAGCTAATTAATGTCTCTTTCATGCTCAAGAGAAGTTATTGAAATACTTCACATTAAGTTAAAAAGTACGCGCGATCCTGTCGGCGTCGGCAATATTTTGTTGTGTCAGACAAATAGTGAAAAAAAAAAACGAAAAAAATTAAAAAGAAAAAGGAATACAGGCACCATAGAGGGGGGAGGGGCAGGTGGGGTGACCTCTTGAACCACCCTGGATTCACCACTGTAATAACCAAAATGAATAACTCTATTTGATAAAGCAACCGGGATGATTGCCAGGGTCTAGAGAAACAACCTTAAACGTGATAAGACCAGTAAAAGTCCCTGAACTTAATCATTAGTAGAGTCGATTTTGTTTAACTTGTTAATTTTGGTGGTTCACCTCCCTATCTTAATTAAGCCCTGGTTGTTCAGGTGAACATCTCTGTCCCAGTCCTCATGTTTGCGACTCTTCTTTTCTCAATCCATTCCATTTCCGCTGTAATCTTCATTAACCATTAATCTAGGCATTGAAAGACGGGCTTCAATTTCAGGTTCAAGCCGATCATTACATGAAGATTATATGACGCAGATTGAACCGATGATTGCGGTTAGCTAGGTCATAAATGGTCATAAATTGAACCGATAATAGCGGACATAACTTAAACCGATAATGGCGCTTTGCTGGGACAAAAATTGAACCGATGATAGCGCTTTGCTAGCGACAAACTATTTTATTGTCCCAAACAAGATTACTGCGAGAAACATAGAGACTTTAAGCACATGTTAAGCTTTTTAGCCGAACATAGCAACACTCCCTCAGAAATCAACTCAGTAGCATACAACTTGCTACTTTTCCACACACTCTCTTCCTGGCCCTGGTTGTTCGAAAGGTGAAAAACATTAATTATCCACTGGATAAATCTCTATCCGGTGGATAGCGCAGTTAATTCGTTTTGTTAACAATTATCCGCTGGTTAGTGATTTATCCTCAGGATAGATTTATCCTCCATTTGAATAACTGGACCCTCGGCTTTTCCATTTTAAGTGATCTAGTCGCGTCCATGATAAGTTAGTTTTATAAACAGAGTTGATAATGCAAATTGACCAACGCTAAGAGTGTAAATTCTAAAGCTGATGTTTCGAGCGTTAGCATGGCCAGTTAGCCCTTCGTTAGACGATGGGCTGGTGATCAGGACGAAGGGCTAGCCCTCGAAACGTCAACTTTAAAAAATTGTTCACGGTGGCAATGCGCATTATCAACTGACTCGATGAAATCAAATTATCGACCAACAGACGGAGTACCACATCCTTATTCGTTTGTTGTATCTAAGTTTTTTATGTTGTTATTGTAGTTAGTGGCGATTGTTCTTAAATACATCACTTATGTTTGCTGGATTTAAATTCATGGGTCGATCAGTTATCTTACTTGACTACAGTGTATTTAGCATTTAATCAATTGTGTTGCTATATCGCGATATAGAACTACCTGATCTCAACCCTGGCTTTTTGCCAAGGTAATGCCTGTCTTCGCTTATGTTTTATGTAAAAAAAAAAAATATATATATACAGATTAACCCAACCGTTTTATGATAATGATGGTGAAAAATAAAATAAAATAAAAAGAGTAGTGATGGATGCAAATTTTTTCTCAGTTATGCTAATGTCCACACACTGAATTTTGTTTTTATTTCTTGCCTTCCCCGGTCTGAGTGACACAGTCTTCTTTATGTTAAGACGGATCATGTGAAAGGAGTACTCTTATGTAAATGCAGAAATTCAGGCATTCGTCCGTTGTCAACTCTCTGCGTGTGTGAGGAATGTTGTGAACAAAAGCTTTCAAGAACTTCCTCTCGCTGAGAGAAATCACTTCAACGTTTGTGTTCACAATATTTCTCGCAGGGATGAAACAAAATGCGATTGCTTGCTGTGCATACACTCATAAGCACAATAGTTCTTGGACGGTTGGGAATCTTCAGCGCTTGGTTACGTTTGTTTCCTTTGCCGTTGTTCAAGTTCAATCGATAACTAAGCTTCTTTCTCATTTAGCTCTCATCAAAGTTGTTTAGACTAATTGTCAACGGAAACTGTGTTAAGAGGATTGAATGCTGCGATGCGTTTCAATATAATTGGCTTATCATTATCAACTTAGCAACTTACGTATTTGCTGCTATATCCTTATAATCTTGTTCAAGAGAATCTGGGCTGAGGCTCTCACAAATACCTGTCCGAAAAGCAGTTGTTTACCTCAAATCAGTCTTTACTGACAGTTGACGTTTCATTTTTATCCATTCAACCGATTTGAATGCTTCTTCGACTCTGGAGAGTGAAACATTTTTTTCGCGTGATGGTTGTTAGCGTCAAGATTTAAGTCCACTTGACACTGAAAACAAAACGATCAACGCACAATGGGGCGGAAGTGGTCACTATGTGTATAAAAATAAACTTGCTCGTGCATTGCTGATTGCGTAGCTAATCCGCCTAAAAGTTTTAGTCGGAAGATTAAAACGCGTTCATGAGAGGAGAAGTTCTTTCCGCTAAGATCTATTTCATTCATCAGTTTCAAGTCGGATTTTCCCATTTTGTTCATAAACTTGAAAGTGCAACGTTCGGCGCTGCGATGAATTAACGTCGATTCGAGTCCACTGATCCTTATATAGAGTGAAGCATTTTATATTTTCTCTTTTTCTAGATCTACTGTTGTCAAATTTCGTGTTTAGGAACATGAATTTCTTTAAACCGTTTTCGAACATTTTTTTTCACTTTTTACTCTTTAAGATTCTATTTACTTTAAGCTTTTGTAAATTGAGTTCTGGCTTTGAGAACTCTATTCGATCGAATTCAATGTCAGTCGCCTCTTCATCTTCTGCGGCCGCGAGAGCGTATGCATAACAACTACAAAAACCAAATCTCCGCACCTGAACATCTTTCCTGGGAATCTGGATAGTCAGTGGAAGTAAACATACCAGACCAACGCAAAGTTACAGCTGCAATTTCATCAGTTTCAAATTAAATTCTAGACAGACTCAAGACCGCGCGCGTTGGGCTAAAAAAAAAGAAGACACCGATTACGCGATGTTGCAGGTGACGAAACAAAAAAGCCGACAAAATTAAATAAACCGAATAAACATAAGAACGAATCTTTACGCTTCTTTAAGGAAATGCACTTCTTTTAACCTTGCACAAGGAAATTCAAGGGAATTTTGGTGATGATTACGAGTGACAGACGAAAATAATTTTATTGCAGAATTATCGCTTGCTATCTATTTTAGTGCGTGACTCAAATACCAAATGGTAGACGCGACAAAAGAGCGGAGATGGTATCGGTTTTAACCACCTGAAACTTCAAATGACATATTTCTCTGGGGGCTATTTTTGCCAAGTAAACTATTGTCAAACAGCTTGGATAATGTATATTTCACAAATTTGCGATTTGGCGCGAAGTCGTTTTGTTGATTGGTTCTTCTCTCTTCTCACATGACCACAACAACCGCAGCGAAATTGAAATCAGGAGTCTGTTTCATTTTTCCGAAGCGGTCGGCCGATTCATTGTTATTGAAGTAGGGAGATATTAAATACAAATTATCAATATTCTATGCGATATTTTCGTGGGCGTTCGCGATCAGAAGAAACCTTATCATGAGTTACGAATAGACGAATCAAGACGGCAAGCGGACAAAGGCTCACTCGACATCCTGCAGTGGTCTGCGGTTGAACAACTGACTCGTGACATCAGTGTATCGTTGCTCTCTTGCATGCCTTGTTTTATCAACAGATCTGTGTAACACTGCTCAGATATTCTGTTACATGTACAAGAGCCTGATTTAGCAGCATTTGATTTAAGTTGAGGAGTGACAGGCAAATCATCTGTGTGATGCGTGGATAGAATCTTCCATCGCGGCGCAGTTCGAGAATTTTGCATCGTCCAGTGTGGCCAAATTTCAGTTTGTTTACACTCTCTACATAAGTTACATGCGCGATCGACCGAGGTTTATCGCATCCTTGATGACAAAGTGACGGCTTAGCCGCACAGAGCGGGGAAATTTTCAGCTTTTACCATAATGTGTGGCCAGTCAGGATTGAATTGACCTCGAAGTATGGCTAAACAATGACTTTATCGTTCACCCAGGTGGAACAGTGGCTCGATGACCATCCAGAACACGCTGAGGAATATTTTGTGCGTAAAGGTACCGCGCGAATGGTTCAACTATGGAATGAAGCGAGGGAAGAGTGTGCTGATGTCTTCGACACAAATGTTGAACTTATTGAGAACTGCGGTAGAAGAACAATCGGAGAAAAAAACTTTCGTTTCAACGATACTGTGGATATTATAAATGCGAGCGAGGAAGGGGAAAGTGAAGCGGGTCAGCCAACAGCTCGGTCATTACCTATAACTCGCAGGTACTCTGAACCGCAGCGTCAGGGGAATCCGAAGCGGCAACTTGGTTTGGGTTATGGAGGCAAGCAGTTTTTTACTAAACCAGTATCTTCCAGTGTTGTTGATTCTCTAGATCTGAGTACTTGTGAAATTCGGGAGGAAAAAACAAGACGAGTGAGAAGTCCCCCTTCACGACTGCTTCGGAAAACGAAATCGCTGCCGAATTGTGGACAACAGCATGTATTGGGGGCACTAATTGAGTCAAAAATTCGTCTACCATCTTCAATCGGCCTGAACGCCGAGACAAAGCTAGATTTAAAGAATAACAATGAAAGGCAATTCTTCTTTGAGATTGTACGGGACATAGCGAACGATCTGGACCTAACGACTCTTAGTTATAAAATATTAGTCAATGTTGGGATTCTAACAAATGCTGATCGGTGCTCATTGTTTCTCGTGGAAGGACCTAAAGGTAAACAGTCACTGGTTTCAAAGGTTTTTGATGTGCAAGTTGGAGGGCCGAACTCGACTTCTATTAAGGATTTCATAGACCAGCAGAAGGAAATTCGAGTGCCTTGGGGCAAAGGACTGGTGGGATACGCGGCTGAAACTGGAGAGACAGTTAACATCCCCGATGCGTATGCGGTTTGTAACGTTTTAAGTATAAATAAATCATTAGGGGTTTTAGGCGTATGTAAACCACATTCGCTCGCTTGAATCGCCGTTGATTAAACGTTTCTTGCAAACGATACCTTCTTGCAAGTCGTGTAAGAAGGCGACATGACCATAAGTTATCGGACCAGTGCATTCGAATCGATGCAATCAAGTGTGTCTTCCTATTTTGATCAGTCGTTCGAATCTCGTACCGCGCGAGACTAATTTTCGAGCTTTCGATTCAAGCAAGCAGATTTGCTTTTTTGTACGCTCACCAGATAGCTTATACCAAACTTGCTGCTTTGTTTGGTCCTGCAACTTTCTTGGAGTTGTATGGACGTGGAAGACCGAATACCATTTGCAGAAATTAAATGGGATGGCCCGGATCAAACGAAGTGGGATGGATACCTATTTTTGTTCGCTATTAATTCAGTTCCATTTTATTTGTATTTTACCAACTGAAGCGCATTCAAAGAAAGGCAAACGAGAACTTAAACGCTTTGTAGGAAATCCGCGCTTTTCGATTTTACAATAGTCCGGAAACTACCCTCGATAAAATCCCGCGAATGCTGAAAGGTATTGTACAAGAAACTAACATTTAGCATGTTAAAAAACAAATGCACCTTTCGTCTTTCCAGCTGATGAATCATGATTTCGCGGTTTTTTAAATTTGCATTAGCTCTTTTGGTCGTATCTAGGGGAAAAATCGTGTCGTCAGCTGAAAACACTTTAAATCTTTCGAGTTATCAAATCTCACTCAAATTCGATATAATGTTATCACTGCGACGTTTCTCCAACCGGTCTGGGATTGTTATGATGGCTTATTAAGCTATAAAGTTGAAATTATGCACAACGAGTTATGCGTTCGCGAAAACAATGTTCACGTTTCGCACTTCAGCGGGCGAATTGATTGTTTTCATTTCTAGGAGCGATCGATTCTCGTCATACTTTTTTTTCTGTACAACACTTTTTCAACTTCTGAGAATTTTAAAAATTTAAGTTACAGCGGAATGAAATCAGCAGTGTTACCGCGCCTCTGTTGCAATTGAAATTTTTCAAGCTCCTCGACATTTATTGTTTGTTGTGGCTTCCACTACAGTAGTTTACAATTTCGTTCTGTCTTCTTATACGTGATTTGGATGATCAGTGAAGCGCAATCAACTTGTATCCAGACATTAAGGACCGTCTGGTAAGCGCTCTGTTTAGCGTGCCTCCGATGACGGATTTACATTGAAGCGGTTGGTTTTAATCTGATCGGGTGCCAGAGCACTTTGTTGACAGGCGAGATCCCCGCGAGTGCTTATTTAAGCAGTGCAGGTTCTCTGTGCGTTAATACGCGATGGGCTTGTCTCAAAACCTATTTGCATACGATTCTTTCAATTTTATTCACCTTTTGAAAAGCCCCTCTGAACCACAAGAACGATGGAAATGACTTCTCTCGTAATTTCCTGAGAAGTACTTCCATGACTGTCACTTGCACTAAAATTGTTCGGATAGATGTGAAAATTTATTTTTTAACAAAAAAAAAATCTTTCTTTGTTAATTTTTTATGTTTGTGTTTTGTTTTACCATTTTTAGTTTTTCACCGGATAATTAATCATTCATAACAATATTTCAAATTTCCTTTTTCACAACAACCAAAAAAGCAACACTTATTGATTTTTTTTTCATTCAGTCCTTTAAAAAAGTATCATATTCTAGCTTTTTTACCATGCTATACCTTTTTTTAACATAAAACAGCATGTCATTATTTAAATCTACCAAGATTCTTGGTCTTGGCCCTGAAGATAATCAAATAACTTTGTACCCACAAAATAACTTGCAAATATAAAATACCTATCAGTGCAAAATTAAAAACCATCAGCAATATAAAGCTCATATTTTTAAAAATTTCTTAGGGTAGAAGCTTCAAAGTAAAATTTAAATTTTGTAGTGAGGTGGAGTGAATCTGGAGCTAGTTATTGGAGCAGGTTTTTGATACAGTAGAATGACATAGAGACCTCTTTCTTTAAAAAGAAATAAAAAAATAATAATAATAAAATAATAAAAAGAAAAAGAAAAAAAACAGAAGAATAAAGAAAATTTAATTCATTTTAAGGTCAAAACCATTTTCTCTCTATGAGAAAAGGCCTGTAACTGTAGGCTCCTCAAAGAAGTATGTTAAAGATCTTTCACAACATATTTCAGATACACTTCTCACTTAGCCAGTATAAGATAATGAAGAGTTGATCAAATCCCATTTTGTAGCATTCTTTTAACTGAACTTTTGCCATTTGAATTTATTTCCTTTGAAATGTCAACAACATCAAGTATATCTGTTTGGGTTTGCCTGAAGAGTTAAGTAGAATCCTTATGTGTCTTGTAGTTTTAAATGCACTATCCAAAATGCTTATGATGCAATTGTCCATCAGGTTGTGGGCATGGAAGGCAACATTCCAATGTTTCAGAGGGTGTGTGCATTTTTTTGAAAGATGAAATGAGTCAGAGCGTCACTTTATGATTTTACTAGGACATTTTGAACCAATTTTTTCAAGTCTCTCCTGTTTATAATCAATATTTAATGGGATACAACTGTCCTCTCTGTGTTGTATCAGAAAATTAAGAAAATAGTCTCATTTCTTTATCATCTGGTTGACTGCATCAAGTTATAATTTTGGTCATTTCTTCTCACAGGATCCTCGCTTCAACAAGGAGGTTGATCGCCAGACAGGTTATCATACCAAGAGCTTGCTATGTAAGCCAGTGAAGAACAATGAAGGGGAGGTAAGAAGCTAATGAAAGCAATTTTTTAATTTTTGAATTATCTAGTCAGTGCCTCAAGCTTGCTTCAAGGGGCAGCTTGTAGGACTGCCAGCAGAATGAAACTTTTGAAAACATAACATTTAACTTTTTTTCTAAATATACAGAACAGGTGAGATAGATGGTACAAAACACTGTGTTTGTTATAAGCACCAGAGATTGCAGAATTCTCTTGTTATGTACTACAACAAATTATGTTTCTATATTTCAATGGCATCAGCTACTTTTATTTAGACGTGTATAGGATTTTTTTGTTATTGTACTCTGTTCTCCTGCTGCTTTTATTTGTGAAAATCCAGATTAAACAGCATAAAGAAATAGAGAAAACTAACCATCTTAAATCAGGCTGAGAAATTCTGATCATTTTATTTATCAAATCCATGTGGCTAGCGATAATCTTGAATGGCTCATTTAAAGGGGATCTAGAGACTTTTCTCATGTCTGTCTGCTGATGAAAGAACAGAGGACTGAAAAAGTAGAAAATGGGCTATCTCATCTTTAATTCCTGAAAATATTTGAAAATGCATGTTAATTAGTTTTCTTTAATTTGTGAAGGTTCCTAATTGTTGTTAGAGGGTTAACCGCAGGAATTTACTTTGTTTAAATCAGCCTTTTGTGTCTTTAAAGAATATTCAGTCACCCTCTGGACTTTCAACCATACCAAAATAATCATGATTTAAGGATATACAATAATGAGGGAACAGGTATTAATTTTCAAGCAATCTTCTCCTTTAAGTGGCATGACATTTCCCTGACAAACATTATTCTTTTCTGAAATCAATTTAATTTTTGTTGTAACTGATGCACACTCTACATATTGGTATTTTCTTTTGTCCTTTTTTTTTTATTTAGGTGGTGGGTGTGGCTCAGATAATCAACAAAATGCCTGGACCTGTACCATTTACACAAGAAGATGAAGAGGTGCATTAATTTTGTGTTTGCTTTCGTCTGTTCCAACCTTAGACATAGGTCAAATAAAATCATATGAGAAAGATGTATTTGCTTCCAAGTTGCTTGTGGTGAACTCATAACCCTTCACTCCACTGATCGCTTAAGTGCTGCACTCTGCTACATAGTGAAGTTTCCACTAGACAAGGAGGTGGTTGTAACTATTTATTCATGGTCTATTACCTTTTTCAGGTCTGTGAAATGTATCTGACTTTCTGTGGAATCGGAATCACCAATGCAAAGCTGTTTGAGCTATCAGCAAAGGAATTCAACAGAAATAGGGTAAATAGGTTAAAACAATTCATTGACCATATTAAAGTTGAATTTTCCTCCCTTAAATATCGCAATAATCATAACGATTACAACTTCCTCAAATGTGATTGGTGCATTAGCTGCTTTATTTTTCACTAATCATTCTGTACAGTTGTAAGGGGACAATGAAATCAGACAGTTGGCAGTAAATGGACACCTGCAATTGGACAGTTGAAGCAGCCAATCATACTAAATCCACTCAGCTAAACAACAGAATTGATCACAGTAACCATAGCAACAACCACTCATCCTGAGAAAAACTGGGGAATTTCCAAAATGGAGGAATTTTTATCTGTAGGCATTGTGTCCATTAGAGATATTTGTTCTAGATTTTTTTTTTTTACAGAAATTGTAACAGTTAAGATTAATTGGTAACAGGACTTTGTGATTGACAAATCAGACTCCTGCTTAGTGGTCATCTGATTTTAATTGCAGATTTCATGGTAAAGAGTTACAGGGTTTTTCAGATTTAAATGGCACTTGTCTAGAAAGTTTTATAGTAAAATAGTGTTCACTGTACAAGTTAGTACAAAGCTTAAGTAAGCAGAGTGGAAGAAATTCAGGTTTTGAGGGGTTATTTTCTCATTTGAGGGCTAATTCCCATAACACCTTGTGGGGTCTCCCAACCTCAAAAATGTCCTCACCTGAAGTCAGTATCAATGAATTGCAACAATTTTTTGATGTTAGCCCATTCAATTAATGGTATTGTGATCCTTGGCATCTGTAGTTCAGGAATCACAAAAAACTTTACATACCAAATGGTGAAAATTAGCCTGTGTTCCTTTTGCTTATGAAATTAGGCATTGCTGGAGCTTGTTCATGACATCTTTGAAGAACAGACCTCTCTGGACAAGGTAGTACATAAGATTATGAGACGCGCATTGTCAATGCTGAAATGTGAACGATGTTCAGTTCTTCTGTTGATGCATCCAGTCCTTGGCAACAGTCTGGCAGAGGAAAGATCACAGGTAAATTAATATTATGTTATTATGAACCGTGTGGAAGGGGTGGCAGGGGAAAATATTTGGCCTAAGGTCATGATTTATGAACCAAGCGGAGCAAGTTCTAGCTGTACGTAATGACTGAGTGCCATATGCTTTCCTATGTGATGAGCCCATACTCAGTCAGTAACTGTATTATCATATGACCCAAAAATCTTCAAAAATTTTGGAATTACATCAGACATGTTAGTACTGGACAACTACTGAGAACAATCTATTGAAAAACTTCTCTGCAGTCATTTCATTGAGTCAGATTGAGAAACCCAAAATTGAAGGAAAAAGGCCACTTTTTTTGTCATTTCTGTTTCATTTTAATTTAAAACCCACAATTGGAACTTATATTCTTGGAAAATGCAACAGAGTTTTGCAAGGGTGGGCCAGAAAGCATATTCCAGTTTGGCTCACTTTAACTCATCGGCCTTACACATGTCAACTTTCATCATGGTTTTCCTCACGATTGCCTGAACCAAGCCATATGGATAGAAAATGAATGAAACACCCATTAGCTGACAGATTGAGACACTGATGTGATACAAATGAAGTCAAGTTTATTCTTCATTTTGATTATTTATTTTTAGGATTTACGAATTACTAAAGTATTCAATCTGCGAGTGTCAGGAGGTCGTAACAGTAATAGCACAATGTAAGTTCCTTTTCACCAAATTATTACCTTAATTTCTGTTACTGTAAACTGTAAGGTATTTGATGCTCTCTGAGAACTGAATTTAAACATCTCAGGTGGTGGCAGGTGCTTGAATTTAAAAAATTTGAAGTATTTGATGCTGTCATGTTATTTGAGATGAAAGTAAGAGTTCCAAGGATCTACATGGTTCAACTCAAGTGCCAGCTTTAATCCTTTAACTCCCATGACTGACCAAGTCGAATTTCTCCTTACAACATCAATACAATATCAACCAGATAAGTGATGAGAATAAAAAGAAATATATCAATTTGGGGATAATTAGTTGATCCATACTAAATTTTCTGAACTAACATCATAAGAATTGTATGGTTGACTGTAAGGAGAATTACAAATATGATCTGAGAGTTAAAGGGTTAATCAACCCATTATGCATCTCCACTTTAAAGTGTTTTTCATCCAGGCAAACACAAAAAAATTCCCATTGAATTTACCTTATACAATGATTGCATAACACTTAAGTTCTGCTCAACAATCAATACCCTGTCAAGATCTTTTTGCTGAGAGCTCAATTTGATTTTATGTTGGACCTCCTTCTGGGGACAGCCTTGGAACTAGAAAAAGTGTCCCCTGAAAAGAAATGTCCATTGATAGATGGTAACAAGAGACATAAGGCATTTTGTTATTTGGCACCAGAGTTTGTCCCTCATTGGAAGTGTCCTAAAAAGGAGGTTCTACTTTGTCTGATTTACTTTAATTTTTAATTCAATCTGTAGTTATAGTGAAGGAAGAGATGATGGTTCTTTTAGTACTAGAATAGCCAAACTTGTTGCATCCACTGGAAAGGTAACAGCAATGACCTGTAATCTGTATTTCCTCTTAGGTTTAGTTTGGTCCAAACAAGATACATTGTAGATAAATTTTGTGCATTTCTTTCCCCGACGAAAACAATTCCTTTGTAATAATCTTGAAATTTTGAAATTGAAATTTTTGTGACATAAGTTCATCTTTTAATAGATGGTCAACTCATGTTGTAGGCCATCACAGTCCCTGAAGAACATATTTTGAAGTAAAGGGGCCCTATGGTGGCACTACTTGTGGTGCCTTTTGAGGTCCAAGCTCAAAATATATCATTTTTTAATTCATTCATTGAATGTCCCGTTGTTAGATTCTAAAGTTACAGCATATTGATATGAATTGCAAGTTCACCTTTTTGTTCAATCATGTTTTTTAAGACTCTTAATGTTCCTGATGCTGCACAAGATCAGAGGTTGAAGAGAATTGTAAGTCGTTAAATAACGATTGGAGTCATTGTGATTTACAGAGATAAAATTATATTGGCTTAAAAGTTAGTGTAAAGGGTAGTCTACCATCTGGAGATTTATTCATGTGGACAGTCAAATTTCACACAAGTGCGTGCACACGAAAGAGTTCTTTATATCCCTCAGTCGGTATGGCACTATGATTGGACAACTTAGTAGGCCAAAGTTTGTTTGAATTGAAATCTTTTTCCCTCTATTTGAACCCACAGATAAAATTTTCACATTACTAACCGTGTTTTTTCAGTCCATACTGTAAGTTACAGAACCTTGTTTTCCCAACTTGGATTTATGGCCTGTAGGCTTCGCACTTGAGCCATAACTCCGAGTGGAAAAAACTTGGTCCCTCTCTTATAGTACGGACTGAGAAAACAAGATTATTTAGTAAGGAGTATTATGGCTGTAATGATTTGAAAGTATGTTTTGAAACTTGGGTGACTTTAGTTCCACTGAAAATTTTGCTCGGAAATAACAAACCAGTATGAATTACTCACTTATACCGCGCTTGGCGGTTAGCTCACGTTGTAGAGCGTCGCACAGCCGCAAGGGAGCTCGAGGTTTCAATCCCCAGACCTAACAAACACTCAGGGTTTTAAAATATTTGAGGATATTTTGCTGCCTTTAGCTTTGACATCGATAAATGGTGAGAAATTATAGTCTTCCTCGGATAAGGAAGATAAGCTGTAGGCCGTCTCTTGCCTCTTCTCTGTACTGGCTAGCAGGGGAACTAAAAGAACCCACAAACTTCTCGCAAAGAGTAGGGAACATAACTCCCGGTGTTGTGGTCTGGCCTTGTCACTGTTTACACAGGCCCCCCATTTAAACCAGCTTTAAGCTGACCTGGGCCAGCCTGTCTAAATATCACAAAATACAAATGAAAATACAATACTTTGAAGAGAAATTGCAGCGATGAAGGTCATGGTCACCGACATTTATCACAATTTTGAGGGAAAGTTGATTTGAGTCTTTTTCCCGACTGAAAATCTTACTGGTAGCTTTGGTTTCCATTTTTGTGTTTTTGTCTTTTTTGGGGGGAGAGCCTCATTTACAAATGTTCATTAGCGTGAGGTAGCAAACCATTCAGATTCCTTGCATCACCAAGATCGTTGAGTGTGTACATATCAGTGATCTTTATACTTTGTAAGAAAATGAAGTGTTTGCTAGAAACAACGGCATTTTGGATCATGCTATCTACTTTCAGCTAATTTAGAGATAAGCATATAAGTTGTTAAGAGTCATACCCTTTTTAAACGTTTCTGTTTCGGTAGTTGAGTGGATATCAAAAAAGCCATAACACTTTGAAATAGATTTCATAGCTGCTGGTGCTTCTATAACTTTTGGCACATAATACCTTGAAGTATCGATATACTCATTCTCTTCTGCAAATGGTGAAAGTTAAGAAATTTTTTTTATTTCCAACAGATTGCAATGAGCTCTGACAATGGTGTTGATGCTCGTCGCCCAATATTGTGTATGCCAATTAGAAACAACAAGTTTGAAATTATTGGTGAGAATATCATTTCATTCATTTGGCTCACAGAAAATCCATTGTCTAGTTTGGAGATGAAGTAATTGAGATATTATCATATAGCAATGTCGTCATGGATCATCTGCACAAAATTTGGAGGTGTTTGATGGTCATGGAATTGATTGAATTACTCGTGAGGCTGAGGCCCAGGAAATATGGTTTGAATCACTTGCTCAAGACATATCAAGTGCATTTGTCTCTTAATTGTCCTTGATCTGTATTATGAAGCCATAGACTAATATTCAATTTTGGTTTGCTTTGGTTTTGGTGTACTTTGCTTCTGCTTTGTTTGGTCTCAGCCCAGCGGTTGTAACCCATAAGCTGTCAGGGCTTATAGTTACTCTAGCATTTTACCTATTTTCATGTCTCTGCTTTAGGTTCTCAAATAGCTCCTGGTAATAAATCTTTTCTTCTTATTAGCGTCTGTGATCGCTGTGGATTTGGTTCTAAAACAGCCAATTGACAAATTCTTAATAAGACATTGTTATTTTTCTAAGGCGTGGCATGCTACGTGTAGTAATCATTATAAGAACTCAGTCAGCTCTTTTTCAATTTCAGGTGTTGCTCAGTTAATCAGCAAACTGAACAACAAACCATTTGATGAGAGCGATGAAACCTTATTTGAGGTATGACAGTATGTAGAAATTTACAAATAAATTTCATTTTATTTTCAATACTCAATATTGCATTTCTAGTGTTCTGATGGGATCACTCAAATCCGGTTATGATCCGAGTCACCATATATGGAAATGCATTGCCCCAACTGTTACGGAGATGACAAAAAGCTCTAACTAAGTAAACTGTCAGGATTTAACGAAATTTGATTAAAAAAACTATTTCATTCGCACTTGTTGAATACGAGATTGTTTAAAGCTAGCGCCTCGTTGGCTATTTATCATCACATATCCAGAACGCGCTCATGGAATAATTATTAAATATTTCACCAAATGATTAAGGTCTAGTCAGGCTGTAGCAACAGAGTTAGTTTTGTTTATCAAAGTTTGATTCACAGTCCAGTTTTCCTCTTGTCAGGCATTTGCCATTTTTTGTGGCCTTGGGATTCACAACACCATGATTTATGACCAAATGGCAAAGGCAAAAGCCAAGCAACAAGTAGCAATTGAGGTAGGTGACAATATCAGTTGGTTAACAAGGTCCCTCACTGTAGATGAGAATTAACAATTAATTTAGAAAATGGTGCACTTTTCGATTGATCGTCGTAAAACCAAAACCGAAGTTATCATACAGCCAATCGCAGTGAAGGTCGATATCAACGTTGGCCAATGAGAACTCAAAGTAAAAAACAAGCATACTGCGTAAAACGCGGGAAAACGCGTGCGACCAAATCGCAATTGGTTTTAGTTTGAATCTGATTGGTTGAGAAGCTGGCGCAAGTTTTCTCAGTGAACCAATCCCAAAGCGAAGTCAAGCAATACCAAAGTACTTTCGTATTACTTTTCGACACCCAGTTGAAAACTGCTCTATTTCAACATTTATTTGGTTCCAGTGAGCTTTGGAGTTAAAGTTCAGCTAGGTTTCATCATTACGATGATCGTATCGATGCTGAAAAGTCATGTGATATTACTTTAAAGCGTAAGTGAACTTTAGTCTGCATAGTCCATGATCTTTAATTTCCCTGGTATCTATTTACCCAGGTTCTTTCTTACCATGCTGCTGCTAAAAGAGGTGAACTTGAGAGATTGAAGGTAAGGACACTGACAAATTAATTTTTTTACATTACGAGTGACGTGCGTTTAAGACCCACAGTTTTTTTCGTCGTAAAGTTTCATCCTTTTTTTTCCACCTCTATCTGTCAAAGGGCTACACAAAAAGGCATTCTTGACCGCAGTTATGATTTTCTGGTGACCACGACGGGAATCGCAGTCGCACGTGGAGTTTCCACATCATTCGAGTGTAAATGGTCACGTTATTGAGTTATTTTCAAAATGGCCGCGTCAATGGGCGAATTTGTATCACATTCAGAATCTCAAAACGCGTCAAATCATAGTTTGTTGTCATCTTCTTGTCAACGGCGGAGATTCTGGAGCTTACTTCTCTTCTAAAAAGTTGTTAGTTAAGATGAAATTCTGATCAAATCCCTTTATCTTTTGTTCAGACAGCTGGCAGATTATTCTCAGATTTTACATGTGTTAGTTGTGTAACGACTTTTTCGTCCTCTGTCCATTACAGAACACAACAGTGTCAAAAGCTGAAGAATTCAAAGTAGACAGTTTTCAGTTTGATGACTTTTCGCTGGAGCCTGATCAGATGCTTCAAGCCTCACTCAGGATGTTCATTGATTGTGGCTTCATTGATGAATTTCACATAGACTATGAGGTTTGTTCTTACTTATAATCCATCCATTTTTTTGTACATACGTGATTAGTCTAAAAGCATCACGTGACCGAATATACCCCTGCTAAAACTGGGGGATATCTGGTGATATTTCCCCAATGACATTCCCCGATTTTCAAACCTTGCGTTCAGTACTCCAAGAATTTTCGAGGCACACAGTTTTCCTCGGACCCAGCTCTCTCAAAACTGTTCACTTTTCGGAGCCGTTACTGTTCGCGGGGAAATATCGGAGTATATTTTCGCGCAAAATGGAGGCTATTGTTTCCATATGACTGAGTTTTGACTGAGTAAACAAACGTAAAATAGACGGGCGCAACGTTCAGGAATAACTGAAAAGATCTACTTAGTGGCTACTAATCGAGTTCATAGTGTTTTTATTAATACCTTCTGTTTAGAGAGGATTTATAGCTTGTAACTTTTCCTTACATTGTGATCAAGTTTTCTTGCAATCAAGGTCGAGAAAAGTTCAAATTCTCATAGCTAATTTAAAGGGAAATGTAGATAAACTAAGAAGGAGAGTCAGTGATCAGATCCCGGGGAGTGAAAGAAAAAAGGGCATTGGTTCCAGGGGAGGTTATGACAGTGCAAAGTTTCTGTAATTGCTGCTGTTGCTCCTTTTTTGTTTCGTTTTTTTTTTTTTTTTGGAGCGGAGTTTTTCGTGAGATCAATTTCTTGAAAAAATTTTCTCTTTTTCAGATTTTATGTAGGTGGTTGTTGACAGTTCGGAAGAATTACAGAAATGTGATTTACCACAACTGGAGACACGCCTTCAATGTAGCTCAGTCAATGTTTTGTATGCTCACGGTAGGTTAAGTTCTGTTGGCTTATAGTAACCAAAATGCGCACCTACCCCTCCCCTAACCTAACATTAACCGTAACTTGTTATCAGTTTACTATCGTTGGGTTAGGGGAGGGGTAGTGGTAGGGGCGCAGTTGCTCAGATACTGATATTACATTTTCCACATGAAGGTTATGGTAAATCTACTCTTTCGTTGCCTCAGTCGATTGCCGCTGACCCTTTTTTGGTGGCAACAATTACATGAGACACTGATACACCTGTTTGCGCTTAATGAAGCTACGTTCTTATCTTCCTCTTGACATTTTCACACATTAAAGTCATCAAAGGAAATCTTCACCAACTAAAGAAGCTCTTGATTGTTTTAACAAATTCTCCTTGTCACCACTAAAGAAAATGTATAGAGAACAGTATGGAGAATATGCATACTGATGTTGGGGTGTAAAATAGTGAACCTTAAATTTCTGGCGTATTTCTGTTTAACAGACTGGAGGTATGAATAAGTTTATGAGCAATCTGGAATGTCTTGGATTGATTGTTGGGTGTCTGTGTCATGACCTGGACCACAGGGGAACCAACAACGCCTTTCAGACTAAGTAAGTTGCCCATGTGTGTTTTTAGTGATTCATCGGTAACCCACGCTTTTATATTCTGCTTACCCTGTCTGCTACTGCCTGTGTTCTTAGTAAAGTAATCCGCATTCTCAGCATTGTGTTTGTGCAATTTTCCTCACTAACAGAACTGACTCGCCGTTAGCCAAGCTTTACACCACATCTACTTTAGAGCATCATCACTTCAACCATGCTGTGATTATTCTTAGCACAGAGGTGAGACTAAACACTTATTTTGTTCAGTAACATTTCATCATTAAAAATCGCCTAAAATGGAATTAAAATTAGTTTACTTTTCAACAGCTACTTATTTTCTTTGTTTGCTTTGGAAGGGTCACAACATTTTCCAGAAACTAAACGCAGACGAATACAGACAAGTTATAAGTTATATAAAGCACTCGATCCTGTCGACGGATTTAGCCGTCAATTTCAGGTGAGTACATCGCGCCAGATCACGTACGCTGAACCTTTTCATATCTGTCAACGTTTTGAGACAAAAATTTGTCCCTGACAATGTCATAAGGAAAACTGTTCAGAATAATGTATGCCGATGTCGAGGTTTTGCTACTTTTTATGGTTTCTTTTGATTCTTTATATTTTTCATGGGATCAAAGAAGCGGTTTTACTTTAGTCTGTGTAAAAGACACACAAGTTTACCTGATGCGCGTGACTTAGACCGAGCGACAAGTCACGCGCAGAAGAGAGTGAGAGAGCTTCATTTTCACGAGTTTGCAATCCAGAGCTTGTACTTGAAAAGCGCTTTCAACGTAGGCTAACCTACTCCAACAATATGGACCATTGTGTGACTAAGCTTCAATCTTTGAAGAAAACAGAGAATGGTGAAGGCCAGCCCAAGTTATTAACTTAAAACAACCAGTGTTAAAAAACCGAAAAAAAGAAGACACTTCAGGGCGAAGATATTCGAGACAATTGCACTCGTTCATTGGCACGTATGTGTTCCAGCCTGTGTCACTCTAATAACGAGAAAGAGACTGCTTCTCTCTCACCTACCTTGGCTCTTGATTTTTCAGCTTACTGCCCGGTTGCTGTGGGTTTATATCAATATTGTCTTCTCCTTTTCCTTTAGGCAGCGGTCAATTCTCTTTCCTCTGGTTGAAAGAGGAGAACTTGATCCCACAATCCCGGATCACCGAGACATGCTTAAGTAAGGTTCTTTTTATTAAGGAGTCGCCGTTTGCTTTGATTGCCCGGAAGTTAGCAATTGTTAATGTCATATTGCAGAGTAGAGCGGTTTTCAACGCAACGAGGTACATGTAACTCGAGAACACACTGGCTGGGTCTTTCCTTCGCTCTGTGATTGCCGTTAACTAGTTAAATGCAAAACTGAAACCAGTTGTGACTTGAGCGCTCGCGTTTTCCAATGTTTCGCGTATCCCTTTTTTTTTTTCTTCAATGTTTGACATCTCACTGGTTCATGGCGACATTTTTCTTTGTTCGGACAAATTGCGGTGATAATCAAGGTTTTAGTTTACGATCAGTTTTCGATGAGTGTCGAAAATCCAAAACCAAAGGGATTACAAATAATAATCAGAACTAAGGGCAACATCATCATGAGCCAATGAGGACTCAATGTAAATAAAAGGCAACATGTCTGAAGCGCGGGAAAACGCGAGTGACTAATCAGACATTTGAAGTAGTCAACCATACTAAGTCCACTCAGCCGAATCCACCAATCATAGAATTAAACACAATAACCATAGCAACAGCCACTTATCCTAAAAGGGAATTGAGGAATTTCCAAATTTTTTTCACTTTAGACATTGCCTCTGCCGGAGATATTACACCTAAATGTATTTGTTGTTTTCTGAAATTGAAACGGTTATGAGTAATTGGTAACAGGACTTCTTGTTGTTCAATCCTGCCAGTAATCATACTCGTGATTAACAAATCGGACTTCCGCTCCGCGGTCGTCCAATTTTGTTTATCACTCGTATGATTACAGAGCGAATTGGACTCCACTCAGTCCAATTACCGTTACTAAACGAAATACGCTCAAATACCGGGTTTGGCGGTCTTTTGTCTTCTGTCTTCTCTCCAGTTCCTTGGCTTGTTTTGTCCATCATTATGTTATTTCTCTAGAGTTTTTGTTTTTTTTTGTTTTTTTTTTGTATTTTGTATTTTATTTGTTTTTGGGTTTTTACAGTTTTTACAAGTACGCAAGATACATCACAAATTTCTACATGCATAAATTTACATTACACTACTCTATTTACACAAAGAAAATACCACTACACTGGACTACGAGAATAAAAAAAAATTGTCTTGTTGTTGTTGTTTTTTTAAGGGCAATGAAAAAAACAAAAAAAAACAAAACAAAAACAAAAAACAAAAAAAAAAAGAGGCATCGCGTATTGATATAAATAATAAATTAGTTCAGCTATTGTTCTATCAGTTGAAGGAGGGGTTTCCATTTGTTGTAATGGATCTCAAGTTTATTATTCTTTCTGGCTATAAAACGTTCTATTTGAAACGTACTCTTAATTCTTTCGAAAAAGGATTTAAAGGATAGAGAAGTCTTATTTAGCTTGGTGCGATAAATAAAATATTTACCTTCTAGTACAATATAACTAAGAAGGATTCCGTCATTGTCATGATTAGGCGCGTCAAAAAAACCAAAAACCATATCTTTAATATCAGGAGACTTCAAGAGATTTCTCTAGAGTTGGTTTTGCGAGCTTAGGTTTTTTCAGAATGAGGTTTTCAGCCCCAGTCCCAACCCTCCTCCTTTCGCATTCTGGCGGGCTAGGAACCGCCATAGGCGGAGTTACCAGTAGTCGCAAACAGTCGAAGTTGAAATGTTGACCAAAAAAGCTTCAATGTTGCCTGAATAGAAACGATTTTATCCAGGAGATTATTAACGTCTGATATTTGGTTTCCCAGGTAGTCCATCTTGTGACAAGCGAGTTCTTTCAACAAGGAGATCTTGAGCGAAGCACACTCAAGATGGAACCGTCGGTGAGTAAAAAACATATTACCTATTTTATATGTTGGCACGTAGTATGCCAACAATCACGTTTATTTTGGGCAATTTATATAGTATTTTTTACATCCTCTCCTATATTTAATGTTAACTGAAGTCTACTTTGGATGCCCTCACTTGTGAAGTCCGCAACAATTATATTTTCAAAACTGTATGCCTTGTTAAAAAAAGCAGAGTCAACGATTTGTCAAGATTCAAGCCGTGAGTCAGTTCTCTGGTGAATCGAAGGCAAAGATTAATTACAGAAACCGCTATTTTCATCACTAGTTGAAGAAAAAGTCTGTACTTAAACCCAAGTGGCTCAAGAAGCCGGAGTTCATTCCGATTTCCTTAGCATGAAGCGACCAGAAGTATGTAACAATTACTTCTCCCCGCTGGACGGGATGCTAGTCAATCTTAAGGTTACCTCTTTCTCCCCCCCAAGCATTTCACTAGGCTTCCTTGACAAGAAACACAACAAAATAACCCGGCCAGGTCTCTAACTCAGACTTCTCGACCCGGAGTCCAACACACTGACCTTAAAGCCACCGCCTATATAAATTTAATAGGCAATGGCCCGCGACTAGTGATTGCCGGCAAATCTTGATTACTTGCCATACTCAAATGCAAACCGTTCACCGTTGATAATAACCATTTGTCTTTGTAGGCCCTCATGGACAGGCAAAAGGTCGACGAACTACCTGCACTCCAGGTGCAGTTCTTCGAAACGACAGGAATTCCCGTCTTCAAGGTATGCGGCGCATGTCATTATGAATATGTTGTCAGAACTCATGCATGGTTACGTTGTTGCAGGCTTGAAAGGTTTAAGTCACCCCTCTGTCAATGTCATTGTCTTCAAACCTCATTTAAATAGTTGGTTACCACCATATGTACCAGATCTTTTACAAAAACCAACAAAAAGATGAAAGTTTGATCAGTTCTATTCAGGGTAGAAAAAGATATAGTGAGGAAAATAGACCATGGAGAAAGGAATCCTCAGAGTTTACTAAAATTTAGATTGGTAATACAAATGGACAGTCTTGCTTTGTCAACGAATAAACACATTTTTGTTAAGTTTGGAGAGGGACTCTAGAAAAAATATTTGACGCGTGTGATTTGAGCACTTGTTAAGCCTTAATCCCAAAGAGTGACTGGCATCGAAATTATCCGTATAATATCACTTCTTAATCCAACATTAAGGTCATAGAATAAAGGAAATGATCGCTAAACGAAAAAAGCTCTCGATCGATATACAAATTCTCTTGTCAGTGCCAAAGGAATTGTTTAAAGAAAGGTATGGAGAATAAGCAGACTGATATAAGGGGCTAAATGGTTAATAAGTGAAGCGGGGAGTTACATTCCTTGACTCGTTGTTTCCCTTTTCAGTGCTTGGCTACATTCAACCCAAAGATTCGACCTCTCCTTGATGGCGCAGAATCCAACAAGAACCGCTGGTGTGAGTTAGAGAAAGAACGGCAGGCGCGGCAGAAGGAGGAAGAAGAGAACAAACACCAACCAATAACGTGACACTGCTGGCGTACTTCCTTCTTCTATTCATCGTATTCGTTACCGTACCGGCAAATGGTCGGAATCAATCGGAACTCAATCGGAATTCAATCGGAATTCAATCGGCTCATCTTTAAAAGCTGTCAATTGCTTCAAGGTGTCGTGGGGAATTCGCCACTGATTGGTCCAGTGGCCTCGTACAGCCATTTTTTCTTTTGCAAGATGTCTGATTTTAAGTCCTTCTCGATATCAAGTCACTCCGAAGACTTGGTAACCTCAAGGAATTATTATTATTGTTATTATTATTAAAACATAGGAAGGAACCCTATTTTGTATTTATCGTTAGGGATGGGAATGAATAGTCTCAAAATCGCAGTATTGTATTTTTTCTACGAAGATTCTTTATCCATTAAGCAAATGATTAGTTAGGTAATAGGGAAACATTTTTAATTATCTCTGCCAAGCTTGAACGACACGCCTCAATACTCCAACTGCGATGAACTGAATAACAAGCGTATCGCGAGATGAAGGTAAAACTCTCGATTTGATAATCTTGAGCTCGTTGTCTGAATTCTCGTAGCTGTCTATGTAGTTAAAAAGGTTATTTCATTTTCACTGAGCTGTCAGGTGTTAATAAGTCTCGTGCCCAGACCTTCCACGAGTAAGCATTTCAGTTACGGTTACAAGGTTGGATCTGGGTACGAGATAAATCAGGTGTATCTACTATTAAGTGAGTGTTAAGGTTGTTGGGGCCCATTTTTATGGTCTCGGGTACCCGAGACAACTTTCCCTCGAGTTATCCTGGCTGGGCTAACTTTCCGCTTACTTCTTTGAAAAATTTAACCAATCATTTACATGAAAAAATTGTGAAGTCGTCTCGGGAGGCGAGACACCCTTTTCTTATATAAATACTTCGGCGCTCTTACCTGAGAAGAGTCGGCATACAATTTTAGAGAGACTTTTAAGGGAACAGCTGTCACAACTCAAAACTTCATATAAACGCTCCGTTAAGTTGTCTCGAAGGAGGGTTGTCTCGGGTAAGAGAGACCATATAGAGCCTAAGAGAGGGTAACTTCTCGATCTTTAGGGAAAGCGAGTGTTGATATTTTTGAGACGTTAACGGATACCGGAAGACTACTGGATTTTTTCTTTTTTGACACTTCACTTCCGGTTGCGCAAGCTTCTCGAGAACGTCTTTGCCAAGACAGCTTTATTTATTAGTTAGTTTATAAGATGCCAATGGTGGCTCCTAAAATTAACATTTTGGCTCAGTCGTAACCGATAACAACCGTAAATAAAGGAAAACAGAAGTTGCTTCCAGCACTGAAAACCAGCATAGTCTCCTCAAGATGTATTTGTATTCTACTCTTGGAGATGACTTTGATTTTATCTTTCGATACATGATTTCTTTATTTGCCATTTTCTTTACGCTCATATTTATTTCTATTAGGATATGTCTTACTTCGCGACTTTTTCCGCCTCTGTAGGAAGACAGAACGAAAATCAAATGCTGGTGTAATCTATTTGTGGCTTTTCGTTGTGTTCGAATAAAGCGGAAAGTGTAGGAGACGAACAATGAAAATGTAAAATAACAACCCAAAAGACAGATGAGATTTAGTGGAAGAAATAAAGTCTTGTAAAAAGAGATATGAACCCCTGTTGCCTGTTTCTCTTAAAGCGCAGTTCCTTTTTCAGGGATGAATCACGAAAGGGATGAATCATGCGTGAGTTAAGCGAGAAGACGAGCGTATCCCCCACAACTCGCGACACAAGCGTGCGATTACTTGCACTCGCCAGGAGGCTAAAATTGCTTGTTCTACTGACTAATTTTTTCAGCGCAGAGAGTAAGAAATCAATCACACGCCGTTTGTAAGTTGGTTTCAATTTTATTACATTACCTTAAAATTTGAATTTTACCGTTTATTGGGTAGACGTTTTCCGGCGTATTTGTGTTGTCTTGACGGCTGCGAAAACAATTTTGATCAAAGTGCTCTCAGGAGAAAGGTTAACTTGCGTAAATAACACCCTTTAGGGGCCTTTTTTAATTATGATGAATTTGATATGAAATTGCTAAAATTTTACCCCGCTTTTAATTTTTCAATTTTTGTTTTGCAGGAAAAGAGACAAGCCTTGAAAATAACAAAACAAAAAATAAAAGCATCATTTATTCCAAAGAAACTGTAAAATCACACGTTTGAGTGTTTACCGTCTCTCAGGAAATCAACTCTGCCTTCAGGCATTCTTCCACTTAACAAGTCAAAAAACAACACCAATGCGGTGCACCACGCAGTGCGTATTATTTGATATAACAACCACTATAGGTTTCCAATAACTACCCCCAAATGGATTTGACGTTTCCCTAAGTAATTTATTAGATAGTATCATTCCACAAACAAAAACATAAAATGAAAATGAAAATTTCTTTTCGTTGTGAGTTGCTTTTGGTACACCGGCTCGATTAAACTAAATGAAATATTTGATTAAATTTTCAAGCACGCCGAATGTTGCACGCTATAAACTCAACTGAATCCCAATGCATTTGAATACTGAACAATTCATAACGCCCGGGTCGACCACTTCGCACCAATCAAAACAAAATTAGAGCCTTGTGTCACCTTCGACTCTCTAAAAAGAGCGGTTTTGTTTTGTTTGAAAAGGACCATCATTTTTTTTATTTTTCTATCCATCAGCCAAGAACAGGCAACAACATGCTTGTGAGCAAAACCCCTGACATCATTATCAGGCTTAAGTATTACAGTGTTTCCATTTCAATCTCATTCTCCCTTGCCCCTGATGCTAAGCATTCATATCCTTTCATGACATTTCTGGGGCCCTGACGATATCTTTCGCTGAATACAAGAAAAAAAATCTATGGGTTTAGTGAAGTGTTTGAATCAAATATGAATTTGACTAAATAGCTCAAGTTGTCGATCGCAAAAAGAATTTCCTTACTCCATGCAAAAAAAAAAGAAAAACCTATAACATCTGTAGGCTAAATGCAAATGAGAAATGGAAGTATTATGGCCAAAGTGTTCCAAATAATTTTGGTGTTTTCTTCTCGTGGACTTTTTAGAATGAAGATGAAATATTTTTCCAGCAAGTTCTCTCTCTTTTTTGATCTCTTAACATGATCGAGTTCAAAACAATTTTTACGGCCAATGAAGGTAAAGAGGTAAAAAACGTGGAGAGTATTATGAAGCGAACTTAACCCGCAAACAGTGTCAAAAGCCAGCTCAGAGCTGCTAAAAAAACACTAATGGTTCCTTTGACCCTATGACCCGTTAAATTCAAGCAATGAAGAAATGTCTAGTGTATGCACCCATCGATATTAACCAGATGAGTGCAATTACGAATTTTAACCTTTGAAGAGATATGAAAGGCTTTCGAAACGGCGACACCACCCCGGTATATCTAGCTATCAAGCGTAAGAACCACAATGTTTTGTATCGATGCAGCGGTTGAAATGTTTTGAAAAGAGTAAACAGTTTTTACAAAGGACTGCATCGAACAGACCGTGGAACAACCATTCCTGCGAAAGCCAATGAATATCTATCTCAGTTCTCTTGGCACCGCAAGTGCAGAAAGAAGTAAATCTGGCACTGCCATGTTTCTGATCAAATAGTTCGTAGTGTTCCACACGTGTCTGTTTTTGGCAATCTGGCACTGCCATGTTTCTGATCAAATAGTTCGTAGTGTTCCACACGTGTCTGTTTTTGGCAACAATGACAGCCGCGTTTCCCAAAAACAAAAGTGATATCAGAACTGTGTAGCGTGCGGCTGGGGTGGAAGAACCTCCGGTGACAAAATCATTTTATAAGAATAATTTATTTTTTTCACCTCTCGCGCCATTAAAACTACCTAATCAATTCCACCAATCGATAAATCAACTTCACCAATGATTAGTTTCTATCTGTAAGCTACCATTATCTAAAGCCTAATCTTCGTTCAGCATCCAGAGGTCTGTTATTGAAAGTACCTGAGTACCTACGGTGCTCGATTCGTGAGGAAGAGGAGAGGGGCGTGGAGGTGAATGGGAACACGGAGAGAAACAATCAATTTTCCCTGGTCTCCCTGTTAAACTATATAAGTGGCGACTGATTCCCCCCCCCCTACACTCTGTTCTCCCTTAAAACCATAAAAAAAACCCTAAAAAAATCTCCCCCCTCCCAGCCCCGCAGGTGTTAGTTAATGACTAGCTTCTTGATTATAGCAAATAGACCCGCTCGCTGGCTGCCGTGAGGAAAAACGATTACTTCAAATACTACTAGAGGCGTAGTGGGACCCACTGTAAGGAATTTCGAGTCAATTCTTAAGCTTGCGAGTAAGATTAGTTAATGAAAACCCGTTTGTATCGGCCCACAAGATTCCAGAATTTCGTGCGGCTCCGTTCGAAAGCCTTTTCCGGGGAGATTTTAATTTGCTATCCGCTATTGAGTGAAGAATATATCAATAGAAAAAAAGTAATATCTCATTACTTTTCTTGATAGATATCAACCTAATTGGTATGGGGACAAAAGAAATTGCAAAAGACGAAAGAACAACAAGGGTAAAAAAAATACGCGAAAAGAGTGCCTTTTTTTCTTCAAAAGATAATGTTCTCACACCTAAAGCTCTACGGTTTCTTTAAAATGAACATAGATGTCGCGTAAAGACTGAATATGCAATTTAATTGTTTTCAACAAATACAAAAGGAAAAATGTAAACCAATATTTCGAAAAAAACTTAAGTTCAAGTTTTTAACACAAACTCAGCTCGAAAATGACAAGATTTTATCTTCGAATGTTCAATCTTACCTTTTTTTTTAGTGGATTTACATTTAGTTTAATTGAATTTGACCATCTTGTTAATTACTTAACGAGTGAAAACTACTTAGTCCGTTATTAGTTTTTTTGTGAAATTAGACTTAGTGGCGTCAGGTGCATTAAAAAAAAACGTCCATATGGTATTAGAAGCCTTACATAATAATTTGCTGAAAATTGGTCACAGAATTGTGTAGATAAAAAAGTTTATAATCTGTCGGTGGACATATATACGATTATCGTAATCCAGTTTGCGACTTTGAAGAGTGTCAGATAACACTGTCCATTCAAATCCGTGTTAAACCCTTATTTTTCAACGCCACTCCCGAAACAAAGCCATGTTATCTCACGGAACGATCCACTTTTCTACCCTTGTTGACGAGCTTAAGTGACCGCGAGCAAAGTAAAGGAAAACAACCATTAAATTCAGTTATTATGCCTGTCTTCTAAATAAAACGTTATTCAAACCAGGGGTCAATGTGCTACAGCTATTAAAATGTGGTCATTTCGACGCTTTTTAACTGTCTTTCCTGTGCGAACCATTTGTGGCCTTTGAAGAGGTTTCGTAGACCCTGGCGATATCTTTCATTTAAGATGAAATAAACGCAAGGATTGAGAGAGGCGTTGGAGTAAAAAACAAACTTGACTGCGAAGCTTAAATTGTCCATACCGCACGGGATTCCCTCGTGCCATGCAAAAAGAAATAAAAAACCTACAATATCTATGGGTAAAATGCAGATCATAAACAAACAGATAATCGCTAAAATTTTCTTGATAACTTGAGTATTTTCCTTTTGCCGGCTCTTTAGCAGAGAAGAGGAACATTTTCGCCAAAAGGACTTCCGCTTTTCCAAAGCCTTAAATATAAGTGAATATAAAACAATAAGAATGCCAAGAGGAATGACGATCAAAAGTAGTGACAATATTATGAAGTTAACTCTTAATCCCTGTAAATTGTCAAATGCTGGCTCAAAGCTGAAAATACATACATTCGCACCATTCACCCTCTGCACGCGATAAATGTAAAGATAAATGCCGTGCAGACTCATCGCTATTAACCAGATGGAAACAATCACCACCTTGCGTCGTCGTGGAGCTATGAAAGGCTTCCGAAATGGCGACACTAACCCTACATATCTATCAAGCGTAATGACAACAATGCTTTGTATCGATACAGCGGTTGAAATGTCTTGAAAAAAATAAACAGTTTTACAAAGAACGGCACCGAACAGACCGTGGAACAACCATCCTTGAAAACCAATGAACAACTCCGTCATTTCTCTGGGCACCGCAAATGCAGAAAGAAGCAAATCTGACACTGCCATGTTAGCGATCAAATAGTTCGTTGTGGTCCGCATCTGCCTGGTTTTGGCAACAATGGCGATGACCGCCGCGTTTCCAAAAAAAGAAAACAACATCAGAACTGTGTAGCATGCGGCTTTAGTGGCCTTCACGGAGATAGAATCTTCTTTTCTGAAAGGAATGCATTTGGAGGCTTCGGTTGCGTTTGCAAACGTTGAATTTTCCAGCAAGGAATTGTTCATTGTGTATTGACAAAAAAATCCTAGTTTTTTTATCTTCATTTGCAGAGAAGAATGCTTGTTAATTTTGTGATCTGTGTAGTGTCTTTATCTCTTTGCCAGGTGATATCGTTTCAATGGGATAGTCTAGGGGAGGGGGCGTGACAATTTATCTTGAGTTACAAACAAACTTAATTTTTATTTTGCAGCCTCAACTCCTACGTTTAAGTGGGGAAGGGTCGGGACAATTTATCTTCAACCATAAACAAACATAATTTCTTTACTGCAGTCTTAAGCTCCTACACTTTCAAGTGGCCGTATTGGTGTTATTACGATTGTTATGGCTTTCGAATCTTTATCCGTGGGCTACAATTTAGGGTGACCTAATTAAAGTCAATCAAGGCGTTTTTACCGACCGGCGGTCGTATTCACCTTTTTTTAAGAATATTTTGTATTTTAACTTGTTTTATTTTTTTACACATCTAATTTAAATTCCAATTAAAATCGATAATTTTTGAGATGAACATTTACTGAAATACGTCTAGCCTTCTACTTTGGTAACCTCAAATCTACATGTAACTTAAAACGTATTTAAGAACTGTAAAAGAGATCAAAATTCAAACCGGCTGGGCGTAATAAGAGAACGGACAAGTGTATGGAAAAGTAAAACTTTTTATTCACAACTTCAACTCAGATTTCACACTTTTTAGAATTTATTAATGCATCAACGCGATGTTACCATTTCCTTTTTGCAAGCCGAAATGTTAGATAAATCATAAATTCCTTTATTTCATTTTAAGGGCTAAAATTCTTTTATTCCTTTCGGGAGATCTTCACATGAAAAAGTTATTGCATTTCTGTTTCTTGATAATCCTAAAAATACTATAGAGTTTATGGGCTTTAAGACATAATTTATTTATTTTCTTTGGCGTTTTCCTTTACCGATTCACGCTTGAATTATTTCTAATGGTTCTTATGACGATCACATATAGGAGAAATGATGAATCACTGTGGCTTCTTCTTACGTTTCCTTCTGTAAAGCAACCGCATAGATCAAACTCTGCGTGTGAGTATCGGAAACTTTAAAAAGAGAAATGAAAAATAGAGTCTTCTCATGACGGTTTTCCCTTGATTAGTTTATCGTGGGAGTGAAGATTAAAATAAAAAAAATATCTCGGGCAAAAATATCTCTGTGAATGCAGATGGAAAATACGAAAAAACTTTCCATGAAGAGTTAGTTACTCGCTTAAACTGAAACCAAGTCAGGGAAAATCTGCTGTAGGAAATTCCAACGAAAATTATCTTATAGGAAACTATTTTCCATTCAACAGGCCAAAAAGGAAAGGGATAAAAGAAGTAAAGAAGAAAGAATGAATGAAAAAGAAACAAAAGGGGTGAAAGAAGGAAATGAATAAAAAAAAAAAAAAAAAAGAAAAGAAAAGAAATATGCTTGAGTGTCCTGTGGCATTTCAAAGAGAGACTGGGAAACAGTCCCACAGTCATTACTAGTCAGTTGTCAGTACATTTGAGTAGAAAGCGCGCGAACCGGCAACATGGATGGTGAGCAATTTTTCGATCATTTCTGGAGGAAAACGTTACATTTGTAGCTAATTTCGTTTGTGGTACAACGTAGTGATATTTTGGTTGTTATGTCTTAGTTTCCATGGCAGACCAGGCTCTTGCTCGCTATAAATGCGACTCCAACACAGCTGTACGTTTCAAGCTCGGTAAGCCTTCAATCGACTTTCTCGTGTGTAAATTTAAGTGCACTAGTTAACTTATGTTCTGTCAGTGGAGTTCTCGAGGGAGATATTTATTTACCTGTCTCAATAACGTATTGCAATGAATATTCATACAGCTTTGCGTGTGTGAGAATAAAAAAACTAAAGCTCTGTTGCAGATGTTCTAATCGAGAAAAACAGGAAACTCGTGAAGTACAGAAACAAGTGATTTTTCAGAAATGAAATTGAAATCAACGCTTTATTTGAGCAATTTGTCTCTCGGTTTTAAATTCAGGATGATCTTCCCTATCTCAGGAAAGCAAACTGTTGTCACGCTCCTTAAAGTTACTAATCTTCTGCAACCAATTTTTTCCCTTTTTTGCAGTTCAATGTGAGAATGATGTATTTGACAAGGGCAAAGAATTCCATCCAACATTTTCACACCAGTACTTCGGTGACAAGTGAGTCTTGTGAATTCTTTTGCTTTATCCAAAGATATAGTTACCATTTTTGTCATTAAGGTGTAGAGTGCGTTTTGAGTTATTTTTGAATTACCAAATCCAATCAGATCAATAGATATTATCAATAAGAGCCAATTAGACATCAAAGTAAAAAGGATAAATGAACTTTTAAATTTTTTTCTTTGCAGTGAAACCATATTTGGTTACAGCAACTTGGAAGTGCAGGTAAATCTCTAAATCATTGAACTGAAGCATGATGGTAAGTAAGCCTGCAGTTTGTAATACTGCGCATGGTAGTAAGTTATACTTGGTTGATTTTTTCTGTCAGTCAGCCAGCAAGTCTGTTTGTCCATCAGTCAGTCAGCCAGTCAGTCCATCAGTCCATTAGTTAGTGACTCAGGCAGTTTCTTTTTTTATCTGTCAGTTAAGTTGCTAGTCACTAAGTGATGCTCAGTGAATACAGTTTGTGTCATTTTCCCTTTTTTTTTTCAGTTGTACTATCATGCTGGAAGTCTTCTTGCTTACATAGGCATGAAACATGATGGACAGGTTAATAGCAAGGGATTAGAGGTAAGAGGTACCCTGTTTCCAGAATTCTACCTTTATTTTAAGATCACTGTGCTGGACTCTTGAAAGAAGAGTCCAAGTTTGATCTCTAGCAGTAGTTTTTTTGCGTTGTGATCTTGATTAATTAAGTTACTTACTTAGACTATTGTTCTACCTAGGAGTATAGCGGATACCAGAGTGCCTACCCATGATAAATTAGAATCTTGTTCAGAGTAATGGGGCAATTTAAGTATGTCATAACTTAAATTGATAAATTGAAGGGGAAAAACTGAAAAGAAGAGAGAATGAGAGGATTTGGGGGCTTCCTATTTCAGGAAATTTGAGGAGTATTTCAAAATTGCTGTAATTGTGGCATGATGCTGCATAGGCTAGTAATTTTGAAATTATTCACAGAAAAGTAGAGTACCATGTAATAACTTATTATCTCTTTATCTCATATTTATCATTTTATTTGCTCTTCAGCCTGATCCTGTTATGAGTATTGTTGCAGAGAGATACCCAGCTGGTAATGTGGAAACCTATCATTCATTTTTTACCATGATTTCTTCACTCTTTAAACCATTATTGCTTTGTATTCTCCTAGGATTTCTGACAAATTTGGATCAGTTTATTGCAAAACTTCCTGGTGAAGGGAAATTCAGACCAATGGGGGAACTGCTGCATTCATACAAGCAAAACAATGCTGAATATGAGATGTATCAGGTGATTTTTCCACTTAGCGAGCAAGAACATGTTTTGTGTAGTTCAAGTATTGTCATAATTCCTATTGGTACATAATGAAATGTGAATCAAAACAGTTTTTCAATAGGTTTATAGGGTAAGTGTTGTTAACCCTTTACCTCCCAAGATCTGTTTGATATTTCTCCTCTCTAGCTATTACACATTTCCTCATAAATTAATTGCAAGAATTTAGTGTTAGATCAAGATAACAACTTCTTCCTGATAACTTAAAAAATTCCCATTTCTTGTTTGCTGGATAGTGTTTGGATGTTATAGGGAGAAGTTACATGTTAATCACTTCTGGGAGTAAATGGATTAAGGAAGCAATAAGGGAGGACAACGATCTCCTCAGTGGCCACTGTGGTCACTATGGCAACTGAGCCATAGCTCATCTCCAGGTCCCCTGGAATGATTATGTACTAAAAATGTGGGAAGGGGTGAGCAAAAAAGCTAAACAAATTGAGCAAAAGCATAGAGCTATGCCTTTGCAAACCATCCTGAAACCCCAGACATTGCAGAGAGGAGGGTGGCACTGGTGTCTTCAAGGTTTCAAAATGTGTTCATTTTCAGCTATTTTGTTGCAAGTGCCCCAATAGTTTTGTTAAGGATTGTAACATACAGCCCTAATGTAGCTCACTAATGAGCTCTCTGCAGCCTAGCAGGTAATTTAGTGTTAACAACTGAGTTGAAAACGTAAATTAGCCAAATTAGCCATCATAAAGGGTAAAAAAGCTGATGTTTCGAGCGTTAGCCCTTCATCAGAGCAATTGACAAAGGTGTTATCAACTCAGTTGATAACACTAAATTACCTGCTATACTCTCCCACTGATGCAGCACCACAGTTTCTTCAGAAACTTACCCCTTTATCTCTGCAGCCTAGTTTGAGCAGGGTTAAAAATTTTTCTTGGTTTCAGATTTCTCAAACCAGTTTCAGTTTTATCATTTATCTTATATTCATTACTGCAGTCTGAAACTATGGAAGATAAGAATTAATCTGATTTGAATTTTACAATTATTGTAATTATTACAATATCATAATTTTATATTTAGGCTGATATAACTACTCCAAGACTCAGGGATTACCATGAAAGACTCCAGACATTCTTGCTATGGTTCATTGATGCATCATCATATATAGGTACGAGATTGAGGTTTCATTATTATTATTCTCAATCAATTATCAGGTTGTTTCAATTGGTCATCTTGCCAGCATGGCTGTTTTGACAAGTCAAGCTAATATCAGTATGCTTGTCTCCTTACTGTTTCCTACACATTTCTCAAGGTGCTGACAATGAGAATTTGTTTAACAATCAAGGGTTTCTTTAGTTGTTGATCATTTCCTGTATTCTCATGACCTGAATGTTTGATTCAGGGGTAATATGGAAAGGAGAAATTAAATGCTGGTCACTGGTAGGGGTCAAAGGTTAAAAATGGCTAAATAATTACCTTGGTATGCTTTGCTTCATTAGATACTGATGATGAAAGATGGCACTTTTTCATTCTGTAAGTTTGCCACACTATGTTCAGTTGATTTAAATAACATACTTTTAAGATATCATTACTGTCCAATGATTTTCCCTCTTTACAAGTGTTTTAACACTATATACCCCAACATCAGCATGTGTATTCTTCATACTATTTTCTGTATGTCTCCCATGGTACTAGTCACTCTTGGGTCTTTAAGAGTTAAAATAGTTTATTAAGCGCTGAAAAAGTGTACTTGTATGTATTTAATCTATTCAGATTACATGTACTTAAGGCATCAGTCAACAAAGTATTGAATGATACTTTAAGTCAACTTGTCAGCTGACTGTCAGTTACCATGTCATGCAACTTGGTAGAATGTCAGTTGCCACCATCAGTCAACACTCCATGGACACCTAAACAGTTATGTTGGGATCAACAGTTGGCAGCATATCTGTCAAGTGTCAGTGGTGTATCAGTGGACTGTCAGTAGTATATATGTATTGCTAACTGTTGTTTTGCTGGAATGGGACTCTTCTCCTAGCCCCTTCCCAATATCCACAGGTACTTGGTTCATATGTCAGTTGAGTATCACCTGATATATGTGGATGGACACTTGTTTGATGTGTTGATCGATAGTATCCACCAATACTCCATTGACAGATGCCTTCAGTACACCTAATTCCATTATTCAACCTGTCAGAATGTGATAGTTCTATGATTCCCATGCAAAAAGAGCAATAACATCTTGTCTGTAACTAATATGTTGTAGATTTGAGAAAAGGAAAGAAGCTGGAGAGACACTTTATAGTTTGGTTGGATACATGACAGTGTACCAGTATTATGCATATCCAGATAAGATTAGACCTCGCATTAGGTTTGTACATGTACCATATTTCCTCAAATAAGCCCCTGGACATTTAGTTAAACCTTTAACTCCCAAGATCTGATTGTTAATTCTCCCTCTTGCTGCTGACCATCAACTTTTAAATTGATAACAAGAATTTGGTGTCAGACCAAGATAACAACTTCTACCTGATAAGTTTGAGTATTCTCATTGCCTGTTTGCCAAAAAATGTAAGGATATAATAGGAAGAAGTTACATGTTAATCACTTCTAGGAGCTAAAGGGTTAAAATTTCTTCTAAAAGAAGGGGGGGCACCTCTTGGAGGGAGGGCAATTAATTGAGGGGGTCACTTATTATTCTCTTGTGTCGATGATGACTCTGCTGTAGTTTAAGCTTAAGAAGTTACTAATAAAGTGGCAATAGAAACAGGTTTTCCCTGTTTCCCTATTATTAAAGTAGCAGTAGAAACAGATTTTCCTTGTTTCCCTATTATTAGAGTTGCAATAGAAACAGGTTTTCCTTGTTTCCCTATTATTAAAGTAGCAATAGAAACAGGTTTTCCTTGTTTCCCTACTATTTAAGAAAGTAAGGGAGGAAGGGGGGAAGGGAGAGTGCTTGTTTGACATTGTGGCCCAGGGTGGATATTTATTCAGGGGAGGGTGCCTTTAGAGCATGGGTACTTATTCAAGAAAATATCAATTCATTAGTATGTATATAAGCCTATTACATCAAAATAATGTCAAATACCATCATTGAACAATTCATCAGTGGACACAATTACTTAAGGTAAAACTTGATTTATTTTTGCAGTCAAATGTTGATTCTTCCTCCATTTAAAAGACAAGGCCATGGAGGTTAGTTCATTGTGTAGAGTTGGTAATATCTGATATTACCAAGGAAGTTCTAGTCATTCAGTGTTCAGTGTTCAGTATTCAGCTTTTCTTGCCTAATAAAATGTTTTCAAAGTAAGCTTCAAGACACTTTGAAGTACATTACCATGACATGAACAAACTAAATAGGAGTGTTTTTACTCACCATTTCACCTAAAAATAAAGAACCAAATTCAAATTTTCTTGAGGATTATCCAATTGCAAGTGGTTAGGTAACTTTTAGCTATGCATTCAAATCCCTCATCCTGTTACCTACAGAATCTGTTTTTGCTGCTCTCAGTTCAACTCCTTGGCCAAGCTTTGAACTTACCAAACTCATCTACCCCTCATCAGTTGCAATTTTTAACTGCTTTTTATGCTTTTGTGGAATATTGTTGGGTTCCTGTTAAGTTTGCACTTTTGCCCTGCGTCAATGGATAATAATGATGATGACAATACTATTATGATGATTGCCTCCTTTGTAGCTCAGATGCTTCAGACAGTTGACAGATTTTACATCAAGGACCCACAAGTCTTGGACATTACAGGTGAGCAATGATAGGATAGAAGGAGCTGGGGCATGAAACTACATGCCACCCCTCTCCTTTGCAAATGTTTGTTTTGGTTGGGTCTCCTTTCTTACTATTTAGCACAAAATCATCAGTCTCACCATTGCAGTGGCAGTGTGCAGTAGTTATGATTTCATCACTTGTTTTTACCTGTTTGACTATTTTTTCTTTTACAGTTGAGGATCCTTCCTTTGACTTCCTGAGATTGCGAGACTATGTAGATGCCTTAGCTTGTATTAATCTGTCAGCATTTTCACAAGAGAACCTGCGCAATGGATTTAGTGGTGAAATGGTGAAAGAGGCTCGGGAAAAACTGAAAATCAACAAGGTGAGAAGTTTTGTGATTGAAAAGGCAAAATAGTGGAGATGCATACATTCTCTTAGCAGGGAATTAATTAATTTCTAAACAACCAACCCAGCATGGATTGCGAGATAAAATTTGAGGTAAGTTAAGCATTGGTAATGTTTAGGTTAGCTTATGAGAGATTGAAGTGAAGTTCAACTTGTTAATAGACCTTTCTCTTTCTTTATTTCAGATTCAATGCAGAAGAGTTTATGAGATTCTCCGTCTTCGGGTTACGGATCTTAGCAATGCAGAGGATTACAAGTCTTACCGGCTGGAAGTGAAAAAGAGGCTCAATGTTCCTTTTCAGGTATACTGTACAATTTATTGCTACATACCCAGAGAAACATAGCTGAAACACACACAAAATCTGATTTCTTGACGCCTAAAATGTACCATTTAGCAAATAGCTTTAAGAAATTCATTTCAGAAACTACTTTTATCAGGAAATTACATTCACAATGAGTGCAAATTTAATATTTTTTTGTGTGAAAAGTTGTTTTTGAGCTACATGTATATCAAGGTGGTATTTTATCTGTCCAATGACTCTAAAATAAGTGTACCTTGCCAGAATAGTAGTGAACAGTGGTTTTCATAGGGGTTAAAATTATATTTTATTTAGAAAGAAAAAGCTGATATGGAAAAGCTGAAGCTAATCTTGAAGCCTGAAGAACTGACTGCAACTGTCAACATGCAGACACCACAAGAACGAATGCAGCACCTTGAGCAGTTATACCAAGAGCTGGAATCACACTATAAGAAAACCCTTGAAAGAATTGCTGCTTCTTAAACCTCACATCACCCAGCCACTTGCTAAACAATTGCAAAAAAGGAAATACATAGTTCTGTAACAAATTACCATTGCTTTAGTTTGAAATTCAAATGAGGGCAGGGTTGGTTCAGTTAGTTGGAAACTATCTGTTAAATGTTGTAAGTGCAACTGAAAGTTAAATTTGAAGACATGGCCACTCACAACTTATTAGTTTAGTGTGTTTGTCTGATCAAAGAAGACTATCATTTACTGTTCTCATCTTTATTGTGAGTTCAAGTGAATGCTAAGTGGGCATTAGTACCAGCTATTCAAACTGATACTGTAGGATGCCATGCTTTCCGAGAGACACAATACTATTTTGTTGTTGTTTACCCTCGCATTGCATACAGTGGTATGATAGATGTTCAGTTAACCCTTTACACCCTAACATGAGTATGCATATTCTCCATACTGTCCTCTACATGTTGCCCAACTTGCAGACAAGGAGAACTTGTTTAACAATCAAGAGCTTCTTTAGGTGGTGATCATTTCCTTTATTCTCATGACCTTAGAGTGTGACTCAGGAGTGATATTGTAGGGAGAAATTAAATGTTAGTCACTCTTAGGAGTCAAAGGGTTAAAAGAAGATGAAGTATTTGACATGGTTTTCATGTCAGTTTCCTCAGCAGCTGTCATTTGGGTGGTCATGGGTTATGCTCTGCAGGGGCATGTTGTGAGTAAGGTAACTGAGCTGTCATTTGGGTTGAGTCGATAACATAAATTGGCCATCATAAAGAGTTTCAAAGCTGACATTTCAAGCATTAACCCTTCATCACCTTTGTCCCTTTAAAACCCTTTACAGTGGCCACTTATTGTCATCAACTCAGTTGATAATACTAAATTACCCTGTTATACTCTCCCATCGACACAGCACCACAGTTTCTTTAGAAACTAACCCCCTTTATTCATTTGGGTTGTCATGCACCATGCTCTCTGGGAGCATGTTGTGAGAAAGGCTTCCAAGGAGATCACTGTCACGATTACCAGTGAGATATCATGCATCTTTTGACCTTTACGTGTATTTTTTCAATTTGGACCTGGTTATCTGTACAATGCTACCACAGTCATGTTTATGGACTGAAAAACAATGAAGGTGGCTGACAAAATGGTTCTTATGCAGTCTGAGAAATACAACATTGTTCTACGCATGTACTTGATAGTATGACAGTATCTTGTGTAAATTTTCTGAGGAAAACTATTTAGGAAACCGTGACATGAAGGTCAAGGATTAGACCATTTGATATCTAGCCACTTATAATCCACTTTGTAATTCAAAGATTCAGATATGCATCAATATTTACACAAAATATCTTAAACATTAACATAGTCAATGGGTATTATTTTTTTCTTGTCAACTTCCTATAGGCTCCTCTATAATCTTATCTAATGGTTCCACCTGTAAGAGTTAAAAACCCCAGTTTTACCACATAAGAATTTGCAGCAAAAGAAAATTTTCCACTTATGGTATGTTGGAGTCTGCAAGGGCATTTTGACTTTGGCCATCATCTGTATTGAACATTCCACCCAAGAAAAATTTTAAGACAAGAAAACAAACATCAATGGTAAAAAAAAAAATATCCCTTCATTTCACTTGTGGTTCAGTAAGGTTAGGCTTGTCTGTTGAAAACCAGTTTTCAAAGGTTAGCAACATCAAAAAATTAACATTGTCATGCCCCTCTTTGCATTTACATATATTTTTCAAATGATTCTTTTGAAGTTTAACCATATCCTCTGGAAAGTGGGAACTTAAATTTCCTTTTGTCTGTTTGCATTTCTTTGGTCCCATAGTCTAGCAAGTTGAAACAACTGGAAAATAATCCACAAGGGTTCAAGCAGTATGCAGAGAGAGTCTTGACCATTTGCCCCAGGCAAGCTGATCTTCTGCTTGATCTGATGGATTTAATATTTCACTTGCTTAAAGGGCAAGTAAGAGATTGACACTTTTTTGTCTGCTGATGAAGAAAGGCTGGTATGAAGAGGTTTAGGGCTAGCTGGAAATGGTTCCATAGGGCAAGCTGAAAAATCAATTTTCTTTGCACCTTATCACTTTTAAACAACCATCTCATAAGTTCCTAGCTTTCTCCATTCTGTTCTAGAACAAAAATGTAAAAGGTTAACCCCCTCAAGATTTCACACAAGACTACCAATGGACAGGTGATGATGTCACTGTCTTGGTTTCTGTTGGATCTTATCTATCTCTTCCTGAACATTTTTGAAAAAATTCCTTGAGAAGGAAACAACTCTGTTTGACATCTGGCTGTTTTTCTTAACATTTTCTGGAGCCTCCCTAGATTTGACAGCTTTATCAAGAGCATCATTACCTATTAACAAAAATAAATAGATTCTTGTATTTGAGTTGGGACTAAATTATTTCTGATTTAATTTAGAGGGGTAGTGATTTCATTTTTGATGTGAAAGCGGGTTGGTTCTCAAGCTGCAATGATGATCCTCATAATAATCACAATTAAATAACAACAATTGATTTATTCCTGACTAGCATGGCTCCTTAAAATTCTGAGGCTTTTACTAGTGAACTATTAACAAAATGAAATTGGGCTACTGCTACTGCTATCTTGTTATTTATCATTTTGCTCCATGTTACTAAGTTAACACCTTAACTTGATTTGCACAAAGGATGGATAAATTGCTATTCAGCAGATAGGTGTTAATAAAACATACTGCGCTATCCAACAGAAGGTGATTTCTCCAGAGGATGGTGTTACCCACCTTTCAAACAACCAGGAACTTTAACAGGCTATATTTTACAGATAAATTCCTAAGTCACACCAGAGAATGAAAGTCTTAGTTACAGACTTACCCCAGAGTGTTACCTGTCTGTAGGTGTAATGTGTCAGCTGAGCCAGACGACGAATGGGGTATGAATTAGCAAGCTGTCAACAACAGCAACCCTTAATTAGTCAAGCATTTACTTCCTGTTTAAAGACCTTAAAATTATGACTGTTGTAAATAACAAATACATTTTAAATTTCATCTTGTAAATTAGAGGGTGATCATTAAAAAAAAAGGTCACTAGGTAAGTCCAAATACTATTGATCTTTGCAAAAATAACATTCTGAATATCTATTTGAATTCATTCTCTCAAAAGAAAGGCAAAATACAATTGTACAATTTAATGTACAAAATAAAAGATATAAGAATATTCACAAAATAATGAAAAAGCATTTGTGTAGGTTTAAATTAAGGCTGTGTAAAATAATAAAATGGTTCAAGTTTTGACAGAAACTGTTGTGCTGCATCTGTAGGGGGTATTACAAGATAATTTTGGTTTTATCCACTGAGTTGATAATGTAACTCAACCACAATAAAGCTGACGTTTCAAGCATTAGCCCTTTGCATCAGACTCTCCCTTTAACAAGGGGCTAACACTCAAAATGTCAGCTTCAGAAACTCTTAACCATGATCAATTCACATTATGATTATCAACTAAGTTGATACAACCAAACTATGAGAATAAATGATAGTGGAAAGGTGGATTGAAAATTTTTTAACATCTGTGTTAAAGCATTCACGCGAACAAGATTTAGTTAATCATGTTCGAGTGAATGTTTTGTTAAGTACTGAATGCATGATGCATTCAGCACTTAAGACTGCTTTGTCTCAATAAGTTTCATAGGTTCATTACTTACTCTTTCAACGACTTGTTCATTGGCCAGAAAACTATAAAACATGGAAACAAAATCAATTTGCAAATAACACCCCAGAAAAGTGACTTAGAATTTTAAATTAACGAACGGGAGAGCAACTGCAGAATACCCTGCCACTTTGGTCCACCTCATTTACATGTGTTGGGAGGCTTTGAAGATCGAGGCACAATACAATGAACGTTATTCCTATTCAGTGACATGTAAAATGAGTTGCAAGGTATTCTGCAGCTTAGCCAAAGCTGACGTTTCCAGCTTAAGGTTCACTCTGTCACTTTACAGTGTACGTTTCAACATCATGTGATGAAATTTCCTTACGATTATTTAAGTTGTACCACAACTTGATTACAATGGTAAACTGGAAATTTCTACCACAGAACAAACTTAACACTGGTAAATGGACTTCAAGACTAACCTGAGAAGATATCGTAACGGCATCTTCGATCTTCTTCGGTACCCTCTTCGACGAGGAAACAAAGTAACCGAGCCTTTATTGTAGAGTAGTCCTGGGGCTCAATTTCAGATTACAAGAAGAATTAGGCTAGTAGGAAGGGGAAAGGGCTGGGGAGGGAGGGCTTAAGGGGAAAGCAGCCGGGTACCACATGTATCACCTGTAAAAAGAGTTTCCACTTAACGACTTCTTCAACTCTAAAGCTTGGGTGGGAAGTTTAAGAATTTAGGGGCACGATTTAGATTTGTCACGTTAACCTGTAATCTACTAAAAAAAAACCCCAAGGGCTCCGCCGTAAATGATCATTAACAGGGTTTGTACCCATTTTCAGAAACAAATTTGAAGAACTTTTCCACGGCTTTTCAAGGACTAAGATTGATTTTTCCACGGCTTCGATTATCACCTTAAACCCTCTCATTACCAAGATTTCAAAATCAATTCTCCTTACTGTCTTGCATATATTTCCTCTCATGAAAATTCTGAAAACTTTCTACGCTTTCCAGGACCTGTACTAACCCTGCATTTATTTCAGTGTTCTCCCTTATTTTACGCATGACAGGTAAAATAAATTTTCAAACTGGTAAAGCGATCCTTTTACCTGTTGAATTTTAAAGAATTCCAAGCAATTTTAAACGGTAATAAGAGGTACTACAGGCGGTAAGTGTTACCGGTTACCGCCTAAAAAGGAGAACACTGTTATTTGCTGAAAGTTTTAATTTCTACCCAAAAGCCAATTTCTTGTCTTGGAGCAAATTTCTACTGAATATTGAAAGTAAAGCGGAATTGAACGGCTTCTGCTTCTCCACGTCCGATGATTAGGCAAAATGAAACTCGGCCAATCGTTAATCATTCACGTTTTCCCGCACTTATAGTAGTTTTCTTTAGTTTACTTTGATATCTCATTGGCTCCTTAGAATATCTTTCTTTCTCCTCATTGGCCACTTTGGTGTTGATTCCACGACAGCCAGTCAAAGAGCGCTCAACGAGAGACAAAATAACCAAACTAAAGGTTCAACATGTATGGATTTTACATGCAAAACGGAAAACTATTTTTGGATATCATACAAGAACATGATCATTCAACTGCAGTAATACTACACTTATCAAAAATGTTCCCACAAGGAGAAAATTGTGATAAGAAAAACGTTTAGGCAATACAGAATAGGAGATTATTAAAAGGAAAAAAATGAAAGAACATTCCTGAAATAATGCTGGTTAGATTGGTGTGGACAGCACCTATCCCCTAGACTCTAAATTAAGTATTTAGTGGTGATTTACAGAAAACTACCATACTAAATGTAAACATAGAGTTAACTTTATTTTTAAAAAAAGCAAACAGTGGACACAAAATCCCTGATTGATGTTCGTATCTGGGCATCAGCTTTAACTGAGTCAAGACCTTTTACTTTCTTTGTTGCATGTGATTTGTCTTGAACCTTCAGTTGGAAGACCTGTTTGCACTACTGATAAAAGCAAATGCATAAAAGTGCTCATTCCCCAGCAAAAACTGCCTCAAAGCAAGTATAAGTGCAAGCACATGCATACTGATTGAAAATTTTTGATTGATATGGACACTTATGCCAGCACAGTGAAGGAAAAACAGGCCTGAGTGGCAGACACTGAAATGTCTTACTTGAAATCTCTAGCAGCCAATTCATTTTGTGATGGCTGACTTTCCCACTTCAAATTAACTGATGCCTAAGTGGATTTGGATTTGTTGTTCAGTTGTTAGCAGGTTTCAAAATTAATAGAAAACAAAATGTTTCACCTTTCACATGAAGCAAAAGTTACGACCTTTTAATGATAAATATTAAGGAAATTTTTCCCCTAAAAAATTGCTTCAACTTTTAGCAAGCCAAAGCTCTTATGGTACATGTGATAACACCAGTTTGGGGCTCATGTTCCATATGGCATGAATTCTACCCTACATGTACCTAGATGTATTTCTCTTACTGTTTGATACCTAGGAATATCTCAAATGAAGTACATGAATTTCTCTCAGTAGTTACTCTTTCTGTAGACACCCATAAAATTACAGCATCTTATGGCTTACACAGAACACAGATCTAAGAAATAGGGTTCCACCCATCTGCTTTCAGTCAATTCTTCAAACAGATCAACAAACATGAACATACAAAAGCTCACACTCACTGCCCAAGCCATCACCACATTTATAATGTTACCTTCCATTAAGAATGGAGGAGAATCAGTTTGAGTAATAATTCATGATCTTTGAACCACTGCAAAGTCACATTCATATTTCTTCTGGTGTAATCAATTTCACGCTTGTCTAATATTTTCTTAGTTCAGTGCTGTAGAATGTTTCTTAACTGAGTTAGTAATATTAAACTTTTATGGTGAATTTAATTTTTCACATGGCTAATTTCCTATTTGTGACAACTTTGAAATATCTTGGGTAAAAGGCTCGAGCACCAAATGAGTCATCAATATTATCATGTTAGTCAAGAAAATTCTACTGATGTCACCCTTAACAAAAGTCCAACACACTATTTAAATTATTTTCCTAACAAATGCAACTAACAATCTGGCTCAAATGCAAAATAAAGCTGCATCTCTTCATCAGATTGACTCAACGTAATTTGAAGGCAGCATTCCATACTCTCCTGTTCTTTCCACTCGTCCCTCCATCCACCCATCGTCAATCACTGTAACATCGCTGACCAAGTCACCTTCCATAAAACTGACCTCATCATCATCTGCTGCCGTGTAGTCATACAGAGCCACATATTTCTGTCAGAGGAAAAATGCAAATTTGATCAGTTTGTGTTGCTAGGTCTCATTGCAACATATCAGTAATTCAATAAATTCAAGACCCAATTCTATAAGGTGTTTCAAGCATTGTTAGTAAAATTTCCACAAGAATCAGAAGTTATGGAAATGAACTTTGCATAACTGATAACCATTATAACAATTTTCTGGTGAGCATGAAAAGCAATCCAGTTTTGAGAAGGTAGAGAAAAACTTGCCCCATGCTCTCAACAAATCAGATACAAAACCAATTCTGAATGTAACATATTAATTTGTGTTTCCTTCAATTCCAGTTTTTCCTCTGTTATTTACCACAAACTCTCAGTGCAGGGTTAACATTACAAATGTAATAGATCCTTCTAGGGGGGTGGGAGAGCATAAAGAGCATACTCCCCTGGAAAAATTTCAAAAGGGTGAAACTCTCTGAGATGTGATTTCCAGCATTCTGAGGCATACCTGAGTAACTTTTTTACACAGACATAATGTTAGAACCAGTTCAAAACTGTTCACAGTTAACAAAGTAGCTGACACAAAATCTGAACTTTTTCCACCACCTCATGAAAACCCAGTCAATGGCTCCTTTTGGTACTTTATTTCAATCTGATTGCCCAATGTCATTGCTCTGTTTTACTTTTACAAGACTACATGATTATGCTTTCTAGCAAAGAACCCAGCACCAAGCTATTTCTTCAGAAAAACATTAACCTTTCCACTTGATACTGGAGCAGGATTTGGTGCTGGTGGTGAAGGTTCTGGCACATAAGCTTGTGGTGGAGGTTGATATGAATGATCTGCTGCCATTGGATGCTCTTGAGACATGCGCCGCTGAGTCTGGATTTGTCTCACTTCTAATAATGCAAAGGAAGGTTTAACAGCTGAGTCAAGATGCCAGAAATTGTAGGTTTGCTTGGGTACATTAGATGGATTAAGAGAAAATTTCAGCCAAATACTAATTCTTCTCACTTAAAAAGTGATTCTATCATGACTTATTATATCAGAACTTTACCCATTCACTTCAACACTTTACACCCTAACATCAGCATATGTTTATTTCCTCAGAGGCTGAAAAGGAGAATTTGTTTAACTTCTTCAAATGGCAATCATTTCCTTTCCTCTTGTGATCATAATGCTTGATTCAACATTGATAGTGAGAGGAGATATTGGATGCTTGTCACTCTTAGGAGTGATAGGATTAAAACTAACCTTGCAAGAAACAGTAATTTGCCAAAATATAATTAACCAGGTTATTTCCAAACAAACTGCTTTTTAATGAAATTGCAATTTTTGTATGACATTTAAATCAACACTGTTGCAAAGTAGAATTAAGACAAAGTGAACTTTTAAGAGTCAAATAGAGTCAATATCATCTTGTCTATATGCCAGGCTACTAAACTTCCTGATTACCATATATACAAGTGGCTCAAAACAACCTTTTATTTCACTTATTTCACTAATTCTCAGGTTATTCAGGCATACATTCATATCTTTTCTACTAGACAATAGCATTCAGAGCCCAGTTATCCCAAACCAGCCACTTTTTCATCCTACATATTTTGCCATTTTTTGAACTTGGAAACATCTACCCACAACTCAAAAAAAACATACCTTCCTGGCTACGTTGTTGAATGCCAAGACGACTCTGTCCTGAAGAGTGTTGAGTGTACGCTATCTGGCTTGCAATCCTGTTGCTCTCCTGAACCCTCTTTGTCTCTGCATCATCAGCAACTGGTGTGTAATGCCCTTTTTGAGCTTCAAAGTCCTTGTGATATTGAATCTGAAAGATTGATAGAAAGAGTGATGCACAAGAGACCCTTACTAGCCCCTTACTGCATAATTCACATATGAGCCTTGGTGTTCCACCAGCAGCAGCAGTGTATGTTCTTGCAGGGTAAGTGATAGCAAAGCACATGGTACTTCAATTGAACAAAGCAGTGTTTATTTATAGCTTGTTTCTCCAAAATCTCCCAAGAAAAACCCCTCTTACTCCAATCTTTATTGCAAGACGCTGAGTTCTTATCCCAATTTTGTTGGCATAGAGGTAAAGGAAATTTTGCTCATCCATTAAGAAAGGATGTTAGTCCTTCACAGGATGACCTTAAAACAATTCACCAAATTTCCCTGAATGCATGCAAACAGCCTTTTCTCTAATGAAGGGCTAATGCTTTAAACACCAACTTTGAAACTCTTTACAGTGGCCAGTTCACATTATCAACTCAGTTGATTATAACAAAATTATCTTGTTGTACTCCCCACCAGCATGCCTCACAGTTTTTTTAGAGACTTATCCCCTTTTCATTAGCAAACAAAGTCAACTCACATTACTCTGTTTCTTTGTATTTGAAGCCAGCCGTAGGTTTTCTGGTGTATCAGCCACTGCTGTAAATTTTGTAGTGGGGTAGTGCCTGAAAAGCATATTCAAATCATTTTAAAAGAGAAAGTGAGGCAATCCACGACATTTGGCTCAGGATATTTTGTGGACATTGACAAAGAAGAATATTTGTAACTCTGACAATTGTTAAAATGATTTAGTATAATTGCTCACCTGATTATAGAGATGCACATGATCTGATTGGTAGGTGATTGTAATAAAATATGCCCAATGCTTTCTTTATTTACAGCATTTACAATTGAATTAAAAAGCACCCGAGCAATTAAACTAAAATAATTATTTGGGCTCAGTGAACATTGTTAAATAATTCCCTTGACTTTCTCTCAGGATTATTCAACAACATTCACTTTGGCAAATGATTGTTTAAATAATCCATTAGAAAATTTAAACATCAATTTGAGTCTCTCATGTCATTAGGTTACAATTACTAAACAAGATTGTTTCAACTGAGGAAGGATGTATACACCTTAAGTTCATAAGTACTGTATCATGCACTGATTGCTCTTCACCTGAACAGGACACTTGTTCAGTTTGTTTTCTTTCAGTGACATGTAAATAAAACTTTTTCATTCTTTTGCTACCAGCAGGATACTGTGTAACTGAGTTATATCACTAACAAAAATACCCATGTTCCCTTTCCTCCAGCTTACCAACTTTGCATCTGCAATGGCCCATACCATTTGGCATGACATTACTATTAAAAACTAGGGGCTACAGGCCCAAACACCTGTTTTCCCGTTCCAATCTCTACAATAGCAACATATAGAAAAAAGGGATGTGGTCTACAGAAAAGGTAATGTTTGCTACAAGATAAATGAGCTTTTCACAGGCTGTGCTTTTTTGATCTATTGTGTAAAAACTCACTTACAAAGTTGGGAGAACAGTTAAAAATGATTGGAAAACGAAAAATAGCCTCAGGCTTGTATTTCACCATGGTAACCAATGTTAACATCTTTCTTGAGTTGTAAAGTGCCAAACCAGTAAAATCAAACATTACAATAAGCAACAAATAGTAGTCCTTCCCATTTTCAAGTTTTCCTCAAAAAGGTGGAATTTCTGTGAAATTACATGACACAACACCAACCATGCAAAGCACATGTAAATGTCTCACACCCATGGGCAAAAATTCCATAAATTTTTATTAAATGTATTTCAATGAACCCTTGGAAGGGAAATTTTAATCAGTAATTTGTGTAAACAAAAACAGGGGGAATAATTTACAGATAACGAACAAGGATTGCAGCTAATTACTAATTCTTTCGACCGAGGGAACCATTACTAATTAATCAAAACAGAGGAACAACAGACATAAACAAAAAAGTCTCTCCGACAGCCATGATAACGTGGCGAGGACTGTGTACAATCAATACTGTACGAACAAATGAACAGATATTTTTCATCACCTTCTTGACGAAAACTTTAATTTATTTCTGACGATATTCATTTGATTTTAAACAAAACTTAACAGGAGTGAGCTGAATAGAAGTTTCTGCAGAAGTTTCACCTTTCACCTTCAATAGAAATCACAAGGTGTGACGATTTGACGAGAGCAAATCTAGCTATCGCAATTGAGATTCCAATCTACTCTATCGCTACAGCGTTTTCAATAACAGGCAGATTTGTGCAATGTCAAATAGATTAGCTTTATTATTCACATACTCCATACTGTGGCAAATAATGCACACGATCCGAGAATATTCAAAGAACGTACAAACAATTCAGTCTTGAACGATACTGGACTAAGGAAGAAGGATAGTAACCGTTGAATATTTCGAAAGTGACTTTAATTGAGGGAAGAGCATGGCGCGGTTGGTGAGTGCAATTAACCTGAAGTAACGAACGGTTCACGATCGATAACCGTTTTGTAGACACAGGGAGTCTTAACGCTTATTTCTATGCAAATGTGAAATGCATGCGTAACAATATTCAGACGGAAATCGCTGTGGCAGGACTCTAGATAATTAACTACAGTTTTACTGACTTACGCTGAACAGTAGGGTAGCTTGCTGTACCCCTTATAATTCTTCATCGTTAACGTCATTTTACAAACTTCGCAAGAAAAACATCCTTTGTGCCAATACTGAAAAAGCAGAAACAGAAGCAAGATGTCAGAACAAAACACGCCAACATCGCGAAGCCTTATAACGAGCGAACACCACGCTCTCACTGCCAACATGGGATGGAATGAGTTTACTCCACCTTATCCAAGCAATTCAGCTTTTCCATTGGATAGACGGTCTTTTTACAGCGGGCACAAGATGGATTCATTTTGGCACGTCCTCAATGTAACAAATTAGGGTTTTCTTCGTTATTCACAGACCACACTGACGAACAACGCTGTGACAAGCGTAAAATATACGAAGTACTCCAACCAGTCTTCAGCTGATTGTCTGTGCAGCTTTTTTTACCAAATCAGGCAATGTTCTGGGAGGAGCAAACCCACAAGGCTCTGTAAACCTCCACTTACATACGGGAAATGCAATCACATCCGGTAGGTGGTAAGGACTCAAAATGGCCGAGGACGAGGACTGGCCTTCGAATCACCAGGTTAGGGAATCTTAGTTCAAGATTGATTTGTGTGGGATCTTTCTCTCATTAAGGACTTTTCTTAGTGGTGTTTCATTTTTCTGCTGACTAGGGAACACTTCATTCACCGTAGCATCATTTTCCTTTTGCGATCGATCGACTCAGAAAGTCATGTGGCTCACTCATGTCCATTTATACTTAGGAGGAATTCCTTAATTTTCCTTTTCCTTAAATTCCTTTGTCCGTATTCTTTGTTTAAGAAGTACGTTTTTCCTGTCGTTGAAGACTTCCATGATCTCAGTTGCTTGTATTCTAAATATAAACCAGAGTACATATATGTGTGTGTAGATCAATTTTTGCACGGTGCGCAAGCATTGTTTATTTGAGGATCAGAAACACAGCTTATGTCTGAAGAAAACCATCCCTTTCTTTCAGCTTGTGACGGTTATTCCAGGGGGCCCCGACCAGCTTTATGATGACCCAGGTAAGCTACCTATTTAATTACTTTGTTGATTTGATTTTTCGTTAATTCTTTTTATGAAAGCATTGGAGATTTCAGGGAATGGTTAGTGGGCAAGAAGTGAAGGCTAGTTTTCTTATGTGGGGAAAATCCCAGGCCATTGGTGATTTCACTGTTTTCCTAACGTCACAGATGTTGCAAACATAATTATCAGGAGATCGCCAGATGTTTGTCTTGGTGGAATACAGATGCCATTTTATTTGTGACTCAAGGATAATGGAGCCAAGGGGATTGATAGTGATTGATAGTGAGCTAAAACTTTGGCCAATATCCCCAATGGTAAAAATAGGAGTTTTCATAAATCCTCAATTGTTGCAGAAATCTGGGACATGTTGGGAAAATAGAAATGCTCCTGATTTTTCAAATTTGTCTCTGACCCAGGCAGTAGGGGATGTCTTCAATTTTGAATTTTAATAAGTCTTTAAACTCTGGGATGGTGGGAAGACAATGAAATCCATGACCATTCAGGATTTTCCCAGCCAGTGAAACCAACCTTAAAAGAAAGAAAGGATAAAGGAAAACCTAAAGAAGTTCTCCTTGCTGTTAGCTTTTGGCTTTGTAGCTTAATCAGTGGTATTACCTAACTAGTACTTGAGAGGAAAGGTTTCAAACCCAGTTCTTCATCTGTATTTTATTCAAGTACAGTCCACCTGTGAGGATTAGTGCTTTTTCCCTATTATGGGCAAACAAGAAATACTTTCTTTGACCTTTGGTTGTGTCTTGTCTATATTTGATATTAGGTAATTTTCATGATGTACTTGTCACATATTTGCATCTATCAGAGAAAGAAAGTTGTGTATTTGTTGATACTCATTTGTTTGGTTCTCATTCTATGGATGTACAACAAAACAATTATGTTCTGTTCCTTGTGAAAACAGATGGTCCTGTTTTCCCATAAGCCGTGATGTTTTCTTATCACTTCATTCTCAGGAGTTCAGACTCTTGCAAAGTCAAAATTAACTGATCTGGGAAACCAGACATAACTGTTTTTACATTTAAGTATTTGTTCATATCTCAGGTGATGCAACTGATGTCAAGTCTGAGCCAGCCAGTCCTGAAGAGGATACATCAAGGACACACTTTGGTACAAGAAAAATATTATTATTTATCACTATTTTCTGTATGTATTAATCCATTCACTCCCAAGGTAAAAATATCAATTCTTTACACTGTACTTCATACATTGCTTATAATTTAAGCTTTGAAAATTTGGTATGAAATAAAAATTTATGTTTCGTTCTTGTCTTCTTTGCCACCTTTTCACTTGAAAATGTGTATTATTTGGTAAATATTGTAATATGAAATTAGTTTTTAGTGGGAGTGAAAGGGGGTATAATACATAGTGTAGTGGTGATAAATGTCAGTAAATTGAGCATATTCAGGGCGTGAAATCGCGCCTAATACAGGCGCCAATGCGCCTAAATTTTTCACTTTGGCAACCAAATCCTGAAAGTCAGTCGCCAAATTGGCGACTAGAATGTTTCATCATAACCTTACCAAGAGATATAGTGAATTAAAAAGATTTTCAAATCCGTGGCAAACTTCCTTGTTAAGTTTGTTTCCTAAACGTAGCACATGCATCTTGATCGATAACTAGACGCCATCTTGGATTTAGATGAGCCTGAAGGTTGTATATCATCCATCCTAGTGTCCACTTTGTAGCACGTTAAAGATCTTTTCCCCAACTTAATTTTGGAGGGTCTATCTAGAACGCTGAAAATGGCAACCAACTTTTTTTGAATTGGCTACCACTTTGAAGAATTTAGGAGCCAAGTGGCTATCAGAAAAAAAGTTAATTTCACGCCCTGCATATAATTTAAGTATTACATCTGAGTGATGAAAATAATGTATACAGCATATAGTCAATAGCATAAATACAGTACTGTAATTATAGTCATTTGTTTTTAGTGGTGTGCATATATGTATGGTCATGTGAGTGGTGTAAGTGTTGTTCAGTCACATAATTTTATTTCTTCTGTAAGAAAAGATTAATGTATTGGGAAGCCGCCTTCTCAAATTTCTCTCCAAACCTGTGAATGAAGGCTCTGTAGATATGGCAACAAAATAGTTAGATTTTAAGCAAGGATGTATTACAAACTGAGGGTTGATTTACTTATTGGCCCAATTATAGAGTGGTGATCCATCCCTTGTTAATCCAAGGAGTGATTAAGAGGATATTTCTTCATATGATACTAAGTAAAGAAATACATCTTTTAATTGCAAGTTCAGTGGAAGAAAGAAAAAAATGTCAATTAAGGGATTTTGTTCCACTTAATATAGAATTCTCAAGACTGAAATTATGTCACAGACAGAGTAAAGAATTTATATGTATATCATTGGAGTAAAAAGGGTTAAGTGTTTCTGACTTGTGAACATAACATGTGCATCAATGTTATCTATTTTCTGCAGATTCCCCTGATGAAGACACAGATTTGACAGTTGCCAAAGAACAAAGGCGGTTTGCACACAGTGCAGCAGAGCAGAAAAGGAGGGATGCCATACGAGTCAGTTGTTATTTTATTTTGCAGTTTATGTTTCTAGAGAAGTTTGTAAGTAAACAAACAATTTGTGCCTTTTTGTTTATGAAATTTTTATTTATCTTTTCAGAAAGGTTATGATGACCTACAGACAATTGTGCCGACCTGTCATCAACCTAACAATGCAGCAGCTATGCAGAAGCTGAGCAAGGCAATCATTCTGCAAAAATGTAAGACAATGAGCTCTTAAAAGCAAAGATTTTGTAACTGGGTTCAAAATTGTGACTGGCTTGTCACTAATGTGGAGAAAAATTGACTGCTGCCCAACAGAATTTTAATGCTGTTCATGAGCAGGAAACCAACTTGAATTGAATTTTATGTAAACTAGTGTTCAAGAGAGGAAACATGCATCATTTTTGTCAATGGGCTGTTTTACCCTCAGTTAGCGATGGTTAATAGTAAGGAATATGTTTTATGTAAACAAACATCTCTAAACATCACATTTTTCCTATTATCATTTGCTGTAAATTGTTAGGTGTTAGACATTATTGGTGACAAGATTCTTTCATCTGACATCTGAGACACAAATGTTTAACAATCCCTTGATTTCAGACACTGTATAAACATCTAAAATCACTAGCAGGAGTAATTTGCCATTCAAGATGCCCCCTATTTATTTTTTTGTTTTTGTCGTTGTTGTTGTTTCAGCAATTGAATATATAGTGTACTTGCATCAACAAAGAAAGAAACAAGAGGAGGAACTGGAAGCACTCAGGAAAGAAGTGATGGCCTTAAAAATTATGAAGACGTAAGACTGTTGATTTAACTTGCTGGTTATGCACACCATACATTCTTTTACTTCCGTTTCAATACAACAGTTTATGATTAGAGATAAATACTGCATTTTTTTCCCATTATTTTCAGAAATTATGAGCAAATAGCCAAAGCACACCAGAATCAGGTACAGCAGTTGAACTTGTAACTCTGTTTTAACCCTTTGACCCCTAAGAGGGACTAGGATCTAATTTCTCCTTACAGTTTTACCCCTGAATCACACATACTGGTCATGAGAAAAAAGGAAATGATCAACAACTAGGGGAGCTCCTGATTGCTATACAAATTCTCCTTGTCAGCAGCTTGGGCAATCTATGAAGAGCAGTGTGAATCACTCATTAACATCATGAGAAAAAATGAAATTATCACCAACTAGAGTAGCTCCTGATTGCCAAACAAATTCTCCTTGTCAGCATCTTGGGAAATCTATGGAGAACGGTATGGAAAATATGCATGGGGTGTCAAGGGTTAAGGTCATATCTTGGTATTGGATGCACATCTCTTCTGGATATACATGTAATTTCAGAAAGAAGTAAAATCTTGAAACAGAATTTTTTTTTTTTGTTTTATTTCCATCATTTCATTTTTTTTCCTTCTAATTTTCACAGCCAGCACAGGGACAGAAAACAGTACCAGATCAAGCCAAATTTACTGTGGTAAGTTGTCAGTACTATTACACATGTACATGGTGTAGCATTTAAAGAATGACCTCTCTACCTTATTGTTTTAAAACAAATTTTAACAAATTTATAGATCTGCAATTAAAAATTCTAACTCCCAGTTTCTACAGCATATTTGGAAGGTGAAGTTTCATTTATTTTTATTTTACCTTTCTTAGTTCCGACAGATCATGGAACAGCAATTCATGACATTTAATGCCTCTGTCAATGTAACAAATTTTGAAGCCTTGTCAGCATGTATATTCAGCTGGCTAGAAGAATATTGCAAACCTCAGGTAAGACCAGAGAATTTCTATTCTATTCTTGCCTTTTCACACAGTCCAGATTTAAATTAAGCTACCTATACTTACATGTTATTGACCAAGCATGAGGTCAAGATGGCTGGATATTGGCTAAGGTCTATTTTGAATTGGTCCTTATTAAAGACACACACAAAGATTGAGTAGCCAATCAGAACACAGGATTTGCTTCATCTTGCCCAAAGGCATTGTCAGCTATATAGCAAACTATCTTATAGACATGTAATATTTGTATGGTAGGTTTGGAGGCTGTGATCTTTATAATAGAATATGTTTTTGTTACCAAAATGATTTTTGTTCTTCAATCTTTTTAATCTTAGTATCTGCAAGAGATTGTCGTCAATGCTCTCAAAAGTTTGAACAGCCAAGGACTACTGCAGCAGTAAATATACATGAAGTGAACCCAAAAATACCAGTGTGAGAATATTGGTCTGCTGGGACATTGGTAGAATTAATCTAAGATCTTGTGTGATAAACTCTCCCTTTGAAGAAGGAAGTACCTTAAAACACAGGCAAAATGCAAAGGAAAGACCTAGGAGATATGAAGTTTATTCTGTCAGGGGTATAGTGCAGAAGTGTGTTGCTTACTCAGTTTGTTAACCAGCCAAAGGTAATATTAGAGCTGCACAGTATTATCTCTTGCAATATTGTCAGCAAAGAACAACTTCTACAGTCTTCCTGTTTATCACTGGTACCTTGCAAAGTTGTTCTGGTATATGTAGGGGTATAGGCTTAACCACCTGAGGCATATTTAACCTGAGGTTTTGCAAAGTGTTGTAAATTATTTATGTATATGTTAGAAGCTAAGGGTCAACATAAAAGTTTTGGAAAGTTTGTACATAAAACTAATTTATGTTTACAGGGATAATTTGTGAAGAAAACAGAAAAAAGAACGTTTTAACCCTTTTGGCTTTAAATTTGGTTTGAATCTGAACCACTTTGAATTAGTTATTGAGGTTTTGTGTAATCTTGAACTCTAAGTTAGACCCGCAGTCATAAATGATGTCAACAAGAGAAAAATTCCTACAAAAATGTTAGCTGTTCAGGGTCAGGCAGAGTGTCAGCCATCAGTCTCTGCTCAAACATCACTGAGGGCCCATGGCTATTTTCCACCAGCCAGTGCTTTTTTATTGCTCTGTGTATAGTCAGATAACTCACCATACAAGTTTGGATGGAATTCAGTAAATAATTATGTTGAAGAGAAGGTCAATTTACTTCAGTTGTTGTTGCAATGGCTGAGAATGGCCTTGATTACATACCTAGGTGGTTTTGCAAGGTGTGAACAAAAAAAAATATATATAACGTTACTGTAAAAGTAGAGTAATAAAGTGTTATTTGTTTGACAATGAATTGACTTCTGCTGTGTAATGTTGTGTTTCAACTGAATAATTCCTGCCTACTGGTAGTCTTCACTCAATAAGGTCAACTGGGTAGGAGTATTGGTCTCAATGCAGCCTATTTTTACAATTATAGTTAATGAAATGATCTTTTTCTAGTGGTTTATCGTGCCCCAGTTCAAAATTAAACTCTATTAACTGTAGCAAAATTTCTCTCATTTGTTCTAATGGGCAGGAAACTTGGGCCATTTGAATGTCTAAGGAAGGTAACTTTTCCATTCAGACAAGGAAAACACAATGATCTCAGTTGCCCAATCAGACTACCAAAAATTGGGCCAAAATCTTAAAGCTAACTTTGGACATATTAATTGGGCCAGTAAATTAAATACTGCACTTGTCTAAGGGGAAAAGTGAGTTAAAAAGAAATCTGGTTGCTCTGAACTTCCTGAAATATCCAATGTTATAGTGCCCCAGGTGTGCATGATGGGGGCCTAATTTTGAAGACCATTTTCCACACATCTTTGGATGCTTCATTCAGTATTTCTACTTTTTATTCACCATATAAACCACACTCTATAAAACATTCATACTTGTGTTATGAAAATAATGCATTTACAACCAAATAACAATGACATACAGTATTGAAACTGAAAATAAATTTGTACGTGAAGTTATTATATTAAATTGTGTCAATAAATAACTTTCCAATATCTATTTACCTTCTCATATTAAAATACCAATTGAGTGATACCAATAATATATTATTTTATAATTATTAAAGCACAGTAAAAGAATCATTTCTAGAGAAATATGGCTAGCCCTATTGACAAAAAGCAATTGACCAGCAATTTTAATGCTACATTATTTATGGAACCCAGCCTGTAATAAAGATATTGATGCCTCTTACAAAGAAGTCCATTACATGCATTACAGTCCTAATAATTCCTTGCTTCTCCATAATGGTTCTGCCTTAAATTCACTTGAGCAAGAGACACCTTTCAAGAAAATTCTTATTGATTGATTTTAAGTCACTCCACCAACATAACACTCAAATCAGTAAGGATGATGTGATTGTGAAACATTTAGTTAGCCTTTTGTCGTTTCCTTAGAGGAAACTCACAGCTGTTGCTTTGATCTGCTAACATTTTCTTGATAAATCTAGCCACAAGCCTAGGAGGCCGCATCTGGAAGTCCTCATGTTGCTCTGGTGTCAGTTCTACCTGATCTCCTTTGAGACGGTCCACTAGTGTAACACACAGTATAGCTGCAGGGACACCAGCACGGTTACACATGGACGCAAAGCAAACACTTTCCATTTCAATATTGCGCACACCAGCATCATAAATCTTCTGAAGAAACTCAAGTTTATCTTCAAGCGTGTAGTCACAGAAGGCACCATCCAGCCTTCCTTGGCCTGAAGGGTAGCAATAGGGGGTTAAGCTTCTTGATAATTTAACATGTCATATCATGCACAACAAGTTCTCAAATAAAGAGTGTTAATTTCTTTTAAAAATGCTATCGTAGGAGAGGAGGAGAAGAAGGGGGCCAGTTTCTTTCTCCCCCTCCAGCATTTCCTTTCACCCAAGAATGTGTACTTCTCTCCTTCCATGCCTGCCACACAGCAAGCTATAAGGTTTTTCGTGTTAAAAAAAAAAATGCTAGCACATTACTGGATTTCCTTCTTCATCTGTTTTCCTCTCACTTTGGCATTTTCCTTGAAAGTAATTTTAAAGTTTTATCGCCAGAGAGAGAGAGGGGTTTGCAGGTATCGTTCATATCCTACCTGCTTTGTCCACACCCTTGACATACCTTCATAGAAATCATGAGCACACATTGTGTCTCCAACTGCTGTTAGTAAACCATCACTACAATCCATTACTTGCTTCTGTAACTTTTCATCCAGATTTGATGGAAATTTTAGCACTTTACCCAAGATCACCTGAAATAGGAATTGGATAAATAAACTTTTTCCTGTATGTAGTTAGTTTGACACATGGTCCTATAATCAATTATTCCATAATTAGCCCTTTACCTCCCAGAAGTGATTAACATGTAACTTCTCCCTATGATACCATTATGTTTTCTAGCAAACAGTTAATGAGAATACTCATTATACTCAGGAAAAAGTTTTTATCTTGATCGTACCCCAAATTCTTGTAACTAATTTACAAGGAATCGTGGAGCAGCAAGAGGAGAGAATTAACAATCAGATCTTGTGAGTTGAACAGTTAATCACCCATGGAAAGAAAGAAAAAGATATTCACACCCATCAGATTTCTGAAGGATTGAGAATAGGGGGAGATCAAAGTCAACTGGAAAATAATTATCAAAGAATTGAGCTGTATTAATTGCCAAATGGAAGCACCAAAGATGAGCCAAATTTATCAAGCTGCTAATTAAAGCATAACATAACACAATTTTCATGTCACAAAGTGAGCAGGAGTATTGTGAACAGCACTGGTACTAGATACCACTTTGTCAGGTTTCTCAAGATACTTATCATTAACCATGGGTGGAGGGTGGTACTGTAAGATTTTATAGTGCTTAGAAACGCTGAAATACTTTGGGATGGAAGATGACGCAAAATTTACATTGTACTTGACATAAATGTTTGATTGACAAATAACATTTTATTATGTGGCAAAGTAGTCCTAAGGTAAGTCTGAGAGTTCCGATTGATTCAGATTGGTTCTTGGTCTGGATTTTGCCTTACAGATTGTTTCCACAGAAATGGTCATAAGCCATATATTTTTTATAGGAAAAGCTAACAAATTCAAAGCAAACAAGTATGGTACAAGTGCCATATGATAAGCTACTTACTTTAACCTTGCCTGCTTGAGCAATACTGCAAAATATTGGCCCTCACTCGTTCTTGTACTGACCATGCTGTGCTTGGTTCATACTGCCACAAACTTGGGCCAATATTCCCCAGAGTAGCCCCCACACAAGGTTGGAAAGAAATTTACTACTTTCAGTACGTAGATTAGTCCAAAGGGGAAAAAAAGGGCTCTTCAAATATTTGAACATACAACTGAAAATCAAAGTCTTTTTTACACCTGTCCATCAACCAGGAAACAATTTCTATGTAGAAACTAACCTGCTCACTGAAAGGTTCTAGAAGAGGATTAACTGCTGTTCTTGTGATCACAATAGTCCCAGGTTCTAGGCCTTTAAAATAATAGTTTAAAAATTGAATAATTTTAAATCTGCACTTTTATATTTATTTGACTAACTGAGGCCCCATAAAATTACTCTGCATTTGTTGGTATCATAATGACAATCTTTCATTTCATCTAGCTACAAACAGACATTTATTATTACATGGCATGATCTTCCAAGTGAAATTAATCTAGACAAAACACATGTCTGCCTTTGTCCCACCCCTTCCCAGATATATCAAAAGATCAGAAAATGGCACAACTTTGAGGACAGAAAAAAGCCTGGCAGGGGAGGCAGGGGAAAACAAATTTGATCCATGTTCAATGCATATAAATTAATTGTCTAACAGATCAGAATGGAATGAGTGAGTGTCAGTGAGGTCCATACTTAAATTTCGTTGTATGAATGACCTCCTAGCATGAGGTAAAAATGGACTATTGTCACTGGTAATCAGGGTCAAGTGAACTGTATTTAACATCTTCATTTTGAGGATTTTCATCTCTCTGCCCACATTGCAATAACTTGCCAGCCTGCTTGTTCTGAAATTTCACTTTCAATTAACAAAAAAAAAAAGCTAAATATAAGTCCAGAAAAAAGTCGGACAACTTGGCAGTTGGCGTGATGGCTTTAGCTCAGCTCTATGCTTTAATTAACAAATAGATTCCAAGTTGCCGTGCGTCTGTTCAGTAATAGATCACAGATGACGTCAAAATGTGGTAAGAACAAAAAAGTGGCACATGTGGTGCAGCCGAGTGTGTCACTGATGTTCTTACCACATTTTGACGTCCTCTGTGATCTATTACTGAACAGATGCACGGCAACTTGGAATCTATTTGTTTTATATAATAAAGAATTTAAAAATGTTTTAATGATGATTACATCTATACGTCTGTCCTCCAATAGATCATAAGTGAGAATTAATCAGAATGTTTGCATAACTGAGCTTATCATATAAAACTCTGATAGAGCATGCTGTTTAAACCAATGACAGTGCGCGTCATATCCAAACTTTATTATAATATTTGTTAATCATATGACTCAAAAGTCTTGTTCAATCATTGACTCGAGGATCTGGATTGATGCCAAAACTGTTCCCAAAATATCACCCAAAGTCACTGACAGTAGACCTATAGGTCTAAAGATCTACCCTCTATGGTACAATTACAAGCACTGTATAGAAATGAATAAATGATTTTCCTGGGATTATTAAAAGCACTTATTATGTGACACAATAATTGTTACCTAATCAGTACCTAAGCCTCCAGATGTGCCAATTCGGAAAAATTTCACTTCTTCTGCTTCTGCATAGTGAAGGAGTTTAAAAACTTCATGCATGATAACCACTAAAGAAGGGGTTCCAATGCCGTGCTATAGATCAAGAAAATATTTGATGTACATGTAAGTACCTGTAGCCTGGTATACGATATTACACATCTTAACTAAGTAGGGTGGGGGTATTTAGGACACAAATTGGCAGATGTTAAAATTTTGGTGAATTGCACTGTCACTTGTCTAAAATCTTTGGTTTGGATTCTGGATTCTGTCTGTTTAAATGTTCAGAGTGTGGAATGCATTGTCAGCCTTCTGTTGACCTTATGTTTGCCTTGGTTGGTATGTTGGGGTTCACCCACTTAGTTTTTTAAATATTTTGGTATATTAGAGAAAGTTAGAAAAAAACTCCTGATGTAATAGACCCTAGCTGAAGGTTTGGTAGATCAGTTTGTAAAGTTAAGTGGTAATTACACCACTGTCTCAAAAATAGCAAAGAACTTTAGAAAGCTTCAAAGAAACTAAATGTTGATAAGTAGCACACAAGTCATGCATAATTATGTATATTGTGGTTCAATTTGTTCTGACTTAAGTTTTTCAAACAAGTTTGAGTTTTACTACAGAAGGCATAACATCAAACATAGGCACTTGCTCACAAACTTGCGATGGGGGCTTATCCATTATGTCTGCTTGATGAGGTATGATTAAATTTGAATCAAAGCAATGATGAACACCAGATTGAAATAAAAAGTAAGTAAATAGTTTAGTAAATGTTGTATCTCAGGCAAGATTCGAGGACTGTCAGCAGTGATTTCTTCTTCTGCACTTGCTAACAATTTAAGAGGCAAAGGGACCTTTTGTATGGACATCACTGAAAAGAACTCACATTTACAGCCAGGACAGGTCCAACTTTGTATAGCACATAGCGATCAGACTTTGACATGTTAAGAGGTTCATTATCATCCTTTAAATAGTCCTTGAGTTCTCCTTGAATAAACTTGGCAAAATGTTTGATCCGATTTGTACTTCCTCCCATGCAGACAAACTGCAATAAAAAAAAAAATAAAACTGTTCCTTCTCTGGTATTGGTTTTCATTTCTGCTGTCTCTTTTATTTTAGAAGATTCACTAACGAACTCTTTAAATAATAAATAAACAAACATTGGAAACATAAGAGATCTTCATGGATCTATGCATAATAGCCATAGAAACCAGCCTGTAATTTTCCAGGAAAGTAGGTCAAAATGTACTTGAAAAATAAAGAGGTTCCAAAACCTCGCACAAAATAAAAGTGAATAACATCTCAAAACTCCTTGGCTGAAAATCCCAGTTGTATTTTCCACTTACATTACAAATTACCACTAATCTAATTAGCATACAACCATGCTAATAATTTACTTTTTCTTCTGTAGCATTGAAATTACCTTGACATCACCAAACAAATTTTTGAGATTTTTATGGTCCCCAGCTGTTATTCCAATATGAAAGAGCACATCATCTTCAAGCTCCTTTAAATGTGGGTTTCTCACAAATAGCTGGTCTCTTGAGGTAGGATCCATTTCAGCAAACTGAGAGTAAAATGCAGACCGAGGGTAAAATACAGACTGACGACTGCAGACCAGGGGTAAAATGCAGACTGAGGGTAAAATGCTGACTAAGGGTAAAATGCAGACTGACGACTGCAGACCAGCCCTGGGTAAAATGCAGACTGAGGGTAAAATGCAGACTGACAACTGCAGACCAGGGGTAAAATGCAGACTAAGGGTAAAATGCTGACTGAGGGTAAAATGCAGACTGATGACTGCAGACCAGGAGTAAAATGCAGACTGAGGGTAAAATGCAGACTAAGGGTAAAATGCAGACTGAGGGTAAAATGCAGACTGAGGGTAAAATGCAAACTGAGAGTAAAATGCTGACTGACGACTGCAGACCAGGGGTAAAATGCACACCGAGGGTAAAATGCAGACTGACAACTGCAGACCAGGGGTAAAATGCAGACTCAGTTCTAAACAACCTGCTTCCCCAGAAAAAAAACTTTAAAAGTGAGCTGGGATCGAGGCCGCTTAAGTCGTGAGAAGCTTTCAATAGTCATCATGGTGATTGATGTTTCGAACTCCACTTCCTCTTATAGTTCGGCTTGACATATTGTTTCAAGGTAGGAACGATGAGAAACGTAAATGTTTGAAAATGCATTTCACAGCCAGCTGAATACACTTCCCTTATTAAGGAATAAACAGTTCAGCTGAGCTACATTAGGTAGCTTAACATACATGTAGCTCAGGTATACTTTGTTTGGCCTTGACAACCAGACTGCAGTCTGCGTTTTACACTGACCGCATGACTGTCGGTGGCCCGATGCTACGCTAAACGTTGAAAAATCTCATCACGGTGTAAAGTATATCTAGGCCCCCTGGACCGAACCGTATTTATTCAGATTGTTAAAATAACTGCGACCTAGTTGTGACCCTTTGGTATTTCCTGTTTTTTCTATGCGGTTAATTCAGCAGGAAATATAATTAATTTAGCAGCAAATATACCCGCCGCCAGCTCATTAACGCAGCCCAAAGATCTGGAGACAAACCTACCTCTGATTTTCAAGCGTTTCCGATCTTGACTGCGACTTTATTTCATGCAATTCCTGGACCACAATCACTTGGAATTTATGCTGTTCTTAGGCAATAACCGTAGCAGATGACAAAGGAAGTAGAGATACTGACCACTCAAAGAACACTCGAGGGATCTACCCACGCGACTACCCACGCGTCGATTCGCGTCAGTAAAGTGGTGTCCAAGTCTCCGGGTGCTGCGACAGTTCCATCCTGACGAGCCTGGAGCAAGGTATGAGACTTAGCAGAGGGGCATTTTGTTGCGCATGCGCCAAGAAAGTTTGTTCGGCGCGTTCGGCGCCATTTCAATATTTTCAGCGCGCTTTTGCCGGTTTTCGACTGAGCGATCGACACCTTTCTGTGATACTTTTTGGAAAGGGACGAAAGAGTATGACAAGTTTACCACCATTTCTAACTCTGTGGATACTCGTGGAGTTTGCTGGCTCTTCGGATGAGGATATTTTAATGATCAAAGTGCGAACAAAACGCGAAAATAGACCGAAAACTTGAAGTTTGAAATTTGATTTGCTGACGATCAAGATGTGCCCATGAGACTACAAACCTTGAAGGTTAGTCTTAAGATGTTGATTTCTTACTTCTATGAATCACGAAGTGGTGTGTGGAGGCGATCGTGAGAAATTCGTTACGATAATAGAAGGTAGTTTACAATTTGATCTTATTTTACTTCAACTTTGAAATAAAATTACGTTAAGTTCGAGGTGGCCCCCAAGCTTCAAATCACTTCAAATAACATCTTCTATTCTTTCTCTTTGTAGTCCCACAGGATACAAGGCTTAAAAAAATGTTCCAGTTTCAGGATTGAGTTGCACTTTCTACAACCTTCGGCGAATTCGTTTTTGTACTATAAAACTCGCAGATCAAAATTATCTAACTTTCTCTGGTTCTTAAAACATGAGATGAGCGATACAACAAATGGATAATTACTCAAGGGGCTGGAACTCCTTGTTTCTTTAGAATGTGAACTACAGTATTTCTGTCATATTTAAAAACGAATTTCGGGTTCAAATGTCTTCAAACTAATTCGACTTGCATTTCACTTTGCCAGATAAGTCTTGATCCTTCAATTTTTATTTCTTAATTGAGACTGATGATTGGAATTAACTGTTATGTTCTCTGCTGTTTAGGGAGATGTGAAGAGACCCCACTACATATGGTCGGTGAAATTGACAGAAAGGATAGGTGTGACATTTGCTGTGGCAAGCTGGCATTCAAGAGAATGTAATTAATACCAGAAGCTTACTACTGGTATAAATTATCAATCTTTTGTTCTCTCCACACAACTTGCCTCAACTAGCTTATGTTATATGCAACTTGTGTCTATACCTTTTTTGCAACTATAAATTACCAATAAAGTTTTTTGAAAGTTTTGTCTAAATTTCATGGGAAAAGAATATGAGGAGTGATCAGGTAAAATATTGTCCTGTTCCTTAAGAGTGTTTGAGCTTCCAGTCAGAGCTATAAAGTTTCTTAAGTGACTGATTTATGATTATTCTGCCTTAAAATTAGCACAGCCAAACCCCTGGCTTGAAAACTATTAATGTCCACAAATAGGCATCCAAGCCAACACCTATTACTGCAGAATATGCAATGTCAAAGTCCCCTTTTGACATGTCTCATTTCTCTCAACTCTAATAGATGTAAATCATCCATTTTCATAAAGAGATCAACAAACCTATCCACATTAGTTTAATCTGATCTCATTTAGTCTTATTCCTGAAAAGAAAAGGCTTTTGGAAATATTTTGTTTTTTATCCTCACTATTAAATATCAGCCTTACTGGTTCTCTGTTGTTTGGCATGTATAAGAGTCTTTTCAGACCATCAAATTGTCACACAACTCTTATAATTTAATAGGTTGGAGAATAAGGTTGCAAAGAGTGAATATGATTTTGTTGTGCAGTTGAAATGATAAATGAAAGTGATTTTTACTGGGTAATAATTGATTTATTTAACTATTCATCTTACAACTGGAAGCCCAAACTAGTACTTGTTTTCATTCACAATTTCCCAACATCATCGATCATATCTGATGATATTTCTGAGACTAATGATTGAAAAGACTTTATCTTACTCTGACAAAATCCATAATTATTCCTCCATTTCTAACCAGATGGAGCTACCATATCTCTAGCAGTAACATTGACTTTCTTTTCTTTACTGGACATTGACCTTTTTTATTTTGGTAATTGGCTCTGCCGGTTGTGATTCATGTCAAAAAAAAACTTTTGAAACAAAACATAAAGTTTTGTAAACTTTAAATTTTTGCCAAAATTGGAGGTACGCTGCACTTGCAGTACGGTTGAAGCTCTAAAAAACGCTTACAGGAAGGCAAGTACTTCAAATGATCACCGATAACTTGAGATAGCAATGATACGATAGAAGTATACTATCCAATTCTTTTGTGCGCCAGATTAGTTGCTTCCTTCAAAAATAACATTATCTACATCGATCGCCCAGACAATCACAAGCCAAGACTCAAACAATCTTTTGTATTTTTTAAATAACTTCCTTCCACACATCACACAATAATTTCAAGACTTTACCGCTTCCATCTAAGTTACAGAAGAAAAAATGAGAAGAAAGGTTGTCTCAAATACTCGAACCATTGTTTTTTCCGACGTATTTTACTGCTTCTTTTCTTACGCGATTCTCGAGCGGGAAACCGACGCGGGCGCATAGCAGCGGTTTCTCGTATCAAACTAAAATTTACAGAACATGCGCAACAAAATGCCTCTCTGCCATGAGACTTTCAATTTCGATCTGCTTTGTCGGGAGATGCGGAAGTTGTAAAGGCGGTGCATGAGAGGTGCGTTTTTAATCTACCCTTTCCAACTCGTTTCAGTGTTTCACACAGATAAAGCGGTTTCTTTCACTTTAAGTTCCACTGAATAAAGGGTTATTTACGTCCATGACGTAATGTTTTACATTCCATCACCAATTTCGTGTTTTTCGAGTACATACCATCTTCAACTAGAACAAGTTTCGGACTTTTAGCATCTCATGGATAGGAAGTTTGTTTCGAAAAAAGGACCAGCATCACCAGCATCACCTCGCAGTCAAACATCTGAGGAGGAAGATATATTTGACTACGCAGGACTAGAAGACTATAGTAATGAAAGTGGACCTGTGCCGAGAGAAGCATACATTGCTTTAAAAACAGGTATTTGGTTCATGGACATTGCATTTAATTTTACATAGTCCTAAAGGTAATTAAGATTTTGTATTTGTCAACTTAGCAGTATAAATTAAACGAGATATAGAATTAAACGGGGTAAGTTTCTAAAGAAACAGTGTTGCTGCGTCGGTGGGAAAGTACAACAGGGTACTGTTGTCAACTGAGTTGAAAACGTAAAATGGCCACCGTAAAGGGTTTAAAGGCTGACGTTTCGTCCGGTAGCCCTTTGTCCGAGCGATTGCAGGAATTATGGGTTGTGTGTGGGTTTATGTGGGAATGTGGTGACGAGAAAACGAGGATAAATCATTCAACTAATTTATTTTCGTTATTCTCGTTTTCTCGTCACCATTTTCCCACCTATAGCAAAGCTCCATTTTCTGCATATAAACCCACACACCACCCACAATTCTTCCAATTGCTCAGACAAAGGGCTAACGCTCGAAACATCAGCCTTTAAACTCTCTTTGGTGGCCTATTTACTTTTTCAACTCAGTTGATAACACTAAATTACTGAGATATAGAAAGATGTGGGTTTGTAGATTTTGGTGTGAGATTTAGATGGTATATCTATGGCTTGAGTAAATGATGATTATTTATAATTATTTAGTTGTTGTCCAGAGGCTGGGAAAGTTATTTTCCCTTGAACGTGTGCTGATAATGAAGGGAACAGATAAAAGGTTGCATAATCTAACAGGAACAACTTTTTATGTCCATCAGTGATGGAAATTTCTCCAGTGAGATTTTCAACTGCACTGTAGGACAAGCTCTTGCTTTGACATCGTTTGTCTGTAAACCTTGATAACTATTCCATTCTTTCTCTAAGCTGGATACATTAAACAATTGTACCCAATCAATCCCATTTAAAATTAGCTCGAAACAACATTTTGACTGTATATCAAATAGCAATTTCAACAGATAGACATCTTAAAAAATGCCTTGAGGGACCTGGTACAGGGATTCACCAACCCTGTACCAGGTCCCTCAAGGAGCATGTTGTTTAGCAAAGCCTCAATCTTTGTTCCTGCTGTGTGAGATGCAAAGCCAAAGAAAGTTGTACCTATGCAAACCTTTTTTCTTTCCATGATGGGATGCGGAGATCATTGATCTGTGTGAAAATGACAGTAGACATCCCAAAAGGTACAAGATACAGGGTTGGCCAATCAGAGCATTCATTTGGATGCTGTATTAGCAAGGAGGTGTATTTTGTGATTGCTTGTGTTTGATTAATTTTGTGATTGTGACTGTGAGTATGCGTGATCAAATTTGCATTTGTAAGAAAATTGGAACAGTTTCTACAACCAGTTTTACTCCTAAAACTGTTAATGTGTAAGGAATTCTTGTTTTGTGTTGACTTGGTTGGTATACTTTGTTATGGGTCAACAGGGCATTTGATGCCCAGCTGTTGGGTATTTAAACAGCTTTCTATGATTTATCAATCAATAAGTAATCATTGCTGTAGTCATAAGTTTTGATATCAAAGAGTAAATATCATTAATTATCATTCCAACAAAGAGTGGCTTTTATAAGTCCAGGTTCTGGCTAACTGAAAACATAAGTTTTTAGGAAGTTTTTCAATGAGATCCTTTTCATCTTTGTATCTTTTTGTTAGTTGGTTTTCCCAGAGTTGGGTATCAAATTATTGTTATTATTGGGATAGTGGCACTAACATTCTGTTCAAACTTTGTTTTTAATCGATGTATGCTTCCTTTAATTCAAATGATAATAATGCACCTCACTTCATTACAAGTGCACCCTGTTTAATAACCTCTTAGTTTCCTCAGGAAAATGTAATTTATTACAGTTGTAAGGATTAAAATTTTTCTTTCTCAAATATCTCCTCATCAGCATTTCGTACTGTTGAGAAGCGTTTACATGGGGCTGAGGCAAAGGTATCTGAGCTAACAGCAAAATCAAAACAGAGAGATAGAAAAGGATCTCATGAACAAGTGTATAAAGAAAGAGATGCTCTCTTGAGTCATTTACATAACAGCTATCTTGCTTTTGAAGAAAAATTTGGAGAGAATGAAAAATTGAAGAGGACGATACAAGAATTACAGCTTTCTCAGAAACAAACACAAGGAGACACTATGCAGGTGTGTAATTTCAATACCTTTTTTTTTCATCACAATCTTTATGTTCAGAAACAGAGGGTAGAGGTTACTTATACATGTATCCTTTCATTCATCAGTCAATTTATGTGAGTGTGTGGTTCCTGTTGTTTCTTTGAATTTCTCTTCATCTGTCTGTCTTGATTTTGTTGCTGGATTTTGATGCCAGGGTTCCATTTCTGGCAGTCATAACCAATCACATAGTTGCTATTTTGATTACCTGTATGTCACTCTTAGTCTGCCTAATTTTCTGTATGTTGAACATTGTCTGACACTCTGTAACTACTTGAGTATCTGGTTGTCTAATTTCATGTTTCTCTGCCTGGAGGTCTGTCTGAAATCATTTCTGCCAGAAGGTCTGTCTGATGGCATGTCTGTCATTAGTTTTTGATGGCATGTCTGTCATTAGTTTTTTGATGACATGTCTGTCTGAAGGTCTGCCCAAAGGTGTCTGTCATCTGTCTGTCTGAAGGTCTGTCTGACTCAGCCTTGCATTGTAATTTCAGTTTGCACGGATAAGATGACGAATAAATTGGAAAGCCTTTCATAATTTTTCTCAGATAAAGGGTTTACTCTCAAAACGTCGTCTTCTAAAAAATTTTCATATTGGCTAATTATTTACTCATTCCGGCACTCTGCAGACAAGGTAATTGATAAGTAAGTACGTGTTTTACCTCGCTATCGACGCAGAACTAGTTATTCTACAGAAAATATTTTATTTTCTCCTTGTCTGTTCGTCTTTGGTTTTATTTATTTTATTAACTCAATTGTTTAGGCCAAAGGTGGCGCTTCGTCTGAGTCGACCTCCGGAAAGGAAGAAAAGCAAGAAGGAAAAAAATATACAGATTTAGGCGAGGAGTTGAAAACCATGGGTTTAGAAGTTAAGGAAGAAAATAACCGGCTATGGATTATCATAGTGGATAGGGATAATCTCAAAAATTGGATTGAGGAAAAGTCGGAAGGATACATAACTGTCACGATACACGGAAGAACTAGAGGAAGTAACGTGAACCAAACAGGAGCAGTTGTATCTCGTATAGGGGGATGTGAACAGTCAGAAGGAAAACGAAAAAAAATTGAGGCGGAGGTTATATTATTGAAACAGAAAATTGAGGATCAGGCACAGGAACTGAATCGGTTTTACAAGATATTTAAGGAGGTAATGGTTCAAAATAAAGAATTACGAACCAAGGAACAGAGGAAGGAATCAGAAGCCGGCGGAGTGACTGAAGGTAGAATTGTTACGGTTGTATTTTATATCAGAAACTTATTTAAGAAAATAGGAAGACTAAAACGAGAGATCGTGGTAAAGCGCTTTCTGGGGCAATCAAGTGTTCAGATTTGTTTGTTTGGCGTTTCTGCGCCTGCTGTGGACCGTAAGCGCCTTGCTACGATGTTTTGCAAGTCCGTAAACCTTCCCCCAAGCCCCTCACGGTTTTCAAAATGGCGGACTATCATTGTCTCCTCTTACTCGACTCGTGTAATCTGGTTCAACTCCGACTCTAGCCATCATTCAAAGAATCTGATTGGGTTTCTCCGGATTCATTTTTGGTTTTGTGTTTGTTCAGAGTCTCACCTCAGCATTTCGAATTGTGGTTTTAGTCGACTTAGTCGGCAGCTTTGCTAGACTTTGACTTCATCCAGTCTCTCTTTCACTCAGACGTTTCTGATAAAATAAATTTACATTTATTCAATTTAATAGGGCAAAGCAAGGGAGCGATATTTACGATATATTCTTTGTCTAAAGTTTGTTTATTTTCCTTTATGTCCACAAGCTTCAAAACCAGAAGAAGCCTCTGCAAAAAGAACAGCCTTGCCACCAAAAACAGATGCTGTACTTCAGAAGAGAGTAGAGACCATGTTGTCTACAGCCCAAGAACATGTAGTGGAAATGAAAAAAGTTCGAGAACACTTGAATTCACAAAATAATAACTTGCAAAAGCTGGCAGAGCTTACTGAGAAAACAACTGAAGAGTTCATGAAATTAATCAAAACTTCGCAAACCAGGCCAGCCGGAGCTGAATCTTCGGGATATCCGACAGAAACCCGCACTAGACAGGAGGGAGAGATAACATTTACCGAAAGGCATCGATTCGAACAAGTGGGAAATTTCGAACGGTTAGTCGCTGAAGATGCCCCTCTAAGCGTTCCCGTTCAAGCCGTACAAGAAGCATCAGAATACCACCGACTTAATGATCAAGATGAAATTGGAGCTACTGGTTTTGGTCGAAGGTTGAGTAAAGAAAAATATTTATCTCCGATCTCGAGGGCTTCTTCGGATGGAGCCGAAGGAAGGGCAGTTCCCATGGGAACATTTTTGGCCGAGAACACGGGGACTGGAGAGAGTGATATTGAAATTATCGATGAGGAGGATTTCATTGGTGCAACTCCTGTAGTCGGCAAAATATGTCCAATGTGTGAAAAGTTTTTTCCTGAAAGTTATGGTCAGAGAAATTTCGAGGATCATGTGCAACAACATTTTGGTGACGATCCGTATTAACTAATTTGGGAAAACCCCTTTTCCTCCAATAGTCAATCACCTTTTTGATGTATTTTCCTTCTAGGAAAGCACATATTAAACAAATCCACGGTTATCTTTTTTTTCCCTCTTTTTAAACTATCTGGTGAGTCTTTTTCTAGTAAAAGTTTGCTTAATGGATTAGCCTCTTTGATAGACAGGAATTGTCGTTCTCATTATTTTTTTCGTGGCCCGGTGGATGGTGAGGGAAATAGTTAAGTGGGTATAGGGGATCAACTTAGACCAGCCAAGAACAGACTACTTTAAGTCCAAATAACTCAGACCGAAAATGAGACATTTGAATTGATCTTCGTCGACTACTACTCATATTCGACGCGTTCCACGTTTTGGCTCGTAATCATTACTAGAAACTGTGGTCCTAAAATAGCGAATTTGTTCGTATGTTCTGCTTCGTTAGCTTTTTCCCTTTTCGATTCAAAAACACTTACGTTAGAGCGATTCGGAAACTTTGTCCTTCATTTACGATAAAAGTAATTTTTCGATGACTGACAATCGCATCCTAGGCGGAAAATAATAGAAAAAACCCGCTGTTTATCAAACTGTCGTGGACTTGATATGAAGCGAAATGTGTGTTGATTAAGTTTTAGCGAGATATAAACAACTAATTTTCTACAGTAAAAATCGAACGCATATGGCCATTACAGATCCAACGCATGGAATAGCCAGGTTCAAGTATGCGCGCGCTGAGTGTGATATCAGAACAATAAGTTAGAGGCCTTCGTTTCTTAGTTCCACCTTGACGAGTTAATAACGAGCTAAGGCAGTATTCCCCTCAGAGGAAAGCGCGCGCAATCCTCGACCAACGAGAGCCTTCCTGGTTACGCTACGCCGCAAATATTACAGATCTATAATATTTTCGCCACTTCAAGTAAATGTCGCGAGAACAATAAACATTCTGCCCAATGATAATGTAGCACTAAAATTTAGGGTATAGAAATTGACAAAATCTTCAACAACGGAAGGACTGATTCTTTTTGTTGTTCATTATTGTAAATCTGCGATTTTTTTTTATCTTGAGTCAGGTGGGTAATTACCTGATGTGTGGGTCATTTAGTGACGTGGACCGTTTTTAAAGGAAGGGGCGAACGTAAGGGTTTCGAAACGGAAATGCTACGCCTTTATAATTCTGTTTACGTCATTTGACATCAAAATATGTTTGTATTGGTGATTTTCTGTTTCAGGCCACGGCAGAGAAATTTCTAGAATTAAGCTGTGAACGAATCGGAAGTCACATTCTGTTACTGAGATGCAAAAGTGAAGTGTAACTTAGAGCGTTTATATCTTGGCGAAGAAATTAAACTGGCATAACCACGTGTCCATGTGTGTACATATATTTTTATGTTGATTCAGTCACCCATTTAGCATCAGTTTGCGGAGCCTGAGGGAGTTTAGGGTTTTCGAAAGTGATATTAGAAAATGCAACAGCATGTAAACAAATTGGAAAACCGCTAACTGTATCAAGGCAGCGATAGATATTTCTACCCTACGTAACTTTGCCTAACAACCCGATTTTCTTTCCTCTAGTAAAAGGGTCCGTCTTAGTAAATCCAGGCCAGATTGCGTGATCCAAGAACGGACCATGCAAGTGAAAGGTAATAGATCAATTTTCAGGTCGATCAATGCCAGAAGATGCATATCTAGTCAAGCATAGATACACGTATTCTTTTTTTTATTTTACATCACTTCTATAGTTTAAAAATTCTGAGAAGGGCCACTTTGACCTAAGATTAGATCGGTTCAATGTTGCACTCGAAATATAGAAAACCAGTTTGATGCATTTTCTATTCTGCTAACGATAAGGTATATGAATATTCAAATGATGATGACAGAGGCTATTTATAGAGCGAAAAGGGTTGAGCTTTCGAAAGCGGAATAAATAATTCATACCGACTTTGTTTTATTTGGTTATGAACTCTGCCTACTTAAGCTTATTAGTTTACTTCAGGGAGAGATGACCAAATTTTAAAAATCAACTGTTATCGAATTGGTTGTCAGAGTGTTTTCTGAGATCAATGAAACAGATCACAACTGAGGAATATTAGCCAGTGTTTACACGCTACTGAGACCATCGATCTTTCCCTGTCGCGCAGACGAGCATTTTTCGTTGAGAGGCAGCTTTGAGGTAGGATTCGTGGCCCATACATTTATAGCGTTACCTTTTACTCCTAAATCTTCCTAAAAAGGCTTCGATGAATTTTCCTCTTGTAACTGTGTAGTATTAATTAATTGTGAGTCTGCCTCCTAATTTTTGCTTTCGGAGAAGAAAATAACCAGGGTTACTACTTGAATACAGTCTTTCGCGACAGTATAGTCCTAAAATATTTTGGACCAATTTGTCGTTGTAAACCTGTGGACACAAACGTGAAGACTTGTCTGATGTGATTTATGCTTTAATTTGTTTTTCTTTCTATGACATTGAAAACAGTTGCAATATTTGGTTCTTAGTTGAAAACAGTCCGAATCATCTGAAATTTCCATCGGTTAACATATGAGTTCTATCAGATTATGTTTTCGATTACTTAAGTAACGCTAGAAGATGTGATGAAGAACACGAAAGAAAACATTATTTAAGAAATGAGCTGAAATAATTTTTTGTTCGGTCGTCGTGCTGCTACTGATGTGCCCTGAGTCAAACTGAGTCTCATAATAAATTATTTTGACATGGTTCAAACACACCCGCTCTGACCCAAAACAAACTGATAGCACTCTTTCAAAGTTTGCACGGCTGGTATAACTAACTGCTGACTAGTAATCAAACAAGGATACAAACTATTCTTAAGGATAGAGTTTGCACTGAAGTAATTTTTAATTTTTTTCTGAGGTGTATTACTGTACGACCCACAACAACATAAAATCTGTTTGTTTAAATTATGCGATATAAAAGCAAGCATTTGCTAATGGTGACGCCATCTATGTGTCTGTCCTCTTAAGTAAGAACAAATCAAAATAATTTACGCCGGTTACAGTTCGCTGAGTTCTCTACGTTCAAGTTCGCTTCACTTTCGCTCGCTCCACTTACTCTTATTCCAGGTATAGATTTAGTGCATAGATAAAATTATGAGACATTATTCAGGGAGGGCCGCTATTCATGTTTTTCCCGGAGAGATTGTGGTACGTGTGTCACGCGAGTAGCGAACTCGATGTTCAATGTAGCGTACATGTAGCGAACTCGAAATGTAGCGTAGTTTGCTCTTGACCTTCAAAAAGGTGAAACCTTTCTCATGCGATATGAGGTGGGAGGCAATGTAGGTACTTTTTTTTAAATCTCTTCTCTATTTATATTAGAAACCAGTCTTATTTGATGGCCTTTGCAATGGAACAGTCGTTTCATTCCTCGAAAGAGACAACTAATTATGCTCGGCTGTGCAGGCTTCTGGTGGATGTCGGATCACATGTCTTAAGAAAGATATTCGACGAGAAGCGTCCACCAGGAAATTTGGACACAGTTTTGTCAAGTCCTTCAGTGCATTCCGTTCTGCAAATACTTCGAAAGAAGAAAGTCCTTAGTTGTTTGCAATGGCAAAAACTGTATCCCGCCGTCAAATCTTCAGTTTCATCACAGCATTTTGATATCAGTACCCTGATGGTTCTGCTGCGGAATCTTTGTGGTCTTAATCCTCCGGCTACTGGCTGGGATACACTTCCTCCACCAGATGACACATCCCTTGAGGCAGATATCGTTCGCATCAAGTGCTATAGAAACACCGTTCATAGTCATGCTAGCGAGGCCTCGATTGACGACGCAACGTTCAATCAGTACTGGAAGGACATCCAGGGTGCACTAGTGAGAACTGGAGGGGAAGGTTACCAAGGTGCTATTGATGACTTGAAAAGTCAATGTATTGACAGTGATTTTGAGGAACACTACAAAGAGCTCCTTGAACAGTGGGTTAAAGATGAAGCCAGCATGACTGAAAAACTAGATAAAATGATGAAAGAGTTCGGCGAGTTTGATAGGAAGTTGGACGAATTAAAGGAGGCCATGGCGAATGCCAAAAGAGAAATAGGAGCTGAAGGTATGCGAAAAGATATGATTTTTGTAGTAAAGATAAGGAGCATAGGGAGGATCGATAGGCTCAAATTTCCATCAACTACATGGCCTGGGTGTTTCTTTGTTCCAAAAACACTTGTCAAATTCAAACCTTTGCAAAAGGTTACAGGGGGTGGGGCACTTTTTCTTCTCTCTTCTGCCTGTCAATGAAAGGAAGCCTTCGCCGATGAACCAAGTCGCCTCTAAACTGACGACGTTTTCTTTTAAGGGAACGTAACAACACAAATCAAAGAGATACATGGCCTCAAATTTTGGGCTTCCTCTACTTTGTCAGGAGTCAGAAGAGTTTCAGACTGGGTAAACATTTCGATAAATTTAAACCCTGTGTGCGAGAAGCCATTCTTCACGTAAAAGAGAAGAGTGAACAAATGATTCAATATCTAATATCCAATACTACTCCAATTAATACTTAAGAAGGTGTAATCTGAACGTCCCGGTGAGAGTAGTCTTGGTAGGGATTGTTGTCAGAAGCAATGAGTGACGTCTTCACAATCTTAACGGAAGTTATCACCAGGGTCAAGTAACTTGGATGGACTACTCTCACCTGGACGGTCGGAATACAAATGTTACCACCGTCACTTTAAGGTAAAAGCCATTTAATGTACTAAGATAATTTGTTAATCAAAGTTAAGACAGGCTCTGGATTCTCTTTTCAGCTGTAACGGCATATACGAACGCATTGAAGGAATCAATAATAAGCCAAACTGAGTTCTGCCGTCTCGCTTCTCAAACCAAGAAAAATGTGAAAACAGATGACATTTTCACAAATATTCTCATTCAACATGGAAGAAAACCCGTTGAAGACCATAACATGGAAAGAAAGAAGCATCTTCGCCAATACGGTCAAATAAGAGGAAAACCAGTCAAGCATTGCCAAGAAATATTCACTTCAACCGATGGCAATGAGAAGAATCCTCAATCCATTCTCCTCACTGGAAAGGCAGGCATCGGTAAAACTCTCTTTTGTCAGAAGTTGATACGAGATTGGGCCGACGGCAAATTATTTCAGTTTCCCTCGGGAACAAACATTCCCGACTTAAAGTTCGCATACTTACTGACCTTTCGTCAACTGGATTTACTTAAAGACACTCCTGTCAACTTGAGAGGAGTCCTGAACCGATCGTCAGTGTTAGATGACCACTCAAATATTGACGATTCTTTGTTTGAGTACATGGTTGGTCATCCGGCAGAAGTTTTGATCGTCATCGACGGGTATGACGAGTATTCAAAGCAAGATTTCATCGCTAGCGATTTGGATGAGGAATTTCCAAACAACGCCCGAGAGAAGATGCCAGTAGCCGCACTGTGTGCCAAACTCATCAAAGGAAGAATCTTGAGAGGTTCCGTTGTCATGGTAACGTCAAGACCCGAGGAATCTGACAAAATAAAAGATGAAATTGACTTTGATCGATACGTTGAAATTACAGGATTTTTTGAACCGCAGGTGAAGGAATATATTGAGAAGTATTTCAGGGGAAACGAGCGATTGAAAAACACAGTACTGGACCACATGACAAAGAACGCCAATCTTGTCAGCTTTGCCCACATTCCTGTGCTTTGTTTCCTGATGTGTTCCTACTTTGAGTACATTCTAACGGAATCAACGAGCAGTGATACCCTTCCTGTGAAAACAAGTGACCTTTACTATGAAGTGGTAAACATGTTTGTGAGAAAGCACAACAAAAAGAAGGGACTGTCTCACGAGGAAACTTTGGATAAACTATCAGAGCTTGCTGCCCTATTGCTCCTGGAGAAGAAGTTTCTATTCGCCAAAGAGGATGTGAAAATGTTTGGTCTAGAGGAAGTTGAAAGTTTGAGCGCAAGTGGTCTTCTTCATTGCGGTCCTCCTTTCAGAAAATCTTTTTCTGAAACGACGAAATATTTTTGCTTCACCCACCTGACTCTCCAAGAGTACCTAGCGGCTCGTTGGTTTGTAAAGAGGAAAGAGATTCCTCCTGGAAATGTTTCATCAGTGGTACTACAATACATGTCCGGTATTCTGTCAAAGCAGAAAGACCACACACTTATGGAACAAATACTTAATGGATTCAGCACTGAATACTTTTTCAGGAGGAAGCTTCTAACAGCTTATTGTCTGATGGAGTACGAAGACAAAGAGTTTGCCAAAAGTGTCATAAAGAAGCGCTTCCATGAATTCTGTGATCGCAAAGGCACAATTGTTTTCAGGAATGTGACTGATACGGGTTGCACTACAGTATCTTTTCTTTTGGATATTATGAGTAAATTGAATGCAGAAGGAGAGTCGGGCAGGAATAATTCAATCTGTGAGCAGCAGAAAGCAACATGCAGAGCAATTTCGCTGGATCTGAGTGGTAATCAGATCACTGATGACGGTGTTTCCAGTCTATGTCAGGTACTGCAGACCGCAACAAGTAAATTACCAAAACTGGTTCTAAGTGGTAATCAGATCACAGATGCTGGTGTTGTCAGTCTGTGTCACGCATTACAGACAGAAACATGCGGCATAACCACACTCAATTTGAGTTTCAATCAGATCACTGATGCCGGAGTTGTCAGTCTGTGTCAAGCTTTACAAAAAGCTGTTTGTAAGGTGAAGACACTGGATCTTAGTCTTAATCAGATCACTGATGTCGGTGTTGACACTCTATGTCAAGCCTTACAGACAGAAACATGTAAGGTAACTACAGTGGATTTGAGCTCTAATCAGATCACCGATGTTGGCAAGGAGAGTCTCGCTAATCTGTTGAAAATTAACCCTGGCCGTTACCATATCGATTACTTTTAGGGATAGAAATTCGCTGAGAAGTAGAGCTCCTCTCAGAGAGGTACCAAAAATTGTTCAAACATTTAAATACATGCACTGCGAATGAATTAAAAGTACTGTCAAACTTCTTTGACTGTAGCAATAGGAATATTAACAGTATTGTATTTCTAGCTGACCTAGCAATGAGGTTGGTTTCATGATGCCTTCTGTTTGACAAGATTAGCCTTAGGTCCTTAGAAAAATTATTCTATTGTTCTAGGTAGGAATTACACTGAATGAGGCGTATAGTGCTAATAAATGTTACTTAGTTAAGATTCCAGTCTTCCTAATAAAATATTCCCAATAACCAAATGCTGCATTTTCTGAGCGGTTTGTTATTTCACGATAAGATAGGAAACTAGCAGTCTTGGGCTTTGACCTTTCCACCTTTCCATCAAACCTCCCTTACCAACAGTGGGCTAGTGTGTGACTAGCACACTGCCCATTCAACACGAAGGTGACGCCATACTCAAATGAGTGGAAGTTCTTTCGGAAGAATTTCAATATACAACGGTACATACGCATTCAAAGTCCACAATATCCAAAGATAGACTAAGCAGAACTAAAACTGATAGAACGCGCTTTGATTGGTCCAAAGTCCAACCCAAGTTCGTGAAGAATTCCCTGTTAATTAATCTTGTTAGATTTCCGCTTTGTACTTTTTGACAATAGCGAAAAACATCGAAATTTTATTTGAGCAAAGCCAATCATAGCACAGACGTGTCTTGTGTATTGATGAATAAGTCATGAGTACTTTGTATACTCAGTCACTCGACTGGAACTAACTTTCCCATCAGCCCTGCTTATCAACACTGTCCAATCATCACGAAGGTGACGTCATGCTACAAATGGTACTAGTTTTCCCGGAAGAGTTTTGCTTTCCAACGGTACAAATACTCATCTGGGCAATTATTATTACCCCATATATAGTTATGAAACTGGGCGATAACTGAGGAGATAGATAATTTTTTTCCTCGGAGCGAAAAGGGTATTTTGGCAAAAGAAACAGTTATTTCAAAATGTACGACCCAGAGGCAAACAAATATGGCGGGGCCGACTATAGCCAATTCGATAACACAATGGCTTTCAGCGACTCCTCCATTCGCGCTGGTAAGGGTTATAAATGTAATTTTTAACTGGTTGAATTAGATGTGATATGTTGTTGGTTTTGTCGAGGTTACTAAATGATGTATTTTTTGCTTTTTGTCACAGGCTTCATTCGAAAGGTAAGATTTGGCCTGTGTTCGGTGCATGTTGATTAGAGTTTGTATTTTGATTCAGCTGTTTCATTTTGTCATTTATATGCATATACTTGCGCACACATAAGGGTAACCTATATTATCGGTTAAAAATCACTACCCTTATTTTGGGTAGATACGAAGGTTGGACAAAGTATACTCTTGACTTTGACTGTCTAGAAAATGTAATATAAATATAGAGCTTCGTTATCACAAATTATATTCACGACATTTTTTCCTTTTTATCCTTACTTCGCCATGACACCAATTAAACGAACGTACACGTACCCACGTACAAGTGCTGTGATGATTAACTTGAGATTTCTAGCAGAAACTCTATTTAAACCACTCAAACCGTAACGTCGACATTTATATATAGTGAAAGGAGGGACGGAATTAAGGGTACTGAATTACATACACCCTCTGACAGGAAATCTCCACTTGGCTCCATCTTTAATGGACTGGTCTGTTATCATGTGAGGGGTTAACAAAATTGGTGGGAGTCCGATCTGTTATTTTTTAGATAGTATGATTCTGGGCAGTTTGATTAGATGATGTTGCTGATGATCCTTTTGTATGAAAACAATATAAAAACTGGAAAGTGAAGCAAAATACGCATTGGGTAAATTTATGTGTAATATATTAATTAGGGGACCTTTGTAACATGAAATGAGCGCAGTATCTTGCTATATTACAGCATGTGCAGTTGATGCATATTGTCTGATTACTCAGGCATGAAGTGTAAACTGCTCTGTGACACTACTGTCCATGATGCATACACTTATGTATAATAATATGAATTACAGGCGCCTTTTTATTCGCTTTTGTTGGTGATCTGTTGGAGGACAGATGCTAAGATGACATTACCATTAACAATTTTTTGCTTCTTTATCATATAAAACAAATAGGTCATGTATTGCTGTGGATCTGTTCAGTAACAGATCATAGAAGTTGTCAAAATGTGTTAACCCTTTGACTCCAATGAGTGACTAAGACAGAATTCTCCTTACAATATCAATACAATATCAAGCAGACAAGTGATGAGAATGAAGAAAAATATCAATAAGGGGATTATAAGTTGATACAACACCAAATTCTCCAAACTAATATCATAAGAACTGTAGGGAGACAGTAAGGAGAATTACTAATGAGATCTTGGTAGTTAAAGGGTTAAGAGCATTTTAGTTCAGTAACACACTTTCCACATTTTGACACCATCTGTGATCTATTTTACTGAACAGATATAGAGCAATATAGAATCTATTTTGGAATTATATAAGTTCTCAATTTAAGCTGCTGGAAAAATTTGTACTATTTATACAATTTTCCAATGGTTTTTTTAAGGTTGTAGACATGTAATTGTGGCCAATTTGACATTGTCTGTGTAAACAAAACAATCCCCACAAAACAAGAAAACAACTTTGTACAAGCAAACTCAAACACAATGTTTTATTCAGTGATTAAAATTGACATCTGGGGTAGCTGGTAAGACCTACAGAGTGACTGCTATGTGCTCTTGCAGGACATAATTATCAGTAATGTTTTTGTTTATTTCTATTTTATAGGTCTATGCTATTCTACTTGGCCAACTTGTCATAACAATGGCATTCATCTGTTTCTTCCTGTATTGGTAAGGAAAATAAATTTGCAGAGATGTAAAATTGGATAAAGCACTTTAGGCACCTTCTTGTAATAATATTAAGGTTAACATCATTTTTATCATTTTTTCTTTATTCAGTGAGCCTGTACAGGAATATGCAATGAAACATGTAGGATTATTTTATGGAGCTTTGTAAGTGTGATTTATTTTTTTTAGTTTATGCAAAAATAACTTTGATTTTAGTTGGATACAAATGCTGCAGTAAATTAACATCAATCATGTATGTAAGGCAGGATAGTTGAAAGGCTCAAACTAACATAATTAAACTCAAAAGGTTCTAGAAATTGTCCAAGGGATTATTTGACAATAACTGTTATTGTCAAATAATCCCCTGAAACCTTTTGAGTTTAATTATGTTAGTTTGATGAAAAATGATTACTAAAAAACAAGTGATTGTTGGTCAGAGCAACTGCATTGTCTTGTATTTATGTTTTTCTTTGTGAGCACACAAAAATCATTTCAATTGATAGCCATGTAGAAAATAAGTTCTTCACCTTTAAAATCACCCTGCATGGAGGACCTTATCCAGTCACCTAAGCCATTATTTGCATGCTTATAAATATTGAATAATACATTTGATATTCATGCCAATAACTTAAAAAGACATCCACCTACTCTTCTTACTGCTCTTTTCAGTTACAATGGTGTACACTTTCCAAATTTTTTCTCACTTTTTTCAATGTTATGTTACAGGGCTGTCACATTTGTCACAATGATTGCTATGGCTTGTTGTGAGAGTGTAAGGTAAGAATTCCTTTCTTGCTGTGAAACTATGACATAGTATGGTTTGCTATAAGAATATAATTGGATTGTCTCATGGCATGTCTCAAGTCCTTTTTTTAAGTTTCACAAGCGCTTATTCTGTGTTTTCTATCTTATGAGAAATCAATGTTATTGAAGAATACAAATGCTGAAAAATTTTTTAGAGTTGCAGAGACAGGTTTTGTACAGGGCCAGAAAACCTAGGACATCCTGGAATTTTGTTTTGACATTTCCCAGGACTGGAAAGTCCTGAATAATGTCAATAGGTTCTGTATTTGTACAAAGTCTTGGAAATCTGTTTAACTCATTTACAAGCAATAAAGTTTTTAAAATTTATGCTATATGGAATGTATGTAGACCCTTAAGAGAACTGATTTGGAAATCTTGGGAATGAAAGGGTTTGAGTTAAAATTTGGAGATCTGAATCCTGGAAAAGTTTTGGAAAAATCCTTCAAATTTGTTTCTGAAAAAGGTTTGAACTTTGGAAAGAGAAGTTGCTTATGAAATCAATATAAACAACTTCTCTTGGTTGTTGTTTGACATTTTCTTAGATACTTAACGTTAGCTGATGTTGTTAACTTGTTTGATCTCCTTTTAGGCGGCAGTTCCCAACTAACATGATCTTTCTTGTAATTTTTGTGAGTACCTTCTACTTCATTTGTGTAATGTATTCCTAATTCCTGCATCTATCAGTGAGCACCCCCCTAAAGTAACCTAAAGACTGTCACATTTCACTCCCCCTATGTTACTGAACTGCACTGGAAATGGAGTTTGTGATTTGTCTTCAAGACTGAATGCTTCATTTTGGTCTAAAATTAAGACTGGAGGGGAAATTAGAACTGAATTTGAAAATTTGAAATTTTGCACTTGATATGTTAACTGAATGTTTCATGTAATATATTATAAAAACTGTATACTTTAATAATACTTTTTCATCAAGTTGTAAGATAGAGAAGTTTTTCGTTTAAGCAAACTTCTGCTTGCTGTATGTTTCATTAGTTTCAACTTCGTTGCCCTCAGAATCCCTGCATTTCCATTATTGTTGACTCATGTAATGCTCAGATAAGTGTGCAGTGTAGTTGAATGAATTAGGGTGTCACCCTTTTGTGGTCTATTTGTGTTTTGATACCATAATTAAATGTTCTTTAGGTTTAAGTTGTATTGAATTTTGTTTTGTTTTGTTGTTATTTAGACCATCTGTGAAGGATATCTTCTTGGTGCTGTATCAAGGTAAATTGTAGTCTGCTTTTGTGGACATACATCAGGTGGACAATCTTGAGCTGAAAAAAATTGATGACCCTCTCCTCACTATTGTTTCTGTTATAATATTTTAACAGAATCACTGAATCATAATCTGCCTTTCTTTGATCATGGTCAATGGATTTCAAATTTTGGTAGCATTTTTTGGAGATGGAGATAACTTAGATGAGTAGCACAATCACCATACCCACTTCTGTAACATGTATGGAAAATATGAAAATTGCTAGTTTGGGACAAAATCACTTCTTTAGGTCTGTTTTAAATTCACATTTGCTATTACAACTGATTTATTTCAAACTATTTTATTTTTGTCACATTTGATTCAAATTTGTATTTACCGATAATCCCTTGTGGGTGTGGTCTTTTTCACAAATAATCAATTTCGAGTTCACTGACACAGTAAAAAGTAAAAATAATAACATTTTGTATTACATGGAGGCTAGTATCTCCCTAGTGAGATCAACTGGAACTCTAAAAACTGACTTTCTGCCTCTTTTTACAACTTGAAGATCACATCACCATTTTCACTTGGAAATTCAGCTCTCTTTTTGCGATTCTTTTCATTATATTTTAGATTCCTTAGCCTATTCTTTTCCTGCTTTTTCCTCCTCCACTCTTTGATCCTCGCAAGCTTTTTTTCCTTTTCGTTAACCATACCTCTTGTCAAGCGCACTTGAAGCGATATTTACAGATGGCTAAATCTCAGAAAAATTATTGAGCTTGAAGACCCCCGACCCTTGATAACGTCGCAGAAACCAAAGTAGGAAAGGTTACCAAGCTATTTTCGACACGGAGATGAAAAGATGAAGGCGAAAATGGCGGAGCAAACAGCAGATTTCATAGCGCTTTTGTTGGCATTTGTGGCGAGACTCCGTTCTTAATATGGCGTCAACATGGTAAAAAGCGTAGCGACTTGATCAAAAGTGAATAATTTGGCCGTTTCTAAAGATATGGACCCGAAAACTTGGAAATGACAAGAGAAAGTTATGAGCATTGAAGTGTAATCGATTTCGAAACCCGACTTTGCCGTGTTTGAAGTATAGTAGCGAAGGAGCAGGTAAGTTGATGAAAAATATTATTGCGTAATCAGGTTTTACAAAACCGTAGCGACTGTTTTACACTGATATTTCTCCGTTTATAGTTAATCCTTTAGACTGATTTTTCGCTATTTTAGAACACCAAGTATGAGCATTTGATTAATGTGTTTTTGTTCCCACAGGATTCCAGTTCAGTCATTCTGCGGACAACAACTTGGTGTACTTCCAAATTCTGAAACCCAGCGTTACACAAAGGATACTTAAGAATGATGAATCTTTTCTATGCGTTTTAATAAACTTGAAATGTCAAAGTTTTGCTCAAATGTAGTGTTTATTGTGTGTTATTATTAGGTGTAATTTGTTTGCTCAAACGAGCTTTCTTTTCAGTGAAAAATGTATTTAAAAAATTTTACCACTGAGATTGTGTTACGCGTTACAACCAAAATTGGCTCGAATTTTCATCTTTCACGGGTATTTTCTCAAAGACAGTAATGTGGTTTTCTGATTTTTTGCTTTTACTATAATCAATAAGAACAACTTTACCTGTAAGCAAAGATTTGGCTTCAATGAAAATGTAAAACAGAAGAAATCATTGAAAGTTTGCAGTCAACCCCTTATGGGCATGGTGATTGTGCTACTCATCTTAGGACTATTAATAGATGAATACTTAAATTTCCTTTGCATTAATTATATCTTAATACCCAATTTTTGTTGCAATTCTCACTTTAGCCATATACACACAACTATTATGTATTATATGAACAATACCAACAGTTTCTTACTTGTAAATCAACTTTCCACAGTGTTTATAATAAAGATGAGGTACTTATGGCTGTTGGAATAACTGCAGTAAGTTGCAGCCTTTTTGGTTTTGAGTTCTTATGATATATGCTGTAATAAAGATAGAACTGAGGAACAGGTCTGTCTATTAGTTGAAGTAGAAGTTAAATATAAAGAAATAGCAGACAGCCAGGTCGTTGTGGATACCATTTTTTTCATCAAATTACGCTCATTGCTGTGAGCTGTTCAGTTAAAATGTACCAGTTGTTCCAAAAAGTTTGCACAAAGCTTCAAGTAGTGAAAGTGGAGTTGATTAACACATCTACATGTAGCCCTTTACTAGTAAATTTTACATGTAATTCCACTAAAAACTAGGAAAGGGTTGCAGTGGTTGGAAGTGGCTGGCTATAAAATGGCAGACTAGCCATGGGTTTTGGCCCACCACCAGCTCTTGTTGACAGCTCTGGAAGGAAGATTGTTAAAAAAATACTTAAAATGCAGCTGATGGAACCAGTCATGATTACTTTCTGTTGGGGTTTAAACCAGCCTAAGTATGGTCACTGAAGTTAATGTGACTTTAATTGTATGCCATGAAAATTTTGTCAGCTAAGCAATATTGTATGGTTAGCAAAAACTAAATTCCTAGTATGTGAGGAGAATATTGATTAGGAGAGAAACCCGAATTAGAAATTGTTAAATTTTCTTTGAGACATACGGTCAGTAGATGACTAGATTTGAATGAGTTTTGAGTTAGCATGAGTTTGAATAACTAAAATACAATTGATACTAGCTGATATGCTTGTGGAGTTTCATTTGGCTGAAGGTAGTGAAAATTTTGCAGTTTGATAGTGAGAAACCTTTTTTTTTGCAGAAAGAGATATTGGCAGGTTGAGGACTGTGCAATATCATGTGAATTAAAAGTTAACTTTTCAATAATTCTTGTTGTGAAACTTTTTTATAGGTTGTCGTTCTGGCAATTACCATTTTTGCATTCCAGACTAAGGTGAGAGACTAGTAACCCTTCAAGTCAGTATAACTTTTCAACAGATGTTATGCAAGTTTCAGCTGTAGGTGTTTCATATTGTAGGGCCTTTAATTTTCAGGTGAACCATGGTTGCTGTTTTTATAGTAAACTTAAGGTAGTGTTAGCTAATCTTGGTCCCAGAGCTGGAGTTAATGATCTGCACTTTTGCCAGCATCAAGAATCAAGGGTTCCCATTGAAACAATAACATTTACTTTCTGTTTTCAAAGAGAGTCACTTTGCATTGCATTTCCTAACACACATTCACCACCCTTTCCTATTTTGTTTCACCAGAAAGTCAGTTTACCTAGAGCTTATAGATCTGTACTTCCTGGTTTCAAAAAATATCTGCCAATATTCATTTTCATGCAAGTGAATGATTTCTACATTACATGATTTCTGCTGGCAAATATGCTATGAGGCCCTGTTTGCTCTGTTGCACTAAGTTCCTTTTTTTGGTAGTTTTTGCTTTTTAGAGAGATCTGCTTACCTAATTTTTAACAGCAATTTCTTTAAATATGCTCTGTCCTTGACAGTATGACTTCACCATGATGGGCGGATTTCTGTTCGTGGCTTTGATTATTCTCATCTGCTTTGGCTTTTTGATGATCTTTTTTCACAGCAGGGTAAGATGTATACTTTACACTATGCCTGCACAATAGCCATCTCCATCCTATCCAAGAGGGAGTCATGGAAAAGCATGATATAAGTAGGAGGGAGGGGGTCTTCTTCTTCCCTTCATTTATGTTTCAATCCCTAGAGACTTGAATTTTGTTGTTGTTGTTGTTGTTGTTGTTGTTGTTGTTGTTGTTGTTGTCAGTAGTAGCCTTATATTCCATGGGTTTGGTTTGGGACCAAAACAAAACTAGGTCAAGAATATTATGTGGAGCAGGATAAGTTAAAGACAAAAAAAACAAAGAAAGGGATTTGTCTTTTAATTTTTTACATATTCTCTACAGCTTTCTTTATCTTTTTAATACTTTCCACATATTCTTGGTGAAAGTAATATCAGAAGTTGAATTTGGTTTGAATTTACAGTTTCCTTTGAAGCTTTGTCATACTAATTACAGTTCAGAAAGACCAAAAGTAGAAAATCATGGTTGATTACTAATTTTATAACCCAAGTTGTCAACCTGAAAAATTTGTATTAAACCTGGTAACTATTTTCCATAATATTTCAGGTTCTTTCAGTTGTCTATGCTTCGCTTGGAGCTCTCATATTTGCCATGGTATGTTTCTTGGAAAAATAGCAGGCATTGTGCTGCTTTCATTCTTCAGGAGTTGTGTCCAATTAATTTAAAAAAGTAAAATGAATGATTTGGTTTTCCTTAGCACTGCTCATACATGTACCAAAAAGGCCTGAAGGGCAAACAAAATTAGTGACTCAAATGAAAGAAAGTAAAGATTAAAATGACAGCCTGCAAGAGGCCTCATAACATATGACTTCCACATGTGGCCTCTGGTTGCAAGTCCAGCCCATTGAACACTCTTGCATGCTGCCTCACAGAAAACCAAGTCATGGACAAAAAACTTTTTCTATTGAAGTAATTTGCAGCCACATTTTTGAGGTGTAAATCTTTGTTTACCTTGAAATGCCTTCTCCGATCTGATAAATTTTCTCAAAATGCCTGACAGAGAATTCCAAATGTCTACCTTCCATTAATAAAGTTATGTTTTGGACCCAGAGAAGTCTGACTTTAGGTAAAAGGTCTATTGTGGAGCTCCATTTAATGCCCTCTATTTACAGTGTAGTTTGTATTTATGGGGACAGCATGGACCAAAATGCTACTGTTTAAACAATCATACAGATCATCTTTAGTTAGTATTTTGCTGTAATAGTTACCACATAACCTGTTGCTATAGAAATGTGTTTACCAGTTCCCTTCAACCTACCATGTAATAATTCTTGGAACATGGTGCTGGTCACTGGTTGGGAGAGTTAATGCATTGGCTTCCAAAGCAGGAGATTGCTATAACTTATCTGTTGAGGTGTGTTTTATCTTGCAGTACCTTGTGTATGATACACAGATCATGATGGGTGGAGGCAAAATGTACTCCATCTCACCAGAAGAGTACATATTTGCTGCACTGAACTTGTACTTGGATATTGTCAACTTGTTCTTGTACATCCTTCAAATTATCTCAGCAGCAAGAGGGGATTAAAGAGCCAGCTACAATGTGAGCACAGTTGGGATCTGCGTCCACAGGATCAACATCAAAATTCTTAAATCTGTTTTATTACATTTTCAGCAATTTTTGTTTTGATGGTTTGGTTCTTGGTCATTTTCATCTGCCTTTAGGATTAGGTTTGTTTTAGTTGGAAGTACTATGGTTTGAAAGCGTAGTAGTTAAACTAGTTTCCTTTGTATCTGTTATGTGGGTAGGTATCCCTTACCCTCAGGCCCCCTTTAGCTTTGCCCTCGACTAAGACGTTATTGGTTACCTCCCTTTTCGGCTCAATGGAGTTTTGTTGGAACCATATGTTGTATTATGTGTAAATTTCGATTGAGATTGTTAGAAATTGCATTTTTAACTAAAACTCAGCAACTTACTGGTATGAGTTTAAAGTGCAGTTCTCGACAAGAGTAACTGAAAGAACTTAGAGAATATAGAGCATAAGATTTTTTAAAATATATGGCACTCGTTGATTAGGAGAAATTAATTAGTTTTGAGTTTTGGCTTCCTAAGAATGCTTCACTTTAAAAATGTTTTGTATTTGCAAGTTGCTATGTAAGAGCATTATGTCTAGAGTAATAGTTGTATTATAGGAAGGTAAAGAGTTTGTTCTTGTTGCCTGGCAAGTGATTGTCAGAGACAAAGTTTGAAATTAAAAATTTCAAGGAAAGTCCTCTATCTCTGATCATTGAAATTATTTGAGGTTTGCTTGCATGGGTTGAAAGTTATGTGGGATTTCTCTGATTTTGCTTTAACTCCCTCTGTGATTGGTCGAGGAAAATGCGGCCATCTTGTCAGCCAATGAGATACAAAACAGAAATCCAAACGTGACTTGGTTTTTCGCGTTTTCCCGCGGAAAGCTCAACTGGGAGCTAGGGACTGTCTTTATTTCATTTGGGCCTGGGGCACCTTTTGCTGAATTTTACTTTTTTGCTATTTTATTGGGCAAGTGTTTTTATGATTTTGTCAATTGTTTGACTCCACGTTCCTCAAGGAAAGGTTAACTGATTATTGAGGCTCCTGGATAAACTTGTTTACGGAACTAAAACTTTTTTTATAGGTTTCGCAAATTTTAAGACGTAAGAATAAGTTCAGACATGTAACTTTACATATTTCAGTTGATAAAGAGGTTATTGACGCAAACGGGTAACGCCATAGAGTTGTATCTGTGTGCCGCCACTGATTTTTGTACGTGATGTCGCAAACTCTGGGTATGTATCTCGAATTATTTCACCGGGCCAAGATACGAGGAGGTTAGAGATATCGGGAACCTTAACTTTGGGTATTTCTTAGACAGCATCAATTACAGGTGCGAAATCAATGTGATTTACATCTCAGCTCATCTCAATTGAAAAATACCATGTTTATTATCTGATTATCTCTGTGCATTAATTTACAGTCTGTGAAGCATAGCTACGTCTACTTAAAAGTGTGATTTTTATTTGTTTTCCTCAAGTTGCTCGTCAGTTCTAACTGTTTCTGAACCAGAAACCAGACTGGAAGAAGCCAGACTAACTGGGAAAAGTTTAATTACAGTTTGCTGCAAACCAACGATAGTACTTTAAGTAAACGCTTCTGACAAGAAGCATTTAGTATGTACACGAGAAAACATGTAAATTTTGGTAGAATATGTGCATGGCATGTTACATGCTGAAGTAATAATATTTAACGCGATATGTACATGATAAAGCCTATAACGTAACGCTTTATAGTGCAATATATGTATGGCTAGTGTTAAATAATTCTAATATGTAATAATGCTATAATCCAAAATTGCAATAGGGAAATTGTCAACATGCTGTATCCCCAGATATGTCTTATCCCTAGAAACCAGTCTCAGTAGAAGTGGTCGTATCCGTATATAAAGTCATTGTACAAGACCTCTCTTACAATCTTTTCAGTCAACTTTGCACCTCTTCTGTCCAGGAACCTTTCTCTTTCTCTTTGTTCTCTCAGCCAAAGCCATCGTCGAGCATAACCATCGAGGCTTACTATAGGCAAGCCAGCACGCCATGTCTGTTAGTGAATGGTGTTTCGTTTCTTCTTCAATCCAAATCGTCGCGGATTATTGAATCGCGACACGGGTACTTGGTATCTTTTCTGATTAAATGCATAGTGATTCTTCATGTAAGCCAAACGAGGAAACGGTCTTGAAATAAACGCCCTCTTCATGGAGCCAGGGCCGCAGCATCTGTGCGGACACTCTAGAGCGCATACATCAGCACAGATCTTGGGGCACCTTGGGGACTGGGGGATGTCATTGATTTTGGGCCTCTGGTTGATGGTAGCTTTGATTGGTGGGTGAGGACCACAGCAGCGCCTGGGACATACTTGTTCACAACTCGAAAAGCAAACACGAGGGCATCCCGCAACTAGTTCCATATCGTGAAAGCGTTTCTTAGTACAGCATGGTTTGGGACACGATGGCAGGCACGTCTGAGGGGAGCAGGCAGGCGCCACGCACGAAACAGGCTTTGGTTTCTTTGACGTTGGGGTAGCTGTTGGCCGGGCTAAAGAGTGACAACGTTTTAAAACAATTCTTATCCCGGTGTTGATAAAAAATTTTACCACAATAGGCAGAAATGTCGTGATCTGATTGGCCAATTTGCCGTTTTCGATAAGAGTACAGACAAGTTGTCGCTTCGACGTGTCACGCAATGGTCACGCACCGAAAGAATTGTCTTATATGACGTTATTGTGGTAAAAAAAAAAAATACACAAACAAATTGACAGTGGTTTGGCGTGTTCTGTCCTCTTATCTAAAACGATATTCGTTATCACAAAGGTCAAAATTTATTGTGGACTCACTCAGCTGCTCCTCGTGACACCACAATATTTTTTTGTGATGACGACACTGTGATGACGAATGTCTTTGTGAATAAGAGTACAGATCACGCTAAACCACTGTCGAGTTGTTCACTCGCGCTACCCTCTCGAACCCTCAGATTTAAAACAAAAAACTAATCTTGAGTTGCTCATATGCGGCTGTTTATCTGTACATAAAATTTTCTCTGAATAAGCACTTATTCGGTTCCTCTGATATCTGGGTACTTTTCTTCGTTCTGACTGGCCCTTCGCTAACGTTGGTTTGGTACGTTATAAAAAAAAACACTCTACCTGGAAAATAGGTCGATAAACTTGAAATCATTCTCTTCTTAGTTCCTCAAGATCTTGTTATTTCTTATCTAGCTTTTGAATCCCTTCATTAAATCCTATTTTGGCGAGCCTATCTGAATTTTAAGTTCGACGTCTGTCCTCTGCTCTCTGTAGCAGAACATAAACTAATCTAAGTACTCGTTCCCTTGGTAACAGCTAGATACCAATTTTGCCAAAACCGTCGATTATGGAAGCCTGTGGGGCTAAAATGGTTGGAAATCGGTTGCAACTCTCAGTTGTATAAATTTCCCATCTTTCGTAGTCCCATTTTATGTTCAGAATTTTGTATGCTATCCTTCTATGTGGAACAGTTTGTGTGACGCATAGATGCATAGACGGATTATGATTTCTAATGGCAGTACTTATACTCTCACAGCAAGTGCCTGAGAGTGTTATACGATTACCATACCTGTTACTGCTGAAGAAGCTGGCTTAGTGGAGCCTGGTGCCGCTGTGCTAGCGGGTTTGCTTGTGGGTAAGCAACAGCTCTGTTTACAAAAAGTGTATCTTTGTTAGTTTTTCCCTCGTGCGGTTTTAACCGTATGACTTGTGAAATCTGATTATCTGTAACTTCCTCTTAAAGCTGCTATGCAGTTCCTTGCTAATTACTTGAATCAAACTGGTGGTCTTACAAAGAAAAAAATTTACAGCACTAGAAGCGTTTTGGACGCACCTGAGGACACGGAGTTGCACATATTTGAGCACAACTTGCTGGGCATGAAGAAGTGGATGGTGTGGCTACTGCAGTAACGGAAGTTGACGGTTTAACAACTTGCACACCTGTCACCTTAGCACTGCAGCAATCCTGAGGGCAGACTGTCAGACAGAACTTGAGACAGATCGGCTTACATAGTTTCTTTGGAGTGGCAGGTTTCGGGGTCACTACGGGTGCTACCGTTCCAGGACTGCTTACACAGGGATATCCAGGATAACTAGGATATGAACATCCGCTTTGAACCGGGGATCCCATTGTGATTACAGGGGGCGAAGGAGCGGGGTAGGGGTAGGGTGCTGGGTATGATACCGGCATGCAGCATTGAGGAGCGCATGCTGGATTACATGATGGATTGGGACGGGGTAAGACGGGTCTTGGCGGAGGAGGTGGTGGTGGAGGTGGAGGAGGGGGTGGCGGCGGCGGCGGTGGAGGAGGAGCTGGTATTGGTGGCATGCAGCAAGCTGGAGCGCAAGAGGGCTGGCAGGTCATTTGAGAGTAGACTGAAGGCATAGGGGGAGGTGGAGGATACATCATCATGGGTGGGGGAGGTGGGGGTGGGGGAGGACGATAAATAGCGGGGGGTGGAGGAACAGGCATTGGATAATTGTTCATCCCAGGTAAGCAACACCTGTGTTGAATACAGATAGGTGTGCATTTCTTCCAGCATTGCGCTAAACATGCTCCGCCCATAGCAGACATAGGAGACATAGGGGACTGAAACGCGTTGTAAGACTGCTGATAAGGTTGGTATCGTGGTTGTGGATAGGCAGGACGAGGGGGCAGGGGGGGTCTTGCCACTGGTGCGGGCTTTTTAACTGGAGTGGTCGCTGCTTTATCCTGTTGCTTTTTAAGGCTCAGTTTGGCCTTGTCTTTCTTGGGTATGCCAGCTAGAAAAAACAATTAACGCAGTTAATTTTCACACTTATCAATGTCAGTAAAGCCTGAAAAATAACACAGACGTCAAAGGGGTTAGTTTTAGTTAGAATTAGCGTCTGGTTAGTTTTTCGTTAGAACAATGGTTATTAGGAATGTTAGTTTACTTTAGAATTCGACTTGTTAGTTTTTATCAGAGTTTTGGCAGAGAGAGATGAGCAGCGACCAAGACAATTCAGCTTTTACCGGATTGTTTACTGTCTTTTATTTTCTCGTCTTTCTTCCGTTCATCAGGGCTGCTGTCTTTGTCCTTTTGCTTATTGTTTTTTTCTTCTGTGTCTTCTGCATGTTCTTCTTTTTTGTCATCGCTTTTCTCTGATTTGTCTTTGCTTTCATCATCTTTTTTATCACTTTTGTCCTCATTTTTTTCTCCTTGTTTGTCATCTTGCTTCTCTTGTTTATTCTTCAGTTTATCTTCTCTGATAACTTCTTTTGCTTCATTTTTGTCTTCCTTCTTATCATCGATTTTAACTTCTTGTTTATTGTCTGCCTTTTTGTCATCATCACTGTGATCATTAACTTTATTATTTTTACCCTTTTTTTCTTGTCCCTTGTTGGGCTTTGCGATTTGACTCCGGAGATCATCCAGACGAGAGATTTGTTGCACGGCTGGTACGCTTCTGTCTGGTCTGCCTGAAAAAAATAATGCACATTCAAAATTTTGGATAGAGAAATCATGTTATAACCGCCCCAATAAACCCGTGGGGAGCTTACTAATTTCCAAAGCTCAGAGACAGGGGCTTGAAGAAAGGTGAAGTTAATAACAACTTACTAAGGGAAAGCTTCGTGGGGTCTGAAGTACGAAAATATTGGTCTAACGTTGGATTGCAAATTTAATTTAGCTTTGTTTGAAACTAGTTTCAAGAATAAAATGAAATAAAAAAGTGATCAATTCTGCCTGCAAATGTCGTAATCCTTGAATAAAAAAAGTAACTCCCCTTGGTTCGTCCCCAGTCCGCAAGGATCGGTTATATCAAAATATCTTTGGTGTTTTTTGGACCTTCGCACAATCACATATTGAGCGCTTTTTTATGAGCTCTGTTGGGATAATCTAATAACAACTATGAAACCAATAGGACTCAACCTCGTCCCCATGTATGAAACTTTCCTCGCAAACGAGTCGAGTAATGAGAAGCCCTGGGAACAATGGGAACACTGGTGACTTAGCAGTTATTACAATACACAAATATGCCTTTTGTAAATCGGATAGGAAGCTTACGTTCCCAGTTGCGAACGCTGAAAGACAAAATTCTCGCTGTCTATCTTAGATGTAGTTACAGTATCGCATAACATTTTTTCACGCAGCAATGTTTCCGTTGTAAGACTGATCCCAAAAAGTTGCCAATGTATCCTATTACAGTTGTTGTTTTATCATTTATATCAACTCGTTGGCAACCATCTTTGGCAACTCATATTAGAGCAGTAAGACATCCTTAGAGAAAAAGGTTTTTTTCTGCAGATTTGTTTTATGTTATTATCAATTTGTTTTTACAAATAGCCTTTCTGCATTAAGAGGAAGTTGCAAAGTTAATCCTTGACTTAAAATTCTCATTTGAGCTAACTCACACAATGAACCTGTTTGATTTTAAGTGAGATTGCCCGCGTTCATTACGAAGAAAATCATTTAATTTGTTTTACAACATTGACCTCTAATTGACCTCAGTGATCTTCTAGATCTTATCTAAATACCAATTGAAAGCTTGTTAAGAAGCAGCTGTTCTTGGGAAAGTTTCCTCTTATTTAATTTTCCTTTCGCTTCTAAACATTGACCATCTGAAATTCCAAATTTTTACCAATACAGTTCTGCACTTTCTCTCAGTAGTGTTGATCTGTCCACTAAGTCTGCCTTTGCTGGTATAAAATTTGTCCTAGTCAGTCCTAGTGTCTATACAATATAAGCTAATAAAAATTGTTGACCGACTTCGATAGTTTTATTTAGGCCCGGGGCTTAAAGGATTTCTTCCGGCATGGCCTCGAGAAACACACTTAAAATAATTGTTATATTCATGGTTGATAAGTAGCTTGTTACACATACCTGATTCGTAACTGTTTAGCTCCTCACACTTCAGGACCGTGACCGCGAAGCAAAGCAAAGTCGCTGAAGCAAGCCACAACCTGGTCATCTTGTTAAGAACAGAACATCTGAAGCGAAGAAGTAAAATTTGGACCATACAGGCGTGAAATCGACAAATCGACAGGTACCAAAAGAAATCTTGACCACCTCATTGGAAGGTGAATCACAAAAAAGTGTCGACACGTTTCAATAAGCCAGAATCTTTCTCTAGAAATCAAAATAACGGGAAAAAACTCTGAAATACTTACCAGCTGTATTATTCTTTTAATTCTTGACAAGAAAATAAAAGATAAAAATATCTGTCACGGCTGAGTAACCTTGAATCGAGTGCATTACATCATCCTTAGATTCGCTGCTGTAGTTTGTTTGGCATTTGTGCACCGGACACAATCTGAGCTGAAACTTACGGGTGGTTTGCCTTTGAACATTAAAAATTCATTCGTCAAATCTCGAACCAGCCGGTAATTCTGACCGAAAAGGTTTTGAGAAAAAATCCATTGAATCACTAAAGGAAAGTACATCGATTTATTTGAAAGGAAAGAAAAGCCATGTGATACATGATGCAGTGAAAAGTTCGTTTTAAAAGATTTCTTCTCCTCTCCTTTGAAATATCCAATCTTACTTTTAGTTGTCAATACGTTCCAGTTAGGACAGTCGACAGTTTTCCAAATACAGTTTCAAATCAAAAGTTTCCGTAAGCCTGGCCCGCTACATTGCGAAAAAAAAAAAACGTTTTGCGCATAACACTAACCCTCAGCAGATATAATTTTCACTCAGTTACTTCGCCGTCTTCTTGGATTTTCAAACCGCTGATTCCTGGAGAAGAGTTTAGGTCCCTATCCCCTGGATGGGGAGGAACTGTTGAACAACCCAGATTGTGTATACGCTTAGTTTTAGCAGCTATAGGGAATCGACAAACTCTGATAACCTTCCTGCAATGATTTGAAAAATTGCTTTTACTTAGCGTGTTTATCTGTTCTTCTCAGTCAAGGTACATATCTTCTTCATCAGGGAAAACTATGAATTATATCAAATTGGCTTATTAATGCTCAGCTAGAATCAGGAAATATATACTTTAGTTCTAAAATAAAGACAGTGAACAAGAATGACAAAATTTAGTAGTCCTCCAATTGCAAACTGCATTCTTTTTATACAGGTACTTTCATCTTGAGAATATTCCAATACCAAAGGAGAAGGAAGCTTAATTAATGACCTCCGTAAATCTAGAACAAAGGAATGCGTTCAGAAGAAATAAAAATAATTCGAAGGTGGCCTAGATTATTTTCCAAGAAACTTGCTAAAGGCATTCGTGTTCTGATACATTTTTCCCTTACATTTTGGTTACTGCAGAATTAGCTTTACAGGGCATTACTTCAAGTGTATAGGGTAATGACTCCTGTTTCAAAACAACTCGCGTTGGTTGAAAGACCAAGTTGGAAAAGACGGAGTGGTTATAGCAAAGTGTTTTAAGCCTAATTATGGAAAAGGAAAATTCAGGATTCTTTAGGGAAAATGCTTTTCTTGGGTCTTTATGCAATTTAAACATGGATTAATACATTGACACAAATGGCCAGACAATCACATAAACTTGAATACTTTATTGAACCAGTAACGATACTTAAAACATAAATTTGTCACAATATGCTCTCAGATAAAAAGCAAAAGACCTTAAAACGTCATTGTATGTACAGAAATACCATATTCTTGACAGAAAAACGAGAAAGTCAAGTTGCGTTTCACTATCGCATGTACCATCATGATCGCGAAGTTCTAGTTTGGTTGAAGGTAACTCGACTGGAGATTAGTCTCCTCTCTTGCAGCATATTGGAGGGCAGGCTGGGGCACAGGTGCTGGGCTGGCATGTTGGAGGACAAATCATTGGTGGTGGGGGTGGGGGTGGTGGTGGTGGCGGTGGTGGAGGAGGTGGTGGGGGTGGAATTGGGCAACAAGTTGGTGCGCAGGATGGTTGGCAAGCTGGCATCGGTGGGGGTGGAGGTAAGGCTACGGGTGTTCCACAGCAGCTTGGGTCACAGGTAGGAGCGCACACTTGCATGCATGTCGGTGGGCATGGAGGAGGGGGTGGGGGTGGCTCAAGTGGCGGGGGAGGAATGGCTGGGCCGGGTTCGTAGCGGGGTCGCGGTACCCAGTGCTCTGGGCCAGGAGGACGGATGCATGGTGGAGGACACATCGGTTCAGCTGTATATCAAGGATAAGGCAATTAAGTTAGATTTGTGCATTTTAAAGAACTTCAAGAGTTGAAGTAATAACTTTTTTAGTGGACAAACAGTTTCTTTTTAAAATTTTGCAAAAATTCAAAGCTAGATGGAAACTCCATCAAAACATCACAAGGTCATATGGGAGAGGGTCGCCCTACATCATCACTATGTGAATCCGAAATGGTATCGAATAACACGTAATAATTCAACAAGTGAGACGACCTTATATAACATATGTCTTACTCTCAGGGGCTGCTTCCTCTTCACCTCCACTTCCGCTTTCTGCCGCAGCACTTCCGGATTCTGCAGATTCATCTGCCAATCAAATGATCTGTGTCAATTTCACCGCCGTTTCAGGAGTTCACTTTGAGGCAAGTTTTTTTCAAGGCGGTTATTCTAATTTAGATTTCTGCTCTTAGATACAGAATAAAAGCTGACCTTAGTTTAGATTAAGTAGATTTGTTACATTGCAATTTTGATTGCACTTTGCCTCCAGGTTTTTCCATCTTTATCTAGAAGAGGATAATTTGTGGCTTAAAAATTGAATGCAGCGCTTTGCCCAGTCCATTCTGCATGGTTTGCAGGCCGGGCGCATAGATTTAGGTATCGAGTCATGTCGGGCGACTCAGCTTCATGACACTCGGAGAAAAGTGGACGAAATTTCTTTACGGTAGTTTCTGCAAATACTCTTCCCTCTCCGAGTGCCTGCCCCCAAATAGCAAGGTGAAAGTAGTATCTAATAAAAAAGGATTTGTCCTTCACCAGCAACAAATTTATTCTAAAGCTTACCCCATATACCTCTGCCGTCACCACCATAAAAAAATGAGTATGCATGTTAGGTGTGCATTGGTGTACCTGTTGGCGATTTTGTTGGGTGTGCTGGACGCTTTTTGATGGGAATGACTCGTCTTGGTCTTATGACAAAACACACTACATATGGCTTCGGGGAAAAAGTTTGAAAACCTGGAATAAGAAAGTTTAGAAAGGCATGGAGAGGCAAAGAAAAGTTTATTAAGACGTTTGGTTTTTTAATTTGAATAAAATCTTGATAGCCTAAAAGCTTGTATTCTAATGTCTGATCATTTTTTGAAACCGAGAGATTTGTTTAGTCTTTCCTATTGAAGATAGATTGCGGCGTTTGCTGCTAAATTTTATACTTAGACGTCTGTGCTCTAATGATGTTGACTTAGTGGTGGCGTTTTACGAAATTAGTAATGGTGGTTACTTTCAACTTGGTTAAGCAGATTAGCAAGCGTTAGGAATTTAGCAACGTAGTTTATTTCAATATCAATTCTGGAATTATTTTGATTTTCACAGTGACCAGGTAGAATATAACAAGAAAAGAGCGAGATCATCCATGTATAAATGCTTATAATTAGTTTCGTACCCACACTTCTTGCAGCCAAGCGGAGAAATCACACATCAGGGTCTGGGTAACATATTAGGCTGTTATCAGTTAGCTTTTTTGGCAAGAATAGCACAAACGAATGGTTTCTACCTCCCTTCTAAGCTGATATTTATGTAAAAGATTGATCGATGTCCACAGTATCCTATTTCCAGAAATAATATTTACCCAAACCAAACTGAGTCAAAGAAACCAAAGAAAGCTTTCGCAGAATGTGTATTTTCTAAGAATCTATGTTTCCTTTCTGTTTATGGTCGAACGCAAAAAGAAAATAAGAAAGAAATAGTAGCAAGTAAGAGAGAGAAAAAGGGTTACAAACCCGCAAAGCCATATGTCGGTGTGACCGATGTTTTGTCTCTCTAAAACGCGGTAGGAACTCAGGTGACGGTGTCATGTGATGATCCTATGATGGTCTTCATCGTTTTGGTGCCATTGGTATGGTAAGCATTTTACTTTATGGAGTTCTGGTAATTGTTAGATTATTAGTCTAAACGTACTAAAACGTAATGGTATTTTTTGAAGGTGAAGATAAATCCTTTTTTACAAGTAGTCCCTATCCGACTAATAATCGAAACAGCAAGCAAACCCACAAGCTGCCCCATAAAATTCCTTTGCGAGCCCTCTTTAAGTGTTATCTGTAGGTGACATTCAGTGATGGTGATATCCCCAGTTAGCATTTGTTAAGTAAGTATACCAAATATACCTTAAAATGTGCGTCCCCAACTTGATTGTGAATAAATGTAGTGAAGCAATGAGTTCATGGATAAAACCCCAAGGGTTGGTAATGGTACAATTAATTCAGTGGTGAGAGCATCACTAAATCACTAAAGAAACATAACCACCCGATATCGGACAACGACTATCATTTTAGGGTTATACATCTAACTCAACTGGAGTTGACCAAAGAAGTTCATTTTTTATCCAAAAATTTCTGAAAGGCTAGCTAAAAGAATGTTTTTATTTTGGTGACATCCGAGAAGTTCATTCATAGGAAAGTGTTTCGTTCATACGTTAATTAGGAGTGGGTGGGATATAAGACAACACTTCTCTTTCGTGATGTTCTTTTTCTTGCAATGCATGTCCAGGAGAAAGTTGCACAATTCATGATCGTATAGTAAAACCTAGGTTACCATTGACTGACATATGTTTGTTTCACCACAGCGGAAAGACCACATAAATAGGCAAAAGGTCAACCAAAGAAGTTTAAAGACGGCAACACCGAAACAAGAAGTGGTTTCAGTTTTTCTCAAAATTCCTTTGTTCGCAAGTTTTCTTTTCTACTTCTTCGTTTTTCCCATCCGCAATTGTTTAATAAACCCTTTCTTGATTATTTTCGATGCATGCATCAATTGCCTGTTTGTTCATCTACATTTGGTTTGTTTATCAGTTGACATCTGACATTTCATTGTGATTCAAAAAGAAATGGTATGATACTAAACATAATACTTTCTTTCAAAAAACCTCCCTCCACCTTACAATGAGAACGTTGATGTGATTTTCATCTTTATTGGAGGAGATCTTACTTTTTGAACTTACTGATCTCATACAAATGTTCCCCAAGTAGCCATTAATGTGCTTTGTTAAGATGTTGGTTTTCTGTTTCACTCAGTATTTGACGTGATAGGAATATTTTTCAATAAATGACAAGCTCATCAAGCCTTCTCACCTGAGTAATCATACTCGTCAGTTAAGTGGCCTCTTTTTATCGCTGATTCATTGTCATCTAAAAGTAAGATATAAGATTAGCCGGATCAATATCAGTATCTGGGCAACTGCCCACCTACCCCTCCCCTAACTCAACAACAGATAATTGAAAACAAGTTAAGGTTAATGTTGGGTTAGGGGAGGGGGTAGGTGGGCAGTTGCCCAGATACTGAAATTGATCCGATTAGCCAAGCTTTATAAAAGCAAAATTTTTAGATTTTTGTCAAAAGGTTTGTGTTTATAATTAAGCTTTGGACTGAAAGAAAAACAGTTCTGCATTTGCCAGCAAGGATCTCTGGTCATGTGGCAAATAGATTTTCTTGGCCAAGAGTTAGCGACTTTTTCTTCAGATATGAGGCTCCGCTAAGGTGCATGCGATGCGCAGTAGCTCCGCTGAACAAATGATTACAATTATTCCAATGTATAGCACGGGCAGATTTTCCACTGTAGAAATGAAACCATTAAAGTCTACATTGACATATTGTGTATTTACTCAGTAGGCAGTCTATATTTCCACTATCATACCTCCGTCTAAGCTGTCCGCATCCACTTCATCCACAGCTGTGTCTGTAGCCTCGTCACCGTCGTCTTGAGCCTCGTTATCGATACCTTCCTCTTATAGAAAGGAAAAAATGGACATTTTTATTCTGTCTTTCATGTCAAATAACACTGAATTGTCAAAACATCCTTTCACCTTCCTTGCGTCCAGAAACAAATGCTGAGATTTGAGCGGTAAATGATCGAAGAGTCTTACCTTTGGAAATACTTGCTAAATCTAACAAGAATAAACATAAGATTGCGACTTAGTACATATGTTACCTAACAAATCTAACATTTTCATTTAGTTGAATTTGCTTTGCAATAGATAATTTAAAAAAATCGCTCAAAAATGAATGTTTTACTTAAACGAACTGAATGAGGCCATATTCTTCCAAGTTCTCAGTCTGTGTCGTGCTCTACGGGTGGCGAGGCCAAATTTAATCTTCAAATACATATCGAATATATCGTGCAGCATACATCTGGTTCCTTTACTGATATGAAGAGAACCATAGTGCTCCCTCTGTTACTATGGAAATTTACAGCATGAGTTTTAACATCAAGACTTACCTTTTAAACTTCTCGCCCGCACGAGGTGGCTGGTAAATGACAGGCAGATTAGAGCGGCTAAGAGCGCGCTCGTGAATTTGATATTCATACTCGTCACCCTTCTAGATACGACAAAAAAAAGACTCATTCAGAACCAGCCATAGCATTTTTTTCTATTAAATCGACTATCATTAAGTGTTAATCATGAGGCTATTTCCTGGAGTGATCGTATCTCAAAATCTCCTTATAAAGAAAGTACGTTGTCAATCGGAACGCTTAGGAGATTTTGTGAAATATCAACCCGGAAAATATTGTGGCGAAATCTATGAATTTGAGGTCAAGCAGTATGTTTGATGCTGGTGTTTAGATTTTTACTTTCTAAGACATAAGGGATTTAGATTTACAAGAGCACAGGGGAACAAAATCAAGTTAGAATCGCCAACAGGTGATTTGTAATTTCTTCTTCTAACATGTGGGCACAAAGTTAAGGTACAAATTAGTAGAACTGATGATCCGGCGTTTCTAGTTTATGAGATTTCTTTGATAGACAGTCGGGGTGAAGAGAGCAGCGTATGTTCATGGCGTCTTGCCGAGCGATCTCCGTTATTAAACGTTTTGTTATTGACTTCAAGACTACTATTTATATGACGGACCATTAAACCGTGTGGCTCTCTGTCTAAATCGCTTCGTACGGTACCACGAGTAAGTTGCATTGAGACACAGCACATTTACACATCTATAATAACGAAATAAGAATAAAAACATCATACCTTTCCCCTTTTAGTCCAGCAGTAAAGAGGAGAGGAGAGTTGTTAACAAAATCACTTTTCCGAAAAATCCTTTTTTCGCTGAATTATTTATTCCGCTCAGCTGGTACTTGCCCCGCTCTCTGTAAACTACGCCTGCGCATTGACCTTGTGAGTCATCTGACGATAAGATCATTGACTGGATGAGAATCTGATCTCGTTTCTTGACCTCCTGAATATTCTCTAGCCAAATATGTTGAAAAAATTTTATGACGATCACTTTAAAGTTAATAAAAAGGAAAAAAAAATTACGATGAACTCTATTTGATTCCACATTTGAGAAATAACTGATTACCGCCTCACCTATATTGCCATGTTGTCTCTGGGGCCAGCCATATATGGGAGTGTTTAATCTTCACACTCCCAAGATTAAAAGAGCAATTCTCCCTTCCAGTTTCTTTACGTTAAACTGTACCTTAGTAAGGAGAAGTGGGATTTCTATTAAAATAACACCCTTAAGTTGATAAGTTGGCTCGTTTCTATCACCTCCCCCCTAGATAAGCCAAACACTGACAAACGTGACAATTTAATTAAATTGTGGGATATAACGAGTTAAATGTGCAAAATCTGATTGAACGCATTATTGTTTTGATGCTCTTATTGTGCAACATTTTTTCTCAGTTAAGCTCTGCAACGCCAAGTTACTTCATAATGTCTTAAATGTCTACATATAGGCTTCAAATTTTATTAAGACATTCGACTCTTATCGTGAAGGGCACCTCTGGACTTTAATGTGCATGTTGTACTTTGGGTGACTCGTGTTCTTAGTCAAAGCTCCATCCAATGACGCATTCGTAGACTTTCAAAACAGTATAAAAAAGGATCTTTAACCCTCTGACTCCCAGTGGTGATTAATATGTAACTTCTCCCTTTAATATTCATACATTATTCAGAAAAGGGTGATGAGAATACTCAATATAATCAGATAGAAGTCGTTATCCTGATCTAACACCAAATTCTCCTAACTAATTTACAAGGAAATGTATAGCAGCTAGAGGAAAGAATTAAAAATAAGATCTTGGGAAGTAAAAGGTTAAAAGTATAAAATGTGACGGAAGGTGAGCCCGAGAGGCAATAAACTTCCTTTCCTCAGTTGGGATACACATTATTGTTGGATGGAAAGTCAGCTATATTTGGCAAAAGACATGTGGAGGATCATGATAATGGTGCTGATGATGTACTTGAGCTGGACTCACAGTGTATACCTCTTCCCTCCTCCCTCCCCTTGCCAGCAGGTAAATCAAATCCCTTATGTAGTAAGAGCAATTTTCTACTAAGAAGGGTAAATCCAAAACCAGTTCAGATAAAAATATTACAAAGAGCCAATGAGAATCCAAACTGGAAAAGCAAATTCCCCGATACGCGGGAAGATGCGGGTCACTAAGTCTTGAGTGGTTTTAAGTGGTTTTAAGTGGTTTTAATTTTTTCATCAGTTATCGGTCAGGAGAGTGGAACGTGTTTTTGAGGCCAATTTCTCACCTGAGCCGTCTTTTGGGTTCACTTGGTCAGAAACCTGTACTAGAAAAAAACACACAACTCGGATTTGACTGAAACACTGTTTATTAAAACATGGCATGTTTAGAATTGAAATTGTGATACTTTCCCTAAACAGGGGTCATGGTATGTTCATGACAATATATTTGGTGAAGACTTTCTAAAATTAATACTGTTTTTACGGTGCTGTAGTTTCATTGACACAAAGCCACGGAAACCTTTCCACGTTTCTGAGAATAAATACAAAACAAAAAATGTTCGACCAGAATGAAAAATAAACGCATGAAACACATAACGTAATTGATGTATAACCCGATCACAAGTTCTTACTCTTTAAGAATGTCGGAGAGGGCCTCGTAAGGATGCTTGTAACTTTTCATATATTGTGATGACGGCATTCTTTGCACAAACGGGTCTAGAAATTAGGATTTTACCGGTTATATAAATTCAATATCTATAGATGTCTGGCACTTTTTCTATAGCCAGGAATTATGTGAAGACTAATCTGCCCATGAGAAAGGTTAAGGACGACTCTTTCGGTAGGCAGCAAATGATGAAAAAATGAAACTTCTGTTAGTCTTATTTCAGCTGTTTGTACACTTAATTTGAAAGGTTTGCATAAACTGGATATTTTCGATTATTTTTGATACAAATTTAATCTAAGGAGACCAGGGAATGAGCAATGTCGAAATAAATTTTGGTGTTTTCCGTTTTTGCATACGTTTGATGCTTAAACTAACTAATCTAATATCGCATAAAGAGCTCTAATGATGAAATAACTCTTAAAGCAAATAGTTTTTTTGTACATCACGTACCTAAGAACACAAGCCAAAAATCCACACAGTTGCTCCTATAGCTACACATTCTTTGAACGCCTTAGGCGTTACCCCGAAATCCAACGGTTTACCTTTCTTAGAAATATGATTCAATTCTTTTTCATTTTATTACTTTTTATGAGTGGATATTGTTGACTTCAAACAGAAATTCATCTGCGCCCTTTTGGGCAACACTGCTGCGGGCATTGAGCCTGCGGTGCACATCCACCGGGTGCAGCGGGTTGGCACGCTTGTGGGCATGCTTGTTGTGGCATTTGTTGTTGCATCTGAGGCATCGGAGGCATTTGGGGCATCATCGGTGGTTGCTGTGGATAAGGCATTGCCATTTGCATGCCCATGGAGGGGGAGCAGCAGCTTGGGAGACAAGAAGGAGCGCACGATTGAGAGCATGGTGAAGCACAGCTGGACGACTGGGTGTTGTTTGGTTTCTTTGGGGCGGGAGGAAGGACCAGAAAATTTGGTGCACTCATCGCTTGTTGAGCCGGCGGAGGGTACTGTGGCTGTGCACTGCAGCAGCTTTGTGGGCAGGCGCTAGGACATGGGATCACAGAGCACTGCTGTGGACACTGCTGTGCTGATGGTTGCTGAGGGTATTGGGGTGTCTGTGGAGCTGGGAGAGCCTGAGGAACCTGTGCTGCTTGTGCAGCTTGTGGTAGCTGACCATACTGGCTGTACTGTTGTTGAGCTGCGGCATATTGGTATGGGTCAGGTTGATAAGCACTAGGGTAAGGAGCTTGGGCTGCAGTTTGAGCCATAGGACTTGCCGTTGGATTGCAACAGGTCGAGATACATCCGGGTGCGCACACATCCGGGCATGTTCCAGGACAAGTTTGGCTCACTAGAAAACAATTAAGTTCACAAGGGAGGTTACATGGGATTTTTGAGAAAGGACGAGAAGCCTTAGGTTTGTAAAAACAACGCGAAGGGTAGAAAATGAATTCTACAATTTTGGGCTCGGGGCTATCTAAAAATATGAACAACCGTCACGTAGTTGTAATGTCCCACGAAAGTAGTTCGATTTTGAATGAATGAATAAGTCAATATGTTAATGTGATTTTGGTCATGTGATATCTGATAAGTGGCTGTTCGTGACTAAATTAAATCTTATTGTTAATTTGGTTGATGGAAGAAAAAAGGAGAATCTGAAGAGAAAGACGAGAACCAACAAAAAACTTAACCCATGAGTAATGCCACGTCACTCTCGGGAATCGAGCCTCGGCCACCCTAACGGATAGAGTACTCTTACCACTGGACGAAACCAGCAGGGGAAATGTTTGTAAGCATCGACTGAATAACGTGTAAATCACCTTTGTTTTTTCCTGTAGCGTCCAAGATAGCCTGAATCGCTTTTCCTGCCTTGGCAAGGTTTTCTGTAAGGGAACGATACAGGGTCAGCAAACTGGCTTTTTTATAGCGAAAAGATGCAAAAATGTGAAAGCTAAATTGAAAAAAATATACCTATACTTGAGTCTAGAAGTTCCCTGAGAGATCCTTTATCGGCTTCGACTGGAAATAACATAGTATTCATTAAGTGAGATTCCTTGGGACATTTTGAAATTGAGAGATAATGCAGCTAAGAGACAAAATACCCTTAAGAGAAAGCCTGATTCAATTTTGTATCGATATCAATTTTTATTTTCGCGCCACTCTCGATCACCCAGACGCAAAATTAGAGAAGGAATTGCGACACGTTCCGTTACCTTTTCCTACTCTTCTGGTTGTTACTGTATTTTTTTCAGGCTTTATCTTTAGGTGTTGTCTTAGCCTTATGTAACTAGTTTCCACGGAAAGAACGAATAAAAAGAAAACTTTGATACATTACTTTCATCGTGCAATTTTTTCTTGGACGTTCTCTCTGCTTCTTCCTTCTCTCTGGTTTCTTCTTCATCTCTCAAGTTCTCTTCTCTGGTTTCCTCATCGTCTGCTAATGTTACATTTAAATTAAATAATAAAGTAACAAAAAATTCAGCAAATTTAATTTTAATGTAATCAGTTGTTCCTCATTGTTTTGTTAGAGGCCACAGAGCTACTCAAGAACAGACCGGAAAAAGGGACTTGACTATGACCCCTTCAGCAAACGATGATACATCCATATGACTAATAAAAAGGAGCATGTAAATCTGTTAATTTTTCTTAATTAGTTACTGTTAGTTACTAGTTAAAAAACTAGTTACTGAAAAATAAATTATTTTTTTTCGAGTAGCCCATTTACACACCTTTATCATCTTCTTCAGAATCCGGCGCACCATCCTTTTCGATTCCACTTCCACTCGCATCTTCTTCTAAATAGATACATGAATGAGCTGCTTGGTTACATACATGTATTTCTTGAAACTTAAAATATAGGCGAGCTTTCAATTCGTTATTCTTCAACATTTAAATGAAGCCTGAATGGTATGCTAGTCGATCACAGATCACTCCCAGCATATAGTGAGGTTTCGCTGAAGGTTCGGCGGAACCCAGTCACACTTCTTGATGCTGCTCAGTGTAATAACCGCTTGGTCATCATAGGATGGAAGATCGCTGACACTTTTACTCCCAATATCTCATGAGTAATTCTCCTTACTGTCTGCCATACAATTCTTATGATGTTAGTTCCGAGAATTTGTCATTGGATCTACTAAAAATCTCCTTAATGATATTTTTCTTAACTCTCATAATTTGTCTGCTTGATATTGTATCGATATTGTAAGGAGAGATTTTTTCCTGGTCACTCTTGGGTGTGAAAAGGTTATGATCCAATCAATGATTAGCCCGCTGAACTGCGGATAATGAAGTCCTGGTGTCAGACCTATCTTTGTTTTTTCGACACCAGGACTCTCTCCTTTCTCAGTATCTTTATCTCTCCTTAAGATAAATGGGTATCGGTGAGTTTTCAGGAAAATTTACTGGAAAAAACCTCCAATTATAAAAACATAATGATGATTTACATTAAACACATACCGGGATTTATGAATAAATCAATATTACAAAATAATTAAAATAATTGAAGTCAATTAGATTTTCTATCTTTTCCAAGAACAAGGTAACATGATGTATGCGTTTTTTCATAATTCCCACCTGGTTTATCCTCTGCTTTATCTTCTGCTTTGGCTTTCACTTTCTTGTCCGTTTCGTGTTTTTGAATTTTGTGTCGAAGTATGTTTTTAAGATGGTGATGTCCTATTAAAGATACAGAGTGGAGTATTAAGCTTAACTTTTGCGAGACAACTATCATTTAAATAGAGAATGGTTGATAGAGACAAGCCTCACTTTTCGACAACAATTTTCAGTCTGTATCTTTATTGTTTTCATTTGAATTACGGGAGAAAACTAAAACCTAATACCAGAATGGTCTATAAGGGGAAGCCTGCATTTTATACAATATTTTCTTTTTAAATCTTTAATATTATTATTTGAGTTAGGTCCTCATAGCCTAAACTTGTTATTTTTTGTTATTTTTCAAAAGTCTTTAATCAAATTGTAAACTACATTCTAGAATGCACTTAGCTGTTGCTGGATGCTTGAACGACGTCAGTTTCGCTATATTTCATCACATTTAAACGGATACATTTGGAATTTTTATGAATCTGAGGTATGGGTATGTCATCGTAATTTCTTTAGCAACTGATTTCAAGAGGCATAAATTTTTATTGTTCGAATCGTTAGAAAACTAATCGTTGCTTGTGGGGTAACATTCTCTAATTTTCATTACAGAACTGCCTAACAATTCCTGTTCAAAACACATGTAAAGTGCTATAACAGTTTTTAAGGCTCTTTCAATAGAGCACCTAAACGAAATATAGAATCCGCAAATTAATAATTCATTTAGTTTATTTAGTTTCTCGCTTAAGGTAACTATATTGATTTTCAGCCACTGTTAGAGCGAAACTATATCATCAGAATTGTCGCGTTTACCACACAGTTATGTTTAAATGTCTGATGGAACATTGAATTGGCTTTGCTAATGTTGAATGAACTTGTAAGTGTCTTGGTTCAGAAAATTGTCCGAGCAGCACAAGTAATTATTTTCTTCCTTAGGTCAGTATCTTATCAAAAGATCATTTGGTTCAGTGATCAGATCTTTGGTTCAGTGAATAACCAAAAAGCAAATATTAAACCACTTGAGAGAACTGTTGTTCTTCAGCTTTTTAAATGCTTGGTTACGTGGGTGGTGGCCAACTTCAATGGCCTCTGCTCATCTATTAGAATGATCAGCTCTGTAACTTATCGCTTTAACTAAACAAAAACCTTAATTGAATCAACTCCAAAGGGAGTTAAAAAAAAAAGGTTGGTAAGCGACAAAAATTAAGCGCTTTTCCCGTCTTGTGGCAAAATTAGCATAATCAAGACTAGGGTTGGACTTGTAAAAGTTCGTATGCAAATTAAACATTTAACTTACTGTGATGTTTCGCTTCAGAAGTCCATGTTGAGAGGATAAAAACCAGTGCAAGAAGTAGCCCGATACTCAACAGTCTCTTGTCCATCTGAAGAAAAAGAGCAAGTAATTCAAATGGGATTTCTGTTCTAAATTTAAAAAAAATGAAATATAGTGTGATTTTCTTGCTAATTGTTGTGTTTCAATTTAAATCCAAAGTTGAGTGGTTAGAAGATTGTCTGTGAAACGTAGTCGAATAGAATCTGGGAATCGTGCATGGGCTGTTTTTTTTTTTTAATAAAACGAAGATGTTACAAAAATGATTCAATACTCGTAAAAAAATCGAGATTTTTAGGGCAAAATAACATTAGTTGACTTTTGTTCTAAAACCTTCAAGCGAGGCTGTTGAGGAACGCTTTAGGGGACTCTCCTTAGCCCAGTTAAATGTGGGTTAATCTAATTCACAGCATGGTGATGTTTTTGAATTTTTTTCAGAAACGCAAGAGATATTCTTACCCTTTTGCTTTCGGTAATATCCTTTCCTAAGGCGTCTCGATGTTGCCAACACGAAAGCTTTGGTATTCCTTTGTGATCCTTTGTTCAAGACAACTCATAACTTATTTACGAGCCATTGTTCTCGGTGATAAAGAAATGCTATTCGTTCTAACGGGTGTTTAAGTGATAAACGACCGAGAGGGACATGGAATTTTCAAATAAGTGTAAACAATGTTGCTGGGGTTGACCTGGGTGGATAAAGCGACAAAAATTCACATAAAGCGTCAAATGGTTGTCATGTGAAGGATGCAAATACATAATTGCTCCTTTCCATTGATTTTTGTGTTCCAGGAGATTACAAGGACAAGGCGTGTAATCATATCATTCGTCTATTTGTCTGAGTGCGAGTTTTCTTTAAAGTGGATTTTGTGCTTTGTGTAACTGCATTGTATTTGTAACCAAATACATCAAAGGTTTTGCCAAGTTTGTAATCGTGCTATTAATTGAGAGAAATAGTTGCCAATGATATTACAAGATAAACGCTTCACTGGCCTCTTATGTTACAGTTAATAAAACATTGAAGTGTTTGATTGGGTGGCGCATGGAGGGGAAGTGCAGTGTAAAGGATAATCCATGTCACAAAATTCGGCCTGTGTCTATTCATGCCTCACAATGCACTGTACTGTGACTGCTTTAGAGTGCAGCACTATCTGAACTCTACTACCTTAATCATCGAAGGTCCTCTGACGGGCCGGTTGTAATCATGGGATGACCTTTGAGTCCTTCTCACAAAATCATCGAAGAAAACGACTTTCACCTTTTCCTTTGACAATAAATAACTGAAAGTGGTCATACCTAATCGAATCGTAATTGATTTTCTTTGTAAGAGTTACAAACACTGCAGAATCCTACGGGGATTATTGTTCAATGCTTAATGCTGGTAATACTTTATCAAGATTTCAAAACTTTCCTATTTACTCGTTGTAATCAATGTATACTAGATATGATTATACTTGCAAAACTAAGGTCAGGTAATGTAGAGTGGAGCTTGGAAGCAGAGCCAAAATCAAAGCACAGACCATCTAATCCTATCCAAATTTTCCTCCCCTACTTTCAAGTAAATTTCTACTAAACATTAAAAGTACCTAGTTTTTGTCTTAATTAGATTCATATTCTGATACTTATGAATACTCTTACTCACTATGACACAATTACCTTCCGACTTGACCAATTTATTATGCAGATATAGGTAGTCTATAGATCTTAAGTGTATTAATTTTATTTTTTCTCTTAGTTTTTAGCATTTTTAGTCCATAGTTGTATAGCTTATCGAACACTGATATCATGAGCTTCGCGCTCAAGAGATTGCGAGACCACTCCCTTTGTAATTGACGTTAAATAAATTATCTTATCCTAGTTGATTGCGATCGGTTTTCCCAGCGGCTGTGGTTGATTTGATGAGCTTACTTGGAGCTCTTTGATCTTAAGGGGTGCTCATAGTAATTAATTGGGTTGTTTTTTGCACGTCGCCTGTTCGTAAAGCTCATTAATCGCACCATTCTATTATCTAATTTATTCATTCATCTATCAAGGCCATTTGCTTGGATTCAATACCGTAAACGTTGATCCTTACTTACTGATGATGAATTCCACTCAGGTTGTTGAATTGGCCACTCAAACCTTAGAACAAATGTCCTTTGCAAGGGTTCTCTCAACCTAACAATAAAATCACTCTTTTTACATGCATAAGTGCTAGCCAAAACCGGATATGGATTACTCGCCTTATTCAATTTTTGGCAAAATTAACACACTCAGGCACGATTAATTAAATCAAACAATTTTCTGGGCATTGAAGGACAAAATTTCTCCTATTTCTCCTGGACGTGGCTTCACTCAAGTTTCCCTGTCAACACTCCGGTATCATTTTCACATTCATTCGTGGCGAGGAGCACTGTGGGGGAATAGCGTATCGCCTAAGAAGTCCAGACAAAAGTCCTCGGCAGGGAAATGAAAATAAAACTCAGCATTCTGAGTCCAGCATACAGAATTGGGGCAAGCTTTTCACTTTTTTTGCCATTCGAGATCGCATCAGCAAAGGAAACGTTGTCAAAAGAGAGTTTTCATAATATAAAGAGTTTATTTTTTAAAGAAATATCGTATTGATAGGTGCAACCATTTATGGTAATGTACAAGAATAGAATACGTTTGACATATAGAGCAAAATTCTTTTCAATATCTTTAGAACACACCTAAAATGTGAAAAGATTTCTCGATTCGTTGATCTTTATATTTTATATCTATAGCTTTAAATTTGTACTCAACAAACTTTTACGTTTTTAAATCTGTATTGGTGAGTCACAATATTTATTTCTAAAGCCTTGAAGCAGGCTTTTAAGAATAGAAAAAAAGGGGAAAAGGATGTATGATAACTTCTATGTTAAGTTTGTTTCTATGGAGTGTAGCAACTATCGTTTCTCCTACACTCTCTTTGGCATTAATGTGCGGTACTTTTAAAAGTTCTTCGTCTTTTTAGGGTTTTCCGCTGAACAGCATTTACATCTTCAATCCCTATCATTGTTTAACATGAATGGATTTTAAATGCAATGTTTTTTTCTTCTTTTCGTCACGAAACGATTCAGTCAGATCTTTTCTTTCTTTTCGACGAATCACAGCAGCCAGATCTTGCGCATGCTGGTGTACAGTGTGTGGCGCAGGATAATGCGCATCCATTTAAACTCGTGATTGGTCGCACCAGGTGAGTAATATGCAGTACTCTTTTAGTGGAGGAACGTGCCTCTGGGCTCAACTCTGCCTGATTTTCTTGGGGAAGGCCCAGAGCCGACGTACAGCAAGCCACAGTGCAGGAGGGGTAGCAACCACCAGGACAGGGACTCGGGCATGTCCCCATCGCAGGAGCGAGGTCTTGATAAGCCATAGCTTGTGGCGCTCCTATTGTGGTTGGAGATCCTATAGCGGGAGATGAAAGAGCTGAAGGTGCAAGAGCGGCAGCTTCATGAGCTTCTTCCTGAGCTAGCTCTTCCGGTTGACAGCAATCGCGGGGACAGTCGTAAGTGCAAGAGAACTTGCAGGTTTCTTTGCAGGCATAGGCCTCGAGAGGAATGACTTTGGAGTGGGGATATGGAACGTTTGGGGTCAGACCAGGATGGGGTTGGTCACTAGCAGGGAGTCCTGGCGCAGGTGGTGACGCATATTTTCCAAAGGCGCAGCAGTCATCAGCACAAGCCGGAGCGCAGACCTAAAAGAAGGAGGGAGAAGGTGAAAAAAAAATAAAGGCAAGATGAAGTGAATACTTTCTTAGCAGAAACAGTTGTAAGAGCACCACCAGCAGCAGGAGCAGTAACGTTAACAGCCGCGAAATTTAGAGTAGCATGGTAACTATCTACAGCAACAGCACATGAAAACAAGAAAAGCAACAAATATATAAAAAAAAAAAAAAAAAAAAAAAGACTGCAAAACAACTTGATATCTTTGTGTAAAACATTACAGATTTCATTTATTGACTCATTACTTTTTTCTGGATGGTCCCTCGCTGGATAGGGGTTCCTTATTCTTTTCAACAGGCAGAATATTTTTCTCAGAGTTTTACCTCCATATTAATTTTCATAAGAAGATTGTCACAGCGGTGTCGCCATGAAAGCTCACTGGATGAACTACTAATTCTGTAAACCAGGAATCGAGATTCTAAATATTATTTGTTCCCTTTATATCAGGAAACAATTAAAGACTTTTGAAATCTTTTAATTTCAATTTTGATACCGCTGAAAAATATTTTCAGCTCATTTACCTGAGGACACGGCGCCGGGCAGAGCCTGGGCTGAGGTTTGTACATTTCCAGAAGCTTCTTTTGTTTGTCCTTCCTATATTTTTCCTGTTGATCTTTCATCTTTCTCTCATTCTCGTCTCTCAACCTCTCGCCTTCGTCTGTGCAGCAGCCTTTGCCACAGGACGAAATACAAGTTTCTTTACACTGCGGATGGCATTTGGGATTCACTTTGTCTTCCTGCTTTTTAGTGTCTTCTTTGGGCTGGTCGTGCTGCTTGGCAGCCGCTTCATCCTTAGCCTTGTGGTAATCTTTTATCCTCTGATAATGTAAGAAGTGGTGGCCCCTCTTTCGCTCCTCGTCAGCCGAGCAGCAGCCGCTACCGCAGGATGGCAGGCAGTTCGTCAAACAGGATGCGTGGCAATGTTTGGCGAGACCTGTCTTGACTGAAACCTTGTCGTGCTCGCGGCAACATCCCGGCATGCAAGAGGATACGCAGCTCGTGAGGCACTTTGGATGGCAGTGTGTCTTAAAATATTCGTCTGCAAAATAAACACTCTTAGTGTTTGATCATGTTTTATACCAGAAGAAGCCACCATGATAACTGATTTGCACTTCAAATTCCGAATGATCTCGCAAATGATACAATTTCGAGAACAAAGCGACAGACATCAGGTAGTGAGGTATTAAATTTGTACAGATGGACATTTTATGAGTTCATCGTTACCTTAACAGAAATAATATCAGTTATAATTAACCGAATTATAAGTTGAGATTGAATTCATTAATACTTCCAAAGTTTAAAGTTTGAACCTTCATCCTTCATCTCCAGGTGACTTGTTGCTCTAAAAGTATTGAGAGTACCTGCCAATCCCCCTTTTTCGACAGACTCCCCATCAAAATAGCAAAAACAGGACTAAAGAATAAACAACCTTTATCATTAAAAAACCTTACCATTATGCCAAGATTTTTCTCGGTGAACAGCTGACACAAACGTTTCCGCAGCGGCCTTTCCTTTTATCTTGTGTGACAAAATATTGTCAACTCCGTGCTTTTTAAGATGTTCCGTAAGATCTTTGTGGATGCTTTTGTCCTTGACGCCAACAATATGAACAGCCTTGTAGCCAAGACTTTCCAGCATTTTAGAGATTCGCTCCCAGTCCACGACTGGTGTGATCTTGTACTTGTGATTCTTGTAAGTCACTGTCTTTGATAAACTTGTCAGCGGTGTTCCCTTAACTTTAAGCTTCTTCTTTGCAACTTTCGATTTGGGTGCGTGGTTGGGTTTTGACTTCTCTTCTTTTTTCACCTCGTCTTTTTGTTCTCTGTCCTCTTGTTCTTTGTCTTTATCTTCGTGTGTGACAATCTTTTTTGGTTTCTTAGTAGTAGACTTTTTCTTGTCGTTTGCTAAAGATACCTTTGCTTCAAGGATAGCCATCTTCTTCGGTGGGTTGAGAACTTTTACATACTCTAGCAGCTTCTGTGCATCGCGGATCTTCTCGTTTTCTGGGCTCAAGTCATTTTCATGGAATTTCATAACCCCTTTGGATTGCTGTGACAGGAGTGGCTCTATAGAGTGAAGGATTTTGATCGTATCAGCTGGAATAAATCCCTCTCCTGCTAATTCATGCTTCCTCGTAGACTGTTCAGTTTTTGGTTTCTCTGGCACTACTTTATCCTTTAAAGATTTGTGATAAGTCTTTTTTAGGACCGGGGCAACTGGCTGTTTCTTTAAGAGTTTTTCAGGTTCTTTCTTGAGCGCGATGGCGATGTGGGGTGTGGCATCAAAGAAATTGTCCTCTTTAAAACAGAGAGAGCCATAGGTTAGCCCATGATTTCTAGCCTACATAAATGATTCCCTCTATGAAGTGTTGTCAAGAATTCCTCGCCCTCAGTGCGGAAAGACGGAAAGTAGTATAAGCCCGGTAAATGAAGGCATACAAAGAGACAACGAATGAAAAACTCATCAATATGCGGCTGAAAAGAAATCTTCGGCGACTAATTTTTTTTAACGCATTGTCACAGTAAAAGTTTACTCTTTCAATAGACTTATATCCACTCATTACTTGGAAATAGAAGATAAAATTGTAGCTCCTTCCGAGAATTTACGTCAGCAGTAACCACTTCAGTCAAGGCTTTTTAACTCAACAATTATCTAGTTTTTAGTTTTACCATCATCACCTATCATAACCTATGACTTACCGCATAAGTTACAGGTTTTCGCACAATGTTGATGCATGGCCTTTGGTGATGTCTTGCAAACTCCAGACTTGGCGAGAGCGGAGCAGTGCTCAATTTTATCTGTACATTCTGTGAGGAGAATTCAGTTGCGAACTCTTATATTCAAGTACATCTCCAATCAACTTGGCGAGTCGTTTAACACGGCTGAACACTATAAGCTACCATTGAGTATCTATTATGTGGTCAATTCCACTACCCCCTCCTCCCCAAAAAAATCACACTCAAGCAAAACTTGTCGGTAACAAACCCCTCCCGAGCCACAGTCGATCAAATTTATTTCTACTTCATTGTCATCGATGGCCTCGTTAGCTCAGTGGTTAGAGCACTGGTCTCGTAAACCAGGGGTCGAGAGTTCAAATCTCTCATGGGGCTAAATTGTTTTACTTTTTCAAATCATTTTTAAAAATGTTTTGCTCGGTAATAATGAAAAATATTGAAGAGAAGGAAAACCTCTATGAACTATATGTTTTGTTACCATTTAGGCCTCAATTTAATGAGCTCTTTAACACTTTCACTCTCAAGATCTCATTGTAATTCTCCTTACTGTCTTCCATACAGTTCCTATGATGTTAGTTTGGAGAATTTGGTTTTGGATAAGCTAATTATCCCATAATTTATATTTTTCTTTATTCTCATCATTCGTCTGCTCGATAGCGCATTGATGTTGTAAGGAGAAGTTCTGTCTTGGTCACTCATGGGAGTTATAGGCTAATTACGTATTTGTATACATGGCTCATGATAACTTACATCGCCCTAGTGCATAGAGTTCGCAAAAATATAAAGCTTGAAAGTGACATTAAGAACCAGTGTATGTACCTTCTATCGTTGTAAGCTGAATCAAGTACAGTTTTCCTCACCTTTTGGTAACTTTCGCAGGAGCGTTTTACCAGTTTTCTTGATGTGATCAGCTGAAATGAAAACGTATTAAAGATTATTCGCTTTTATGTCGATCAATCAAGTCCAGCTCAAAAAAACCTTTCGAATCTAGCCTGGTCGACTAAATAGAAGAACTCTCTGCTCTAAAACCATTTTCAAGGGGAAAAACTTAACTACAATCTGGATAAGATGTAACTCAAATTTCTAATGAACTTGTTGATGGGGTCGTCACATGCATGTTTCTGTCTGATTTATGTAGGGTTTGCTGGGCACGGCCCCATATCATTGTTGATTTGATATGGAAAGTCTGGGACTTGGACGCTCAGCGTGGACTTGACAAGCTTAGCGTGTTTCTAGTGTTATCCTCTATTAAGGCTCCCTTGTGAATGATTTACACGAAACATTTGTCAATCACTGACTAATGTGCCCGCAGTGTTCCGATGACGTAGAAACGAAATGGCGCTTTCGTCAAGATATTTTGCTCAACACTGTCCTCGGTTCTGAGAATGGTACGTCCTTATGGATAACAGAGTTTTCAGTTGGAAAATAGACGCATCATCTTTTCCTGGGAGGTAAGCCTTTCTTTATGATTCGTTTTTTACTGAACCACAACAGCAGTGATGATGATATTCCATGTCGATTCGAATACTGTAAGCCAGGTATGATATACCAACAAAGAAACTACTTTTAGGCCTAGCTTAATCTATAGACTATGTTCCACTAGTACACTTCTCTTTAAGTGGTGATTAACACAGACCGATAAAAATAACTAACGATTTAAAAGTTGAAAGCTAAAGAAGTCGCTCACCAATATTGGACTCCAGTAAACGCTCAACATCATGCTCCGCCTCGGAAACCCTGTTAGCTTTATAATAAATAAACTGATATTAAAGCAAACTAAGTAAGACTGAAACCTAAATCTGTAGTTACGTCTGTTTGTTCTTAAGCCAAGAAGCACTGAACAACACTGAACAACACACATGACAACAACAATTGCTAAGAACTTACCAATACTTTCATCAACCAACTTGTTGATAATTTTTTGTGCTGCTACCCATTCCTTTCCTAAAGGATTTAGACAAGAAATTATAAATATAATATACACTTGCAGCTTACCACGAGATTAACCTGAGTTAAATTTGAGTAAAGTTAGGTTCTAAGCCGAGTAATTTGCCCTGCGTCTAATGCTAAATGGTTTTTGTGACATTTCTTTGTACGACTGCAAATTCTGTTTCAGAATGACTTTATATTAAGGATGGTATATGCTCCTAAAATTAGACATCGTAGCTCAATTAGTGGAAGTACCTGAACAGTATGAGAGGCAGGATTAAATCCAATTGTTGCAGTACCCGCCGTTTTTTGGGGGGATAAATTTGTCACCAGTCAGTCACAGGACGAAGAGAGATTGATTCATTTGTTGATTTGTACTTATGATAATCTAACTGCTCAAATTTTAAAGTATGTAAGATATCATTAATAAAAGTATGATGTTATTGCCCGAGAGTCAAGAATTGTGATTGTTGGCTAACAGTCTAGCTGTGATTCAGTGATTCAGCGAATGATTCTTGCTGGTGTTTTCTTTGAGTGGGAAAGATGCACCCTGGTCGGAAACATGGCACGGTGTAATTCACTCCAAATTCCCTCTAGAATTTAGGTTGTTGAATGGACAATGAAAATGATCAGATTTTTGTTTGCACAAGAGCACAAGGAATGCAAGAAAATTTCACTGCGATGATGATGATTTTTTGCGAGTAAAGCAATGAAGTATTTCCGTAGTTTCCATCTGAAGAGACTTTCAGTTCTTTAGTCGGGAACAAGTTTTGTGGTGATAATTCTAATAAATTGAAGAGGAAATCCATTCACTTCACAGCTACATAAAACGCAGGATGACATATAAATCCGATGATTTATTATCCAAGAAATATGAAGTCCGTCCTCGGGGTAAACATTGGCGACATGATAGAACACTTGTTTGCAACCAAAGTTAATTTAGTGATTGACGGAAGTAATTTAAAGGACGAGAAATAGCAAGATATTTATTAAGTGTAAGCTCGCTAATACCGGATAACAAGATTTTGGGAATCAAAAACTTTGACGACTAAGGAAATACCAGCCAATACCGGCTGAATTACTGAAATGTTTTGTCGTTAAGAGTGAACGCCAATTTTGATCCTCAGTGTAAACTATCCTCACTCTCGTTTGTAGATTTCTCGGCAAAGTCTACAAGAGTGTATGAGACATAATTGTAATTCTTAAGAGCAATTCGAGAGATCTGAGTAATTATATGTGGTAAAATGGATGGTATTTGCATGAATATTTATGACTTACTTTCCAACGATGACTGTGGCGAAGAGGGACGTTTGAGTTTCGCTATGAGGTTACTAGAGTGATGCTATTGGCAAGTTAGTACTGGATAGCCGCTGAAGCTTACCTCTGATGTCAAATCGCTTCTCGGGCCTTTGTGTTGTCTCTTTGCTGACACAGATCCATATAAAATAACACAGAAGAAGTGGAACAGCAAAACAACTGTTTGACTTCATAATATTAGACTAGATGATCCTCCACGGAAAAAAAATGAAACGTTATTTGACAGATGATTAAAAAAAATATTCAAAAGCTATACAATCATGGCCAAAAAATTGGCCCTCGTTGGACTTCGACGCGCTTTGAAAAAACTTGGTAGCTTATCGAGACTGATGTGCGTTCAGAGAATCGTCGTCTTTGGGTAGTATTAATAAATCAAGAGATAAGTTAACCAAGCGAGTAAACAGAGTCAAAGTTGCACGGCTAACGGCTTTGGGTAACAAGTTAAAAAAACTTTGCTTGTGGTGTAGACTGGGGTCAAAGACTTTAACACAAGAACCACGTGCTCCAAATCACAGGGACCATGAATTGTCAAGCGTGTGTAGGAAAGAAGATGAACTCGAAAAAGCTTTCATCTTTTGTTTAGAGTACGAAAACGAAACAAATAAAAAAATACGCCACCAGTCGCATGTCACTGGGACATTTTTTGGGAGGAAAATTATGTGAGAAATTCATCTACTGTTTACTACGTTTCATATAAGTTTAGTTTTCCTTTGCAGATATGAAAAACGCAAAAAACGTTTCCACCGGCTTCAACAAAAGACGGTTCGCGAAGAGGACGCTTTATGAGCGCGCTGATGCGTGCAGTTTACAGGTTGATAACTTCAAAACAAAACCTATGCAGCATGGTTATTTCCTGATGTCAGACTGGTAAATAACTTACAAAATAGACCAACAGAATATCATCTTCTTTTCTTTCTTTGTTTTTTTGCAAAACGATGGTTGGTTGGTCTCTGCGAACTTTAAGAATTACAAGCTATCGTGGCTTCCGGTAACTTTATCCGGGAATTTTTTTTGCAGGTTTTGAAAGGTTTTGTGCATTTCCTTTTACCGGAATATAACACTGCTTTGCACATATTGCCTTCTCGTCGACTTTTGAAGGGCAGCTTTTTTTTTAATTTAAAATAACATTCGTTAAAAACTTGTAATTTTTCACCTAAAACTCACGACGCATTGTTTTGGCATACGAAATTCTTTATGCAATAGCATAATGGCGTCATTCTTCGTGATTACTCTGAAAGTTTTATTTCCAAGTTTTCGATATTGCCCAGAAAACTCTTCAAGAAAACCGCAATAACTGAGAGAAATAAAATATCGTTTTGATGTTTAATTAAGTCAAAGAAATATCTTTTTACAAACTGATCAAAGGGGCAAAACACAATCTCTTTTACATTTCCCTATTTGAACCTATTAAATATTTTTCATTTTAGCTACTTCATTGATATACACACCCTACCTTATAGATTTTTACAGGTGCACCTTACTATAGGAAATGTCTCCTCTGAAGGAAGATCTATATAATCAGCAATGTATTGACCTGGGGGTATTGAGTGCACTGAAAGTTTCAAGGCTTTTCAAAGAGCAGTAACGGTTAAAAGTCGAGGTTCATTTTGAAATAACAACCTCTCTCCCTGAGGTACTTTACAACAATATCTCATCCCTCCAGATGCTTTCATAAATGTGTTGGAAACAGACATCATCTTTGATGTACGCTTAACACTTTGTAAAAGTTAGAGCTTAGTAAGTTAGGTCCCATTTCGGCATGGGAGTAACCCCAGCCGACACTTAGGGGAGGTTTTGAAGTTTACGGAACAAATTAAGTATGTATAAACCGTCTTAAACATTGTCCTTTGCATTCTTTCCGGAGATTTGCCGACTCTATTATACGAGCTCGAGCCACTTGGAAGTTCAATCCAATGAAATCGTTTTGTGTCGGACAACCCTTTTCGAAACTTAATCGTCATTTTCGTTGTCGTCTTTGCTCTCCGAGCTTCCTTCTAAGGTTTCTTCATTATCTGCTTGTTCTTTAGACTTTCCGCTGTCTTCTTGCTCTTCATTTTTCTCTTGTGGTATTTTGATGTCATCCTCCACCTTATGTTGTCGTTCGGTCTCTTCTTCACTTACTCTCTCGTCACCACTTGCTTCGTCGCTCTCTACTTTGTTCGTGGTTTCCTCTTCGCTGTCTGATGCTCCTTTCTTTGTAACCTTGTCCCTTTTCCCTGCTACTCCACAGCAATCACGCGGACAATACGTAAAACAGTTTCTTTTGCAGGCCGAGGGACATTGCGATTGAGGGAATGCTGGCATAGGAGGAGGCTGGAAAGGAGGTGGAGCCATAGGGGCCATTGGCTGAACCTAAAAGGTAATTCAGTGTAAAATATTATCCTCCTATCTTTTTTGATGCCTTTTTTACCATTTTTAACACATCACGTGTGATCTAACACTTAACGACGGCACTAGTCAGTCAGAACCCAGGATTACGAATGGTACTGTAACATGACAAGGAAGACCACCAGAGAGCTTGTGTGATCTTTTCGTGTTTGTTTTTGATCAGGGTAAAAAGTGTAAGTCAGTTGTTGTCAAAAGGAACGTTATTAACTTACTGGAGGGTACACTGGTGCAGCAGGCGGAGCGGCTGCTTGGACCTGGGTTTGAGCCATCATATTGGGATCACAGCAGCAGCAATCTTGCCTCATGGAGCACTGTGTTGTGCAAGGATCCATGCAGTTTCCCTGACAGGGTATCATGTCCGAACTGGTGTCATTACTATACTGGTAAGTCCAGTTGTAACCGTTAAAGCTTAAATCAATAGCATTGTAGTTGGGTTGTGAGGGCGGCGCCTGAGGTGCTGTAAGGAAACGACAATATAATTTAGGCCTTTTAACCAAAGGGTTAAAAAGTGAAACGCGTTATGCCAACATGAATTACTGCAATCATGCAACCATACAGCAATGCAGCTATGCAAACAGTCATCCATGTAACCATGGAAACTTGGTTGATATTCAAGCATGCAGTGATTGTTGCAATGCAAAGACTGCTAAGACACTTGGTAAGCGACTTCAGCCAACGTCGCTCTCTCACCTTGCGGATTGTATGGGGCTTGTGGAGTCTGCGGCGTAAGTTTGCTTGCATCTGCTGCATGAGCTGGGTGATGATGGTGGTGATGATGATGTCCGTGATGCAAAATGCGGTGATGGTATTTCTTCAAATGTGGCTTTTTCCCGTGTTTGTGATGATACTTCTTTGGTTTTGTTTTCTTCTTCTCATCGACAGGTGTCACAATATATGGGACTTTAAAATGCACAAGAAAGGAACCATCTTTATTCTTTTTAGGCTTGTTTTCTTCATCTTTATTGTCGAGAACTTTCTTTGCCCCAAGGTGAAGAAGGGACATTTCTGTTTATAAGGATGCAAAAAAACAAAGAAATGAAAATATTGAGAACAAGTATGGACAATATTTCATTTTAAACTTTAATTGCAAGGTGTAGAAAGACACGATACTGATAATTTCGATCGCAAAACGCCAACCATGATTGTGTTAAAAAAATGCCAGTCATTCTATCAATCTTCATCTTGCAAGGCAAAGAAATCAGTGAGAGCCGATGAAAACAAATAATCAACGACGGTTGGGCGGGGGCAGGGGGGCTGAGAGAGAAGTAAGTTTGTAATTAAATATCTTTGCGGCATGTTTTCCATTTTCATTAAAAGATATTAGGCATCTGATAATTTTTTACCTTTTTGCTTGTCGGATTGTATATCTTTTGTCCTTTGTTGGGCGTGATGACCTGTAGACATGACCACCATTTTGGGTGAAGTGTTAGTCCAGGACGTGATATATCATTCAATTGAGCTTACTAACAATTTAAAGTCTCTGAATCTAATACCTTGATTGTTCAGTGAGTCAGTTAAAAAATGTTTCTAAAGTGGGTTACTGAAGTCTGATATACATAGTGGTAGCGACGCTTAATACGAGGCTGTTTTGATCCATCCTACTTTTAGATAACTGATGACGGAGTTGTGCCTAATTTAAATGAAATTCAAAGTCAGGCTCGACTTATATGTTATAAAATTTCAATTCTCGTGAGAAATGGCTTTAGCCACACGCATAACGTTAATGATGCTACTGTGCGTGGTAGCACCTTGTCACGATGAATACAAAGATTTTGCTGCGTGAACATGTGTGAATGAGGCTAACAAACACAGAAAACGGAAGTAATTGTTTTAGTCATTGAGTACGCGCCTATTAACGTTCTTAAAACGTAAAGTCCTTTACATCCCAACATGTTCTCCATACTGATCACTACAAATTTCCTAAGGTGCTATCGAGGAGAATTTTAGTGTTTAACAAGAAAAAACTCCTTTAGTTAGAGATCATTTCCATTATTCCCTTAAGCTTATGCTTGAATATTGTGAGGGAAGATTACATGCCAGTCACTCTTAGAGGTTAAAGGGTTAACTCGTTGTGTTACAGTTGTGTTACAGGTAAGAAAGTGCTGGGCGCCTGCTTTTACAAAAGAAAAATTAGTATAATTCTCACCAACTGCGTCGTTTAGGAAATCTGTGACCTCTTTTGCAGCATCATTAACCTTCTTTCCTAGAAATGACGAGACATAAACGTTGCAAAGCTGAAAACTAATGGTTGTCTTAGATTAGCTTCCAAGAAAGGAATATCCATATTTAGTATATATGGAGGGCGTTCAATGCATGCTCTGATTGGCTACTCAAACTCCCAATTCTCTTGCTATTCACCTTCGAGAAACGCGCGCGGGATTTGGACTCGAAAGTAGTAAAATCATTTCATGAACAAATAAGATTCAATCGTACTTTTTGCTGTATTATTTCACTGTTTTAGAATATACTAAAACAACAATTTACTTCATTATCAGTGGCTAGCGCGGTAAATATCCATCACTAACTGCTTCCACTTCGGTGAATATTTGTCAAATATAGAAAAGATATTTGCGAGTAAGCCGAATTAGTCGTTGGATCAGCAAAAACTTACCTATTTTGGCGTCAAGCAATTTAAGAACAGCTCTTCCTGCCTCTTGTTCTACGTTGTGGTAGTCTACTTTGTCTCTTCTTGAGCCTGGAACCACTGCGCGAAATAAAATGAGGCGTCTTTCATTTACCAGCAGGAAAACAAGCATAAAGTAAAATCAAGTTTGGTCTTGCAAATATCTCAATTTAAGATCTCTCGTTAGCTAATAGGGCACTCCTTATGGGGCCATAATCAGGTTAAAGATTCTGGTGTCAAAAACAAGACGAAACAAACTCAGCTGGAATAATCTGAAGCTAGAAGATACGACCAGTGCTTAGAAGGAGATATAGGATGCGTTTTCCCCTCAATTTTTAAATTAGACAATACGCGCGTTAAATCTTACGAACCTGGCTTCTAAGTACCGTCGGAGCGTATCCTGGATTCTAAGCATAATTGATTAGAAACATTGTTTATCCTCCTAAATGGCTCGCTAATATATTGTAGGACGCCCCTATCAAATCGCGAAGTTCTACAAAGCCTTCTGATAGTGCGAGAGTAGAGTGTCTGCCTAGGAACACAACGCGATGAACCAGAGAGGGTTCGAACCCCGATCTCTCGCTCTGTATTCAAGCGCATTCACTATTCATTGAGCGCACCTTCCAAACCAAAATGGGTTGTAGTCACCGTTTGGTGTCGGGAGGCAAAAACTTCCATAAATGTATATATATTAAATCATGCCATTACTACTGGAATTCGAGGCTTCAGAAGCCAACTGTTACCTTTGTGAAACATAGGGGATTCGAGAAGAACTTTGGATCATCGGTACAAAGGCAATGGTGGCTAAGGCTTCGGAGATATTTTTGTGTCAGATGTGCTCAACCTTGATACGGTCCAGATGAAACCATTCAAGGATTTATTTTCATTATGTTGATAATGATCGCTAATCAACTCACACCTTTAATACAACGACCACCCCATTTTGGTTGGCGAATATTTCATACCGCTAAAGTTCTAAATATGTCCACCTCATGACTTTAATTAAAATGGAAGACGACTGATTAGGAACAATCGGTGAATCATAATCATCTGCCGGGCTGTGATTATTGGCGACGTTTACGTCAATAAAACTACTTACTTACTTACTTTGTTTATTTGACATTGTTCTATGAAGTGCAATTATTTACTGACTTCTTACCTTTGCTAAAAATTTTTTCCTAATTTGACAATCAAAACAAGAAACAACGCGCTTCAGTTTAAAGGAGGATAGTGCCCTGTGGTTACTCATTGACCCGCAGGTGAAATGACTCCACGAGCGCAATTTTGTATTCTCTACTACTGACAGAGTAATTATGTTTCGTCTTTATTAAAATGACAAGGCGTAAATAGTTCTGGGGGAGAGATAAAGCACAGATACACTTACCTTTAAAGTTTTTCAGCGCTTTTCCTTTTTCATCTATGAAATCAGGGTCCTCCACGAGAGCACTTAGTGCAAAGCTTGACCAACAGAGCACAACCAGCAAACAAAGAATAGATCTTTTCATTCTGACCTCTTTTGCTTTGTAAATAAATCGACGAGGAAGCAATTTGATTTTTCTAAGGCTATGGTAGAAAAAGAACTTTTCAAGATTTAGATAATCATGTCAGAAATATGTTGAAGGGTTTTTTTCAAGATCAAACAAAGACACCTCAATGGCTCTACCACAAAGGTCTTCCTCATGAATAATTAACTACCACATTTACTCGTAGATACCCGTTATGTCGCAAGTCCGTGTTATCCAATGAGAACACACAGATGACTCAGAAAAAGCAAACTTGCTAGTCAATAAGTAAATTAATGACTGCCGTCAAATACTACATCTTGGCTCGTGTCTTAGCGCCGTATATAGGGCACAGTCGCAAAAGGCCTTGTTCCATTAGATCAGATATCTATCATGAATTTCTAACATCCATTTGCAGGTATTGCTTGAGGTGTCGCCCGGAATAAGAGATTTGAACGGAAAAAGCTGTTGTGGAAAAACTTTATAAACCGGACAAAGAAATTTTAGCGGCAGGGAATCATTTCCGCTTTCAAATTGTCCAACAGTACCTAAGATCGCGTTGATTTAAGAAACACCAAGATAGTTGGAAAATTTTACGGGGCAAGGAAACTTTTCTTGCGTTTCTCTCAGTTGTGAAGTAAATGCCATTGAAACAGGTACCGGTCAGTTTGAATTTACTTACGAGATGTCTTCATTTTACCTGCCTGCGAGAGTAAAATCTTCTCAACACCAGATAAGCGAAATTTCTGTAAGTTTACAAGAACTTAATGAACCCAAATTTGAAATTTGTTGGCGTTATATGCCAGAGCCTTTATGCGATCTCTTGGTTGAGTAGCGCTGTGCACTTAATTTCCTCATGAATAATTTACAGCCCGTAAGAATAAAAGTTTTGTAACACAGGAAGAAAATCTATAGTAAAAGCGTCCATAATATGTATTATGAAAGTTGACCATGGAGAGTAAAGACATGTTCAAATTGGAAAAAAAAACCATATATACTCAAATTACAACTCCGATTTAGAAGATAGTGGTTTCCAGGGTAAGTGTTGATCCGAAACAATAGGAACAAGCCGAGGGTCGCCGAGGTTCATGGAGCATTCTGGGAAAATTTCGTTCATATAATTTACCCAAACTATCTTACATGTCTTAACTAGCAGGGAAGCCTTTGATTTGCATCGATGTGAGGAATGCTTCCTTTGGGGACGTTTTTTTCATAAATAGCACAACCTCAACTGGTGAATGATGATTTTTTCTGTGATGACTCATATTCAGGAAAGAGGTTTTCCTATGTGCTCAAGAGCTAATCGGCGACCATTACATAGATATCTATTATTCATTTTTTGTTGGCAATTGTTTCAGACTTGCGAGCAGTGATGATAGAAATTATGTTTTCGTCCATAATTGAAAATTAAGTCCAAAATGTGGTTGATCAATTGAAACTTGTGAATAAATTGTATATTTCCTCTATTTTCAACCAATGATATGTATCCCCACAAGAGAAGAGGATGATAACCTTGCACTCTTTGCTTTACGTCCTGTGTAAATTTGACAAGACAAGACAAATTGCTGAACTATGAACTCGTTTTTATTTTTTCGAAAAAGGGAAAGAAGAAATAAATCCTCTTGACCTTCAAGAAAGTCTGGCAGACCCAATTTATCTACACTCCTGTCATGAAGCAGATACTTATCGGGCTCTTTAATATCACCAAATGTCTTCTTAAGGGTTATGATGTGGAAAAACCTGTATAACCGTAGTAAAGAAAATCACCTTCGTTTTACCAACATTCAAGACCCTTATACTAGAAACAGGCATAATCTATGTCGTCGAAAGCCACAGTAATGTTGAAGTTAAGTGTCTTTATGTGTGGCTTTTCTTTCCTAAATTCCAAATTTTTTATAACCTTCTCTAAATACAAATTGTTAGCTATTCCGTTAAGCCAAAGCCTAGAGTTAGCTCGGGAAGTTGTTTTAGGAAAGAGAAGTATGAACACCTTTTTTTCTGATTGATAACTATAAGCATATTAAAACATGCTCGCTTCGTCTTCCACGATGTCTGACCCGTGTAAATCTATTTTTGAAAGACTAGTGGCACATTGCAAAGCGTGACGTTAAAGATCTCGTCTTACGGTCGTGGTGGTGAATCACTGACTTCTTTCTTCGACAGCACTGCGGTGGGCAGGGTGGGGCACAATTTGTGGCTAAGCAGCTCTGTCCACATCCGCCTGGTGGAGGCTGCGGAATGACTACAGGTTGACCATAACCAGCTGGGGGTGCGAATCCTGGTTGAGGTCCCATAGGGGGATATACGGGTTGAGGAAATGGCTGGGTAGCCATAGGGGGAGGGGCACCCATGCAACACGAAGGCTGATATGTCGGTGCGCATGCATCAGGGCATGGACCTGCCCCAGAACCGACGGGTGGAGTAGGTGGTGGAATAAGAATATCGGCACAGCAAGTCTCAGAGCACGATGGAGCACATCCAATTGGATCTTTGCACCTGGCGGGGTCGCAGTATCGAGGCTGGGGACACGGATTGTATGCAGCTGGAGGACCTGGATGTGGGTGTCCCCCTAGAGGACCTACAACCTTATATGGTAGTTTAGGCGTCGAAGTTGCCTCAGCTACGAAAGGAAAGGAAAGAAAATGGATTAGCTTACATTTTTGACAACAGTTAGACTTTATGTTTCCTATATTTCTTTTTGCCAAACAGTAATTTGTCGAAAGAGATCGCACTTGCGGTAGGTACATTCTACCTAAAAGTGTAAAATTTAGTGAAAATTACAAAGAGTCAAGGCTCCCGAGCTTTAACTCGGTGGCAGACGATAATGATCAGGTCATTCGCTTTTCAAAATGTGCTTCCTCTTTCCTTTCTATAAGTTGTTGTCAAACATGCAAGCATAGAAAACTGAGCCAGAAGTTAAAGATGGGAAGCCTTGCCAAACGTTCAAGAAGAGGAACAGAGAATTCTCAAGAAACTTGTCTCAAAACATTAATCAGAACAAATTTATTCCTTCAAATCATATTATAAAATCAATCTGTCCTAACCGTAAACCAATCTAAATTTAAATTACATTTCGTTGAAAAATCATTGATTATCAAAGTTCAATTATTGTATTAACTATAGCATTCTTGGAATGATTTCTAAATCAGCTATGTAATTCCTTGGACATCCAAGGAGTACCATCACAGTTCTATTTACAGCTGAGAGATGATTGACTAAGTCTCAGTGTTTGTGCGAGGTTCTCTTTAGTTGTCCTCTCTTGTGGTGCTTGCAGCATTGTGGTGGGCAAGTCGGTCCGCATCCATCAACACAGGTAGTTCCACAAAGAACAACTGGGGGACCGGCTGGTGGTGGAGGTGGGGGTGGGGGAGGGGGTGGAGGGGGTGGAGCTTGGCAACATGAGGGAAGATTCATTGGTGCACAAACTGAGGGACAAGGAGCAGGCATTGGTACCGGCAAGGGAGCAGGGCAAGGACCAGGTGGTGTGCAGGGTGGGGGCATGGGTGTTTGACAACAATTCTCCATACAGGCTGGTGCGCACACTTGGGGACAGGTGCCAGGGCAGATTCGGGGTTCAGGGGCAGGGGTGGGGACTACGAGAGGAGGTGGTCCTTCACCTTCAGTTGGTGGAGCTGTCAGAACAGAATAAGGAAAACGAAATTAAATCTGTGCAAAAGGCTGTGAACAGAAAACACCTACTGCAGCAATGAAATGTGAACTGAATGTCAATTAGGCACCAGCCGAAATAGTAACAGTGTTGTATATTACTCCCTCTGATTGCAAAACTAATTTAGCAGTCTAAGTTTTTCGTTTCAATAATTAACACTTTGTTTGCTTCTTAGTAAGGAAAACAAAAACCTCGAATCAAAGAAACAAAAAAACTCGAATCCCCTTTACACACCAAGAGTACCCTAAAGTCTACTCGAACGCTCTGCTAGAAATTTAATCTCTTTCATGTTTTTGTCTCTTATGACAAACGAGAATTGACGCTTTGCCACATAGAGGTTATCAAATTACCTTGAGTGATTTATGGCAAAAAAGCTCAAAGTAATCTGGACAATATTCCAAGAAACAAAACAAGCATACCTTCTTCGGTGGAGCCGGATTCTTCTCCACTTCCGGCTGCGGATGCACCTATAATTATGTTTGAACGAGAAAAAGTTTTGAGCTTGATAATTGACACAACGTAACCCGAATAGTCCGCGAGGAGTAAAGGCAGATATGACAGATGCATTGAGCATTGCTTTATTTCCTATCAAACTTTGTTTTGAGTTTTATTTTTCCAAGTCAATGGCGGATGAGCAAAGACACGCTCGCCAGGTCTGGATTCTAGGCGAAAATGTGTTGGTGGAGACCATTTTCAGATCACGGATGCTATCCTCAAGTGTGTGTGTATGTTGCCTACATGTAAAAAACGTCTTAACAGGCTAAAGCCCTAAATGTGCACATGCTACCCACTTACCAGCAGCACTTCCTGAAGCTTCTTCGGCAGCAGGTTCATCATTCTTCTTTGTGTCTTCGTCTATGACAAATTAAGAGGAAATCAGAACATTTTGCACGGCCTTTCTCTGACAAGCAACGAAAAAAGCCAGAAACTATCGCGATTTTCCCAAGGAAGCCGCTCTTGCAGAAAGTAGTGTAACCTTGGTTTCTTTGACCGTATATGTGTACGGCATAGTAAAGCAAACATGATCTAGGAGGTTTTTCTAACATTAAATTCAGTGTTTCGGCTGCCTTTAATCGTTTCAATCAAGATTGAGAGGTGCATTCGTGATCTTGTGAGGTGTTCAAATTATTGTCATGTTCATTTTTAAATTTCGGAAGCATCACCGTACCTTTTGGAACCACTTCCAAGCTTCAGCAGTCTAAAGTAAGTGTGGAATTAGGGAATTGCAGTTCTAATCTTTTCTTAGTAACGTTAACCATAGCAAATCTGCACAAGCCATTACATACGGTGTCCGTTCCACATGCAAATTTCAGTTGAAACATGGGCATGCAAATGAGCGATTCATTGATTACCTTTCTCGGGCCCCGTATGAATGAGAGCTTTAAGGAGCTTACCGTGCTTGGATTTCTTGTGTCCTTTTGTAGGGGAGAGAAGAAAAAGAAATTAAAAATTAAAAGAAGGTTAGCGGTATAAAAGAACTTTTATACCTAACTCCCTTAAATAACTTGACTCTTTTACTAATCATTTCTGAGAAATTGTGATAGCCATTGTGTGAAGAGTTTTGTGAGTATCAAGTAACCTTACACATAAAGTCAATTATGACGCAGATCACAGACAGTCTTCTCACGTGTGTTTTTACTCCGATCATCAGATACTAGAGAAGAGATCAAACCGCTTAACTAAACTTAGCTAAAGTGAAAAGTCGGAAACTATGCAAATTTAAATTCTTCGTTTAAAGTATTCTTCTTCAACAGTTCACAAATTTAAGGAGTTAAAATGGTTGTAACTAAGATGGTTTTACGTTTTGTTGTGGATAGCTTGATTCAACCTAATTTTTCTCCAACTGTCACAGTGTTACGCACTAAATAACAGTTAAATTTCATAGCACTATCGGGAAGAGATTAACGCTGAAAAACCCCTCCTATTAAGTTGATTAAGAGGGAAACATTGCATTCGATAAAATATTAAATTGTTTAGTTAATCCAACCGTGGCCTTCAAAAGTGGTTCAAGTTTAGATTGCACACTTTGCACACGGTGAAGTGTATTTAAAGAATTCTTTGCTCTCAGGAGAGGAAAGAAGATACTTCAGAAATTTGTGAAAACTTTCTATGATATCAACTGAAACTAGCACACAACCATAAATATTTTTAGAAAAGATTGTCTTACCTTTTAAAGACTTGGCGTCTAATGTAGAAAGTGTTAGTCCCAAAAGGACAAGAAATACGAAAAATCTTATCCCCATTTTCCTGAAGGATTGAAAAGAAAGAACTCGTTATAGGTTGTGAAACAATTTAACTCAGATCTACATACAATCCATAATTGTTTTGGCTCGGAAGTGTTCTGGTTCACCAACTTGAAGAGCTGAGGACAACTTAGGCGAACCCGAAATTTTAAGTGCCTTCCAATGCGTCACGGACTTAAACACATTCTGAGCTCGCTAAAGGTGAATTAAGATGGCTCTATCGCTTAAATTTCACGTTTTACCTTCTTCCGATAACCTTTTCCACCCAAGAGAAAATGCTGTTTGTTGTTATTTTACCACAGGGGGAAATAGAAGGGAATAATCCTCGTTATCTACTCATGATGTAAGAATAAGCAAGGGTAATTGACCTGCCCTTCACGGTACCGGTTCAAACCATTGTTCTTTAGCTTTTGAACCGTTCAATTTTTTATAGAGACCAGGCAAGGTCTAAAATGTTATTAGATTTCACTTGGATGCGAGCAAGCGAAGGCCAAATGTCGTGCCGGTTATATTAAGTAAATCACTCATGCACTGATGATCAATTCAAGAAGCGGAAGAGGATGAAATCTGAAAAAGAACCGACAGAATTGTAGATGGAAGTAGAGAAAAAAACATCCGCCAAGGTGTTGATAATATTAGATAACGTCGAGCAAGTAATGTAACACTGGTGACAGAAGCCTCAAAAGCTACTCCGAAGAGGTTTTCGTTTTCTTACCGAGATTGGAAAGTATATCTATGCGCGAGCTAATTCAATTTAAAACCTTACAAACACTTAAAATGGCAACTGTGAAAACCTATCGACGTTTGCATTTTCTTTGAATGGCGATCGCTGATTCTCAGCCATTAATAATAGATTGCGGTCGATTTGGTACTTTAATTTTAGATTTTCTCTCAATTTTTTCAATCATTTTTGAACCGGGCTGTTTTGATACTTGCCAACGTAAAAGCTTCCTTCATGCAGAATAATTAGCCTTTTTCTTATGTGAGCGTTTTGAAAAATCAGTTGGATAATCTGGCCATTATATACGTTTATCGTCTGCTCACAACCGGAGACTGCTAAACAAACATTTTATCCCTTGATGCGTTTAGCTGGTGGGTTTTTCGTGCTGGTATTGAAAAAGATGAAAAGGTATCATAAGGCTCGTATCGGTTCAGGCTACACTATTTTTATTTTCAGAGAAGCTGTATCCTCGATCTATGATTATTAAATGAATTAAAAATCTCATTATCGGACCAAAAAAATTAAAATAATTAGGAACTAACTTTGTCGGTATTCTCAGCTAACTGAGTTTGGACACCGAGTCCGTTAGAGCAATTTTCGATTGATTGTCGAAGGCAACCTGGGATCGCTTTGGTTTTGATCTTCTCTGTTGTGATTGGCTCAGTTAGTTTGCCTGCTTTTACTTTGAGTTCTCATTGGCTTCTCGTGACATTTTCCTTTCATCTGATTGGCCCATATGATTACTTTGGATAACTAAACGAGAACATCGATTAGTACTTCTAATCGCTTTTCGAACAACTTGGCATACTAAACGGCTGTGAATATATGAAAGTCATATATTTGAACTGCGGATAAAGACGTGAATATGATAGCGATCTCCGCAGTAATGAATACTACTTAGGCAATAGTGAAAAGAAGGCCTGAAAAAAAAAATTCAGGCCTCTACGGGATTTGAACCCATGACCTTTGCGATTCCGGTGCAATGCTCTACCAAATGAGCTAACAAGCCAACTGGGAGGTGGTTCCAAATAAACCCGTGAAGTGGTGAATAAACGGCTGCGGAAATATGAAAGTCATATATTTGAACTGCGGATAAAGACGTGAATATGATAGCGACGTTCGCAGTAATGAAAAGAAGGCCTGAAAAAAATTCAGGCCTGTACGGGATTTGAACCCATGACCTCTGCGGTACCGGTGCAGTGCTTCTTTTCACTACTGCTTAAGTAGTGTTCATTACTGCGAATATTACATGCCAAGCTGTGCTTTCACTGTCTGCTATCACGAAAAAACAGTAATTACGATCTCAACATTTTTGGGTCTTTTCGTGAAGGCGGGAAATAGAACATGATCATAGTCCCTCTCTAGTCTGAATTAACTGGTTGGTATTATGCAATTGTGGAGTGTTTTTATTAGGGTAAAAAGCGTCCAATCAGTGTTGTTTTATACTGAGTATCGTTGAGGTGGGCCAGCGAATGAACTATGAAGCAATTTCTGCAGGTACACAATGTGTTAGGTATATTAAGATTTCCAGCAGCAGAACATAAAGACAAAAAAACAACAACAACAGCAGCAAAAATCAAGAATTAAAACAGTCTAGGAAAATAACCCTAAGCGAAGCCGAAAACTTTTTGCTAACGAGGTGTTCGTAAGTTAGTTTCTTCGTTTTCACATGAAATAGCTATACGTAATATGGAAAAAGTCTTTCCCTCTGTGTGATTTCTGATAGTTGAATGCTATTATGTTATTGACTGAGCAGAAGAAGACCAGAACAAAACAAAGTTTTAGTGGTATAAGAAAGAAAATATAACTACGTCAAATCAAATACAAGAGATTAAGAGTCTTCGATATGGTTTTTTTATTAATTTTTTTTTCCTTCGAAATTTCACATGGCTTTATCGTGGCTTTCAAATCAGTTTAATTCGTTCCAATATGAACTAACAATCATTGAACGAAATGCAGAGAAGTACAAAATTTCTTTCGCATTTCTTTTCTGTAAATTCTTCATTTATCTTCTTCCGGCGGGGCCTGGTGGAGCGGGTGGTCCGGGTGGTCCAGGAGGTCCGGGTGGTCCTGGTGGTCCGGGATCTCCGGTTGGTCCTCGTCTTCCCGCGTTACCAATAGGGCCTTGGGGGCCTTGGGATCCTTCGGAACCAGGATACATGTAATTGTATTGCGCATCCCTTTTGGCTGAAATGTCAAGCAAAATCAACGTTTAGCTTTCTAACTACTTTGAATTCTCAAGATCTCACCAGCTGTCATTAAATTTATTTTCTCATCAAGACAACCCTCCTTGCTCGCGGTTTTTAAGTTTGTCAGCTTTCATTTTATGTTTTCTGCATGATATATTGAGATTGTGAAGGAAGTAGGTAGTTCATCACTTCGAGGTAGTTCTAGATAATTATTCAAGTTCCTCTTGATCCGGTCTTAATCACTCCATTTTAGATCATAGTTGACTTTGTTCCTTACATCCAGAGATTTTGTATGCGCCTTTTCGCCTAATCAAAGACATATTTCTTGGATATAACAACAAGTGACATATTCAGATTTTTCCACTTGTAGCATATTTCTGTTGTTAAAAGAAAAATAATTTTCACGAGAAAACAGTGGAGGGTTAGAAATAATAGCAGAAGAGTGAGGAAGAAAATGGTCCAGTAATTGGAAAAGTAATCAAAACACTGTCAATCTTCACTGATGCCTTCAATGGAACTACGAGGCCACATATTACGACTACATTTATATTGCTTATTTTAAGCATTCTTTACCCAATTCAAATTGACTAAACGGCAGTCACTCATTCTCTTTAATCGGAAAACCTTACATTTTCCACCAAACACTGCACAAATCTGAGTATGAGGTTTTCTAGTAGCAACCTGAATTTTGGGGACAATTGTCATTTTGGCGGAAAAAAATTTGTAATAGCTGCCTCAAGTCTCTATCTCTTGGAATTTTGCAAAATTGACTAAATGCAGGTTATCAAAACAGATGTAGTGATATCTTTGGATTTTAGAAAGGCCTTGTGTAGATATAATTATACCCACTTCTTACGCACAAATAATAAGCAAAATTCATCAGGGTGGGTTTGTCGTTCTAGATTTTCTATTAAATTTTACGGCTAAACCATTTAATAAAAGATGCACTCTCTTTAGAGTCGAAAGGGCTTTGCTATGGAGAAGGAAATAAGATATACTGATAAGCATTTTTACTTACTCTTGATTGGATCAGCGGCACAGAGTACCAGTCCAATGGCAATCAACAGCAGAATCCGGATATTCATGTTTAGTCTCAAGTAAACAAAAACAAAATTGAAATTTAATGTAAATGAATTAAACGAATGTTCGACAGAATTATTGACCCGTACTCTTAAATTTTCTTTTGTCAATGATGTGACGGCTCTGCTTTTTACGTAAACGGTCTTCCGTGGTCTTCTTTCATTGAATACCTTTCCAGCTTAACTACTCTATTAGTCATATATAGATATGTTCACGGCTTCAAACGATGAACGGACCTACCTTCTAGTCCCTCCTTCAAAACAAACTGCTTAACGCTCTGTTGTTCAATGATTTTATTGTGTGATCTCAACCTCTCAAGCACGTAATTCAAAACATATTTGAGAGCTTACGTTTATCAGACGACCCGACAACGCGCTCATGCGCAGGAGTGGAACAACTTGAGTTATAGTAGGAAACGGGGCCGATTGCGAGTCTTTTCTTGCCTTGATTTTATTCGCATTCTTCATGAAAAGGGAAATACGCGCAAAGCTAAAGCGCAGTTGCCCTAATGAACTGAAGGTGGCATATTGATTGTGGGCGCATTTTATGAGAACTGCTTCACAATAAAAACACTGAAGCGGAACGATTGGTGAACACAGTTTTAGTTTATTGCAGGTGTCTTAATTCTACTGCTGTCGTTTTTGATCTTCGCTTGAGTTGAGTGAGTGCGTTTTGTAGTTGAGCAGAACGACTGGTAGTTTTTGTGACACGTGAAGTAAGTAGGATAACTTCATAAGATACAGCGTGACAAATTTTTAAGCGCGCGCGGTTTAAGGACACGAAAAGATCTATCACGCTACGTCAATCAGTATTTGAGGGTGAAAGCGGTAGACTAGAGAATTTCCGCATAAAAACTGCATAAGTGGCTGGGCAGCGAAGAGCCTGAGGAAGCTCGTTCCTAACGTTGAGGATTTAACAAACCTGACATGTTATAGGTGATACCAAAATACTCAAAGTCTATTAAAAGAGAAAATATCATGCAATTCTCGACCAGCATATACTGCCAAATTTAATTTTTTGAGTTAATGGGACGTACCAAAACGCTAAAAGAGTTTGCTGTGAAAACTAAAGGAAAGCATTCAAATCGCAATAGACAAAGCGATAATGAAGGCTACTATGATTTATTTGTTAAATCTTTTTATTGGCTCTTGTTACATCAATTTAGTACAAATCCCTCGCACGAGTCAATGTTACAAGATAATGTTAATTATACTTGTTAGTAAATTTTCCCTTTTCGAATTCACTTTCATACTGATAACTTCTTTTTAGTAGTGTGCAGCACCTCTCTTGCAAAACAACATTATACTAATGCGATAAAAAGAACTTATTAAAACTAATGATAATCTTATAACATTACCATCATAAATATAACCTTTATTAATAGTATTCTTGTCAATGTTGTAAATATTAGAAGTGGACGTAAAAGATAAACAAAATGGAACGCATAACCTTCGTTACATCACTTCAAAAGCGAAACAACAATTCTTGAAAGTCTTATCAAGTCGGTAAGCTGGTACATAGAATAAAAAAGAGTCGTGATGGTTATACACGATTCCAAAACAGATTTACTTCCCTGGGGGCGGCACCGCACAACACGCAGGAGCAGGTGGAGCAGGGGGTGCAGGAGGTCCTGGTGGTCCGGGTGGTCCCGGAGGTCCGGGGACTCCGCCAATTCCCGGGGGTCCTACAGGTCCCATCACTCCTGGGGAACCCTGTGACCCAGGATGTCCCTGTGGTCCAACGATAGGTGCTGGCTGAGGCTTCATCATGTCTGACACAGCTGGGAGAGGTGGGTCGGGTGGTGCTGGTGGAGGACTGCCGCAGCAGTCTACAAGGCAGTTTGGGGCACACTGCGGAAGACAGCCAGCTCCGCATGGGAAGGCTGCACGCTTTGCTATGAAACAAGCATTTCATTCCATTTAGCTCATACACGTTCGATTGCTATAATATCTAGGGTCGTTTTTAAAGTTCGACTTCTATTCTGTCAGTCAGTCAGTCAATTAGTCGGTCAGTCAAAAAGCGAGATGATTAATTTTTCATTCAGTCAATCGGTTAGTTGGTAAGGTCTTTTAAGGAAGATGCCAATCAGTCAGCCAGTCAGTCGGTCAGTCAGTTAGTGCCTTCGCCATCCAATCGTTTTATAAAAGGAATAAATTTGGATAGGTTTTTGATGAGCCAGCCGTCAAAATTGTGGATATATGCGAGCTCGGTCATGCTAATGACTCTTCAGAATTCGAGGCTCTTGTGTGCCTGGACCTCAGAACGCAAACTTTTCTAGATATAGAGGAAGTGAGCGATAAATATTCTCTGAAACCGCTATCTCGAGGCAATTCATTGTGTTGGTTGTAGCCCTGTTGTATAGATAGAACTTTTTAAAGATGGAAAAAAAATCAGCGAAGAATTTTGGTAATACCGAGTAAGCTCAAAGCAAGTCCGAGAGATTTACATTGGGCTTCCACGCCATCTCATTATTTAAATCTAAGTTTCTAGCTTATTTTTCTTTTTATTCTATCAATTAAAGTTACTGGTTTGGTATTTGGGTTTGGTGATAAGATCTATACCAAACTGTATTTGTACTTACTGTGCATCGACGAGGTGGTGTAGGCCAGCCCCAGGGTGAATAGTACAGCCAACCGATAATCCATGATTTGTTCTGTAACAAAAGGAAACTAGGATTCGTTGGATGCACCCATGAGAAATCATCCTTTCAGTGCCAACTACTGATTTCAATGAGCCCCACTGATCATAAAGCTATTTGTATATTTTGAAAAATATCATTTGCCAAATTTAAATTTGGTATCTTGGTAGTTGTATTTTTTTCCGATGAATTTCATATTCTTTTGAGAATAAACACTCTTAATCATATTTCTGTTTAGAGAAGAATGTCACGTCTTACCTGACACTATTATCCAACGATCACGAAGAGGCAAGCAACTTTCAAAGATGTCCTCTATTACTATTTAATGAGTTAAATCGGCGGTGAGTTATCAATTTTTTTCTATTGTTACGTGTTTTGATTACATTCTTGTGCAGCAGGTTTTTGAAGTGAAAGTTGTAAACAAAATTTTGATAAATGGCAGGTATTTCATGGTATTTTTGATAAATTTTCATTTTGATTCCGTTGAGAAAGGTTGAGGTGTATTCAACGAGACAGCGATGAGATTCAGATTGAAGCAGTATTTTTTTCTCAGGGCATAAGTAATATAACGGAAACACGTGTGAAGGAATGAGATGTTGGTATGAGCCTTTTGAAAGTTTGTTATATAAAAGAACTGATGCGCAACTTCACTGTTATTTGCTTGCATCTATGATGCATGTGGATGTTTTTTCAGGCACTTGACAGACACGTCAAAGTTTCTGTCTGAGGTTGAGTGATCCAAACCGATGAACTCGGGGAAAGTTCAGATGTGCACGTAGCAATTTATTAGTCTGCGTTGATCATATATTTTATCTAATCCATTACCTGCCCCCTTTCAGTTGGTTATGTCAATTTGATTTTAATCAGGTTAAATAACGATGTAAACGTAAGCTTTCACTTTAATTTGACGGACTGGATAAACTTGACCGAGACAGGTGAAATTGTCTCTTTATTGAAGAAATTGACCGCTGCCAAAAGTTGGTTGTGAGCTGTTTTGCTTTGAACACTTATCTTCGTGCAAATATTCGATATGTTGGGGATGACAAAAATTGTGTCGTAGGGAAATGACAAAACTATAACTATATATATTCTTCAAAATAATATTGATCACGGTACTCTCTCTTTAACTTGATACCGCTTTGTTCTACCTATTTTATGATTTGCGAGCTGTTTGGGGAGTTTGGTCTCATCATCATTATAAGGGATCTCATGTAATTTTTGAGGACAACGGCAAAAAAAACATTGGAAATTCCCAGTGTTCCCATAAAATTTACTCTCGTGAGTGCCTGATTGCGTGGTTTGAAACAAAATGGCAAAGAACAACAAATGAAAAGAAGTGAACAAACATTAGAGCAGTAAAAGGAATTTCAAAATTTTATTGAGTTTTGTTCTAAATATATAAGAACGATGTCAGCGATATTGCTTCAAAAAATCAGGAAAAAGATTAATAAAAAGTGATTCTTGACAAGGAGCGCCTTCTCTAAAGCAGACAACCAGGTGTTCGCCACAACACCAGAAGGAACTAATAGAATGCAAAAAACTGATGCGGCGTGATGTTAATTTAAATTGTGGAAATGAAGTAGCGTTATAACCCAGAAAGGAACGACGAAACGAGTTTGTTTTCTCGAAAAGATCGAGACTGTGATTCCCAACGCTATTCAATCACTTCAGTTGTTCTTGGTAGAGTTTACAACTTCTCTATCAGGTACTTAGCGTCCCGGGGGTCCCGGAGGTCCGGGTGGTCCTGGTGGTCCAACGCAGCCGGGGCATCCTCTAGGTCCATGAGGTCCTGGCAATCCACAAATTCCTGCGAATCCTGGCGGTCCGGGGATGAGCTGTGGTGTTGGGGCTGGGTATGGGGGAGGCGGTGCAGGGGGAGGTGGGTATGGGCCGAGTGGACGGGCTGCACAACACGAAAATATACAGTCTCTTCTGCAAACGTTTGTGCAACACTTTTCACAACAGGACCGAGAACAAGGCAGTGGATTACTTCTTAAGACCTTGTTGACTGAAAAAATGCAATTAAAGTTTATTAGTTTTATGGTATAGAACTAAATTTTTATGAACAAAGATATAATGATTTCTCCCCCGGATTTAATCAAAAAACCCAGCGTAAGTATAAGTGGAGCAAAAGAGAAAAGTAAGTTTGATTCGAAAGCAGCTTTCTTCTTTTGCGGATTTTGGCGACACTTTTTATGAGGAAGACTGTTCTCGCAGTTAGGAACTAACGGGAATATATAGGGAAAACTCTGATCACTTTAATATAGTTATCTCTGTGAATGAAAAGTTGAAAATGCTTTCTCTACGATGCTTACTACAAACAGGTGTCTTTGTCAAGTATGTCAATCAATATAACTTATGGAACTTCATAGGGAAATGGGAGCATCTTTGCTCGTTATTATAGTGTTGTGTTACCAAAATATTGAAGATTTTACATATACCAATTTCTGATTTTACATAAACTTTCTTTCCTACTTTCGTCAATTTCAAACTACTGGTTGAGTGTGAGATTTACTAGAGTTGACAGGTAATTTTAAGTTCGTTCTGAAAACGTTTTTGATAGGTGATGCATCGTGGAATAAAGAGATTGTAGATACTGCTGGTACTTCACGACTTAAACTTGGACTAAAGGATGATTCTTTTAAAAAGACAAAGCAACTTACGGAATTCTTCATATGGTTTCGCTTCGGAGACATAAACCACAGATATCAGCACCACCAAAACTATAATTTTAAAGTCCATTTTGATTGAGCGGCCTATTAAAGGAAATAGGAAACAATCATTAGTACTACCAAGGAATAGCTGCAGAAATTAAAAAGTAAAACTTTCAAGAAAGAAGTCGGTATAATATCATAATTCCACCTTTCTGGAAGTTTGCCAACTTCCTCCTGTCTACGTGTTTTCCTAACAGAGGTGAAATAAACGTTTTCAACTATCTTGCATTATTTTACCTGTTAGTGAAAATTGAAAAGTCTGACGCTATCTGTTGAACACCTCTGTTCATAAACATAACTGGTGTTTTACAGAGTTTATCTCTTAAGTTTGTGTCAACCTCTCGGATCAATGTCAATATCTTAGCATTTGCTCACCTACCCTTCCCCAATTCAACAACAGTTAACTGACAAAAGGTAAGGTTTAATGTTGGGTAGGAGGCGGGAGGGGAGGTTGGTGCGCAGTTGCTCAAATACTGATATTGATCCAACTTCACAATCAACAACAACCTTCACCTTGAAGACCGCATTATCATCACTATGTACATGTAAGTTTCCTTAGTTTAGATTTTGACTGTAAAGTTAGAGTGTTTTATAGCTCATGACTTCTGTAATCCAAACAGAACGTTTTGGCTTAAGACACGCTGTTTTTGGTGTCTTAGCTAAGAGATGCTCCAAGCGCGATTTTGCGAGTATAAAAATGATTACATCGAGTGCTCTTCTCAACGATTTCCCTGTATCCAGTTTCACGAGTTATGATCGTCGTAAATTCTCTTAAGGACTGTTGCACGTGATTAAGAGGAAGATAAAAGCAAAAGCTTGAAAAAAGGATTAAAGGAGATATAATCAGTTATAAAGAAAATCATCATCATATTTCGTAAATAATGCAATTAGGAAGATTATGACTTGAAATCGAGAAAGGCTCTCTCTCGCACTTCTTACATGCACTGTTACACTTTCATTGGCAAAAGTGTGATAGTGAGTGTAATTGAATCAATTACAGTTTCTCGTAAAGATAAAAGAACTGCCGTTGTTCAATTATAATCGTATTCATGTCCATTTCATACATCAAGTAGTGAGGTTAATTGCAATGGGAAGCAGAGAACGTTAATCAGTTACGTTCAAGGGGTACGTTTTAAATCTGCGAATTATACCCCCCTCGAATGCCAATATTTAAACAGAGTAAACCCATTTGGGTTAAATTTGAAAATTTTCCGTTGTTGTCTCCAACGTTCTTAACATTGTGCATAAGCTATGAGCCTTCGGATTGGATCGCTTCGGAACCTTTTCAGTTCCCCTTTTTTTAGAGCAAGTTACGACTTCAACTATTTTTGAGTCATGCATTTGGCAAATGCAAATGAAATAATCCTGCCTAAACGTTTGGGAACGCTCCCCTTTCTCGAACATAGTCCTACTCGTATATAATGGACAAGCTCGTTCATTTTCAGTTGTAACTGAAAACAAACTCGCCAAGATTTTACTCACAAACCCATTGGACAATGCTGAAGTTAATATCCTATTTATGATTTTAAAGAAACATCTGACTTCCAATGTGGCTAGATCAAAGGAGAAGGGGGAATGCAAGGAATTTATTTACCAGTGTTCCGAACGTTTCGGCCAGGATTGCACCTTTTGTGGTTCTGTCTGTTCTGTATAGCGAAAAAGTATTAGAGGAACCCTAAAGTATTGGTCAGTGGTTAAGTCTTTCACGCATTCCAATCCTGGTCTGATCTAATTGTAATATTTATTTCAAGAAGTCAAAGACGGTACATTATTGATCTGTGACAAGTTAATGTGATTTGTGCGATTTTTTGCAGCATGCCGGGGCAGGGCAGCATTTTGAAGAAGGAGGGGCTCGAGGAGGTGGGCATGGTGCTGGTGGTGCACGAGGTGGAGGTGAGCATGGGGGTGATGCAGGAGGGAGACCAATACATCCTTGACGAGGACTCTCAGGACAACCAGCTTGTCCCATAGTTAGTGGTGGTGGTACCGGTAGTGCCATTGGTTGTGCCATTGGCATGCACGGGGGTGCTACTGGGGGCATTCCTATCGGTGGTCCAGGAGGGCAGGGAGCTTGCAAGGGTGGCGCACATCCGACACCTCGTGGGGGCTCACCACATCCCTGTTGCGCCGGTATCTGTGGCATCATTGGCGGTGGAGGAGGTGGGCAACACGGGCAACAGCTTTTTGCATCTGATGAAATATCGTTTAAAGAATTAGCTTTTCGCTTGATGCATGGCAGCGATTGATAGATTTGGTAAAGATAATCTTATTTTCAGCAGAAATTTATCCTCGACGGAGAAAGTACCTAATAATGGTTGTTTATGAAGGAAAATTGGACAGGATAGGCCAGATGCATTATAAAATAGTTGAAACTTGAACAATTTCATAATGATTTTATTCCAAGTAATTTATATATTTTTATGACTAAATTTGAAAAAAGTGAGAGCTTGGAATGTGATCATTAGGATCGTTCTTATTCCAGTGTAAAAAATGTTTCAAACCACATTTTAAAACTTTGGTTTAAAATCAGGAGGAACATATTAAGAATAAAAAGGAAATTCGACATTGGCACCTGCCAACGTCATCACATAGTTTTGACGAGAAGTAATAAATTTCTATTACGGCATGTAGCTCTGTAAATATGTCGAGAAGCTCAATGTCGGTTTTGAAAGCTTTCAAGGTTATTCTCTCTTTAATAATTGTTACTCTCCAGTCCCTGTCTAGTGACTGGAATTTTTTTGATCAGAGGTTCTCTTTCAAGGACATGGTTGACACGTTAAACACTCACACAGTCAGAATGGGAACTCTTACTTTTTGTTGATCTTGCCTGTGCACAGCCCACTAATGCGACGAGTAAAACAGTCAGTAAATTGCAATTCATCTTACCTGCAAGCAAGAAAACCATTAGCTGATTGTATTGGATATAACCCCTCTTTAAATCGAAAAGGGTCCTTAGAATAGGTTCTCAGACTCGGTGGTCACGAGAAAATAACAAGAAAGGCAAATAATTAAAAGAGTAACAAACAGCGAAGAAAAGGAATTCAAAGTATTTTGGAAAGTGGTTCAAGTTTAGTAAACTATGAAAGGAAATCGAATTTATTATAGATCGGTGTTGTGGAAAGTAAAATAAGCATGTTAGGTAGTTTCGAAAATCGCAAACTTCAATTAAAAAAAATATGTCCCGAATACTTCTCTTCGATGCTACTGAAGATTAGAGATGAAATGAATAGAAAAAGAAACTTAAGGAGATAAAATTAAAAAGACTATACTCACCAGCTTTCTTTTTCCTGCTAAGGCTGTATAACAACTGACTTTGACTGTACCACTGACTTAAATTACTACTTCTTCGGTGAGTTAAAAGTATTTGCTGTTGCTTTTATTTGATTACGTAATGGCCATTACCAAAACAGTTATCAAAATTTGATTGGCTCAAGAGTTCATACTTAGGATGAAATATATTGGTTGCCATAGGAGCTAATGCACTGAACATATTTTCGAGTGAATCAACCAGTGGATCAATTACAGACGATGAAATATTCAAACTGTTTAGTTTAGCAAATTCATGATTTTTTTCTTTTAGCCAATCATGCAAGGGTTATAGAAAGGTTTCCGATAGAACCTTTGTTCGATATGCTCCAGAAAATATTTCCTCCTACATAAAGGGCTGATTTTGGGAAATTTCCCAGCCATAATTTTTTCATTAAACGCCGAGTAACAATAAATTTCAAATTGGAGTGCTGAAGTTAATACTAGAGCCCCTCGTAAGGTAAGGTGAAATGGTCAGAAAAATCGCGAACACTTTACTCTAAATTCCTTCTGGAATTTAACACTTAGGGTACTTACTCGAGCAAGAACGGTTATGAAAATTCTAAGATGGCTTTCAATTGCGAGGGAGCGGGGAAGAGGGTAGGGTGCACAGAAATTTGCGTTGGAAACTATATGCTGTCCATTATCAAGGATTCGATTTTCAGCTTTTCAACGGCTTACGGTTGAATATTTTCAATCAGGGTTTACTAAGCAATGTGGTGCAGATCTTAACACCGGCGTTGTTTTTTAAAGGAATTTTAATTCATTAAAACGACCAGTTAATAAGTAATAACACTTGATCAATATATAATTGGGTTTTTTTTTACTGTGACACAGGAAATATTTTGAGAGTTACATGATGAGAGAAAGAGGGTTCCCTTATACTTAGTTCTGTGTAGTTTTCCTATGCAAGTTATGCGATGTGAATTGGGTACCCTGAAGTAACAGGATTTAGCCGGTTCTGTGCACAGCGGAGTTGGCTAAGGTGTATTTCACAGGTGCCTTATTATTGGAACCCACAGGTGGAGTTGACTTGAAAATTTATAACCTAGCCTGCTTCATTAGAAAGGAAGAGCCCTTTTTGATTATCTTACATGGGTGAAATGTGAAACAATTGATGCATTAAGGCGAGACAGAATACCTGCAACAATGATACTGAAAGGCCAAAGAGCCATGAAAATTGAAGGCTATGAGATTCACTATCATATGAATCCAGGAGCAACATAAATTTGGAGTCTTTCGACAGATGAATGCCGACATGTCGATATATTTTAGGAAGAACTCGAAGTCTCATTTTTCCTTTGTTTATTAACTGTACTCAGACATCGTGTTTTACATCCTTGCTGCCGTTTTTTTTCCCCAGAATTCAAGTTCTACAGCATGCATTTGCTGTTCAACTGTTTTTTTTTAAGTAAAACACTGAAAGGTAAAACAAAAAACCCAATTAGTCCAAGAGTGCATGCTCGCGAAAAAGGAAAAGAAAAGTGAAACTTGTTCATCTCATGATTAAAAAGCTTTAAAACAATCAAACCTTTTTTTTTAATGTAATTGTCTAACTCGTTGCTTCTCTTGGTTTACTTGTGCAAATGATGTGGTTTCCTGTGCCCTTTTGGCGTCTTCTTGTGCCTCACGAAGTAAATGAAAATAAGCATTACTGAATTTTCTGGAGCGAAATGTGGACTTTTCCTCTTAAAGTGTGCACTCAAAGGGATCATAACATGATTTGAAAGAAAAAGCAGCGTGAGCTCTATTTAGCCGATGTTCAATATTTATCTCTGACAGTCGGGGAGGAAACTCACGCATGAATTCTATTCATTTTGTAGTAGCTGAGGTATACTGAGCTTTCTAGTGATGACATTATTTTAGAAATGTTCTCGTGAGGTAAAATAATCACTGACAGTTTTTGTTGTGATTTAAAAAGTGAAGTTTATTAAAAGTTCGTGTCGATCGTTTTTATTCCTTCAATCTATAAAGGAACCAATTACTTGCAGCATGCGGGAGCAGGGCAGCATGGAGTAGGTGGTGGAGGTGGGCATGGGACTGGGGCAGCAGCTCCGGGAACTCCCTGAGGTCCAGGAGCTCCTGGAGGTCCTGGTGGACCGGCACATCCTGGGCATCCTTTAAGTCCGGGGCAACCAGGGAGGCCTGGGCTTCCACCGCATCCTTTAGGTCCCATTGGTCCTACTGGTCCGAGAGGTCCAGGGGCACCAGGAGGTCCTGGGAGACCGACTGGTCCTGGGCATCCTTTCCATCCTGGGCATCCGGGTGCTCCTGGGGGACCAGAACATCCAGATTGTCCAGGTGGTCCCTGTGGTCCAGCGACCTGTTGAACTGGTGGTGGTGGTGGTGGAGGAGGCGGACAACAGGGACAACAACGTTTGGAGCCTGTTGAAATAAAGGGAGTGCAAAAGAAAAAATATTGCACCTTTCGCCCAAGCATCGTGAAACGTTATAACCCTACTCCAGTGACAGCACTGCCCTTTTAACTCACCAGTCACTCTACAGTTGAATGACCACCTGCATCCACACTTATTAGTAAACACATATTCCAGAAAATAACAAAGTAACTTAGGTTTCCATTTTAAATTGAATTCATATGACTAAGAGGAGTAAATGAATAGGAAGGGTAAATGGAAGTGAAATCTTCCTCACTTGAATATGTTGCAATGTAAAAGGCTACCTCGTCGTAGAAAGGCAAATGAAAATCAATTGATTCAATCCAAAGAAGCTGTTGAGAAAAGTACCACCTGCTAATATGATTTCGCTATGACAGGCGGGTATCAACTAATTTTACGGTCTAAATCGTCGGAACAAGATGAAAAAAAAAAAAGGTTCACGATACGAAAGGATAATGGCCATGAACTCGATAAGTAAACCTCTGCCGAGATTAATGAACTTCTTCCTAAGCTGCTTCCTGTCCTGAAATATTACAATCATTAATCGTTCCAATTACATTAAAATTATTAATTCTCATTGGTTCAGATCATCGGGTCGAAAAATTTAGTTCAAACTGGCAGGAAACGAACTTAAATTATATTTAGGATTGTATTCGGTGATAGAACTGGTTTTCTTTTCGATTTGATGCCACCTGGCGTGCGTTGTGTTAAGTAAGTCACTTTTCTTAGACAATCATCCCATACAAAGGTCTAAAATAGATTACACAGTTTGACGAAAATTGATGGAATCATTTTCCTCAATATTAGGCATTCGTGGTTCTTGCTTCGAAAATCTGTTGCAGAAGCTGATGATTTTGACTTGCAAAAGTTTGGCAGAGATTTATTATCTTAACATAAACATCTTAATTGTTTTTTATCAAAGCTATTATGTTTCACGTTTGACCTATTTCAAACTTTACAAAATAAACTAGCGAACTTACCTTTTGTCGACCTAGCATGTGCGTAGCAGACGAAGGCAAGAACAAATAAAAATATTATCTTGGAATTCATCTTACCTAAAATAATAATGAAATAGATGAAGTAAGGCTGTATCCTCAGTTATTTCTCATAAGTTTAAGTTAGAAATATTGGAAGAAGAGTCACAGCGATGTAGTTCTAAAAAGATATTAGAAAAAGGTCGACAAGGAGCATTTTGAACTTTGAAAGTGTTTGATTTAGGGTAATCGATCTCAGGAATTCGATCATGTTATAGATCAAATGGAACTGCGGTCATGTAAAAAAAAATCAACAAGATAACATAGACAAAATAATAATGTTGTGACTACTCTTAAATAGCTTAGTCTTTATAACAGGAAACATCCATCAAAATTCTCAGCGAATCTGTGAAAATCTTGGTTTCAAACTATGCAACATATAAATGCAAGACTCACCGATTTTCCTATCCTGTAAAGTCGGTTAAAATGTGACCTACTTTGATGCGCTAGTAGTATTTACCGACATGAAAGTGATTAATTTTAAATGGCTAAGTTGGTGGTGTTGGGTTCTGATTGGTCAACAACTTCATAACGAGCAGGTGACGTTAGGTTGCAAAATAACTCGTTTGGTGTCACTAAAATGGGCAGTGGTTTAAATAGTAATGTGTCAAGCCCACTTTGTCACGCTTGACTTGGGTCTATTGTGTGCTATTTTATTCTCGTTTTAAATATTATGGATAGTGTTAGAGTTTTGTTTGTAAAAATCTAAGTGCGGGAAAATGATGAGTTACAAATGTTAAAGACACTCTATTACAAGGCCGTTTGCAAACAGATTTAAGATAATGTGTTTTTTTAAACGCGAGGCACATTTTGCCATTTGGCCTTAAAGACAAGTTAAATGCTGCTTAACAAATACTTCACCTGTAACATGATAGGATTAAGTGAAAATTAAACCTCGTAATTATGAAAAGAACCACTAATATAAGGAAAGTGAAACAGAAATTAAACCATCAGTTAAGATTACAACTCATTTTACAGAGGAAAATTAGTAGGAGAAAAGCTAAGGTAAATATTTGGGCAGGTTGTGCTTTCATTCTTCACTTGGTAATTACAGGTAATCCTGATGAGTTCCAATGATTCTGGCACAGTTTATTTATCAAAGTTTCACGCTTCGGCTAGCTGATTAATGCTTCTTTACGCCATCCCAAAGTTATTTTCCACTTCAAGCCAATTTTTAAAGGAGCTGTTAAAAGAAATTCTGACCTTAAGCAGATTTTCATGTGATAAAAACTTTTATCACCTAAGAAATAGGGTGGCATGATTGAAACAACTCGTCAAACACAGAGTTTGCTTGTTTCTTTTTATTTTTTAAATGTGTCAAACTTGTTAAATTGTAAATGAAAGAATTCAGATGTCTGCTGTTGGTTCCTAATCTCCCAGTAAGGCCTCCCATTGTCCAAGATTTGTGCTCGCTGAGAGACATTTTACGCTCAGATATAGATGTGCAATGACTATGGAACAACATGGTTCCATAAATATGTTTAAATATGCGCATAGGAAGCCTCAAGCTTTTTAACAAAATATATATATTGTATTTTATAGATTCAACTATGTTTTGAGGTGTCTTGATGCTTATCTCTCGAAAATCAAAAGTGATTTTAAAGAAAACTACTCTGTTTGTTCGTTCGTTTAATAAATGTTACCATGTACTACCACTGTAATAACTGAAGTAGTTATATGAATGAGGACGTGCAGAAAAGGTATTGCTAATGATTCACTGCAGTCCGCCCACCATGACTGAGAAATTCGACAGCCGTTTTTTCGAGTCAGGAAATCACTGTTAGAGAGATGTTTGTATGTGGATCTCAAGAACACAAGCACTCATTACACGAATTCTTTTTCGGTTAAGGAGAGAAATACTCAGTGTATTTGTTTTACAGCAAGTTTTTGAAATATGTTTTGCAGGAAAGTCACTGCATTCTTGTCTGTTGGTCCAGTGTCAAACACAAGCAAGGTTGAAAGCATTTTTGGTATTCTTTAACGCGTTAGATTTTTTAACGATAATTTGATGAAATTTAAAAGTTCAACTCTCAATTTGATATGAACAAAAATTCTTTCTCGTCTAGTGAATTCGTGCTTCGTATATCTCAGTTAAATCGTGGTCTGTGAGGAGGATCGGAACAGCTATTTCATGCCTTGTGTATCCTGAAATGTTAAGCTTACGTTTTTTGTGTGAGTTGGACACAGCCCCCAAACCGTGTTAACCCTTTCTAGGTGCATCCTTAATCCGTCCCCTTTTGCTCTAGATTATTTTAGTTTTTCGGTGATTTCTACCCTAGGTAATGTTATGCTTCACAGAAAACGTTTCGAAATATCATTATGTGGCCTTAACCAAGCGTGAGGTAGATTTATTAGAATAAATGGATATCATTGATGGAAGAAGATAACTAGTTTTCAGGGACCGACGCTAAGAAAGGTCCATAAAAACGAAAAAAGGAAGTTTACCAGCATGCAGCCATCTAGACCCTACTAGTTGAAGCAAAACAAATAAAGGGCAAAATTTTATAAGAAAGAATTTCAAAGTAAATTTAACGAGGCTTGTCGCAATTAATTCATGGTTTTGGAGACCTTCAAGACGTGTTTTGCGATTTTTTTCGTTTGCCGAGAGAGGAGGAGGACTCTCTAGGAAGCAAAAAAAAAAAAAAGGAGAAAGAGAAAATTTTTTACAACTACTTTTTAAAATACTTCTCTCACTTCTTGAGAAATTTCAATATAGGGATATGCGAGTGGCCTGCTGCACGACGAAACCCTTACATAGTGTTTTAACGTTTGAACCCCTAAAGGTGACTAGCTTTTCTCCTTACATTAACACTCCTGAGTCTTGAAAATAAAAAAGAAAAACTGATTGCCTTCCTAAGGAGCTGATCATTTTCAAAAACCATCCTCGTAAGTACCGTAGGAAATGTATAAGCACACTGATATTAGGGTGCAAAGGGTCAAAACATAATCGGATATCGGGCGTAAGGATAGTTAACTTAAGGTAGCCCTACTGCCTATAATTATGTGGGACTACTATTTAAATGTCATACGGCCCCTGTACAGTCATGACACTACGTTTAGAGAATGGGTCAGCATCCTTTTTATTGCTCAACCGTGACATGCACTACAAAATAAAGGAATATTTTGATGTGAAAAACATCTTCTTATCGTCCTTTCCATCTCTCATTAACAAGGCTTTAATAATCGCTCTTGAAATAACTCGTACTGTTTTGGCTGCATGCGCAATTTAACCGCAGCAGCCACCACCGCAAGGGGCGCACGGTGGCTCAGCAGGTGGTCCTGGTGGACCCGGAGATCCTGGGGGTCCTGGAGGACCAGCAGGGCCAACAAATCCTGGGGCTCCGGGACTGCCGTTGCATCCTTTCATGCCGCTGCAACCGGGGAGACCTGGCGGTCCCATACTTCCGGGTTGGCCAGGAGGGCCAGGAAGAGCGGGTTTTCCTGGAGCTCCTGGAGGTCCTATTGGTCCCATCGCTCCGGGCTCCCCTTTGAAACCGGGGCATCCGGGAGCACCAGCACAGCCTATTTTTCCAGGTAGTCCAGGAGGGCCTGGGAGGGCAGGTGGTCCTGCTGGTCCTACCGGGCCTGGCGGCCCAACTGGTCCTGCTGGTCCTTTCATTCCCGCACATCCAGGGAGGCCAGGTAATCCCATGCAGCCAGGTGGCCCGGGTGGACCGGGAAGAGCGGGTTTACCGGGAAGTCCAATAGGCCCCGGTGGCCCGAGTGGCCCTCCACTGCCTGGTGGCCCTTTAAGCCCAGGACAACCGGCCATCCCTGGAGGACCTTGACATCCGTTAGAGCCTGGTAGTCCGGGAGGCCCTGGAGGGCCAGGTGGTACTGGTGCTGGAGGGGCAGGTGGAGGAGGACAAGGTGCATCTGGGGGTGGACAAACAGCAGATGTGCAACCACATCGCCTGGCGACTGAAATATAATCTACAATTAGTTTTTGATCATATTTGATACTTCTCCACCGTGGAAAATGTATATGAAATGAAACAAACCTTATCCTGAAACGTAAATTGTGCCTTTTATCTTGGGTTTTTTTTGTACGGACATTCTCAGAGCTAAGATTAATGCTAGTGGTCGAGATGATCAAACATGATTGTTTGAATTTCATTTTGGCATGAAAAAGAGTTCGCATTTGTAATTTTAGATTAGATTCATATAATACATATGAGATGTTCCTAGACTGGAAAACTCTAAAGCTATCACGCGATCATGATATCGAGAAAACAACGTTTTCTGGAATTTGTATCAATTTAAATGTATTGATGAAACGGATTTTTTTTTAGCGGATAATGCGGGATGAAAGTACGCAAGAATCAATTCTTTCACATAACTTGGCAAATATGTCATTTGGATACCAAGTGAGCCTACAAAGATGAGGGCAGTGAAGTCTTTGAGCTAAAACAATTCCACATAATCCTTTTGCTGAGTCCTCGCGATTTGATTTGATTTCTAAAGAGTGCCACTATGGTTAAGGATAGATTGTCTCCTGGCACTTTAATTGCTTTAATTATTAATTACTTGACGAGAAACGATGAACGGATTAGGAAAGTCAAAATACATTTTTTGAATTGCATTAATGTACGCCAGCTCTAAGCATCTGGATTCGTAAAACCTTGGTAGGTCGTAATCCGTCTCCACTATGAGTGTAGTGTACTAGAGCAATTTATTATCGAGAAATATTCTTACTTACCACTATGAATTGACTTGGCGGTCACGGAGCCAACGAAGATGACTGCGAAACACCATACCAGCTGAGTTTTCATATTTAGGCCTGTCTAGGAGGACGTGAAAGTAGACTTGAATACAAAGAATTTAGGATGAAATCAATTAACAAAATAAATTCATCATCAGTTAACACAGAGATATCATATAATGCAGAGCCTGTCGGACGCTTTTTGTTAAGTCTACTTGTAGATGCGAATATTCGCTCTTGTATTAGACACGTATCGTCTATGGTTAGATGAAGATCAAGTAACTCAAAAGTGAAACGCTGATTAAAAACATCTTTCGAGTCTTCAGATAAAACGAAACTCAAGATATATCTTAGAGGGAACACTTACCTAAACGGTGTGTAAAGACCAAATACCCGTCTGAGCAATTGAGACGTCTATCGTATATATGAATACGCCTGTACTGTTAAATTATTAAAACTGCTGAGATCATATAATACGCTACAATCTTGGCTTCTTAACCAGACGAAACATTCCGGGAAGTAATATTCCCATTAGGTGAGTGAGTTGTTTTAAGAAATGAATTGAAAAATGATTGGAGAAAAATATCCTAATATTTGTCTTTTCCTTAAGCTGAAGGGTGTCTTGTGTTTCCAAAACCATTTGTCTGTGGTGTGAAAGAACAAGCAGATACAGGTGTGAAATTCTTGAGTGCCTGCTTAGCACTTGGTGTAATAGATTTGATTTTGCATTTCTACTATTTGCAAACTACGGAATTTTTTCCAGTTGTTTTCCATTTGCCTCACTATTTCTTACCTTTATGCCTTATTTCAAGCGATGATAGTTTTATCGTTCGTATCTTCTTTGGTTATCTTACAGATACTTAGTATTACTTTTTGTTCATTTTCAAGTCTGACTCTTATTGTAAGTTATCTAATTCCTTGCATACGTTTCTATCCAGTATTCTGAAATACAGTTATAGGGAGAAAGACATGATGTAAAGGTGTGTGGTCTAATCAGATCCAACAATATTTATTTTAAATACGGTCTCTTTTCTTGTTTTTTACCTCATCTCAGGTTTGGTTATCGTTTGGGTGCGAAAAGGACAATGATTTTTATAATGAGTTTTAGCCACCAGAGTCTTCGATTAAGGACACAAAGGGTTCTACTGATTAAAAGATGTGTTTTTGTTCGGTAATACAGGCTTCACCATCAGCTCAGCAAAGTGTCATTTTAGCCTTATTTCGGATAAGGCTTTTATTTAAGAAAAAGGATAAAATCTCAATTGTCCGCGCGTAAGTTGGCTTTATAATGGACACAGGTGGCCGCCCTTTCTTCAGCTTTCTTCATATAAAAGCTTTAAAAGTTCCAATGCTATCTTCTCCCGAAACTACGCTCCAAGACATGATAAGTAAAGAATCGTGTGGAATATGTTACCGTTACTGATTTTTGTAACAGTTTGCAAGCATTGATGTAAATAGTTCGGTGTGGTCTGATATTCCGGGTGAGTTGAGTTCTGAAAGAAATTGTTGTCAGTGGTGGTGAGTCACTTCTGAGGCGACAATATGATAGTCTTTCAGAGACCACACTTACTGATAAAAGAGGGGATTTGGTAGTTTATGACGACCATTATCATGCTAAGATCGGAAATAATTGCCTTTTTTTAGCGTGTATAATATGACCGCTGTTGCTTGCCCTTTGTTGAACACGGAATCTTTCACCGTAATGCGTTCATGTAATAGAAACGGAATTATTGTTTCCTATGATCTTGGATAACTAACTTTCAGCTCTTATTTATTTCTTACTTAAATTTCGAGCGAGTTATGTTTGCGCTGTCACTTCTGGTTGTAACCGTTGGTTTGTCGAAGTGATTTTGGGGTCCTGTTTATGAGGTAGATGGAGTGGTGGAATACATGGGCCTTTTCGGTAAAAAAATATTCTCTGGCATAATTTATTAATTAAGGCTCTTTAAGTATGTGTGATGTTTTTCATATTTTGAATTTAGCCTTACGTGCCTGATAAGCTATGTATAGGTGAGAGCTTGAAAATGTGTGTAGCTTTTTCTTGAAATCTGATCATATGGCTGAGTGAACTGAGTCCCCTAGCAACTCTGTGTGTAAGGTTATGAAACACCTTAGTGGAGGCAAAGTTTAGACGTTTCGGTGAAAGAGGGTACATCACTTTTTTTGTAATTCAAAAAAGATCTTTAATTGATTTCTGTTGAAAGTAGAGTCTCCTCGAAGGAGAAAGAAGGACTAATACAGAAACAGGTTCTCAGTTATCTTCAATGTAGTCTGCTGTTGCGTCAGGTTTTGGTGATTGATCTGTTTCTGGATTGCACCCTAACCGCAGCAAGGTTGAGCTGGGGGTCCTGGTGGTCCTGGCGGTCCTGGAGGTCCTATTGGACCGGGGGCACCGTTGAGTCCAGGGCAGCCTTTAAGTCCTTGGCATCCGGATGGTCCCATGGGGCCCATCGGGCCGGGTGCTCCGACTGCGCCATTAAGACCAGGTTTTCCAGGAAGTCCAATTGGTCCTGCTAGTCCTGCTACTCCTGGAGCACCTTTCCATCCAGGACAACCAGTGGATCCTGGAGGGCCCGCGCAGCCGAGGGCTCCTGGAGGGCCAGGAGGTCCGGGGGGTCCCGCAACAGGCGGGGCTGGTGGGGGAGGTGGAGGTGGTGGACAACACCTCTTTGAGGCTGAAAAAAGTTGAGGAAACGTCACATGCATCAATACCACAATGTTATATACTTGCTACTTTGAGCCCAACTGATCGTTCCGTCACCATTTAAGGTGAGCACATGGCGAGACATTGTTGTTAAATACCTATATCAATATTATAGTACTTCATTACGATAAGCAAAGAGGAAACATCATAGGGGTAAATGATTGCCATTTCAGCCTTCAAGACTTATGATTTAATTCAGTGGTTAGGATGTCTTGTCCATTACGCTCCAGAGCGTCTAGAAGTAGGGATGGACTATATGGAAAATTTAAATTTTAAACTTGGACGAAAAATTTAATACCTTCTTTGAACACATTTTGTTTATTTACCGTTTTAAATCAGGTACCCGTCAAGTTATTCTTAGTAGTCGACGGAAACTTAGCCGGTGAATTGTTACTGCAGAATCATTTTACTTAAAGACACTTCCATGAAGACGGTACCAAAAACTCTAAATTCAATTAAATCTAAAGATTTTCTCTTCTCAATCTGATTTATCTCCACTCTAAAGAACAGGAACAGACCATCATCGTGGTCATGGCGGTAGCGGAAGATAATTCTCTTGCATATATTTCAATCAACAGTTGATGAATTTCACTCGAGATAGGATCCCGCATTACAAGTTTTTTTCCGAGATCTTAGATAGAGTGGAACTAGTGGGGTCACCTAAAGATTACAGATGTATTCTGAAGTCATCGTTCGTCTTTCGTTTTGCCTTGACATGATACGTCAATAGTATTCTAATTGACCCGAATATCTCAGAGTAACTTTCATGGTTTTTTAAAACGATGCGATCATTTCTATGTCACAGATACGGCACTTCTCAACCAGTTTAAATTTAAATCTACCGCAAAGATTTATTTCGCGAAAACTCCACGGAAAACATTGGCTCACCGCTTAAGTAAAAATAACTTGAGGTATCGCTTCAGAGGTATTATTTTCATGCTAGCTTCTTAAACGATTCACGATTCATTCCTCTCAGAGATAAACTTAAGTATTGAACTTAGGCAATTTTGAGAAAATTACATCTTAGAAAGACATATTTGTTTGTCGTACCAAAGGCCAAAGAGCGTCTGAATAAACTTTCACTTCCCCTTTTTCGAGAAAGACATTGTATGAATAGCTGTCAAGCAATTTACCCTTCTGTCAGGAAGATTTGTATCCCACAATTATTCCTCGTTCAGGCCATATGCACTGTGACTATCTGTGTTCTTGACACTTTACATGGATTATTGTTTTACATTTATGAAGTTGTCATATGTAGGTCAAATGAAGTAAATAGTGCACTGTTTTTTTTTATTCTGCTTACCTTCGAGAGACCTCGCGGCTGCGGAAGCTACCAAAAGAACAGCTACGCACAAAATTAACTGGACCTTCATGTTCCTGCGGATTTGAAGAAAAATATAGATTAGGGTTCTTAGCAAAGGAAGAGATTTATAAACATCACCAAATATTAGGATGGTCGAAATGGTTTATCATGCTAATGGTGCCAGCATTAGGTTTTTTTAACTGACAAAAACACATTAAGTTGTAGGAAGAAATGGTGAAGTTCAAATTCATTGCAGTGACGAAACACAAACTCTGTAAAATACCGATGGCTTACCTTTTATTGCCTTTTCGACCTGAAAAATGTCCTATTTGATTAAGGTTCCTCTAGTTTATGCGATCTTATCAATAAATTATTGATTGCTTGCCAGGGGAGATGTTAATGGTTCTGGAATTACGTTCGTGCTGCCCGTCAAGTTTCATGTCTTGTATTGGTTACTTCAGGTTGTTATTAATTCCACTAGTTTAGCGCATCAGTCGTTCCTTGTCAAAACATTGCATATCTCCTCAAGAGAAGTTTGGAGTTTTAGAATGCATTCGTGATGGAAGGATCTGAAATTCTCCAGCAAAAGAGAAATCAGTTTAAGTATCGTGTGCTTTTTTAAAGAAGGGAATCAGTAGAAACAGAGAACAAGCGCTTCCAATCATATGAAGAGTCCTTTAAGGATGTATCGTTTCCGTGGTTAGTTAATTTGTTGTCATATTTCGGTGACGAAACAAAAATAAACACTTAAGGAAGAAGCAGAAAAATCTAGACTTGATCAATAGCAAACGTTTTCAGGCTATGTAAGAGCTGAAGGAAACTCCAATGCGCTTCCTTTTGGAATGTGAACTGGGTGCTAGATGAAAAATTTTTTGCCCTTAAATCTTAAAAATGAAAAGATAATAATTGGATCTGGCACCTGTATCCACATGCTTCTAAAGGAAAATAATGTTGACCTAATTATTTTTGCTTTCTAGTAGAAGTTTGCACTGGGCGGGAAAGCCGTCATTCATAAAAAAGGTACTGTAACTGGGGAGGCAGAGAAACAATACAGTACTAAAAACCAAGATGAAAACGAAAAAAGAGCGAGTTAAGATAAAATTTTTGCGTTCTCAATATAATCACCCCGCAAATTCATTACTGCGATTATCATAACCCAGAGACTGGAGCGAACGTAAAATAAACAGTAGGTGGCTGAACTTGCCTTACGAATTAAAAGAAAAGCAGTAGTTAATCTTGCTGGTCCATAGCCTTTATGCCAGGGTTTCCCTGAGATTATGTGGTTTTTATTAGCATGATTGTGTAGTTCTTATCATTTTAATTTTTATCAGGCCCCAATTGATAGCAGTGCTTGAGGCATCTGAATGGGCTACCCTGAATAAATAAAAGTCTTCTTCTTCTTCTAAATATTGTTTATCCCCGGAAGATGAAAGGCAATGTAAGAGTTAGGTACTTAACCGGCCAATGAAAAAGCACGTTGACTCTGACCGGCGCTGGAGACCCGACTTACTGATCCGGAAGTCGACGCGCCATTTTTAGGGCCACCAAGACTGATCCCTCCCATGGAATCTTGGGGAATGTTTATCATAATTAATTGCAAGTAAAAGCTAAAGACACACATCTGAGTTATCAGATGAATAACATTTATTAGCCTCCTTTTAAACTCCTCTGTAAATTACTTTTACGCTACCTGAATTGTTATTGTCGCGATATAAGTGCTGGACAGATGTAAAATCAAAAACAGATTATCGTCATTACCATCAGCTTTAACAGATGATTGCTACTTATTTAAGCTTAAGAAACCTGCACATGCTCTTAATTTTGTTTGTTGTACTAATTAGAGAAAGATTTCCGTCGCAATCAGTGGCTAGACACATGGTGTTGTATTTTTTATACACAAATCGTTTCGAGTTTCCACTTCTTATCCTTATTACTGACTCTTCAAAGAGGAAACCGTCCTCAATTGGTTTTTGGCAACCACTTTCCTGTGAAAGAAGAACAAAAATACATGTCAATAAACATTAATAAACATTCAATTGATGAATACGAACAATGAGCATTAATAAGGTATGTAGACGAGTACCACCTACTTTCTCAGCTTTGCCATAAAAGGAAACTTTAGTCCACAACTTTGAAGAAATGCAGAGCAATTCGATTGTTTATGTAATTCAGAATGAGTCCACTTTAAGACTGTTTTGTTCCCCGACTGAAACCTTTAAGTGACCTTTACATATCAATGCTAATTTTCGTGGAAAATGCAATACTCGCGACTATTTTTGATTCTTCTAGAAGTCTGACAGAGTGACACTTACATTTACATTCTTTTATTTATGTCTACCATTCCCAAATTCAAGTACGAGAACAAAGATCTAAATGAGCTGTTTTCTTGAGGAGTGGCCAGAGATGTTGAGTACTTCTGCTCACGAACAATTCTCAAAAGACTTCCTGACTCACCTCAAAAACAACATTGGTCCCGTTGACGACCTTTAAGGCATATAGGTATTGAGTTCCGTTTTCGTTTTTAGTGAATTGGATGCACTTCCTTCCTCCCACGGACTCAATTTTAATTCCTTTGATAATGGAAGAGGAAAACAAGATTATGAACGAAAATATGGCGCTAAATATTACCTTTGATTAAACGGCAACATCCTTTTGATAAATTGCGAGATCGTTTCAAACTACAACTGATATTGGTGTAACAAAAACTCGATGAAAAAAAAAAGGAGAGGATAAACATGGTAAAGTATTCAATTTGCTTTTTGAAATGGGAAATACACTAAATCAACTTTACCTTCGTGAAAATCGGTTCTTGAAGAACTAGAAAAATCAACGAACTTATTCATCTTGCCCTTAATTTACTTCTTTGTAAGATTTTTTTTTACTGGCGTCAGTCACATAGGTCAAATTTTGTCAATTGCCGCTTCAATACTATGATTTTGAAGTTCCGTTTGCGCTCCATGTCACCAAGATTTCAGACACCTAACTTACTTGTCGTAGGGTCTGAAGTACGAGAACCGTCACATTTTGCTACACAGTGCCGTTTTCCTGAAAACGTTGAACATTTTTCAGTATGAATCTTAATGAGGTTTCCTCCTCTGCAATTCTGTCCACGGTAAACTGAGCTTAGGCTTCGAACAGTTGATCTTGATTCGACGTTCGCCAAAAGCACCAAAAAGACGGCTAAAATCTGCAATCAAAACACTTTATATTTAACTGGACTAAGCAAAAAGTTTTTATCGAAATGGATTTATAGCATTGATCTACAGCTTACAGGGGTGCGCTATCCAACCAGCAATCAGGAAGACCTGTGAACTATTGGGACTTATAATGAGGTTCGTTAAAAACTATTATTTTAGAATGTGCGTGCCACAAGCTTTAAGCAAAGTCCGGTAAAGCTGTAAAAAAACATATTAAATTTGCCCATCATACCCACCGTAAGTTTTGAGTCCATCTTTTACGCACAATGGTCTACAATACTGAAGCTCCTGTGTGTTGAGGGTAACTGAGATTTGTATTGATTCTTTTTCTTTATATCCTCTGTGCGGAAGTGAGAAACTTCTCCGGACGTGACCTTCGTGACAAAGACGGGAACGATTGCCATTGCTGCACCGGATGATCTCAGATGAAACATATTATTCAGTGCGACTGTGGGATTTGTTTCAATGCAGAGGGGGGTAAACTACATAGGGTTCACTTGGAGTGTTATTTCCCGTTTTTTTTTTTTTTTCAAAGAATGTAACATTGGCCAATGTTGCAAGCTAAAACTTGACTTAAAGTGTAACTCTTGAAAATTCTTTCATGCGATTTTTCTTGGCGTGCCCTATTGCCCACCTAACTCTGATAATATCCGGTAACTCCAACACAGACCCTCTTTCCACTCTGAGAGATTGGCAAATGAAGCACAACTCTAAGGCATTCCTCAACAGTTTGAACTGAGACTCAGCTTGCAAGCAGAAGAAATTTACCAAAGTTAGCAAATTTTCCACGATTACTGGATTCCAATTACGGGTTAATAGGGATATGAAGCGATTAGTGATAATTAGCGTTTTATTGAGAGGGAGCAACTATAAGTAATGACTACCTCCTGGATAAATGGTATCACCATGCAATACCTTTGGCAGTCGTACAGGTACCCTACACCGATTAAAGGCATATCCTTCATGATTGGTTTAACCTGTATGTGGAGCAACAATCTATAAAACCCGAAACCTGTGTTTCCCAGAAATATGTAAGAGGAATGTCGGAGCTTAAGTTGGGAGCTTCTTGAAAGGCGGATGGCTTTTAGCTAATTGTATGAAATTCTTATATTTTCCTATAAACCTTGATTTAGACTTCACCAGAAGTTCTGACGTCTATTCAGTTGCCTTTTTCTGATTGTGCAAGAAAAGAAAGCCATGATAAGATTCGGTGAGAATGGACGAAAGCTGAGGAGACCCTAACCTTATATCAAGAAGAATAATGATAATGTCTTTCGATGATCCTGCACGCAAATGATACATCATGCGGATCTTATTCAACGGCTACAGAAAGAGTACCACGTAAAGAAATAGTCTATCAGTATAGATATTTATATCGGAATAATTGGATTAAAAGTTAAACTCTATCTTTGATTTATGCATCCGTCACTTCAGTGCCAATTTCTTGTCGAATGCTGTGATCTTATCAAACTCCCTAATTGCTATTGCGGTTAAAACATTACTTTTTCAGTCATACTTGATTACAGTATAATATTGTATGGATTTTATTTTCCCAAGAGCGAATTGTACCTTTCAACAACGACCAAGAGATCTACCGTTTCCACAGATAATCGAGTTACTAATAGGCGTTCTCTTCCAAACAAGTCTTTGCACGGACGGGCTGAGAGATTATCTTATCAGACACAAGGCCATACAAAAGCTACGGACACTGGCCAGCTTGAAGAACGAACTCGAGCTGGCATCTTACGACAATACTCAATAAGGTATTTCATTCTTCTTGTTTTCCACTTAGCTTTCCAATCAGTGAAAATCCCTCACACATAAGTGGAATTTCCAATCCTCTTAAAATACTGAACAGCATAAATATAAGGGACTTAAAATAGTTTATGGCACGGCTCAAGGACAAGGTCTCTGTGGGTGAGTCGCTAAGAACTTCCCTTTGGGCAGAACCGGAACCGTGTGATCTCATCCCCACGCCCATGTAAAATTAAAATCTAAACAGTTTCCTTCATCAGCGACCGAACCTAGATTTCCCGTCTTTCTAAAGCGATCTTCACAAAGGATAGTTTCGACTAAACCAATTCTGGCTGGAGAACATGAACACTTGTCATACATCAACCACGCAGATGGCGTGGCGCGCTAGCGAGTCCTCTCCACTGGCACAGTTGTTAGCCTCCAAACACAAAATTGAGAGTTTCAGAGATGTCTCTGGCAAGCTTTTGACCGTAAAAGGCACTGTGCTCTCATTTGGCAGGTGAACTGAAATTTTCGGGAATCAGCATTTCCAAAATCGTCATATACTATCGTCATAGGAAACTAATCGGAAGGAGGCGTCAAATGTAATCTTAGCGGTTGAGACAAATGGGTATTGACATATCCTTCTTTATTGTTTATAAGAGCCAATTCATTGCCATAGCTTGCAGTTTTTTTTCTTTTAATTATGTTTGTTTTTAATCGTAGACCTCTCATTAGCGGATCAGTGTAGATGAATCAAAACTTCGCGTGATGCACACTTGCCAGTGGTAGCTCATCTCTCTTGATATCCACTCCAGCTGTCTCTAGTTTATTTTTAATAATGCGAGCCTTGCTCGTGGGCTTTTTGGAAACAATCCAAAAGACGCTTGTTTTGACCTGATAGAATCTGTTAAAGAATGAAGTGAAAAATAACGTCCTAAATCTAAGTGCAATATTAAGGGAAAAGGGCTCAGCAAGTTCAACATAAAATAAGATAGGCATGATTAAACATTAATCAGGACACCGGTTGAGGGGGGATAGAACCCTGAGACTGAATTAAACGAAAAGGTTTTTTTTTAGCAGAATGTCAGGGGAGCTGTTGATGAAGGGTCTCAATGGGGTTAACTGTTGGCCGAAAAACAGCCAAACAAATTAACCGTTAGCCGCAAACAATGGAAACATTTCAACGGTAGGTCACAAAAAAAAGTTAAGCGCAGACATTTTTCATTTAACTGTGATGGAAGAAATTAATTGTTAGCCGTAAAATAGCCAAAATTTTAACCGTTAACCGAAAAATCCATCACCCCATTGATACCCTCTCGATGTAATTTTCATGTGATCAGCTGAATTTACATCAGGAGCACTTTTGGAACTGTCGTTTAAAACAAGATTCCTTGTCTCTTGTTAATTGAGTAGTTTTCAAGAAGTATATTGTTTCTTTATAGTATGAACTGTTCACACATTTTTAAGACAAGTGCAAAAACAGCTTTTTTGTTTGTTTGTATGGGCTGAATAGGGATGGTCATAAGAACCGTTGGCAAATTTGATAATTCATCCAAGGAAATGAAATAGTATAAATTAGCTTGAATAGAAGTGGCTGATATCTCGAAGAATTGAATTTATATCATACTTGTTTCGTCGATTTATCAGAAGCTGGTCGCGGCGCAAATTGTATCTGCCAAGCATTCTTTAAACAAAAAGCGAATTTTTTTTATAGGAAACTATTATATTGAAGAAATGGAATGAAAAGATATACCTGTGTGACTCATGGGCAGTCAACTTAAACGTGATCTTTGTTTTGTATGAAATTCGCCTCTTTGCGAGTTTTCTCATATAAACGCAAGTGAAACGTGAAAGGAAGATGTCTCATCTTACAATTATAAAAAAATGCAATTAAAAACAAAAAGTATTTTCCAAGAAATTAGGTACCTGCATAAAACAGCCTGGTTTTTTCCAAAATTTCAACGTTCTCCAATGTAACACAGGAATCGGACATGAGAAATAATTGATCACTTTTCCTAGATATTTCCATGATCGATTCTGATCGAGGGAAAAGAGTATAAAATAGCATGCAATTTCTTCAGAGGTTGCTCAGAGCTTCAAATTGAAGCACATAAAAAATTTAAGCACAGGAAAACTGGAGCAAGAGCACCTTTCGGCAGCACTTTACAAATATTTAGTGTCAAAACGTCCTGTCCTCAGACGGTGATGATAAAACCGGCGCCACCTTGGCCATAACTGGGTCTCAGTGGCAGACGTAGAAATGCATTTCCTTTGGCAAAATTACAAGTAAAGTTGAGAAACTACATGATTCAAATGAGAGAGATAGCTTTACTTTGCAAAGAACTCTGTAATGCGGCAGGGAACGTGAAAGAATTTTCTGGAGAGGAAGACTATCTCGAAGGAAAGGTGTGGTTGGAATCACTCCCAGTATACCTAAGCCAGGCCTGTCAACAGAGATAAGAAAATATGGATATCCAAGGAGAGTAATAAGAAGTAATAAGTTATGTTCCATAGGAGGGCCTCTAAACGATTTAATCATGATATATCAAACTTTGTAGCCTCCGACTGCGTCACTTACTTTCTCTTTGCATATTTGACACCCATTCTTGTGGATTATGGATGTAACTGATGACGTAATATAAAATATGCATGGCATAGGATTTGATATTTCATCACACATTTGTACAATGCTCTTAAGTTTCACTTGCCTACCTAAGATCTCTTAAAGCAAAATGAAAAAAAAAAGGGGAAAAACGGATACCCGGGGTTCCAAAATAACTCCGTAGTCCTTAAATTGTGCACAAGTGTTGTCAAATACCCAAAAGATTCAAAATTTCAAAAATTCCAACCAGCCTTCATAATCAGGGATTTGAGTAAATAACAAACTACACAAGATGAGGTAAGGCACTTTAATAATGACGTGCATAGATAACAATGGTCACGTTTTCATCAATTCCTCAACAAGAGGCTGAAATATCCCTCATATCTCATAACGCAAACTTGGTTCCATTTGATTTTTGTTCAAGGGTCTCTTGATAGACAAAATAGTCGAAATAGTTACTTCTTCTCTGTGAAATGAGAGAAGGTACTCTTGGAATAAGAGCTATGTAAGGGTAGCTAATGTATAATTTTCCCAATTTTCCCTTTTTTTGTCTCTGTTTTGTTTGTTCTTCTTTATTTCCACAGACACGCGTGGTGCCAAGGCTTAACAATGCTACGGATTCCAGGGAAGTTACGGGAAATTTCACTTAAATTCCTCGACCTGCTCAACGCACAAAGACCTAAAGCCAAGACAGTCGTGATCTGTTAGCTTAAAGTTTCGGTGACAGGAATTAAAATAACTTACCAAACGATACAGATTATTCCCTGAGACGATGAGTCATGAAGGGCAAAAGTAATTTGATCTACGACAACGTTTTCATGATCCAGAATGTTCAGGTTTACTTCTGTAGTGCTTTTCTTAGTCCATAACTTAATGATAACATCATTCATAAATAAGGTGTCTTCCGGAAAGAGAAGATTGTTAGAGAGATAACGAAACTACTAGGATTTATTTCTGGTGCTTCAATCAGTTGATTTATGAGTAACTCTGTTGGCCCCGCTGC